GTAAGAGGTGTAGCATGCTTGCGGCCAGGTCAGGATTTAGGTGGGCGGACATGCGCACGGTTTTTTTCCGGCTCGCTCTCCATCAGGGGCACTGCAACATCCCCCTCTAACGCCTCCGGTCTTGGATGGTCGCCTCTTGTATCCACCAAATCCACTTCTAGTTGCTTAATCGTTGCTTGATAGCACTCTCGCGCCTGTTGTGTGTTTCCCTTTACGCAGCCCACTCCGCTTCCCACTGTAAACTTCAGCCTCTGATGACATGTGGATGCCACAGCTCCGAACGTGGCTAAGAAGCTACGCCCAAGTATGGCATTGTACGCGGACGGACAGTCCGCCACGTAAAACTCCATTTCCTTGGTCTTGGTTACACTTCCCTCGCCGATTGTCACGCGCAGCACGACTACGCCCAAGACCTTTATCTTGGAACCAGAGAAGCCTACTAGCTGTGTTGTGGACGGCTTGAGGTCTGCAACCCCCTTCTTCATACTCTTGAGGGTCGAAAAGAACAGAATGTCGGCGGAGCTCCCGTTATCGATAAGCGTCTTGGTGACCTTGTACTTTCCCGTGCGGAAGGATACAACCAGCGGGTCATCTGAGGCGTCCGGGTTGGCGAGCTCGGACGCATGGAACACCACTTCCGCGGTGTGGGTGCTGGCCAACGTTAGGCATGGAGCCTCATTCTCAGGGTTTCGGGGGCGCTTCCTTCCTCCAGAGATGGTGATTATTTCCAGGTCATCTTCGTCAATGCGGGGTTGCCGCCTTGGGGGCGGCGCGTCAGGTGGTGACGGAAGCCTCCCCCTTTGCCTTCTGTCCCTGGACCGCGACTTTCTGGGAGACCTCGATCTTCTTCCTCGGGACCCGGACCGTGGTCTTCTTGGGGACCTGCTTCTATACCGCCTCAAGGGGGGTGATCTGGTTCTTTCCTGTCTCTTTGCTTCTAACCTGCTTCGTAGGTCGCCGGGCGCAAGATTTGCGAGGCTCAACAGAAAATCCCGACAATCCGCGGTGTTGTGTGAAGTTCTTTGATGCCAATCGCACCACCTTCTGAACGCGGGGGCGTCCGGCCGTTTCTGGGCTTCATAACGCGTTCTTTCCTCCTGCTGCCTTCGAGGTGGGGCCTCATCCTTGCTTCGCTCTGTGGCGTAAACTTCCCTTTTGTTTTCGACTGCCTTCCCTTTCGCCTTATAATTGTGCCGCTCCGGTGTCCGCCCTCTCCGAGGCGGAGATCTGTTTCCCTTTCGCCCCTCTCTTCCCCTTCCTCCCCGATCGGCGGGGTTTAAAGCGTCTTCTAGCGTGATTGCCCGCCTTACCAAGTTGTCCAAATCTGGCCATGTCTTTATGTCTTGTTCTTTCTTGATCAACGCTCTTTGGAGCTCCTTGCTTTTCGTCGCCATTCTCAGGCTTCCTGCCGCTACATTTGGGGTCACGCCTTGTATTTCACAGGCGATGGTATTCCACCTATCGTAGAAATGGGTCAAGGTTTCCCCCTCCCCTTGCGTGCAGTTGATCAGCGCCGTGACGGTTAGACGCCGCCGAATTTGAGATGCGAACTTGGATGTGAAGAGGGTTGCGAACTGCTCGAAGTTGTCTATGATTCCTTCAGGGAGGGAGGTGTACCATGTCCTACACCGTCCCCCAAAGGTGACGGGAAATGCCTTGCATAAGTCGGCATCGGTGGCATTGATCAACTGCATCTTCATGGTGAATGCACTAAGGTGGTCGTTTGGATCCATGTCCCCATTGTAAGTCGGAAGTCCCAACGACGAAAAGTTCGGGGGAACCGGATTTCGGAACAACTTCTTCGAAAGCGGATTGTGCAATATACTCGGACCCTTGGTCCTCCCATCTCCCTTCCCGAAGCTTGTTTGGAGGTGCTCCTCTAGGAAGCTCAAGTCAGCCTCTTGCCTTCCCTCTTCAGCTTCTTCGTCCTCTGAATCTTCTATCTCCACCGCCTTCTTCTTCCCTTTATCTCTGGGCGTCGCGGATGGTCCCGGCTCCTCGTCCCGCCTTAGACTCTCCTTTATTAGGGAGAGTATTTGACTTATACTTCCCCGCATCTGTGTGATCTGCTCCCCCTGACTCTTCACTCGGTCTTCCAGCTCTAACTCCTCCTCAATATTTGGCGACAAACCTCGAAGTGTGCTCCGTTCAATCACCTCCTTCATGGGAGTGATGGAATCCCCCGCCATCTCAAGAAGAAGTAGACGTCTCAACTGGCCCCACGGTGGGCGCCAAATTGTTTGAGCCTAGAAAGTGCCAGGCGGTTTCGATGAGGTCAGCGAGAAATCCACTAACTCCTTAAGACGAGGGGGAATCCTTCAGTTTGAGAGCTTCCGTCTCCTGCAAGAAAAGGTCCCGAGGCGGAGCCCGGGGACGCTCTCCAATGCTTAAATGAGTATTCTGGGGAATGGTAAGTAGAAATCAGACGAGTAATTAGAGAGAGAGAGAGTGAAATGTAGAGAGAAGAAAGGTTTACTAGAGAGAGAGAGAGTGAGTGAAAATGGCCCCCCTCTTAAATGTGGCGGTTATCTCTTATTTATAGCTCGTTCTGACACCCTGTCAGACTTCGACTCCTCGTACTCGTTCCCCGAGGTACGCCCGCGACGTCTTTTAGGGCCTCGTCACCACTTGGGCCCTCACTAGCCGTTCCTTCGTGAATGGCCGAATTAGGCGCTGGACCTTCCCTCGGCCTTTTCCTATTTGGGCCCTAGACACTCATGGGCCTTGATTTAGAGGGTGATCCCTTTTGGCCCAACACTTACATCATCTCTTCTTATTACCTTTGATTTTGCCTGCCCGTCTCAGCTCGAATGGGCCGCGCCTCTCCTGTTGTAGCTTTCGTCTGTCAATTTGTATAAGAGGTCCCTGCAACAACGCAGTAGAGAAGGGAACATTTGATTCAGGATACTACTGTGTTTCATCTAGTTACTCTTTCTACCAATTGCAAACGATGAAATGCATTGATAATAATATGAAGAAACACTGCAACCAAGACTCAGTACACAGAAGAGAGCTGGTGGAAAGAAGGGGAGAGGTAGGATCGACGGCGAGAGAGAATGGGTGAAAGCCTGCTGACCTCCGAACGTATAAGGCCGTGGTTTGGAGGGAACTAATGGCTAAGTTATGGATTCAAACATCATCAAATTTCTTGTAGGATTCATGCATTCACCAACTATTAACGGCGAAGCTCGCTTAACGGCAAACCCGACCAAGCCACAAAAACAGGAACTTAACTTATTTTCTGAATCCTTGTTCGATTAGGATTACTGCATTTCTGGCCTGATCTTCTTATAAACACTGGTTATGCTATTGATTGAGCGGTGTGCTGAAAAGATGTGTTTGATAAAGTGAAACGTCTTGTGAACAGGCTGACCCAGCTCATGTAACAGCAAAACATATCGTAAATAGCTATTTTGATGGACAGTTTTGCTTTTGGTGATAATAAATATAAAATTTTCCAGAATTGGAGGAAATCTAAGTGGAACGAACAACGATTTCTAGATAAAGTATTTCGGAATAGTTATTATTAATTCTTATGGATAAATTTGTGACGATCGGAGAGATATGTTCATTCGTTCATAGTAGGATCGAGGTAGAGGCTCATGCCCTCTTGGAAGCATATCTTTCTACGAAGAAGCTTCATCACTACCCGATTGAGATCTTCTGAGATTGCAAGACTCCGATGGAGGCTTTGAGTAGTGACTCGTCTACATGGTTATATCGATATTAGGACTGACAATCGGTTAGCGTGTGAACAGACCGGTTACAACCGAAATCGACCGATTATCCACTGTCCGAAAAACCGAGATAACCGAAATTCGGTCGGTGTTCGGAGGTTTGGCGAGATGCTTTTGGTCTTAGGAGGTGGTTCAATTAACTGGAAATCGAGATAACCGAAGCGTTAAACCCTCTTTCGATCGGTGGTCGGTAGGATTGAGAAGTAGTTCGGTTAACAGGGGCGGAGCCAGGATTTGACCGTCGGGGGGGGGGGGGGGGGGGGGCGAAGTTTAGAAAGTGTAATATGTAGAAGAAAATATATCATAAAATATAATTAATATTTATATTTATTTATAATTTATTTGTAATATTTGAGATAAAGAAAATGCCAAAACTATTATTAAAAATATAAATTTGAAGAACATAAGTAAGCTACTTCAAAATTACATGACTTGTAAAACAAATTACGCTCAATTAAGAAGGTTAAAGACAATTAAATATGGTTTTTTTATCACAGTCAGTTAAAACTAAATTAACAAGGTTAAAAAAATTAATATGGTCTTTGTCACGCTCAATTAAGAAGGTTAAAAAATTAATATGGTCTTTATCACGCTCAATTGAGAAGGTTAAAGACAATTAAATATGGGTTTTTATCACAGTCAGTTAAGAAGGTTAAAAAATCAATAACAATTTGCTACCAACAGGTTTCAAACCAAGACCATGTATGACAACAATCAACTTCTGCTCCGCTGGACTACACACAAATCTTAAGCTTCATTAATGCACACAGTTTGTATTTATACTAATCTTCATTTTATACGTAATTCTTCAAACCTCGATAGAATTTTGTACGTGATTTCAAAACCTAGCTCCGCCCCTGTCGATTAATCGACAATCAACCTTTCAATTTTCGATTATAACCGAACCGACCGGCCCTCCACCCCTAACCGATATTATGCTTATCTCTCGTTTATGATTCTCATCTTCAAGAATCTGATTGGATTCATGTCAAGCTCTCCAATCTTCGATACAATAGAAAATTTGGATCATGGTAATAGATGGTCCGAGTCCGACCCGTATAAAACTTAACAAAGGACAAGAAAAAAGCGGGTAAAATAAAATCCGGATTCTCCATCTATATAATCATCGAAAGAGGTGCTCTTCTTTCCCCGTTTCCGCGTTTCCCCCAATCAATCATCGACAAATTCTAGGGTTTTCAGCCTCCTAGGGTTTTCTCTTTTCTCCCCCACAATCCGCAGCGGGCTCGCGCGCGCAATCGAACCATGACTGGGAAGGCGAAGCCGAAGAAGCACACGGCGAAGGAGATAGCAGCGAAGGCGGACGCCGCGCTAACCAACAGAGGCGGAGGCAAAGCCGGGCTGGTCGACAGGACAGGGCAAACCAAAGGAGGCCACGCCAAATACGAGTGCCCGCACTGCAAAGTCACGGCTCCTGATGTGAAATCGATGCAGATCCATCACGAGGCTCGCCACCCTAAGATCCCCTTCGAGGAAGATAAGATCCAAAATCTGCACGCCACCGCGCCTGCTGCTGCTGTTGCCGATACCTCGGCCGGGAAACCACGTCCTGGCGTCAGGGGCAGCCTCAAGAAGTGATCTTTTGGGAGGGTTCCGGTCAAGAAATATAAACGTCCTGCTACGTTTCGTAACTTGTGGTTTCTGGGTAATTTTTTTTTTCCTGTCTTTCTGTGGTTTGGCTTATGTGTGGTTCACTGAATACTACTCAGTCTGTGGTGTCTAATTTTACTTTTTTTTTATATTATTATGGTATGAATATGATCCATTACGGCGGGGGTTTGTTTCTGTAATCCATTCACCGCCTTGGCTTGCTGGTTTGGATTTGTGGAATGTACATGAAGCTCTGTTGTGATGACTATGGAATTGGTTCTTGTGGCATACGCCCTTGGCCAGAATCTGCTCCGTCTCTTGTTCCACTTACGATTAAAGCTTGCTCCTTTGTGGTTTGCATTGCAATATCTTTCCTGTTCATGTAATGACTGTCATGGTTGTGAGATTCTAGTTTTCGGATTCAATCCATCACTTTGGGATCAGTTGATCAACTCCTACTGCTGTTCCTCAGCCTGCAGTTGGAGTAGCTCTGGTTTGGTATGTGTGATGTGAAGGTACATTAAGACTCACTTGGAGAACCAAAGTAGTAATGTTTGGAATGCTTGTATTAATGTAAGTGGAGCAATCTGGTTCATAATCCATGCTGCGGCTGTCAATGCTGTTTAGGCTGCATAATGCCTGATATCTGGTAGGGTTCCTCAGTTTCGGGTGACCTTTCGAGCTCAGGTTGATAGTCCCCTACCCCAAAATGGGCGAGAAACGGCATTTGCCTGTTAATGTAAGATGAATTCAGTACGTTTCACAGATTGTGGTGTAAGGTGTCTCCACGGAGCTTGTTGGGGCAACATAGTAATGTTTAATATGTTCTTATGTTGTTCTGGTAAACCTTGAAGCGGAGTTGCTAAGCATTGTGTATTAGAAACACAGTTTTTGTTCCACATAAGAGAAATGCTACTGGAAGAGTAATGAGACGAACCAAATTATGTTGCCAAATCTCATTCGATTGCTGATAAATATGAAACTAACCGAATACATTTGATAAGAACAAAAACACTGCTACCTATCATTCTTTCTTCTTCTTCTTCTTCTTCTTTATCCTCTCTTTCCTCTATTTTCTTTCTTCTATAAATTCTTAAAACCTACCTTTCTACAGGTACCCAAGATAGGAAAACCCAAGTCACAAACAAAAACCTACTGCGATTTCGCAGTGCAAAACGGAAGAGACTCCCTGTTCTCTGTATTCTTTCTTATCTTTACCCTTTCTTTTTACTTTCTCTTTCTCCTACTCCTAACCTAAGCTTAGATGCATAGCACATCATCGTCTAAGATGGAAAATTCCCCATAATGCGTTGATAGACCTGGGGTTGAGATGCATTTACTTGACTGACAATGGAGGATGTGGCGGCGCCAACATCATACAAATTATCATCCTTCAGCTCTTGTTTAGGCCTGATCATCTGCTGACCTGAGATGAAAGGCTGCACAACTTGAGGCATACCTTGTGGCACATGATTTGACAAGTCAACACCACCCAATGTGTGCAGACTCGAGGACAGTGACAATGGGAACTGCGGAACAAATGACCCCATGGAACCCGGGAGATGCATCGGTGTCCGTGCGGAGTTGAAACTGTAGGAGCCATGAGGGATACTGCTCTGGATGGTGGGGAACTTCATTGGATACATTGGGGGTCCCTCCAGCTTCATCTCACTATGGAAGTTCCCGGAGAAACCACCTCTCAGGTAATCACCGTTGTTATTAAACAGCGATCTTCGATCAAAACCAGGCACAAAATCATGCATCTGCGTTTCTTGTTTCGGACCTGAGGCTCCACCTCTAGGTAGCGTCAATCCAGGTTGTGCGTTGCCAGAAGCTTGGGACAAACAGTTGCCATTTGAGTTTGAACTACTGCTGTTTCTTGCTGCCGGCACCTCGTGATTGTGCTTGCCTTCGTATGTGGTGATAACGTATTTCAGATTGTGGGAAGCCCTCTCCACATGCTTCCTCACTGAACACCCAAGGCTTGTGCATTTGTAGTAACTCCTGTTGTTACAGAAGTAAACTGAACTTTGTAAATGTACTGATAATCAAAACCAGAGCTCAATGGTTGTGTTTGTTTCAGCTAAAAAAAAATGAGTTCAAATCTAAACAAACATATTTTTTCAGTCTAAGAAATGGAGCCAACATAGGTCAAATATCAATACCTGGGGTTTGGATTGCCTTTGACAACTTTTTGACCATACTTCCTCCAGCGATATCCATCATCCAGGATGTCTACCTCACTCTCGATTTGGACGACAACTCTTGGCTCTCTGACAGCCCTGGATGTCATATTTGACTCACCCAAGCAGCTCTCTATCTTTCTGAAACCTCAATATAATAGATATTCAGAAATATTGTAATACGAAAGGAGCAATCATAAAGTTGCATGGCGCAGACATATGAAATCAGCAAAAATAGAGTACCTCCTTTTGGAATCAGACTCTTCCTCACTGACTGATATGCTTCCCTGAGTTATCCCATCATCATCATCTTCCTCATGACTGGCAACTGCAGAAGAAAGCTCTGGTGTTTCAACAGATTCAAATGTCACCACAGATTTCCCTTGGTTTGTTGATAGAAGATCAGAAAGCTCAGTCACAACAGATGTAGAAGATGTTCTTTCCAGACCACCAGCCGCCCTCCATTCATTATCGGGTTCACTATTATCTTTTTTACCTAATTCTGCATTATTTACAAGGAGAGATCCTCTTTCAATCTTAACACAGTTTCCTCCATTGCCTTCATCAATCGCTGGCATGTCATCAGCGGTGGGGGATGATTCAAGCTGCCCTCCCCGGCGGACTTGATTAGGTTTGGGATGATTATGAGCATTTTTGTAGATTATCTCAGTTATTTGGCCATCAAGTGAACGCTCTATCTTTTTCTTCACCTGACAACTCGGGTTGGTGCACTTGTAGTAGCTTCTTGGATATTCACTACCTTTCACTTGCTTCTGTCCATACTTTCTCCAACTGTATCCATCTTCGGATGTTCTCCCACCTCCTCCTGTCCCGGTGAAGATGCTTTTCTGGTCTTCCATAGGGTGGTGGATAACATCACCTTTACCATTTAAAGGTCTCCTTTGTATGGATGTTTGGTTTCTAGATGCAACGGAGTGACAAATCTGTGCATCAATGAAGTTGGATAGAACCATACTATTTACTGGTTTCGTATCATTGACTAGATCTCCACTACAGCTATTTACAGTTGCCTCCTTTGAAAACTCTGCAGGAAATTCATAATCCATTGATGCTAAAGCAAGAGCCTGTGAGCCCACATTATATCCCTACAATGAACACAAATAATAATATTAGTCATGAGTCATGACTATGCTCTGAAACATATAGAAAATCTTAATTTTATATGAAGCCACTGCTGTTCACAAAGCCACTTCGAAGCCCAAGAAACAAATGTTTCCTAGCCATAGACCTTAAAGTACAACGCATGCAAAGTTAAGAGCTGCATCTACTGAGTTGAGCAGTAATCATGCATCCAAGTAATCCACTAGCTGCTGCATAGAATTACCAACCACAAGGTGATAGTTTCACCAGAATAAACCTTTCATCTATCACTATGCCGGGAATTCTATGTCAAACAGTTTCAAGACCGAGTCGAATTTCATCACCATGCCTCAAATTCATGACTGACCAGCCTGTTATGCATGCATGAACTCATTCTCAACGTACAGCTAGATCAGAAACAACCTAAGCCTGATCTGTAGGTTTCTTTCTAGGTGGACAGCTAAATGTTATCAGTTTGTCTACACTGTCAACCACCTCATTTATCTAAACTGCTACCATATATCAACAACGTGAGTAACTTGGTCAACACAAACATATGCAAAAGACAGGGAGGGAAAGCATATTGCCTGTTCTTCCCTTTAGACACTCCAAGTTCATATCCAAAGAAAATTGTAATGAATTAGAAGATAGATTTTGCTAATGACTAGAAACAGAAAAACACCCATTGTTAAGGCAATTGAAGCATACGAGTGTCAAGTTAAGAAAAACCTGGTTATTCATATTTGACAATCTTTGTTGGGAGTCATGATCTCCATGATGTTTGAGTCTGAAAGAGGATTCACCACTACCAACTAGGTCCATATCGCCATTGAGTGTCCCACTTTCGTAAGTGAGAAAGGTTGTTGGAAAACTTCCAGTTGTTGGAGAAGGCTGCATTCACAAAAGAAAAGTTGAAAGCAAATGTAACTGTTCTGAGTCCTGTTGTTACTCGCCTTCGTAATGCTAAGAATTCAATGATTAACCAAACAACTGAGGGAGGGAAAACAAGCATTAAAACCCTCCACACGAGTTCAGTCTCTCGTTTTGTTGTCCCAGCCAACATCCCATCCAAATTTCACTATGGAATGAGAGCCCAATAAAACCTATCACTCCAGATGGTGCTTGCTAAGCATCAACTAGCCAGTGAACAATTGAGCATAAAAAACAAACACTCACTATAATGGTTTACAAAAGGTTGAGAAGCTAAAAAAACCCAATCAGGCAAAGGCATAAAGAAACGTCAAATGGCTACCCTCTTCGCTCGAGAGCGAAACCAACTCGAAAACAGCCACCACAGATAATTTTCCCAATTTTATATTTCTTGGATTACAAGTCTGACGCTAAAGTGAAAACCCTCATTCATTCCTCTCAGGTAAAGCTGATTCAGAGAAGAATGGAAATGAAAAGTACAATAGTGGGGTTTCATGGAATCCGATTCAATCCCCGAATGACAGGGGAATACAAATAACCAGAATGACAACAGGGAAAGGAAAGCTGTACCTGCGAATTTGGGAGCAAAACCGGGGAATCAAGAAGGGCGGTGGGGCTAATACCGGCGGGAATGGTAATGCAAGGAGAGTGGGCGGCAGGGGAATCCAAGGGACTGGCGGTGGTGCGGAAGCGGGGAGAATTGATCCTCTCGGCTTTGAAGCCGCATGTGGCAGCCCTCCTCTCGGCAATGCTTCCTCTGCCGGACGAACCGGAGGCGGCGGCGGCGGTTGCAGCAGAAGCATTCGCATCGGCGGCGGCGGTGGGCGGAGGAAACCGCTGGTGGCGGTCCATGGCTGAGACAGGGCAACCGAAAATGGCGAAGAAGCAGAGCTGGGGGTGTGTGAAATGAAAAGGGTTAGCAGGTGGGAATAGAGTGACAATGGAGAAAAAAGGAAAGGGGTTTTCTTTTTTTGTTTGGTTTCTCTGCAGGCAACTATCGCTTTTGTTTCGCCGTTCCCATTTTTTTCCTTCTGTATGTGGTGACAAAGCTGAAACTGAAACTACCAGAGAGAACGCCGGAGAACGGATGGCTATTTGCTATTTGGGAACAGGGGAGCTGCAGATGTGGCTTTCACTTGCACTAAATCTGAATTTTCTCCCATATTTATATAACAGAAAAACATTTCAAAAAAACTCATTTTGAATTTTAAACCTGGAAAATTCATTTTTATGTTAATTAATTTGTTGCTAACTATTGTGCTTTTTGGATTTTGAGCCAGCTCTTATTGGTCGAGCAGATACGACCGTTGAGCTCGATTAAATCTGTTTTCATTTCTCAATATCAATAATAAATACGTTGAAATCTTTAGTTGTTTTGTTGATAGACTTGCCTTAAATGATAATTAGACTTGTCTTTATTCACGAACGGCTGAGATGACGAAGACGTGGAACTCGATTGAATGTATTTCTTTCTCTTGAACTATATCTAGTATCATAACCGACTTCCGTTTCTATCGCTGCTAAGTTCGGATGTTTGGCCTTCATTTTCGTGAAGGGCCTGCCCGTAACATCTTAAAGCCAGCTTACCAAACGCACACCATGGGTGTGCACTAACTCGAGAGATAAATTGCAAACTTAGTGTATCTCGTATTCGGTTTGCCATTATCTATTTCACTATGTCTTTCATTGTTCATCATATTCAACAACAACTTGTCTCTAACATCACGAATACGCCTTTCAATGGTATCATATTGTTTCCTCGGGAAAACCAAATGCCACCGCCGGTGCCGAATTCGTTCCCGGCGATGTTGATTCGATGTTTCGCGGTGGAAACTCTTGCGGTGCCGTTTGATCAAACGCACCGCTGATTGCTGAAATCGAGACGACCGTCAAATATCCGCCACCGAATGTCGGCGTCGTTGATTTGATCGATACACCCTTGACTTCTAATCAAACAACCGTTATTCGGTTCGCACCTCTCCAAACTACGTTCGAACGAGGGTGTTTGAGTTTTTGAGGAATCTACGTTACGACTACTCCTATGGAGATTCCTGTGGAGAGCTCCGCGACTACGACTAAGACTACAACTATGGAGATCCTTCCTGGAAGGAGAGCTCCGCTAAGGAGTTACAGAGAAAAGGTAAAGTTTGAACAGAGTTGATCTGCGTTGATTTTTGGTTGTCCCTTCTCTCTCCTTGCTCCACTGCTTTTATTCGAAAAACTGCTTCGTAGTCTTCACGCTCGGTGGAACCGCTTCCTCAACTGCTCCGTTGTGAACTCCCAAGTGTGTCAGCCGTCTTGCTCTCCTCACCGCTCGGGTTGGTGTGAATGTCACGCGATGTCGTTTTTTACTCCACGACATTGTTTTATATTAAACACTGTCGTTTGCTAAAACAGCGGTACCGTTGGGCTTACTCGCGGTACCGTTTTGAATTAAACGACACCGCCGATATAGCCACAAAATATTAATCCATGGAACCGCCGCAGTCGGCGCTCGCATTGGCCTGGGTGAATTTTGGTCACTTGCCCGATATGATTTTTAATTAATCGGTACCGCTTACCAGCCTCTCGCGGCACTGTTTTTAAATCCGCGGTACCGTTTTAACTCTCCGCGGTACCGCTTTTCTCCATGCGGTACCGATTTTCCCCTTCCACCAAGGAATAAAAATATTAATTAATTATAAACAAAAACTCCTTCCCCGACACCTACACTAAAACGCGCGGCCCACCTCTTACTTCCCGGTAAACGGTGTCGTTTCCAGTGCCGCGGTTCCGCTGAGCCTCCTTGCGGTACCGCTTCTCCCTTTCTGACAAGGAAAAACAATAATTATAAAATAAAACTCCTTCTCCAACACCACGCGCGCAGCCCTCTTTTATTTTCATTAAGCGGTGTCGTTTCCCATGCCGCGGTACCGCAGAGCTTCCTTGCGGTACCGTTTTGCTGTTTCGCGATATCGGTGAGCTTCCTTGCGGCACCGTTTTTCTGATCCGCGGTATCGAATTAAATGCCGAGACTGCGGCATTTAATCCCGGCCAAATTAATTTTAGGTGTCAACACATATATAACAATCCCTTTTGGAGTAAGGATTGTCCTCTTTAGTTTAGTAAGGACTTTCTACATAATCCTCGAGCCCCTTGAAATAAAACGAGGGTCCTTATAATATTAGACATTATAAAGAGGTATCTATACACATGGACTATATACTCTGAGGATATGGTGAAATTGACTCAAGGTAGTGAGGTAAACTTAGATAGTCACTCCACTATCACTCATCATACTTCCATTCCATGGAGCATTAGTCTCCTAGACAAACCATATACACAATCAATAGTAATTGCTCCTATATTTGCTTCATAATTTATAGATATCAATGCACAATACTCGATTTTTTTTTTCTCGCAAAAATTATTTTTTTTGGTGCATACAATCATTAAAACTACAATTTATGAATTTTAAATTTTGGTTTCACCACCACTCGACCAATATTAACATATAAAAGTTTTGTGGTAAAAAATGCATGATGACTTATAGTAAAAAAATTAAATTTGTAAAAAGGAAACGACGCCGCTTGTACGTTACATCTTGCGTTTAGTTTTGCAAGTACGGTGCCGTTTCGAGGCTGAAAAATAACAGGGATAGGAAGTAAAAAGAAAAGGTGCGACAGCGAGAAAGGTAAGAAAAAGGAGAGGAGAGGGGCAGGCGGTCGGCGGCTCGGCGCACAGAATTTGAAAGGGGAAGGTCGAGGAGGAGGCAGAAGGGAATCTGCTGGGTTTTGTCCTCGCCGTCGCCGCCTCACAGTCTCCACTGTCCAGCTACCACCGCCGTCTCAACAATTGTCAGGGGTGTACAGCTGCCGCCGCCGCCATTGTGGAGCAAAGCTTCACCATTGTCGGGGAACGGGCTGAGAGAAGATATCCGAAGGAGAGGAAGGAATCGGGAGATCGAGGCCTCGATTGTAATCTCACCGTCGCCGCCGCTTTCAGCTACCGCTGAAATCATCTCCTCATTACCGGTCCACCGTTACTGCTGCCTTCTCGTGATTGTCCTTGCGGAACTGCCAGACCGTCCACTCCCGTTTGGAACCAGAAGAGGCCAAGTGAAGTTGCTGAGCTTCTTCCACTAAAGAAAAGGAACGGGAAGTTGTCGAGCTTCAAACCTGGCTGAAGTCGGAGATGCTGCCTCTGGTTTTGCCCCAGGTTCTCAAGGTTTAGGTGTGTTTCTAGCCTCTAGTTTCGTTGCAAATCCCAGTCAACAGCTCGGTACCTGCTGGCTTTCCGTTTAATTTTCTATTGAAATCTAGGAAGAAAAGCTTGTGGCGAGAATCTGTTTACAATCGTGATATAGAATGATTTTGGTGATATTCAGTTTAAAATTGTGTAGCTCGTGCGAGTGGCTCACATTACTCAATCTCGGTGCTTGTGTAGTTCACGGTGACAACTTTGGTGGGAAAAGAATGAGGAAGCTTACACAGAGACGAGCGGTTGATTACACAAGTACCGCTGTCCGGTATATGCAGGTAATGCCTTCTGCTTCTGTTTCTGCATTGCTGTGCTTTAACAATCTCTGCAGTCCTGTGATGTCAAGTTTTTGAGTGAATGTTAAGGACTTCAGTAAAAGGCATTGTCTAGTCACTTGGCATCTGTTGACCGTTTTGTTGATTGCGATGAATTGATGGAGGCTTTCCTTGAGACTTCAATGGAACTGTTTGATAGAACCTTTAGGAATATCATTATGCAATTTTTTTCCCCTTTTATTCTAGCAACAGGTTTTATAGATTCTCATCTTGCTCTATCCAAAGTTACGGAGCGAATTTATACTGAATGGGTTGTATGTCTTGCAATTCTTCATTTTGTTATTCGTCATTTTACTTCACAACGGTTTTCTTTTTCAGACCCAGATGTGGCAGCGGGATTGTAGGGATAGGACAGGATTGCAATCTACCCCTGCAGCAGCAATTGATGTGAGTAATGTTGTTTTGTGTGTATTAGACATGTTTGTCTTGTTCGTGATATGAATTTATTAATCTGTTTCCTTGGTTCATTTGACAGATGTTACCAACAGTTGCATATTCTGATAATCCATCAACAAGCTTCACTGCAAAGTTTGTTCATACATCTCTTAACAAGAACCGCTGTTCTATCAATTGCGTTTTGGTAAGTCAATAAGCATAACATACTAGAGCACGTTAATTCTGTTATATATTCTGAACTGTAAATTGTTATTATGTTATAACAATCATATTCTTTCAGTGAAACTAGACATGTCATATTATAGTAAATTTTCGCGATTCCCCTGGATTTCCATGACTTTTGTAACTAGATTAACCTATCCAAATATATGCACCTTGTGTATATCAATCATAGTAGGATCCTAATGGCAAACATCTAATTCAGAAAGTGAAATTTACTGTTTTTAAGCTGAGGGAGTAAGGGGCTTAGAGCATTGTGGTTGAGTTTGTGCTATCTCAAAATTTCTTACCCTTTTATTCATCCATAGTGGACTCCTAATGGCAGACGTCTCATTACCGGATCTCAAAGTGGGGAGTTCACTCTGTGGAACGGACAATCATTCAACTTTGAAATGATACTCCAGGTAAATATTTGGTTCATTTCAACATTTAATGTATATTAAGCAATCATTACCGATGGATCCAAGTTCTCTAATGATAAGGCTTTGTTCAAATGTAGGCCCATGACCAAGCAATCAGGTCTATGGTATGGAGTCACAACGACAACTGGATGGTCTCTGGTGACGATGGAGGGGCCATTAAGTAATATGTTCCTCTCTTCCTTTTACTTGGTTAACATTTCTTATTTGGGCTGGTAAAAAGGATCGGTAGTAACAATCTGTTGCATGTCATCTGACACTACATTGGTCCTTCATTAGGTATTGGCAAAGCAATATGAATAATGTAAAGGCTAACAAATCCGCTCATAAGGAATCAGTTCGTGACTTAAGGTGAATAGTTTTTCTTCACACTCAGTTTTCTTCGCAACTCCTGTTATTAATTATTATTCTAACTTCTGAAGTACATACTTGGACAGTTTCTGTAGGACCGATTTGAAGTTCTGTTCTTGCTCTGACGATACCACTGTTAAAGTGTGGGACTTTGCTCGGTGCCAAGAAGAGCGATCATTAACTGGTAATGTATTTTCTGTCTTCAGATCTTACAATAGTAACTTTTTTACCCTTGTATGTTATAGTTGTGAGTCCATATTCATGTTTCAATTGCTCAAGATGAAATGTATCAGAGCTTTATGAAGCAATCTAGTCTTTTGAGTATATGTTTTTTTTTTTCATCTGCACATTCGTCTTGGCCTTTACCTATATTGTGCAATTCTGTTTTTCAGTTCCTCAACTGAATGCTATCTCATTCGATTCTATGTGTTATGCATTATCTTGAAAATAATAATAGAGTTCTCATCGTACCATTTTGAACTTTGGGCAGGCCATGGTTGGGATGTGAAGAGTGTTGATTGGCACCCTACAAAATCCTTGCTAGTTTCAGGTTTGATGATGCATGTTTTGCATACATGAGGTTTCTACTTTGTCTTCTTATTAATTACACTTTGTAATTGTTTTTCAAGGTGGGAAAGACAATCTTGTAAAGCTTTGGGATGCTAAAAGTGGGAAAGAGCTTAGTTCATTGTGAGTGTCCTGCTATGATGATGAGTAAGTATCCCATGGTTTGTTTTCTGGAGCTTATAATTAGCTTGAGAATCCTGTATTTGCAGTCATGGTCACAAAAATACAGTACTTTGTGTGAAGTGGAACCAAAACGGGAACTGGGTGCTAACTGCTGGAAAGGATCAAATTATCAAGGTTCAGAGTTTGTCTCTCACCAATCTTCTCAAACCTTTGAGCGTGATTGTTAATATCTGGTTTCTTGTCTTGCTCCTTGTTTCCTAACAAAATTTAGCCTGAATTTGCAGCTTTATGATATAAGAGCTATGAAGGAGCTGGAATCTTTCCGTGGACATAGGAAAGATGTGACTGGTTAGTAGAATTATGTAACTTTCTGGAATGATATATGGGAAAGTTTTGGTCAATCAGGACGGTGAAAAGCAAAAATGTAGAAAGCTGCAACCTGAATCTATTTGTTTGAGTATGAACTATGAACCCCGATTATGCATGAATGGTAAAAAATCTTTCCACCAATTAAAGCGAGAACCGACTTGAAGTTGTACAATTTTGAATTAAACATGACCTTGACTTGCTTAACCAAAAACGTGTGTAGCTGTGATCAAAAGAAACTTGACTGTTCTGTCTGCGATTTGTTTCTTATGTAGCATGTATGGCACATGTATAATGAACAGCAGCTTGGATTCCTATATATCTCATTTCGTTCAAGTTTTGTTGATTTACAGTGTGGAAACCTTCATCCCTTAATAATCTTGACTACGTATTTATATAATCTCTTCATGTTCTTAGCATTGGCATGGCACCCATTCCATGAAGAGTACTTTGTCAGCGGGAGCTTTGATGGTTCTATGTTCCACTGGCTTGTCGGGTGAGCCTCATGCTTTCTCAGAAATTCACTTCTTTAGCTCCGTGTTTATTACCTACATTTAGTGTGTGAATTACTGCATTCAGTTGCAATAATTGGTCATATTATGAATATTAACGAGCCGGATGAAAGAATAAAGTAGACGCTGCACGAATATTACTTAGTGACGATCCTTCTTGCTTTAGTTGTCTGTTCAGAACTCAGTGGTAACGTGTTTGTCGTGCTGTGCAGACATGAGACCCCACAGATTGAAGTTCCTACAGCTCATGATAATAGTGTATGGGACCTTGCATGGCATCCTATTGGATATTTGCTTTGCAGGTAAGCTACTGAGTTGGTCATTTCTTTTCATTCAGTTGTTACTCTGACGTAAATGTCCACTGCAGCTTGACAATATTTTCTTCATAGCCTAGATTTGTATTTCTATACCTATTTCCCAATATACTGTAAACTTGACTCTGAAAATCCTCGAGGATGGCTTGATTTTTAAAGTGCCTTTAAACTTTAATTTTGGTTTTAGACTTTGCTGATTCCTGTTTAAAAATCACTAGTTGTTAGGTGCTCCCCATGATACTGTTACTAATTGTGGACAATTCTTCTGCAGTGGTAGCAATGATCACACCACGAAGTTTTGGTGCAGAAATAGGCCAGGGGATACTGCAAGGGACAAATTTAACATGAATCAGAATCAAGGTTATACTTCTGCTGACCGGATTGTTATAACATAGGATTGATGATTTTGAAATCTAGCCAATAATCGATGCTGAAGATTGCTTTGCATTTTGCCAGGTTATGGCGAGCACAACACCAATCTTGGAGGTCGCTTACCTGGCAATTTCCCAGTTTTCGACCAACCTTCGGGTCCAGGAGGACCTTTTGTACCTGGATTGACCCGAAACGAAGGGACCATTCCTGGCGTAGGAGCTGCAATGCCTTTGTCTCTCGATTCCCCGCTACATGGAGATCAGTCGCACTCTCTGCCACTATCCATGACTTTAGGAGCTCCTCCTCTTCCTCCGGGCCCTCATCCCTCCCTGCTTAACCCCAACCAGCAGCAGCATAGATATCAACAAAACTCTCAACAACAGCAAATGCCCCCATTACCTATGCCACCTCCAAATATGCAGCAGCTACAACCTCCACCCCATCTCCCCCTACTTCCACACCCTCATCTACCCCGCCCCCCGCAAATGCCCCCTCATGGCATGTCGGGATCGTTGTCTAATCCTTCAATGCCCGGGCCACTCCCGCCTATGCCTGGCCAAAGGGTAATCATTCAGTTACGCAGTTTCTTCACATGTCGATGCGAGCTTCTTCCTTTTTTGTCTTCAGGAACTATGAAACCCTACCATATGCTTGTGGAATCGATCGAACCCTAACGTTCTGAATGTCTCGTGCCAGATGGTCCCTCCACCAATGCCACAAGGCCCCTTCATGGGGATGAACCCTATGCACTCGGGTTCCATGCCCTCGAACGGTAGCCCTCAAGTTGGTGGCTTCCCAAATGGCATGGCGAGTATGCAGGGCCAGTCGAATGCAACCGGAGGCCAAATGTATCCACAAGGCAGTCCGTTTAATCGACCACAAGGTGGGCAGATGCCGATGATGCCAGGCTACAATCCGTATCAGGTAAGTGCAGTTCGATTCGAATCGAGATTCGTTCAGCCTTAACGCAGTAGCGTAAACTGTTTAAACAGTTAATGTGGTTTGCTTATTTGTGTATTTGCAGTCTGGCAACCAATCCGGCGGTATGCCGCCGCCACTGCCACCTGGTCCGCCGCCACACTCCCAGAACCCTCAGTAGCCATTCTCGTTGCATAATAATATGCTTTTGTCCTGTGGAGGATGAAGCAAAGCGAGCCAGGTCTTGGAGCAAGGTGTCACGTTTGGATGAACGTGAATTGAATTTTGGAAATTAGTGAAAATTTGAATCTATGGAATTAGAATTGTTGGGATCATTATAATGTCGTTTGTGTTTTGATAAATTGATAAATCCCACCTCGACGAGAGATTTGAGATTAGGAATTGCGTGCTAGAGATTCTGGAATTCTTGAATTCCATGAATTCAAACGTCCTCATATGAACTGCTTTGCTTATCATTTCCTCTTCAGAGAAACAGGGGGGAAAAACAATGTGATCACCACTGACAGATGTCACTCCCTGGTTTCCTCTGGATCCCACGTGTCAACTTCACCTTCCACCTGGAGCTCCCACAGTCTCCCTCTGCCACTCCCTTCTGACTTCTGTTTCTTCTTTTACTTCTATCCATCCAAATGCTGATGTCACCTTTTATTCCCCCGTTTCTCCCCATTCAGTAACCAGTCAGCCATGGCGGAGAAGGAAGAAGAACAACAACAACAAAGCTACTACTACTACCACCTGGAAATCCCAGAACCAAATTGGCTCGCAAAACTACTCGAACTCCAATCGGAAATCATCTACAACTGCTTAGTCGCCATTTTCTCCCCTTTCCTAACTCTGTCCGCCATTGCCTCCGACTCCTACCGCCGGGCAGAGCTCACAGCCTCCGCCGCCGAATCAGCCCTCCTCGCCGCCCCTCGCAAGCTCACTCGCACCACCACCGCGATGATGACGAAGATCGGGCTAGGGATTCTCGGTGCGGTGCATGTGTGTGTTGTGCTCACCATGGTAATGGCGTTGTCTGTGGTTTTGGGAGTTGGCCTGGTGCGAATGTGGGCAGAGGAGCCTGTTTTCTCGACGCACAAGCTTCTCTTTGATTACACCAATCCGAATCCTAGCGCCATTGTTCACTTGGGCAACAAGATGCCCATTGTGGGTCTAGCCACTACTGTCATCCCTGTTGGTCATACTTTTCATGTCTCCCTCGTGCTTCTCTTGCCGGAATCCGATTACAATCGACACATTGGCGTCTTTCAGGTAAGCAAGTAATCTGTTCGTTCTACTAATTCGAGTTGTTGGAAAAAGGTTCATGTTTGATCGTTTTCTTGCATGCGCATCGATGAAAGCCAGAGTCTTGAACTTGGAAGTTTGTACAGACCTGGATCGTGTAATACCGTAGCATTTCTCACCCAATTTCAATTTCTCATAATTCGACATTTTCGAAAATGGTTTCCGATTCAGTTGAGTGCCGAGGTTTTGACGGCCGGCGGGGAAGTGACGGCGAGATCGAGCCGGCCCTGTATGCTAAAATTCAGAAGCTTACCAGTGCGTCTGGCTCGAACATTCATGATGGCGATCCCTTTGCTGTTGGGAATCTCCGATGAAACCCAGAAGATCTCCGTCGAGCTCCTAAAACAAAAGGAAGCTTACTATCCAAGAACAGGGGCGATCAAAGTGACATTGAGTCCCAGAGCAGGGACTTCGTACCTTCCGCAGCTCTACGAGGCCGAAATGGTGATCAAATCCAAACTCCCATGGTCCAAGGAAGTGATCCGCCGATGGAGATGGACTTTCTACGTGTGGACATCGCTGTACATCTACGTTTCATCGGTCATCATTCTCGCCACTTGCTTTCGCCCGCTTCTGTTTCCTGTGCCGACTCTGTTTCTCCGACGCAGAACAGGGGAAGAAGCTGCAGGTGGCAATGGTGGTGGAGAATTGGAAGCAGAGGGAGATGCGACGACGTCGGACATGGTGAGGAAATGGCAGGTGCGCCGGAGGAAGAGGAAGGCGTCGAGCTTCTTGTACGGAGAGACTACTACCACAACTACGTCGGTTTCTAGTATGACTATGAGCAGTAGAGATGACGCGAGCAGTAGTGTTGTTGAAGAAGAGATTGGGGATTCTGAATCTGTTTGTTTTAGCGGTTAAATCAACGCTCTGTTGCTATTCTGTCTTCCTCTTCCTGTTTTCCGGTGGCTGACCGTTTATTGGTTTCCCGGTTAACCGGAAACCGGTATAAAGTGGAAGCAATTCACCCTATATGAAACTTACGGTCTATAAGGAACGATCATTGAGCTTCAGTCAGATTTGCAGCTTCTGGTTAACCATTAGAAGCTTATGGTTTCATGTATTGCAGCCAGTAGCGATTCCTCAGTTCGATTCAACGAGCGAAACCAGTTGGCCACACCTAGAATTAGAATCTGATAGCGAGTAGAGCATCACAAGTAGCAAATCATTCCATTCATATCCACTGACATGGTTACTTGCTCAACTGAACACTAAACCGCGGCGAAAACTGGTTTCGATTGATTTCGGCTCTCAAGGGTTTCACAACTGAACCTTGTGAGATTCAATCACAAAAAGGAAAGCAGAAATCTAGAGCTATAACACATTGACACTAAAGAATGTTGCAGCAGAGAAAACATCATCACACACTTACTTGCCACCTGAACTGGAAACCAGAAGATCATATAGAGATGTTTTGAGTACTACGAAAGACACCTTCATCAGAGATCTTCTTCTTCTTCTTCTTCTTCTTCTTCTTCTTCTTCTTCTTCAGACGGACAACTCGGATTTAGAGACGAGGATACCATCAGTATCGGCATAGAGCCAATCGCCATCCGAGATCCGAGTCCCAGCAAACGAGACAGGAACATGCTTCTCCCCAATGCCCTTCTTATTAGCCTTCATGGGATGAGAAGCCAGAGATCTGACACCAATGTCACACCCGTTGATCTCATCGACGTCGCGAATGCAGCCGTTCACCACGATCCCAGCCCAGCCATTGTTCTGAGCTTGAACCACCGGGTTCCCACCGAGTATGGCGCACCTCAAGCTGCCACCACCGTCCACCACGAGGACCCTGCCGTTGCCTTTCTCCTCGAGGAATTCGCGGATCAGGACGTTGTCCTCGAACACCTTGAGGGTCACGACGGGACCGCTGAACACCTGGCGACGCCCGTATATCTGGAAGATGGGCTGCAGTGCTCTCAGCTCGCCGCTCACGATTAGCTGCGGGTTTGCATCGCAGACCTCAGCGGTTGTCACCAGTGCCATCTGTTCAAACCAAAAGGCAGCATGAGCATCATCATCATACTAGATGCAGAAGCATAAGTGAGTGATTGAATTTACAGAACATCAATAGCCTACTTATTGAGATGGGTAAAGTGTAAAAACGGAGGCTTTTAAGTGCTTGTGGCTGCGTTGATGCCAGATTTCAAAAATTCGATTGGGTTTTTATTTGAGATTAGATGGGAGGTGGGCAATCCCTAAAATCAAGAAGATCATGAAACAAGGGATGAGTGTAAATGTAAGGAAAATCTTCGAACCCATTGCAAAATTGAAATTTTTACAAACCCTGAGGGAGAAGGAGTAATGAAGTGGTCAGAGATTCGATTCAATTATACATCATACAAGTGATCAGATCCATTGGAATAAACCATAAACCAGAGGGCAGAGGAATGAACTAGAGGAGATTCCCTTTTTACAGTTTTCATTTCCACCATCGTTATTCTCCCAGATTGATTCAGTGAGTCTGCGATTTGGGTTCATCAAGAGAGAAGGAAAAAGTATCCGATTTGGGTGAAATGAACATCAGTTAAGACGAGGAAACGAGAGGAAGACCAATCTGGGGAAGAAACAGAGAGAGCGGAAGGAGGAAGACGAAGAAACATACCAGCAATTTGACGAAGGATTCGGAAGACGAAGAAGGAAGAAGTAGGCGCTGGAGACCACGGAATCCCGATCGCCTTCTTCAGAGTGTAGATTTTATTTGAGCGTCGGAAACAGAATGCTTGCCTCTGTTGATCGATTGACAGGGACGACGAAGTGATAAGAGTTGTTAACTTATTGTTATGTATCCAGTGAAAGAGTGGGAAATGAAAGGGGAATCTGACTTTTTGTGGGTCGGAGTCGGACTTTTTCACTGCGGTGAGGTGTAAAGAAAGGTTGTTGCTTTCTTCCTTTTTACAGCCTTTTGTTTCACTATTTTATGAAAGTAACATTACCGGCAAAGGACGAGGGTAACTATTAAATATTTAGTTTGATATTCTTCTTTTTTTTTTTCCTCCTCCGGATTCGAGTTATAAAATTGGATAATTAATTGATGAAATTTAAATTTGTATCCAAAATCTAAATACGAGGGAAAATAAGTTTTAGTGTACGAACTCGTCAATATTGGAACATATCATTACTAGTTATATGGGAATGTCTTGACATGGAGTCATGGAGCACGATATGTTGGTAAAATATGACGACATACTATTGGATGATGAGACTCCGGTACATACCAATAAAAGAAAACGCAGTGTAGCATGGGGTGAGTGAAAACATAACTCTATTTCTCAAGTAAAACAAGTCGGTTGTTGTAAAAACATGCCGCAAAATCATGATCCTCCTTAAAAGTAATCAATGACGTATTGACGTTAAGAAACACAACCTCAATTAGACAGACTTCATTTATATACCATCGTGAGACAAATTTCATATGCTCTAATATGATTTATGAAATTTGAATTAACAATACGATACTAACACAAGAAACCACATTTAAAAAAAAAAAAACTTATGTAAAAAATCTAGATATTGAGACTAATTAGTTACTGACATCTACACAAGCCTAAAAGACAAAAAGAAAAAGAGCAACATGAAAGAGTTATTAAATGGGATTATGGGAATCAGAGAGTAATCAACCTTTTCTCATTGGAGTGTGGAAGAAGTGTGATGAGATCCCAAATGACAGGTGTGATCAAAAGTTAGATAAAAGATCAACTTTAACAAGATGTTTTAAGAAAAGAACTCAGATCCATATATTAAACCTACAGTAATACAAAGCATAATAAGTACCCTTTTAACTCAATTAACAATACATTAAGCTCCATCATGACCATCAACGAATCATATCACATGAGTCCTAGAGTCATTAAAGCCACCAACTCCTAGAGTAGAAAAAAAAAGTCCCACACAAAATCAAGTACACCAACTGAGATCCTGCCAGACTTATTGGTATAATGAAACTTGCAAATCTGGGTCGAAAATTTTGAAGCTAAACCTTAAAACTCAAACTAGACATGGCCCCCTCAAAATCTCTCTCATTCAAGCTTGTGAATTTTCATGTCAGCTGCATCCTTGAGCGTTCCCTTCTCCACCTGATCCCACCACTTGAACAAGAAGTTGTCCACAACTAGCCTGAACCATGGGGACAGTTTCAAGCCTCCCTCGCCTGCATCTGCTTTCCTCAACAGTTCTCGCAGCTCCTCCCGGTTCACGTACTTGATTTCCGCCACCTCGTCTGGGTTTGGGTTCACGTTCACGTCACGAACAATGAAGAGCAGGTAATCAACTGCAAAGGAGAAAAGGAAGGAAAAAAAGACTCCTGCAATCAGCATAAGGTAAAATGTAAACAGAAACATCAGGAGAGTAGTAAGTCGAACTGAAGAAAATTTTACGTTCGTGCTCTCCCCACTTCCCATCAGAAGGGGCCTTGTACAGCATTCGTCCCAGGGGCATGAATTGATCTACCGGCACATCCTCAGCAGGAATACCGAGTTCATCCAGAAGCTTCCTTTGGGCAGCATTCCTCACACCTAAAAAAGGGGGAATTTGTAGAGTGAGACATGATCATACAGTTCTTTTATTACATGCTGATGAAAGTATGGACCACTGTGATTAGTAACTGGATACTAAACATTTACATACCAAGAGATTCTTCATCCACGAGCTCGGACTCTCGATGCAAAGGATGGCTGCAACAAGTGTTTGTCCAAACAAGGGGGAAAGTCACCTTTGTTGCCGATCGTTGCTGTCAAGTTGGAAAGAGAACAAAGACATCACTTTCCATGTCCGACCAATCCCACACATGCGTGTATGTTTACCAATTGAGCGCTTTCCCCACTTAGTTGATTCAATCCTATATTTTATCTACTAATGGTGGACAAATTAGCTTAGACTACTAAATCATGTGTTGACTGCCGCAACTGTAGATCTAACAGAGTTACTCAAGAGCATAGTTATTAACAAACCATATTTTACTGGACAGTGATTGTTGTAAAGTGCAATATGTATGGCTAATGAAATACACCCTGAGTAATTTGAGCCTGGCTAGGGGGAAAAGTGATAAGGTATGCTTTAGCACGCTTTCAGGTGCAGAAAACATAGCCTGAGGCCTGAATGAGCTCTCTAGCCCTGAGCACACCAACTAATTATATAGCATATATGCCATGAACTTCTTTATAGTAAGACTATCGCCTACTGCTATTCTATTCCAATATCTAAAACTTCAAAGTACAGTATGAAACAGAACTCACAACTAAAACCCTTAAAGTAGCCATGCTTATGCATATGGCGGGGCATATGTGTCTACTTGTTTTCGAACGTAACAGAAGTTCTCCACTGCACACCCCAATGAGCATAAGCCCCATAGCACCGCATAGGACTTCAGCCACCTCATGCATCCGATGACTACAGACTTCATATTGGTCTTGCTTATTGTTGCCACTCGACTCAAGCAGATGCATAGAGGATTAACAAATAAAACTTCCAGGGCTCAATTTCACAATAGCAATCCAATGAAACTGATTATATCCTTATTGATCTCAGCCTCCCAAGCAGTTTCTCAGTCTATATATTTGTTCTGATGGTTATGCACTAGCACTCATCGAAATAGTTTGTCATGAGCTACATTTAAGCTTGCTGCCCAGACCAGCATTAGAAGGGTAACCACGAACTACAAGAGTACTTAAATTTGCAGGGAGTCAAAGACAAGACAATATACTTTTAAGCATGTCAAAGGAATGAGAGTATACCTGAAGGAGCAGCTCATACTTAGAGTTGAACAGAAACACACTAAAAGCTCTGTGCAATGCATTGCCCTTCTCGATATTTTCCCACAAATGACCTGCAAATTCGGTAGCAAAACAAATTATCCCCCACACTTCTGGCCAAGGCTTGCATAATGTAAGTATTTCATTACACATAGAAATATCAGATCAAGGAATCAACAGATCCAAGTATCCAACACAACCGGTCTATATCTACCCTCTTCGGACTAGAATTGACAAACCATAAACAAACAAAAACATTGGATTCCAAATACTACATGCTTCACTCAAACGCACAACTTCAAGAAATCACTCTCATCATTCAACTTCCAAACAGTAAGAACCAACCAAGCTCTTGACAGTATCAAGGAACGATCTTTCACTTACAGTTATACTTGGAATCATGTCCCACGACCTTATCATCCTCATTCACCAAAATGCACCTGCAAAACAATTGTAAGGAGCCAAAAGGCATCAGAACTAGATAGAGGAGAGCTTCATCAGAAAGCCATACAGAGTTCCGTGCAATTGTCTCTCAACCAAAATCGTAAAGCGCCAGAAGGCTGGCTCAAAACGACCTGAATTCAAGTAAAGAGTACAGGCAAAGCACGCAAGCTAACAAAAGCCACTCAATTGAATCCAAAGATATGTATAGAACACTAAAACGAACTGAAGTCAAAACAGGAACCAACATATAAACCTGGAAATCCGACTCAGAGAACTAAAAGAAGAATATCTAAAGCAAACCCTCCGTGAGTTAGTTATCCAAGATTCGAACTTTGACTAAGCTTTGTCCATAAAGTAGTGACAGGGAGAGTAAAAGGATTTCCAATCAGAGCAAATGGGAAGTTCGTAAGCCGAAAAAGAAAAGAGGGGAAACGTACTCGTCTTCAAACATGAGACGTCGCTGGACAGCGTCCATGCCAGCATCGGGAGCGTCACCCATGGCGGTGGTTGCGCCGGCGGCGGAGGAAGAAAAGGCCCTTTGGAGAATCGCAGAGCGAGTGGATCGGAAGATGAGGGACGCCGAAGGAAAGAATCGTGAATTCCGAGGGAAGGAAGAAGAAGAAGAAGAAGAAGAAGAAGAAGAAGAGGAGGAGGAGAAGGGGAGTGATGCAGAAAGGCGGATGGTGGTGGGTATGTAAAGGAACCGGCGAGTCCATACTGACATTTTTTTTGGTTTGATCTGATTTTTTTTTTTTTTTTGCCCTTGGTTTTTTGGCAGCTAATTGATGTCCCTTTAACAATTTCAATTCGATCCTCTGTAATATGTTCGATTCCACGAACGATATAACTAATAAGTCGGTATTTGCCACCAACCGACATTTCGCCAATCTGCAGTGAGCAGTAGGGGTGGGCATTGGGTGGGTCGGGTGGATTTTGACCATAAAATGCACCCACCCGCGTTTAAACGGATTGATAATTTTTAACCCACCACCCACCCACATTTAGCCTCGGGTTGGGTTGGGCGGATGGTGGATGATTTGGGTGGGTTTGTGGGTTCACCCACATCACAATGTATATAATATAAAGGAGTCAACTTGACATGATAATAGGCGAAGAGAGTTATATGGGGAAACAAGAAGATGAAATAGGGTGAAAAATGTCGAATTAGTTCTTAAAATGTTTAGAAATTCTATGATGAAAGAGTTTTCTACAGATTGAGATGATTATCAGGTGCAAGAAACTAAGAAAAATAATTCCAGAAAGGAAAGAGCAGTGATCTAGGCACAAGAATTAGAGAAAAAAAATAAAAGGAAGAAGAGGGGATCGCTATTTGGAAGGTTGGTTTTGAGGTTCAAACTCCAGGAGCAGTCCTAGTTTATGTCTAACGTCTCCACTCTCCCCTCTCTAGCGCCGACGACTTTGATCTTTTTGCTGTTGGGTTGAGCGGGTCACCCGCGCACCCACCCACAACTCACCCACCACCCGGCGGATGGCTCCCAGCGCAACCCGTCACCCACCCATAGACCCACCCACTTAACGAAATTCGGGTCAAATGCGGGTGGGTCGGCCCAAACCCGCGGATGATCCGCCCGCATGCCCAGCCCTAGTGAGCAGCATACTTCTGATTGTTTTTCTTACATATTATCCGTGTTTACGTTTTTACAGGCAAATTAATCATGTGATTTAGTTTTCGGATAAACTTACACTGTAAAGTATTTTAAACATTGTTCGAATTAATGCAAGCTTGTATTTCATTTGGTAAACCCTATTTGAAAGCGCTTCATTCTTTTAGTTTTAAACAAAAAGATCTATCGACCAAGTCTCACATGCCTTTGCAATTTTGTACCACGAAAAGTTGTTATAGCTCTATCGTATCCACAGACTGTCATAATTTTCACAAATATTTAATCTTTAGTGGAAGTATTTTGTCCAAAAATCAATAACTAAGGCGCAACACTTTGGACTATTAATTATCACGTTGAAAATGCACTTATAAATTAATTATAGTATTTGACATTATATTCTTACAACATTATCGTTTATTTATAATAATAATGTACAACTAGTAGATTCACGTATGATGACTGTTGTCTATAAGAATAATTAGGTCTTATTGCCCACGCTTTGTGTCAGGATGGTTGTAATAATTTAGCTAATCCAAAAAAACATTTACATTTAGAGTCAACATTGCCTTGTTTTAATCGAGATGGCGAAGAAAGTATCTAAGTTTGAACCGGATGCCATTGAGGTGAGATTTGTGAGTGAAGTCAAAATCGCGCACAAAGGCCAACATTGGTTTGGTTAAATAAATTTCAAATGAGAAGAACGAATTTAAAATTGACTTCAAAAGCCATGATTGAATACTTACCACTTACCAGCCAAAAATATTTTGATCTTGATCAAATTCCATCAACTTTGTGGAATGGAACAGGCAGGAAAGATCAATAGAACAGAACAAAGAGGTTGTCTCCCTATTAGGTAATGCAGAATACTTGAAACTAATAGATAGACACTCCCCAGGTGCTCAACTTTGATTCTCTTGTGTTGGGCCAACGTTGTATGTTGGCTTCCAAGAATCCATGGTTAAACTTTAACCAAATGAAACGACCAAAGCCTGCAATTTGGCTGACAAAACAACAACTTCTAGTTATATATTGCTTGGACTCCCATCGATCAAAACTTGCCCTCTAAAGTCCAGAATTAAACGCAGACGATGTCATATACATATGGTGAGTACAGAAGAGAATCTGTCATTGTGGCAAAACACAGGCGGGCAGTTCCTGTTAGAAATGGAACAACAACAAGATGAGGATACCGAATCTGGAGCTGAGTCGCGGACTAGGTCGCTCTCTTTAAGACGTTCGCGGCACTGCCTTCGATGCGCACGGCAGACTATCAACCGGTCGTCTCCAGGATAAAACAGCCACTCTTATTTTTGTTGCTCATCGATTTTGTGCGAAAACCGGAGCTCTATGAACTCACTCTCTATCTCGTGTTTCTGCTCTCTGAGGTGTATTTAGAGGGTCTAGGGGTCTGCTATTTATAGGAGCAGAAAACCTAGAATATTCCCTCTTTCTTTGGGAATAAGCCACATTTTAATTAGGAAGATAATTACTTCCATAATTAAAATATATTATATTATATTAAAATAATTAATCCTAATTATCTCCATAATATTCTTTTTATTAACTATCCTTCCTATTTTCGTATCTAGAAAGAATACGGGATAATTAATTCAATATAGCTTTCAAAGCTATTCATTCCCAACAGTTCCATTGTTATTCCTTGTGTTGTGTTATACCTGAATTAATTGACAGTAAATTACTATCAGCAAACCTAGATTCTTTCAGCTAAGCTGGAAAATAGCATGCGGAGAGTCACTGCTTTAAGTACAAAATCCTTATTACCTATTGCCGAACAAAAGATTGCTGCATAGCATGTAGATTGTGGTTTACGCCAAAATGCAGAATGGACAGTGAGAAACTATCAAATTCTAGACAGCAAGAGAATTATAATCAGATTGGGACACTAATGTTGTAAACTGCTCTTAAGTTCCTCTACGCCTAAAAGGGTGAATTGCAAACTTGGTCACTCATATTACTCATTTATAACACTTTAGCCACCCGAATTAAAAATCATTCAAGTTAGCCACTGATATTACATGTTTATGTCATATTTGGTCACTCGCCGTCTAGTTCCGTTAAGTCTGTCCTACGTGGCAGTCAACAAATAGGTTTGACCGTTAAAATGCTGATGTGGCCATTAAAAGTAATTAATTGATGAAGTTTAAATTTTATATTCTAATACAGCTCACAATTTTCAATTATAATATTATTTATGATAAGAAGTTAACTATTCCCCACCTTATTCCCAACTCCCCAGTTCCCCCAATTCCCCCATCTCTGTTTCCACAGACCCACGATTCCATCCCAAACCATTCCGCCCATCACCCCTGCAAACCGTAACTCCTCCCGCCACCTTCGAGAATTGTAATCTCCGCTGCTTATTGTCCCCCGCGGCGTTCCCGGCCAGTTCCGAAACCTGAAGAACCAATAAAATCACCAAAACACGACGGTTGGTTTCTAGATCTGGGAGTTTTCAGCGATTCGATTAAGAAAGGGAGTGAGCGCATCGACACTCGCAGGCACCGCGTCGACCCCGGCAACCGAAATCTTCTTCTCTAAGAGCTGGATTTGGAGCTTCAACGACGAAATTTCGCTCAACAGGGACTCCTGCTCGCGAAGCCACCTCTGCTCTTCCCGGAGCCACTGATTCTCCTCAGGCAGCCCCCGCTGCTCTTCGTGGAGCCAGAGAAGCTCCTCCTTGTCAATGCAACTGTGAATTGGAGCTGGGACCCCATCGATTGCACCTTCTGTTCGTCGTCGTTGGGTTTAATTCGGCGGGACGATTGGGAGGATTGTGGTTTTGCGATGGAAGGCTTGGAGCAGCGGTGGTGGGGATTTTGCGGGGGAAAGAGGATTGGTTGATTTTGCGGCGGGATGCTTGGGTTCGTGGGTTTCAGGGGGCATGGAGGCAGCGGGAGGGGAGGGCGACGAAGTGCAACGGCGGAGAGGGGAGGGCGATGCCGGTGGGCTCGCTTTATTAATATTTTATATTGATCAGTTTTTTTATGAAAATAAATATTTATTAGAATTTAGTATGATGTGGAAATAAAAATAAATTTTTTTTATTATTTTTAATGGCCACGTCAGCATTTTAACGGTCAAATTTATTTGTTGACTGCCACGTAGGACAGACTTAACGGAACTAGACGTAGAGTGACCAAATATGTTATAAACGTGTAGTATCGGTGGCTAAGTTGAATGGTTTTTGATTCGGGTGGCTAAAGTGTTATAAATGAGTAATATGAGTGACCAAGTATGCAATTCACCCACCCCTAAAATGTCACAACCAATATCATTGTTGAAATTACCAACAGGGTGTCAAGAACCAGTTGGTCCCAATAACTCGATTTGTTGAAAGATGTTCAATCGTGGATCATATACCACAACACTAACACGCCCCCTCAAACGAAAGCCGCTCACAAGGACTTGAAGTTTGCACAGGTCTGAAGACAAGAATACCATGTGCTTAACAAATGGGGGTCACCGGAAATCAAACACAAGACCTCTCGATCACAGAAGGCTATGATACCATGTCAAGAACCAGTTGATCCCAATAACTCGAGTTGTTGGAAGAGGTTCATTCGTGGATCATATACCGCAACACTAACACAGGGCTCCTGCCTTGACAAAGACAACGGTCCAATGCAACCCAAATTACCAACATAGCTCCTGCACTCGATTTGACCCTTCTCTCTCGTCTCTCTCGACAACCGTGCTGGGTTCGGTAAAATATGTGGTGGAGACTTCTTCACATGCAGCAGCTCTCTTGAGCATCTCCGCTGCCCTTGATCTGAAACATGCAGCAGTTTCTTCACAGTTTTAGTTTACACAGCCTGGCCAAAGTACAAAGGACGAACGTACGTCCCACCTAACTAGAAAGAAAAGAAAAAAACGTGATGGTAAGTGGTAGATACAACACACACTGAGTCCTCCAAATGTGCAAATAAAAGGGCAGAGCCATTTGCCTCATTTCAATCATCCCTCAACCTCCATTCCTCTTCTTCCTCTGTTCTGCTGTCTTCGTAGCATTTGTAGAAACCCAGAATCTTATATTCTTCCAACTCCTGTACAATCCGAAATGCTTGTCGCCGCCGCCTCTCTCAACCCCATCTCCGCCTTCCTCAGGACACCGTTTGTCATCTGAATCGAATCCCACCCTCGCCTCGCGACGGCCGCCGGTGCTGCGAGAAGGGGATGATCCAGCGAGAGGAAGATGATCATGGTGAGAGCTCGCCCATTTCAGTGTCGAGGTTGTCGATCGAAGATGGTTCTTCAAATCACAACATTGAAGGAGAAGGATCAGGCGATGATACGGCTAGATTGATGAAGGAGAAAGACCAAATGAGTGTTCAACGTCGTTTGGAACGGTGAGTTACTACTGCATTCATCCACCTCACATCAATTTTTCCCTTTGCTGTGTTTATCAACTGCAACATACTCAGAAAGCCATGATTATTCTATTGATGAAGAATGATATGATATTGGTTTCAGTTATGAAATATGAATCAATGTCATGTAATCAAATTTTCTGCCTCATGAACCACACAACGAAGAAGATTGATGAGAGACGATGGAGGGCGGGTTTAAGAACTTTTTGTCTGGTGAGTCGAGCTTTCTCCTCTAATTGACATGGTGCTTAAGAACCTGTTTCTGAAAGTCGTTTGTAGTTGTTGTTTTCCCCCCCTTATTTCGTTACGCTTGATTGGAAATGCTAAGCTTGCAATGACACTACTTTTAATCTTTTTTCCATATGCTTGCTTGTTCTCTTTTCCATCTGTAACAGGTTTTTTCGTGAAAGAAAGAGGCTATTGTTTGTAGGACCTCAACAATTTAACGGGTAGGCTTTTTCTCATTCACGAACTGTTTGATTATTGCATCATTTTGATTGCATATCCTTTAAAGGCACAAAATATGAAACTATTTGAGAAGGAAACGGGCCAGAGTGATGACAAGATTTCATTCAAGTTAGCTATTCTAGTTAGTTAACCTGCTTCCGTATCCACGCAAGTATTACCCACCTCAATTCGTGCTTGATGTGGGGTGGATATGACTATTGAGGTATCCGTTCCCGCCTCATTGCCATCACTACGTATAACAAAGCAATGACCCATACACTAAATGAGAAGAGGAAGAAGAGAAGTATTTGTGACATTCTCTCTTTCCACGGCCAAACAATGGCATGTACGTGAATAGAAATATGGACAGGACACACTTCCATTAGCTCATTGACAACCTCTCTACCAAACTATGTACGAAACCCTTTACCCTATCAACCAAACCCTCTTATCATCTACTTTCGGTTTCTTGTCATGTTCTACATTTCTTACAACAATAGATGAGATAATTTGAAATTGATACACTTGTTTCAATTATGCTATCCTTTAGTCACAACCCTACCTACCAATTATCATATGATGGGTTGGTCACACAAAAAAACCATTGTGGAATATCCATCCAGCTTGCAATTGCCTATATAAACAACTCCCTCCGCAATTGCTTTGTTCACTACACCCAAGTAGCCATAACAAACAACTACCTCCCCCCACAACCACTTTGTTCCCTCCACCCAAGTATCCATAACAAACAACTTCCTCCACCCAAGTATCCATAACGAAAAGTAAAAGAAGAACTAAAATGGCCAAATCGTCTGCTTTCATTGAACTATTGTTCCTTCTCCTTCTTTGTTATGCATGTCGAGAAGCAACCGGAAGAAGCGTGCCGGAGGACGAGTTACGAGTGATCAAGCAACCGGAAGAAGCGTGCCGAAGGACAAGTTACGAGTGATCATGGTTTTCTAAATACTTAGAGGTCTTCTTGATCACTCGTAACTCGTCCTCCGGTCCAGTTCTTCCGGTTGCTTCTCGACATGCATAACAAAGAAGGAGAAGGAACAATAGTTCAATGAAAGTAGAGGATTTGGCCATTTTAGTTCTTCTTTTATTTTTCGTTATGGATACTTGGGTGGAGGAAGTTGTTTGTTATGGATACTTGGGTGGAGGGAACAAAGCGGTTGCGTAGGGATGGAGCTGTTTGTTAGGGATACTTGGGTGGAGAGAACAAATCAGTTGTAGAGGGAGCTATATAGGCAATCACGAGGAGATGGATGTTCCACAATTGTTTTTTTATGTGGCCAACCCATCATATGATAATTGGTAGGCAAGCACGTGACCAAAGGATAACATAATTGAGACAAGTGTATCAATTTCAAATGATTCCATTTATTGTTGTATTGTCATTTAAAGAACGAAAATGACAAGGAACGGAAAGTAGATAATGGAGTTTGGTTGATGGGGAAAGAGGGGTTCATACATAGTTTGGTCGAGAGGTTGTTAATGAACTAATGGAAGTGTGTCTTGTCCAATATTTCTATTCACGTTCAATGCACATGCAATTGTTTGGTAGTGAGAATGACACAAAGACTTCAATACTACTTCTTCTTCTCATTTAGTGTAGGCGCCATTGCTTTGTTAAATGTAGGGATGACCATAATGGCGAGACGGGTATCTCAATACTCATAACAGCCCCAACATCAAACACTAGTTGAGGCGGGTAATACTTTCGTGTGTATGGGGCGGGTTAACTAACTAGAATAGCTAACTGGAATAAAATCTGGTTATCACTCCGGTCTGCTTCCTTGTCATATTGTTCATATTTTGTGCTTTTCAAATAGTATGAAATAAAAATGATGCAATGATCAAAACAGTTCTTAAATGAGAAAAAGCCTACCCAAACAAATTGCATTAAAGACCGGATCCAACCCAACAAAGCTAAACTCAACCTAGTCAAGCCACAAGTGAGCCCAAAATTCCTCCGCTCCCAAACCCAAAATGTGACTCCAACCCTAAAAGGGGCCAACTCTCCATTTTTTTTTTTTAAATCACGATCCGAAAGGTTAAAATCCGGAATGACAAGCTCGGGAAAGAATTTATCACTCTTCGTCGTGTCGAGAATAATTTATCACTTCCTCTTCTTCATGATAAAACAAAACAAACACAAACAGAGGAGAGAGATGCATGTGAGGCAAAGGCGGCAACGATGGCGGTGGCGGATCTCCATCCCGACGATCGCGGCGCGAGGAGGTAGATAAGAGACGACGGTGACGACGGTTGTAGAACAGACGAGAACTAGAACTAGAGGCCGTGACGGATCGACGGTGAGGCTGGGCGATGCAGCGGAAGTGGCGGCGCAATCCTTTTATTGAGGCGACGGGCGTCAATTTGGGGAGTCACGGCTTGTTCTCGTGGCAACGACCGGCGATGCAAGGTGGGGAGAAAAGGGAAGGAAAAGCGAGAGGGAGGAGCAGAGAGCAATTATAGTTTTGCCTTTTCAATTTCTATAGGGAGATGAGAGACGGCGGTGGAAGGGAGCTTGCCTGCAGGGAGTAGAGAGATAGAGATAGGGGTGGGCATTCGGTCGGTTCGGTTTGAACTGAACAGATGTTTACTCGATCCCCGAAGTAGCTCATGGAGTGAACCGAGTTCGAACCGGGATATATTTCGGTTCGGCTGACCTACAGGGAGTAGAGAGATAGAGATAGGGGTGGGCATTCGGTCGGTTCGGTTTGAACCGAACCGAACAGATGTTTACCGAATCCCCGAAGTAGCTCATGGAGTGAACCGAGTTCGAACCAAAATATATTTTGGTTCGATTAAGCCAAACCAAAATATATTTGGTTCGGTTCGGTTTGTAGACTATGCCCAATTTTTTTCCTAAGAAAGTGCGCCTCTGTCTCTCTCCCTCCCCACTTACCCCCTCTTTCCCCACCCACCATTTCTACAGAACGAGAACCAATTCTCTCTTTCTTCTTCTTCTCCTCCTCTCTCTCCCTCTCTTCTTCTTCTTCTTCTCTCTCTCTCCTAAGATCACAAAGCAGCGCCCCAGCGGTTATTTTTCCTCTCGTCTCCGGCGATTGACGGAGGGAAGAACTCAGGGGCAGGCGGCGACAGCGATTGAAGGAGAGAACGACCCAGCGGCGACGGCGATTGACATCGATGATTGTGACGATTCTAGCGACTAAGGTTAGAGGTTAGTAATGTTTAATATCCACGTATGCATGAAACTTTTGGTTTGTTTTTCTCCTTCGTCTCTACGTCTCTCATCGATTTCGCGGTGCATGTTTGTATTTGGTTGAAGCTTTGAAGGGAAGCGATGGCGTCGAGCAGATCTTTGTTTGGGGGTAATGGCGTCGAAGCTAGTAGATCTTTAACTCTGTCGCTGCGGACTCAGGTGGGGGAAGGAACAGAGATGTGAGAGTTTTTGGTTGGTGGATCGGGTGGGGGAAAGAATGAAGAAGGAGACGGTGTCGCAAACTTGGAGCTTCCGATCTTGAACTTTCGCCGCCTCAGAGGAACCAGGGCTAGGGTTTCACTAGAAAAATGGGAAATAGATGTACCGGGCTTGAGGTTGTTTGTAGACCTGACAATCGGGTCGGGTTGGGTAATTTCAGGTTGGGAATCTCGGGTTACGGGTCTTCACGGATTGGGTCATGAAGGGTTTGCTGATTTCGGTTCAAATATTGACCCAACCCATTGTGTTTCGGGTAATTTCGGGTCATAAGCGTTCTCAGAATCAATATCAAACATGCTTCATAAATTTTTTTAAAACACAAATTTTTACATATGTGTGACAATAGTTTGCCTAGCACATGTCAATTAACAAATGCTCAACTCCTTTCATGCTAATGAAAAGAAATACAAATTGCACAAATTGTCAAAAAACAATGACGAAAGTAATACTACTACAATAAACAAATGATGTTTGATTATCTTTACACTCCAAACTTGTCTTTCAAATCCTAATAAATTTTTTTAAACATCTCACCAAAGTATGAGTGATTTTATCATTTTTGAGAGTGACATATTCAATGAAACGGGTCTAGCGGGTCGACCCACAAACCAGCCCAACCCGACTCAAAACTAAGGGTTAATCGGATTCGGGTCATTCGGGTTTCGGGTTATAAAAACATCAACCCATTCTCTATTTTCGGGCGGGTTCGGGTCGGGTCAATGGGTCGGGTCTTCATTTGCCAGGTCTAGTTGTTTGGGTTGTGGGCTTGGGGTTGTGGGTTCTGTGGTTGTGGGCTTGGGTTGTGAATGTAAGTTCGGTTGGTCGGTTCGAAAATCGGATTCGGTTGGGCAGACCCTGATTTCCGAAATAGTGGATTCTGCCTTCCGAATTCCGAACCGAACAAGGATATTTTGATTCGGTTCGATTTGTTTTGGTTTTGGCTCGGTTCGGTTCGGTACGGGTTTACCGAACCGGATGCCCACCCCTAAATAGAGAGAACAAATACAGAGAGAAAGTGAATGTGAGGGAGGATAGAGAGTCGGTGAAGGAGGGGTCAGGGAGAGAGAGCAAAAAACTTACGCTTTTTAGGGGGAAGTAATATTTCTGGTTTTAGTGTTAAAATCGGACCGAGATCGGATCAAAATCAGACTATATCCAATCTCGAAATTTTAATCCTCATATTTCGAAAAAGATCGAACCGGTACAGGGTCAATCTGGGCTAGTTTAACTGGACCAGATCGTATAGCCACCCTATGCGATGGGCAGCTCAAGCGGATCTGCATTCAAAGGATAGTCAAGCCCGCGTTTTCAAATATGCTAGCCCAAATTCATGCACCTTAAGTGGGTAACCGATAGCTTCCCCCCCCCCCCCTTTTCGCGTCGGTGCTTGAGCTTGCAGTTAGTCTAAGCCATCCATCGGAGTAGGATGACAACAAAACCCGAACTCACTGGTACCCTATCTGACTCAATCCGGTCAACGTAGGTAAACTTCGTGATGACGGGTTTTGAGCCGAGTTCGGGTTTAAACCCGCTATACTATTCACAGATTGGGTTGGGTTTGGTTTGGTCTTAGGTATACCCTCCCCATGGGTCCCCGCCCGCCCACACACATATAATTAATTTTTCTAATATATTTAATATACTAAGAAATATATCTTCATTAAACAACTAATCTTCTTTATGTTTGTGGAGACATGTCTAATTTGTTCTTTCTAATTGTGTAGAATGAAGTTGATATTATGGAGTAGAGAGTGAAGAAGCTTAGTTGACAAGAAGGGAGAAACTTGATATTATGGAGTAGAGAGTGAAGAAGCTTAGTTGACAAGAAGGGAGAAACTTTCAATTAATCATGTTATTTATAGATGTTTATCTTTAATTTTGAACAATTTGTATTGATAATTTGTCGTTTGCTTGTATGCTCTAGATTGGTGTTTTTTGTATGGATAATTTGTATGTGAAAATTTATATTAGACTTTTATTTTGAAAGAAACTTGTTATTGTAAATTTTTTACACAAAAATCCGCGGGTACCCATGAATCCGTGAATACTCAGCGGGTTGGGTTTGAGGTTTTTCAAATCCAGCAGATTTTACCCAAAAAATTTTTGAGAGAGAAACCCATAAATTTGGATTAGACAAAACTCGCCCCAACCCTACCCATGCTGATCCGAGATTCTAAGTTCGCAGGAGTAACTCGTATTTGCCTGCCTTTTTGTCTCCGCGATCTTCATCCAAGGAAGAGAGCCATAAGATGCCGAGAGAGACGAGTCCTGGCCTCAAAATCCTCTGGATATGGACCATTGGCACAGCAGCAGGTGCTTCGACGGCTTGTCAATTTCTTTCTTCCCTATTTCTCTGATTCCTGTATGCTCGAGCTTTATAGTTTTGATCCATGGAGTTTTGTGTTTGCAGTGCTAGTTACTAGTGTGGTGAGGACGAGGATGAGAGACATGGAGCAGTTCATGAACACTGAGCAACAACCTCACCATAATCAGCAGCAGCAACTAGAGCCGAACGAAACCAGCTCCGGTGAGTCGATCGTTTTGGAAGACTCGCCACCGCCTCCCAGCGAAGGAATTGCTGAAGAAATCAAGTCAATGTAGGTTCTTAGTTTGGGTTTTCTCTATCCTAGGATTCTACTATTCAATGGGTTTTTGTCCCGCAGTTTCCTACTGAAGGCTTGCCTTCTACCTGTTTGTTAAAATTCCTCAAAGAATACCCAGGCTGTCTGAAACGATGGTTAATATCGTGTTCCATTCTTTTCTGGCCAGTAGAGGTTGTAAGTTCTTATTGTGGGAATTCAAAACCATGACCTGGTTGCAGATTCATGAACAATTGATCCCCATTTGAATACGTTTTGCTTCAAAAGAAAACACAACTAACATTGTATTCATCTTGGCCCATGTAAACAAGTCTTGTTGTTATTATTGTCCATTCGGCTGTGTTCTTAGCATTGTAGAAACCCAGAATCTTATATTCCCACACCTGTACAATCCATCGGTAGGTTCAACAGTTTCATATTCTGTTCATCCTTGCTTATTCTGATACATATTTTGGGCTCCAGTGATTGACTTCTTTTACTCCTGCTTTGTCTTTTACTGCTTGGGGGCTGTATTGCTTTCATGGTTGTAGCCGACAAATGCTCCAAAACAGCTCCGAGGTTGTTTGAGGATGTATTATGACCTATTATCATTCAAGTAACGAGATTAGACATTGGGCTGTTCTTTACATTGACAAAGTCGTCAGCTTGTTATTGCTTAGTGACATGTGCTTCTGATTTTTATTGTTCTCTGTAAAAAATAGTTGCAGTGATCGTAGAACTGTCTGAGTAATTGTTTCATGCTTCACCACTTTTTGCCTTTGATCGATGGATCCTGAACTATATCAAGCTGTGATCCTGGGAAATGACAAGTTTTTTGAGGATCTCAGCAACGCTGGCTTGTGCACTGTGCTCCAGGTTACATCTGGTCACAACAACACTATTTGCTACGTTGCAGCAAAATGTGGAAGGATACAGATAGCAGAGAAGATCATTGGTTTGTTTCCAGGCCTGCTTCATCAGACGAATTCCAAAGGTGCTCCCCATTACATGTTGCAGCGAGGTTAGGCTGCTTGGAAATGATTCAGCTGTTGGTGAACTGTGCTAAACTTGTCGAAGTGGTGAAGGAGCTGCTGAGAATGGAGAATGTGGAGTGTGGACAAGGACACGGCTCTTCGTGTTGCCGTGAGAAATGGGCACTTTGAGTTTGTGAGTTTGTTAATCAGTGAAGATCCCGAGTTGACTTTAGTCCTGAATACTGCTGGAGAGTCTTCTCTTTTTCTGGCTGTGGATTGCAAGTTCTACGGGATTGCTCAGCATATCCTTGAAACTGTTCCTTCATGTTGCTATGGAGGAAGGACTGACATGAATGCTCTACATGCAGCCATTATAAGAGCTTATCGGAGTAAGTAAGCCCCTGTTAGTTTCTTAATCCCTGGTTTACTAGAACATACACCTCTTCTAAAAACTCCCCAGTCTCAATCTAGTCTATTTTCAGATGCTGCTGTTGGGTTCTTAGTCTTCAATTAATATTCATGAATTCTTTTGAATATTTCCTAACCCCACTTATTGTTGATTATGGCTTGTAGGGTTTCTGCTCATGGATGCAGTGACCAACATCATGGCTTTCTGTTCTAGAGCTTTAATCATGTTCATTAACCGATTCCTTCTGGCGGCGCTCAAGCTTGATTACTTGAATTTCAGACTGTCTTGCAGCTTCAGTTACATCGGTCCAGGTATATGCTTCATCATCTTTTAAACATACCCCCTGTTCAAGAATCTAGCTTGCTGCTGAAGCATATGATCAACACAGCTAGATCAGGAAATGAAAATCGAAGTGGAACATCAAGAACTAAAATGAACTGCTCTTATTTTTCTATCGAATTAATTGATGTGCTCAATACAAATTGTACCATCTACCCATTGAACAGAAAGATGGTTTCTTGTAATTGAATTTGCTAGAATCCATGGAAACGTAGATAACAATTCTTCTTCTTCTAGCTCGCTACATTCTTTACAATTATAAATGGTCATCCTCCATTCTTCTTCTTCCTCTTAAATCTTCTGCATGCCTTCCTCTCTTTTCTCGGATGACCAAACGCGGGTATAAATACAGGATCAAGAATCTCGTACTTCCAGTATACACAAGAAAGTCATAGTTTAGTTATCTGCTTATTGATATCTTTTTAATTGGAATGGTATATGAAATCATATCCTTTTGCCGTCAAGGAATCGAGTATAGAAACCCAACGACTCCTGTGGCTTGTACTCCGGAACTGTATGCCCTGCACCCTGCATCCGATTTAATTGCATTTACAACACCATTGATTAGTAAATTTATAGCTCGGTGATTGTAGGTAGATCATGTTAGTTAATTATGTTATGTATACCTTAATTGTGAGGAAAGTGAGGTTGTGCTCATATCCTTGCAGGTACCTGAAATCACATACCACAGATTGGAAAGTGAAATCCAATGAAGCAATACATTGTAGTAGTAATTCACTGGTTGAATCAATGTATATACCCGGCAACTTGGTGGTCGTCGCCGGAGATCCACGGCCTCCACTCGTCGGTGATGTTGTAACCCATTGAGCTAGTCCAGGCTTCTGTTCCGGTGTACGGCACGCACATATCATGGTCTCCACTGTAGATCAGGGCTCGATAGCCTTGGGAGGTCAGGTTTCGGTGGATGGGGATCATGCTCCCCGCATCGCCCTCGTAGTCTATTCGGTCCGAGCACAATTCCCACTCACCCGCTGTGGATTTCTGTCGCGCGTAGTGATCAATCATTCATCAACTTACAACGAAATACGTACTTAATCGATAAGTACACAAAATAACGATGTAAAATCTATCTTGAATACTCTCCATAAAACTCTGGATAAAATTCGTTACAATTATAAAGTTTGACTGTTAACTTACTGGTGCGGCGTGGAGGGCTTTCCTCACAGATTCGTCATTCAGCCATGCAGTCGCCACCTCATCATTCTGCAAACAGTAAGAACTGTTAATTTATTAAGTTGGAAATATAAATTAATTACAACAGGAGTGAGGGTTTAGGGAGAGAAAGGAACGGCGTCGTACGATACACTCAACCCCGCCAGACAGGCGTCCTAGTTGGGGCCAAAGAAGCATCTTATTGTCACTTTTGTTGGGCCGGAAGTTATCGAAGTGTTGAGCCCAATGCGGCCAGGCCCGACCGAACATCCGCTTCCTGACCGGGAGAGCCTTCTCGGTCCGGCCCAATTTCTGGAAGCTTGGCGGCAGTTGGGTTTGCCTTTGCTGCTGTCCTTCTGGGTCGTGGTAGCATGGCTCCAGCACGTCGTAAACATTCAGGCCATCCAGCGCCTACAGCCCAAAACCGGAAAATAGGAAAGGAAATTTAAAAAAAAAAAAACTGAATATCGTCAGTTAATGTAACAATCTTATATGCAATTATACGGATCATGTATTCATGTATGATTGAGTAACGTTGATAAGTGAGGAATTTAATTCACAAACATAAGTAGCTAACCGTGCCAATTTTGTCGATAGCGTGGTAGCATTTACTGCTGTTGCTACTGAAATCGGGATTGCAAGCACTCGCTGCTTCCTGAAATTGTGACAAAGAGAAATTGTCAAGACTAATAAAATTTATGAAATTCGAACACAACATCGTGATACAGGTGTTGTTAAAAAAATTGCAGCTATTATAATTAATTGGTATATCACCTCAAACATGTGGTTGGAGATGAGGGCCATGCCGTGCACAAAATTGACAGCAGCACCAAGTCCATTTCCATCGTTAACCACTCCATTCCCAACAAGGTAACCCTAGATCATCATCATCACATACATTAATCAATAATCACATTTAATTACTCCCTAACCAGTGATTAGACTATCTATGAACAATGATTTCTGATGATCATGATATGGCCATTAGAATTTAGAGTAGGTATTTATGTACCTTGAAGTTGATAACTGGCTTGTCCCCTGATTTTATCCCTACAATACAATCATAACCATAACAGAGAATAAAATTAGTGGTTTGGAATTGTTAGCCTCATAACTACCTTAATTACCATGAGCTTAATCAATTTTACCTTTAACAACTTCAGCTGCCAAAGTTGGGACATAAACTCCAGCATAAGACTCCCCGGAGATGAAAAATGGGTTGTGTTGGAATTCTGGATACAGTTCAAACCACTGCAACAATATTGCTAGCAGATTAATACCTTAGCTACGCGTGCAACCACTCCAACTATAATCTAACTTGAAATAGGTCAGTATTTGTTACCTTGAGAAGGAAGTTATGAGTATCAAGGGCGGTCTTATGGTCGTTGGTTAAGTAATTTGACGTGTTTGGAGAGTAAGAAAGACCGACCCCGCAAGGAGAGTCCAGATAGATAATATTGGAGACCTGCAACAACATATAAATTGTATTGTTCCGGTTATTCTAATAGAGAATTTTAAGTTTTAAACATGATATATATAATACATAGATGAAATGTAAGAGCGTATGATCAAAACCTTGGACCAGCTGTATGGATTGAGATGCATCTTTGGAAGACTTCCCTTGGGCCCTTGCTCAAAGTTGAATGGGCCTACATGAAGAGATTACTTTCTTATTCAATCATAATGATATCTTTCGAAATCGAAATTACCAAATCAACACAGACACATTATTCGATATGTTAGAGACGAAAATCAAAACCCGACAAATTAGTTCAAAATAATGTTAGGTTTCTTAACCACCATAATGGGATGACTGATTTTATCCCTACCCACAAATAAAATTATAATAGAGACAAATCCCATTTTTAGAAATAAATTAAGGGTAGAAAGATGACCTCTATATGTAACTTTTTTCCCCTCTTGGGGAATCACAGTTAGGTCATAGAAGGTATAAAAGATGGAAAAGATGCCACTAATTATTAGGGTCCCCCACCACGAATGAAATCGAATATAATACAAACATACAATAAGCCAAATTCGCCGAAACGATCCCACCACGAGCCACGCGAGGAACCCATAACGCTAAAATCATGAAAGTTAAGCCCATCACCCCCGCCGGCACGCACTGATTGCGCCGGCCGGCGGGCAAAGTATCCGGCAACATCTTCCAACAATTTGGACCTGACTCGTTTTACTCGACCTGCTGACCTGTTTTGGGGTGGAGCGGGCATGGGTACTTCTCGTCGACCCGACCTGCCCTGACCCGCCCCATTCTCGACCCGTTTTGTCTAAACTACATGTAATCTAGTCAAATTACTTATAACTTTCCTCATATTACCTCATATTTTAGCTATAATAAAGTTGTAAATAAGTGAAAACCTCAATTTCTCCAATACTTTAACTACATTCTATCATATTATAATTTATTTCTTGGTATTTTAATGAATATTTTTAAATTTTGTTTTCACATAAATTACATACTCATTGGGTCAACCTGCCCCGACCCGAGTCCGATGATAATTAATTACCCGACTTATACCCAACCTACCACGAGGCAGGTATGGATATCGAGATACCCGGACCTGTCCATGATAAATTACCCGACCTATACCCAATAAGCTGCCACGAGGCAAGTATGGATATCGAGATACCCGGACCTGCCCATTGCCATTCCTATCTCCTGACGTTAATAATTAGTAAAAACCCTCGCGAAGCAGACATTTTTTTTTTTTGGAAGTAAAGGAAGTAACTAATTAACGTGCCTACTAATTACTTACCATGTTCATAAACGAAACCGTCGAAGCTGGAGCAGCCGGGCCCGCCGTTGAGCCACAACACGACGGGGTCTTCCGCCGGGTTCCTTTCCGACGAGATGAAGTAGTAGAACAGATGCTTCTCCTCCTCCAGGCTCACGTACCCGGCGTAGTGCTTCGACGGGAAACTCCCGTTGAAACCGGGCAAGTAACTCACCAGTGACTCCGCCGGCGCTGCTTTCGTACTACTCATCAATATCATCATCATAATAACCACCACCGTCATCGTCACGAGGACTCTGACGACGGCGGTGGCGCCGCTCCTTGATTCAACCATCGAATATTCTGATCTTGAATAACTGATTAATTAGCAGCAATGGACAGGAAATTAAATCTTTCTCTCGATGAAACTTCCTCTCTACAACAGTTATGTGTTTTTTTGGGATTACTATGCGGCCGTGGCCACTGAATTTATAGGGCTCAATAATGCACCCATCAATAACCAAATCTGGACCCTTCATTTAGAAAATCCAGATCTAAGGATGGAGAATTAAAGACTATTTTTATTTTCACTAGCTTTCTTAATTGACTCATATCTTTTTCGTTTTAACTCGGATTTTAGTTTTTTTTGCACAGATGGAACGAGTTCACCGTGCTCTACAAAATGAGATCAATTTTCAATATTTATTTAGGAAAAAATATATTCTGGCCTCTCGGTACTAACTACATACCATATGGTATCTTCTTCGTTTTTAATTCGTTTTTGAAAACGTTTGCACAGCAGGGATGAGTTCATCATGATCTACTGGATCTACAAATTTCTGGGTGAACAAATTACAATACCACACAATACCACACAATACCATACAATACCACCCCGGTACGGGGTGGTATTGTATGGTATCTTCTTCGTTTTTAATTCGTTTTTTAAAACGTTTGCACAGAAGGGACGAGTTCATCATGATCTATTGGATCTACAAATTTCTGGGTGAACAAATTACAGGACCAAAAAATACCACACAATACCATACAATACCACCCTGGTACGGGTTGGTATTGTGTGGTATACAATGTTAAAAGCCGTAAATTACAATTAATATACTTCTACTATCATGTATTCAACCATCCTACAGTATTGGTTTGTTCATACCACCATGGTACGTTTTTCAAAATATAGGTAAGCTTTTATTTCAATACCAGTCAATATATACCATATGGTATAGGCTGGTAAAAAATGACTCAATTTTTTTGTTCGAAAAATATATTAAAGTGGATATCATTTTGAAGAGCACAATTAATCTGATCTAACTGTGCAAAAAAAATTAAATTTCGACTTAAAATGAGCGAGAAATCGTCCGTCAAAGATTAAAGAGGGAAAAATTAAAGGTTTTCCATGAGAGAGAGGATGCTGATGTCATGCTGATGTGGACGGGTTACTCATGGTTACTCACCATAAGGTTACTGACCTGATCCATTCCCAATTTATAGGCCAGGCCGGCATAAGGAGAGCATCTTGGGGGGAAATTAAAAAAGGAAATTAAAACCAGCCACAATAAAGGTGTTTTCTCCTTCTTTCTTTAAGTAAGTTTTTTATTATTATTTTAGATTCACTCTCGTTCGAAGCTGGTATTACCACTATACCAATATTCGTTTGGTTAATGTAACTATTTTTATCAGACCATCTGATTAGTTGCGATGTTTTCATCACTGATGTAAGCGTTGACCATCTGATTTATGTCGAAATTAAAAAAAAAAAACTGAAATTGTTTGTCTTAATTAATTATTATCATATATATAATATTCCAAATTATGTCAGTAAAATGATGAAATCAGAAGTAAATTGATTTCGCTCAAAGCTCCATTTGTCACTTACCCACGTCCCTCGACTCCTATTATGGATCTCCCTTGATTCGACTAAAAAGAAAAACCATTCGGCCATTTCCCCACTTTAACTACTTGCTATTGTGGGTGGGCTAAGAGAAGGTTCCAAACCGTTATACAAATGTCACACGGCATGATTTTGACGTACGAAAAACAAATGTACATTTAGTAATGTTATACTCGCTACCATGTGAAAGGCGTTGCATAAGCTTGCTTTCATTTGCACAAGACAATTTTACACGGTTGTGGTTAAACTAACGATTAGTATTGGAGTCGTTAAAACTCTAATACAATCAAGAAACAGTTTATCCTAATAATTCAGAGACAACTTAAACGAACTGTTTCCTCTACAGCATCTAGTCAGCATCAATGGTTGGTCTAATTCAACGATCAACCTTAATATTATAATAATAAAGAATATCACGTACACGTAGTAATAACTAACTAACAACAAAATCAACCAGCAGTCTCATTGTTTGTCATTGTAATCATTGACGACGGTATTGGGGTCCCAGCAGACACTTAATTGGCAGCTGGTGGCCATTAGCATTTGGGGGAATACATATTCGTTCGTCGCCGGCCAACGAAAAGTTTCCGACCAATTCTGTCGAGAAGGAAAAAGACGAAGAGAAAAGGGCTACGTGACGTGGGTTGGGGGCGCGCGGAGGAGACGAAGGAGCCGTCGTCCGTCGATTCCTAGGGTTTGCTCATAAGGCGTTCAACAATTTTAAGCACATAATACGGCGGCCTCTAATTGCAGTTGTTGTGAAAACCCCCAATTTGTGGTAAATCCCATCGACGATGTTTTATTATTATTATTATTATTATTCAATCTTCTGCCGTCTTCTCTTTCTTGGATGACCAGACGTCGGTATGAATACATGACCAAGAATGTTGTCATAAACCAGCATACACAAGAAGCTCGGGTTTTGGTTCTCTTGTTTATTGTATATTTATGGAATTGTACGTGAATGGTACTCATATTTATATTCGTTTCCCGCGTCAAGGAACCGAGTATAGAAATCCAACGACTCTCGTGGCTTGTACTCCTGAACCGTATGTCCCGCACCATGTACAATATTAATGACAATTCATTTACAAACAACATTACCGGCAGTTATTATACCATCCAAAATAAGAAAGGGTCAAGTGATAAGTGTAAGGGGTGTGCAACGGTTCGGTCCACATTGGATCGCACCAGAACCAAATCAGCATTCAGACCGTACGTACAGTCCGATTCTCGTTTCCTATGCGAATTTCATCAAAGTGTAAAGGGAAAAAATAATAAACCGAATCTATGCTTGAACCGGACCAAGCTCAAGCGGAATGTACTGATGATCCGATTGTGTGTTGCTCAAATTTCTTTTACTAACTGGACCGCGCGATTATCATGCGGTTCCGATTTCACGGACTTGAAAGTTGCACACCCGGATGTCGCATATATCATGTTAGTATATATGCATACCTTAATTGTGAGAAAAGTGAGGTTGTGCTCATACCCTTGGAGGTACCTGAAATCAAATTACACGCCCACAAATCGGAAATTAGTGAATTCCAATGAGCCCAAAGAGGCCATTTTGTAACCCATGGAGCTAGTCCAAGCTTCTGTTCCGGTGAACGGCACGCACATATCATCATTCTGCAAACAGTAATAATAATAATAATTAAGACACAATTCAGTTGATGTTAAATTAATTATTTAAAAAAAGAAGAAGCTAGGGATTAGGGTGGAGGGGGACAAGAGAGAAGAAACGACGACGTACAGTACACATAACCCCGCCAGCTTGGCGTGCTAGTTGGGGGCCAAAGAAGCATCTTATTGTTAGTTGTGTTGGGCCGGAAGTTATCAAAGTGTTGAGCCCAGAGAGGCCAGGCCCGACAAAACATCCGCTTCCTGACTAGGAGTGGCTTTTCGGTCCGGCCCAATTTTTGGAAGCTGGGCGGCAGTTTGGTTTGCCTCTGTTGCTGTCCTTCTGGGTCGTGGTAACATGGCTCCAGCACGTCGTAAACATTCAGACCATCCAGCACCTTGAGTCCAAAACCGAAAAGAGAGAGAGAAATAAAAAATAATATAGTCATTTATTCGTTCGAATTGACAAATGAAATTAATATGAATAATTGTTACAACAATAATTATAAGTGAACAAATATATGTAGCTTACCGTGTTGATCTTGTCGATTGTGTGGTAGCATTTATTTTTGTTGCCACTGAAATCGGGTTTGCAACCAAGTGCTGCTTCCTGAAATTGTAGCAAGCAAAACAATGAAATCAAAAGAAAGTTCACGACACTTATTACATCTTAAATTTATCAATATCGTTATCACACTGTCAAATTAAAGAATGGTCAGTGAACTTATAAAAACAAGATATTGCTGGTATCACCTTGAAGTTATTATAACTTGATGTTTTTGACCTGCTATAACAGGTTTCACAAGTCGCATGTCGTAAAATACAATAGGCATTACGTAATAGTTACGTCATGTGTGTTTATCTTACGTAATAGTTGAAAAATGTCATTATGAAAACCTTACGTAATAGACACTCATTTTACGTAATGAATATTAACCTAGGTCAAAGCCTATCCAACAAGGTAGGTCAAAGCCCGGGCAAGCCCATGCAAAGTGGCCCTGGCCTAAATATGTCATCCACATCCGTTAAGGCCCACAACAGCACCCTCGCCTTCGCCCCGCTGCTGAAGAGAGTTCAATGTGGAGGATTTGCTCGAAGACAGATCTGGAACCGCCATGGATCGATGAAAGGCCAGCAACCGCCAGAGCGTAAGCCTCGCCTCGAATAAGATGACAATTTCAATTTGTTTAGCTTGTTTTGTGATGGTTATTCTCGTCTCATATATGGGACGTTAGAGCTGGGCATGCGGGCGGATCATCCGCGGGTTTGGCCCGACCCACCCGCATTTGACTCGAATTTCGTTTAGTGGGTGGGTCTGTGGGTAGGTGACGGGTTGCGCTGGGAGCCATCCGCCGGGTGGTGGGTGGGTTGTGGGTGATTGTGCGGGTGACCCGCTCAACCCAACAGCAAAAAAATCAAAGTCGTTGGCGCTAGAGAGAGGAGAGTGGAGACGTTAGATATAAACTCGGACTGCTCCTGGAGTTTGAACCTCAAAGCCAACCTTCCAAATAGAGATCCCCTCTTCTTCCCTTTACTTTTTCCTCTAATTCTTGTGGCTAGATCAACGCTCTTTCCTTTGTGGAATGATTTTCCTTAGTTCCTTGCACCTAATAATCGTCTCAATCTGTAGAAAACTCTTTCATAATAGAATTTCTATCCAATTTAAGAACTAATTCGACATTTTTCGCCCTATTTCAACTTCTGGTTTCCCTCGATGATTCTCTTCACCTATTATCATGTCAAGTTGACTCCTTTATATTATATAAATTGTGATGTGAGTGAACCCACAAACCCACCCGCATCATCCACCATCCGCCCGACCCAACCCGAGACTAAATGTGGATGGGTGGTGGGTTAAAAATTATCAATCCGTTAAAGCGCGGGTGGGTGCATTTTATGGTCAAAATCCACCCGACCCACCCAATGCCCACCCCTATGGGACGTGATGGATTTAGGTATTCTAATGGATCCAATCTATTAAGATCCGCTACATTCTCTACCGGATTTGCTCATATTACATGTACTTTTACTAAAAAAATTCAGGATTTTATTTCCATCATCTCATATTTACTTATGATGAAGTTTTAAATAAGTGGGAATCTCAATTTTTCTAATAATTTAACTACTTTTAGGAAATTCCTACAATACCTTGAAGTTATGATAACTTGATGTTTTTGACCTGCTATAACAGGTTGCACAAGTCGCATTACGTAAAATACAATAGGCATTACGTAATGGTTAGGTAATGTGTGTTTATCTTACGTAATAGTTGAAAAATGTTATTACGGAAACCTTACGTAATAGAGACTCATTTTACGTAATGAATTTTAACCTTTCGTTACGTAATCTGTTGAATCATTACGGAAGGCTTACGTAACACTTCTAATTTAACTGTTACGTAAGAAATAAATATCGTTACGTAACCTTTACGTAATAGATGCATACTTTACGTAACAGTTGTAAAGTGGCATTACGGAAGCCTTACGTAATGGATGGTCCTTTTACGTAATGATATTAATCAAGTTACGTAATGTGGTAAGTCATTACGGAAGTCTTACGTAACACTTCTAATTTAACTGTTACGTAAGAAATAACATTCGTTACGTGACCTTTACGTAATGAGCGTGTATTTTATGTAACAGTTGTAAAATGTCATTACGAAAGCCTTATGTAATAGACGATGCTTTTATGTAATGAATATTGGGATCTCCTACAGTAAATTGGGTATAATTTTAAGTTAGGTAACTTGCATAGATCTAAACCGTTAAAATTGATCAAATTTATTTTAAACCATTAATTAAAGAAATAAAAATAAAAAATAAGTAAAAAAATCAATGGCAACATGGGTTGCCGGTGGCCACAAAGCAAGTTACCTTTCTTGTTTTTTTCTTTCCTTTTTCATATTTATTTGTTTTTCCTTATTTTATCCTTTCCTTATTTTAATTCTGATTAAAGTAGAAGCGTTACGAAAGGCTTCCGTAATAACTTAGCACTTTACGTAACGTGAGATTAATACTCATTACGTAAAGAGACCTTCCATTACGTAAAGGTTACGGAACGATAGTTATTTCTTACGTAACAGTGAAATCGAAAGTGTTACGTAAAGCTTCCGTAATCACTTAGCTTTTTACGTAACACGACATTAATACTCATTACGTAAAGAGACCTTCAATTACGTAAGGCTTCCGCAATGACATTTTACAACTGTTACGTAAAATACACATTCATTACGTAAAGCTTACGTAATGACTTAACATTTTACGTAACACGAGGTTAATACTTATTACGTAAAAAGACCTTCCATTACGTAAAGGTTACGGAACGACAGTTATTTCTTACGTAAAAGTTAAATCAGTAGGTTACGTAAGGCTTCTGTAATGACTTAGCATTTTACGTAACGCGAGATTAATACTCATTACGTAAAGACACATTCTATTACGTAAGACTTCCGTAATGATCTTTTACAACTGTTACGTTAGATTACCATATGTTACGTAACCGTTACGTAATACCTATTATATTTTACGTAATGCGACCTGTGAAACCTGCTATAGCAGGTAAAAAAATTCAAGTTACCTTACTTCAAGTTATTGTAGGAAATCCCAATGAATATTAACCTAGCGTTACGTAAAATGATAAGTCGTTACGGAAACCTTCTGTTACGCTTCTAATTTAACTGTTACGTAAGACTAACAAGCATTACGTAATTGTTACGTAATAAACATTAGTTTTACGTAACGTGACCTATAAACCCCTGCTATAGCAGGTCAAAAACGTCAAGTTATAGTAACTTCAAGGCATGGTAGGAGATCCCTTAATTTTATCATGGAATAGTTTGTTTTATAATGAAAAATGAATATTTATAATGTTTTCCTTTAAATCACGTACTCATATAGGTCGAGCTGCTCCAACTCGCGCTCCATATTCCATAAAAACTGCCTGACCTGCGCGCCATTGTACGAGTATGGGTATTGAGATACCCAACCTGATCTAGCCCATTGTGATTCCCACCCCGAATAAATGATATCACTCAGTAATTGTACTCCTGACCAAATCTTATTTTGGGATGCGAAGGCGTATTAACGTGTAGTTAGATCGAAGAGACTACAAGTCTTCTACGTAGCTGATGGAGATGGCAGTGATTATCTATTATCCTACCTAACTAATGTGGGTTTTCAGAACCAATACCTACTTAAGATTTGGGTATTGGTCATTTAAAATCATCTTCATATCTAATCGATTTTTTGCGTATTCATGGAGAATCATTTCACTTTATCTTCTCCATAATTGCGTTACTAATCACAAGTATATTAATATTAAACAAGTGAAAATTAAATGATAAATAACAAATCACCAATCCTGAGAAAAACTACGAAACAAAAATACTAGTCCATGAGATGTTACAAATATACTAGGAATATCAAATAAGTCAAATGTAAATTTATTCAAAATTGAAAATACTATCGGTTCGAATTGAATAGTAAAAGAACTATATCCTCGTTTCAGCAACACTACCAGATATATTCTATTAAATTTGAGTTTTAGCAACCCAATCGAGTTGGAGTCTGACAGGATATACGTAATTATGAGTACTAGTTTTCATACCCGCGCTCCGCGTTGGGAGTTGTGGTACATTCGTGAAACAGATTATATCTTGTGTTTCAAAATGAAACCAGTTTAGATGTACCGTATAAATAAAAGTGTTTACATAACTAATCAGCCGACGCCAAAAATATAGAAATACGGCACTCATGAATCATTTTTATTGCAATGAAATTCCCCTAGTTAGCAAAGAAAACAAACATAGCTAAAAGGTCAAAACTGAGAAAAATTCAAGAACCTAAAAACTTTACTATTCCTGGTGGAGGATTGACCAACGATCACCTACTGTATTCCAGCAGGTCATTCATTACTCACCTACAGTCCCCTACCTTGCAATATAGTTTATTGCATGATTCTAATACTACGAAAATTTTGATGCCAATTTTTAACCGAAGAATAAACAATCATGCAGAATGCTATAACACAAATGGACTGGACTTCCTCTGGCTTTGAACATCCTTCGTGATCTTTCTTGTTTCCGACTTAAGAGATCAAACTGTAAAGAAGAATTAACAATTTTTTATTATCTTAAGGTTAACCTTCACTTCGAAATGATTGGGAAAAAGAAATTGTAATTACTAAATAGAGAACATTACCTTCACTAGTAACAAGATCATCGTTCCTTCTGGGATTAAGCTGCAAAAAAGAAATATCCCAATGATTAATCTTACAAACTTGAAATTCTATAATTCCTACTATCAAAAATACTCCTCATCATATAAGAACCCTCTTAGAAACGGTTGGCCACCATCTCAACACAATCCACCATCCCGATGGTAGTATGTTTCCCTTCATATCGACGATGACTTAATCAACACCTCATTGTTGCCATCGGTGTTTGCTCGTCGAGAAAACCAAAAATCATGGAACGAACCTCCTAAAATGTTGAACTTAAGTATACTGGGAGTTGAAAGCTCATCGGGACAACGTTAAGTCTCACCATGACTTCGATTTAATCGCATTGAATATGCAATTGATATGGGTCTGTTACACCTAGCGGCAGATCCGAAAATTGGATGAAGAATTGAGACCTAGAAGGCTAGAAGTGAAAAAAATTGGATACATGCCCCCATCATTAACGGAAAGACTCTCGTAACTTCCACTCTGTCTCTCTTCTTCTGAGGGAAGCCCAGTATCTAGGGGTGTTCAAATGGTTACCATGGTTATAACCAAACCAAATAAGGCTAAATTCCATTAACCATGGAATACAATATCATAACCAAACCGTCCAAACTAATACAACAACCAAATTAACCAAACTAAAGTTTAATCGGTTTGGTTAATTGGTTAACCAGATTAACCAATATAAAATCACATTATCATTGACGATGAAAATTTTCCGGTTAATGCAACAAGTTGCAATTTATATAATGAATAAAACATAACAACCAACACGTAGTTATAGTTGACCCTTAACAAAAATACATGCAACTCCTAACAAAAATTTATGACAATGGTATGGGTTAATGAATTGTTGTGTTTGTGTAAATTGACTTAGTCTCTTAGCAATTATCATAGGCTGGAAAAGACCTTCCTTTCAAGTTTTCATCCATCATAATGTATGAAATTTATCTAAATTAGGCGTCCATATGTTGTGGTCTACATTTTACATATACAAATATACACTATATGAGCAATATTGAGCTTTATATTTTATGAGTCTAAAAGGGATGAACGTTAACTCTTGAGTGGTTATGCAAAGTATTAAGTATGTGTATATAATATATGTTAGATATATGACTAATTACTTAACTGGTTAATTTGGTTTGACTGGTTAGGAGTGTGCGAAACCAAACCAAACAAGCTAAAAACTTTAACCAAACCAAACCAATTATCCAAATTAACCAAACCAAATTATCCAAATAGTATCGATTAAAACGGTTACCATGATAACCAAACCGTTTGAACACCCCTAGTGCTGGCACTTTCCCACCGACCGCTTCAACTGCCAATCTTTCTTCCCAAATTCACCTCTCTCAACTTCTCCAATTTTCTCAAGCGATGAAGTTTTCCTTAAGAAAAAAGATAGCGATGACGTCCCCTTCTTATTGCTTCAGATGTGCTTCTTGACATGTTTCACACGTAATTTCTACTGGGTGGGAGTCTAATTTTACTAAACCAGCATTGAGTTCGAGCCTCATCTTAAGCAATTTTTCTTCTTCTTCTTTATACCTCCAACTCCACCCCTCAAACTCTAGTCAGCCAACTATCTCCTCATTTTACTAGTCACGTCGCCATACTCCCTCCCTCTCTCAACTTCTTCCTCTTGAGAGGAAGGTCGACTACCACTCGCTGAGTTCAACATGAGCAATGCAGCGACACGTGAGATGGTCGAGAAGCGTGATGAATTTGCTAATCAGACATCGAATGGTATTCATGCATGTTTAGTATTTTTCTTGTAAGGAACATGATTGATGTTAAGTATGTTGACTTTTGAGGCTTTGTTTAATATTGAAAGCATAGCTCTCTTTTCTAGCTTAATTTAGCTTTTATAGTAGTAACTAAACGCATTTTTGTTTCTTGTTGTAAATTTTCATGATTTTTCAGATATATCGACTAAACATATTTGTCTAATTATTTTCTTGTTGTGGTTATACATCTGTTTACACAACAACAAAATAATACTAAACGAGGCCTTTGATGTTTTAAATTTGCTTAGTAGTAGTGCACTCATGGTTTAGTATGCACAAGGAGTTTGCAGTACTTACAATATTTTTGTTATTCGGTACTGGTTCATTAACAAATTTTTAACGGTCTAATACCGATAGAGTTAGTAAAGTTTGAACCATTCATCATACCTGTTCATTCTGATTCGGGTCTGACAAACACCGAAATGATCTTCGTTAAACTCTAGACTTTCACACCTGAAGATTGGCGACGCGATTACGCCGATTTGATGGTTTCCGCTCCGGTCAAGAAAATTCAAGCTCTTCAAGTTTACAATCTCCAAAGTAATAGTTCCGCCTAATTTGTTCCCATCTCAGCCAGTAAAAAAATATTATTTATTATCATTTTAATTTATACTATAGACACTTAACGACGAAAAATCATCGTTGACTGCCACATAAAATAAAATTAAAATAATAAAATAGCTCATATTTGCCCCAAGTAATAATCTAAACGACATGTAATTTAGCCGGCAACAAAAGTGCTTAGGGCCAGCAATGGGCCCGGCACTTATCCGAAAACCCAAGGCCCAGACAAGCCCAAAACCCCAAGAGATTATCGTCGTCGTCGACAGAAAATCGTGAGGAAGAGGATATTTGGAAAAGATCCATCCGTTTGAAAACACACCACCACCACACATGGCTTCAGAACTCGTAATGGAAAGAGATGACTACTGCCGCTGCCGCAGTCCCATTCCCCGCCGTCGCCGTTCACCACCGCCACCACCTCTCTCCCCACCAACACCGCCGTACCAGCACCACCATCCGCACTTCCGTCTCAGCCTTCACCTCTTCCCGCGCAATCTCCCGGAGTAGGCTGAGAGGTAACTTAAAACTTTCTTCCTTCCATTTCCAGCGATCTCTCTCAAATTTACTTCCGAATCACCAAGATGCATCGCAAATTGCAGTTAGCAATGGCGATTCTTCATCGGAAAGTGTCGCCGCCTCCGGAGAAGCGACGTCGGAGGCGGACAGGATCGTGGACGGGATGGATTTCGGGGAGCTGTGCAACGAGTTCGAATGTATAAGTAGTCCCCAGGTGGAATCCACGGCCAGACAGCTCGCCCGTGACATCTTTCAGCTCCGCCAGGGCAACCGTGCCCTTGGAACCTTCGCCGTCTCAGTCACATACAAGGTAAAAATTCAATCGAATCCCTAGAAATAATCTGGAATTCCCGCCAACTCGTCTCTTCACCAATTGGGGCTTTTCTTAGTGGATTTCAGGACCCAGTCAGAAGTTTCACTGGTCGAGACAAGTACAAGAGGCCTCTCTGGTTCACTGATGCCCTCCAAAACCCTACACCGGTGAGTGTTCGTTCCAAGCTCATTAGTTCCATACTAGTCTGATACTAGTAGTTCCCCTGATTGTCATGCCCCAAGTAGCTATTAATGGTAGTTCCCCTGATTCTTAATGAATATGTACCATGTATGCCTCTTCGGTTAAACGGTCAAACATTTCGTTACAAATTTGTCGAATGTAGGATCCAACATTGCATAGTATGTCGAAGATAACTAGTATCTCGTTGTACTGATAGCATCTTGTTTGCAATTGATCCATCATTTGGGACTCATTGGTCATGGAGCTAGACAAATTTTCAGCATAACTGACATGCCACTTTAGGAGAGTTCACTGAGTCTGGTGAAAATATGTGTAGCTGAAATGATGCACTGACCCATCCTCCCTCGATCTCTCTCCCTCCCCTTTTAATTGAATCGATGGCGCTGCTGTTTTTGGTTATGCAGAGCGTGCGAGAAATGGTGATGCTGTCGACCAGCTTGCTGAGGATCAGGTGGACAGTCAGAGGGAAGCCGAAATCTTTTGCCGGTGCTTTGCTTGCAGGAGAGCTGATCATCAAAGTCAACTCTGAGTTCACTCTGAACCAGATTAGTGGACAGGTAATCGAGCACCGAGAGTCCTGGGACCTTTCAGCTTCATCCCCTCCAGGTCAGGCATTCTTCTGGGCGTCTCGTCGCCTTTTTGCCACCGTCGAAGCTGGCAGAGACTTGGGTGTTCTGTTCAAGGATCTGGGCAGCCGCATTTCACCCCAAAAGGATAGCTCCGACGATATTTATCCCGACCCCTCTGGTGATCCTACCAAAGTGAGAGATCTTCCAATTCTCATCCATTTTGCTAGTCTGTTATTGCAATTTTTGTTTTACACTTTTGACTGTTTTTTATTCATTGGTTTGTTATTGTTCTCTGCAGTTCTTTCAAACGGACGATAGCTTTCAACGAGACGCATACCAGATCGCTCTGTTTCTAGCCGTTGTCTACCTGGTTTTCCAGTTCCTGAAGATAACCTTGTAAATTGTAATGCACGTATAAAGCATATATTGATGCTCTTGCTCCCCATGGTGCAAAATACTCTGGTGGTTAGCAGCATTGCGACTGAGTTGCGTTTGCAATCCAAAAATTACCAAAATACTTTTCAATTTTACATCTCAATCCTCTAACTGCTGACATGATTTTACTATTCCAGAGTCGTTTCTATTCATTCGTGCTCGAATATGTGTTCATCTTCACCGAAACTTTCGCTCCTGACATGATCTATCATGTGGGTTTGCGAGACCCTGATAACGTCTTGAACAATCCTACTAAATAAGATAGGCTACATACAGTCAAGGACAGAGTTACCAACAGGGATTGCGTGGTTCTTATTATCATCTAAGAAATCTGCTATACATGATTTTGCTCTCCAAAGATATGCACTACTTTTTTCATTAGCCACTAAAGCGTGATTTGGGTTCGATCAAAAGGTCAAAAACATACTTGACTTTGCTTTACATTACTCGAACAAATTACCATCGGTTCTGCAAAGAATCATAGGGGGAAAAGAACCTCCAAAAGAGATGATTTTGAAATAAACAGCAACTTGGAAGAAAATAACAAAACGAGTAAGTTCTGTTATGTTGGGGGATCATGCTGTATGATTTTACTTCTTTCTATACCAACAAAACCACACATCTCTTCAATGGATTCCTTCCTTTTTCTCTCTCTTATGGTACAACAAAAACCAAAACCAAAGAATGCAGATGTACCGTGCCATCTTTCTCTTCCAGTAACTATTAGGATTATCATCATACAAATCTATGCAAGACGGCTGATAGTAGCAAAAACAAAAATGTCAGCTGTCTTACTGGGTTCGTCAACCGGGGAGCTGGCGAGATATCCTTCGCGCTGACTTCATAGGCTGCTCCTGTCTTCTCGTCCTTGATTTTGATACTCGAAGAGCCTAAACATAGCAAGGACATTTTTTTCGGAACAATTAGTTTCCATGAGGACAGTGGGAAATGGTGTCTTTAAGATCATGCATCAAAACACAACAGGAGTTTGACTATACTCACAGTTGTAGTCTGTCCATCCAAGCACTTGGTTTTCAAGATCGTACACGACTACCTTGTTGGAGAGCACCAGATCTGCCATTGAGAGATGTGACGGGGGAGTTGTCAGGGAAAAAGGATGGTATCGATAATTCCATTGGCTCCCAGACAAGAGACTACTTCTGAAGATGGGTTTCTAATATTGAATTCTGATTTATATGGCTAGCTATGTTCACAGGATGACCACTAAATGCATGGATTTTGGATCATTTAATATCGCTGTCAATGTTACATTTATCGGATGATGGGATTGTATACCAGAATAGAGCCAACATTAAGATGAGATAGTCAAATGGGCATACCTCCTAACAGGAACATATCCTGGCCGTCTTTGGACTGTTGCCCGCTATCCTGCCACCCAAAGCACCACACGTTTTCCTACAGAATCGAACAAGGTACATTGCATGTATTAAACATCTAATGTGTTAAAGTGACTTGCTTTTATGGTTTCCACAATGGGATACACCTATTGCTGCCACACATCTGATTTTACAAAAGCTGGCTTACAAGGCAACAAAAGCATACCACTTCAACTATTGTAAAAACTAAGCATTGCCTTTGAAATTGTAACCAGGCGAAGTCTCAACAAAGGAATTTATCATCGACAGTGATCAACTTACACGAATTGCAAAGAGATAATCATGAGGATGCACTGCCAGATTGAGGTCATCTTCGAAATGTAGCTTCACCACAGGAAATCCATCATCGACTCTGCAAAAGGAAACTGGGAAGCCTGAGCAATATCTAATAGTAATTGCGAGATTTAACGGATATTTATGCATATTCGGAGGGGGGAGATGCTAGATTATAATTTTGACTGAAATCCATGACACCACGAGAAACTAGGTTACAGAAGTTGAGAAGTAATAGCACTGTCCAGACAATAAATTATCCTGAAATGTCTTAACCACACGGAAACAACTAACACAAAGGCATTATTTTATGAGAGTATATGGCACTTAGCACCTTACTTTCCATTGTACTCAAAGCAAGTGAACTGCTCTTCAACAATGTGCGTCTTCAGTCCAGGCTGTCGAGCCATTATCTGACTCGCAATATAAAAGGAAAAGAAAAAAATTTTGGGTGAGGCAGAATCAAGGTAATAAGCAGACTTTCAATCAGGAATTTTAGATAATAAAGTACCTTTGCCATCATTGGTTCAAAAACCATAGTCGGAACATATGCCAATGTTGTGCCACTGTCAATTATAGTTCCTTTCCTATCTCCAGTGTCAAAGATATCTGTTGGAAGGTCTAGCATTTCATTGCCCACTTCAACGTCCTTCAAACCCACATTGTAATGCGGCCTGCCAAAGGTTAGCAACAAATACAACTGTGAAGGGGGCAGTACAGAAGAAAAGGCAAACAGAGCATGGGCAACTTTGTTCCATTGGTACTTAGCACAACAATATAATTTATATAAGAAAACAACCTGTTGTATAGGATACTTTTCACCCTTTTCTTCCTTTTATTTTATTGTTTCTACCTAATCCTTCAGATTGCAAATATGGAACTAGAACTGGACTCACAATAGAAGGCTTACTTAAGGGGTATATATTATGGACAACATGGAGTGCAAACTGAAGACATGAACCGTCACATACTGGTTGGGTATTATGGGAGTTGTAGGAACTTTTGGTGAGACCACTTGACCAATTGCAAAAATGCCACCTCCTTTTACACTGTCCAAGCAATGTGAAAACACCTTCTTGACTTTTCCAGCAGCAGCAAGCTGAGAAAACACGGAAGAGTTTGCCTGTCCAAACCCAATTATCCCATCAAGCGCTTCACTAGATGTACCCAACTGACCAGATTGTTGCGATCCACACCTGGTCCAGATGCAAAAGGGAAAGGAAAAAACCACTTAACTGAGGCTCTAGGCAATGGAAGAAGAATTTGAATGCACAAAAAAGGCCTCACCACAGACACAAATCAATTCATAGATATAAAAACAAGAACATCCTCAGACAATCATCAAACACATTGTCACCGTATCAGGATGGGCCTTTTACTAGCAGAGAAAGGAAAAGGTAGTAACCTAGCAACAAAGTTACCTTACCCGTTTTCTTATACCGTAAACCTGTAACAGCAGTGACTTGTGCTCTTCATAGGACGATACCTAACGGACTTTCGAATTAAACAATGAGAAACACAGTCACATCACATGTCCTATTTTCAACATTTAAAGCTTGTTGTCATGATATGTAAGATAGTAAAAAGACTCATGTTGTAACAGCCACAAAAACTGTTAATTTTAGAAGGTCACATGAGAGCACAGCACAATGATGCTTAGCCTATAGGGGATGGTACAGCTCATAAAGATATATGTCTGAACTGACTAGGGAGTTTTCTCTGCCAACCTTCAAGAGTTCACAAGTTTATCCAGACATAGAGAAAGCACCGTCCAAAAACCCCATTTGAATCTGTCACTATTTGGCCCGAGGGAACCTTGGAAAATCTAACTGAGCAGGTTTCACAATACCAAGCAACAACAACACTTCTGTGATCTCATCATGTGGAAACCACATCACTACTAACACGTCGGTAGCAATGTAAAAATTAAATAGACTGTGTACGAAGAAATGAAAAATTACATTATATAGTGGAACTCACCCAAACACAACAGACCCATTCATGGTTCCAGTTTGAAGATTTCCAGTCACTTGATCAAGCTGCACATTGTCCTTGATATAAAATCCTGAAGTCTCACTCCCATCACCATATGTGATACTGTACTGACAGGGGAACTCTTTTTTACAGCCATCAATCATACGACCAAATGTGGCAATACAGAAGTCGTCGGCACAGGAAACCCTCGTTGCAGTAGAGGACTTGTCTGGTTCGAACAATGACAGCTTTACCTGTTGACGGAAAGAAAAAGTGAGACATCTGAAGTCACCATGTACACTTTCTAAAATGCTTCTCGCCTTATTTCCTAATTCAACAACACCAAAACTCAAGGACTTAAAAAGAAAGACACCCTTCCTCTTTCAAAATCAAGAGAATGCCATGATGCCATACACATTTGCACATCCCATTTGAAAACTCCATACTTTCTGCAGCTTTCGGAAGAAAGAAAAAAAATCTTTCACTCAATTCTCCAGTTTTCTAATTTTCACTTCCTAATCTAATTTGCGGCTAAGCCTATTTAACCTTTGGAAGAACATCATTACCAATATCTCTCCAACCCCCAAGCAGATATAGTGGCTCAAAACACAACCAGGACGTTAGGGTGGAAGAGTAATCTAACATGTTTGTCTACAAATTAACCTCTGGAATAAAGTTTTTACACAGAAAACGCAGTTTCAAGAGCTGAAGACATACACCGAGATCGCTTTTTGTTGGACATTTCGTACAGCCTTGACAATTCACCCATAGAGTATCGCTTCCTGTGTCGACCTGCACGTAGAAGTCGTTTGGAGGCGTCCCGAGTCCAATTTTCGTGTAGTAGAGGCTGCATCAAAGAGTGAACAAACTTAATTGAGCTCCAAAATGCAGTATACATGGAACATATTAACGAATTGATTCCAAAGCATTATCAAATCCAATCCCCCAAAAAGTTCCTATATTCGGTTACTGTTGCATACAAATTGCCGAAAAACAACTAATTGAAGAAAGCAAATCCGAGAAAGATTCCAAATTTGCAAGCCAGAAATGTCCCCACACGAGTCAGAAATGTTGAAAAGAAACAGGATAACCCGTACAGAACAATGGAAGCGGATTGGTTGAAGGGTTCTCAAACAAAGAAAATGAGCGCGAACTCAACCATAATGTAACATCAGAAGAGAATTGATCATGGAAACATAAACCAGACATGCTCGTACGAAAAACCCACAAAACGAATCAACATTGGGATCCGTATTGAACAGGGAATTCTTCCAACTAATCTGATAGATTGAATTTCTCAGCTTTATTTTCCTGACCACTTCCCCCAACGGCACCATTGAAGAAAAAATAGAAATGGGAAAGGAAACATACCCGGCCTCAACGGGAACGCCACTGCCACCGAGGGGAATCTCAACGGCGGCGAGGAAACGTCGGTGACGGTTGAGGTCATGGGCTCTGTAAGCGCTGAGCTGCCGCTCACGACCGGCGAACTTGTTGTGGACCTGGAAAACCAGGTTGGCAGAGGAGAAAGAGACGAAGAAGAACAACACGAATTGCAAGAAGAGCAGCCCCTTCAGATCCATCTCGGCCGTTAACTCGCCGTGCTCCTTGGGGAAGACACCAAAAAGAAAAAAAAAAGTACTTTTCTTTCGTTCACGTACTCTGCTCCCTTCGAATTAGAAACGAAAGCAAAAAAATTAGAGGCGGGGAGTCGTGGATATTAATAGAATGCTTAATTTTGAAGAGAGGGTTGGGAATGGCGATTCACTATTCAGAGAGGAATAGTTTCAGAGCCCTCCGTTTTGGCCCTTCGGCGTAAATTGAAGAATGGAGATGGCGGAAGGCGAGGAAGGAGATGGAGAAGGAAAAGCCAGGAATAGACCGACCCAACAGAAGACCGCATTTAGTTCGTTTCATTCCTTTTGGGAAGGGAGAATAGATAAAGTTAATTAATCATTAAGTATGAATTGGTCGTTTTAACGGATGATTAGTGATGACACGTCACATGGGAATTTCTAGTAAAATGCAGTAACCTTTCCGATTAATAATCGATTAAAACAAAATGATTAATCAAATAATAATAACCCTTGGAGTCTTGTTACGACTTTCTTCGCCAATAGAATTACCCGGACCGAAACAGAAAATTATGCCATCCTGCCAATAACTAAAAACATATTTTAACTCAACACATTTGCTTGCTAAAGATAAATTTTCTAGATCATCAAATGCATTGTATAATGTCTATAAAAATGTTAGTTTATTTGATTGTCTAACGAGTTTAGCTGCCTCTCGAAATACCACTTTTTTCAATTATGGATTACACGAGAAGTAAGTTACACAATCGAATAATTGATAATTTGATAAATAAATACGTGATTGAATATATCGAAAGAAATATACAATTGAATAAATATTACATAATTTATTCATAAATAGGACCCCATTGAGATTGAATCCTCACAACGGCACTCAGTATGGGTACGAAGAGTCAACAACTTATTTAGGTTGAAAGTATCTGACGAGTCCCAAAAATAAAAGACGATTATGTCTCTCATCCTTTTTATTGACGATATTCGTATCTTCATCACTTTCGTTGTCGTCTTCCATGTCAAACGGTTAAACGTAAATTGGAGATAGACAAATGAAGAGAAAATGTAAGCTACTAGAAACGGAATAAGGGATCCTAATTACTACATTGATGGAAGACATCAAACCCTAAACCTCATCACATGAGGCCTTCACTTCATCCTCTTAATCAAAATTGGGTTGGCTTGACAAGGAAGCCACACTTAGGGCAATTGCCTAATCGTCATAAAATTATAATAGAGCAGGTTATTTGTTATTTATTTATAGTAAACGGCGAGAATACTTCCGAAGGTTCGTCGTGTCGTGTTCAATCTTCCCCTCCCCTCTCTGCACGAGATCAGGCAAATTGAACAAAGCCAGCTTGATCGTAACTCGTAAGCTCTCCCTCCGTTTCCTGGTTTCTCTCGAAGGAAGAAAAGCTTCTTGGGGTCGGTGGTTCTTCGCTGTCACAAGGAATCTTATTAGGGTTCCGTAAGGTGACTGGAAAGTTGGAATTCCGAAGCTCCTTTCCATATCTTTGTTGACACCGTTGTTAACATTTTTCTGGGCATTTTCTGCCGCAGAAGGGACAGTATAACATGGCTCTGAATCCGCAGCTTCTCCCGAACGGATTGCCCGTTCCATTCGTGAACGAGATGTTTGTGTTGGCTAGAGATGGCGTTGAGTTCGAAGTCGACAAGATTCCCGGGTCTGTCCTCTTTCTCCTGAATCTGTTTTCTTTTCTTCCCCCCCTGATGATCCATGTTCGGTATTGAACTGAGCTGATGGGTTTCTCTCCAATTTCCGCTTCTAGGATCAGCCCGTAATTTGGGTCAGTTTCTAGTGTTTGGTCTAATTTCGATTGCTTGTAGAATAAGTGATCAAGATTAGCTCAAATTCGTTGCTGTTTGTTCTCGCATTTCCTTCCATCAAGATGTATGTTTCTTAGAAGGTTAGATTTAGTAGTGGTTGTATGTCTCTTCCGTGAATGTGGAAATGGAAGTGTTCCTTTTGCTGGCTTCTAGCATCAAAACCCAAGGCTAGCAGCATATGGTTTTACTGCTCTTAGGTTAGCTGTTGTCAAAGTTAGGTGAAAACAGCTGCAAAGCATTCTGAAATATGCAATTTAGCTTTTGGCATGAATTCACCAAAGGCAGTGACTTTAATTCAGTTTAGCTCTTGGCATGGAGTCACTTGATATGCACAATTTAGCTTTTCACATGGAGTGACTTGGGTAATGCCTTTAGTATTTGTGGGTGATTCTTGAATGTGGTTGAATTCTGCAGGTCTAGGTTAAGTATCCTGCCTATCTTACTGCACCCTTAGATCTCTTTTATAAGTATAATTTTATTTTGAATGAACATAAATATAAATTCATTGTCGAAATCAGGATGGCTTTAATTCTATCCAATCCTTTCCCAGGTTCCACTAGTTATTCACACTAGTTGAAACCAAAGATTTTTGGTACGATGTGCTTTGATTAGATGTGATCATTAGGAAACTGGATAGCTTTAGTTTAAGATAGGGGCTGAGACCAGCTACTCAGGGGATTGCTAATGTGATACTGAGGATCATGTATCGTGCCCCTGAATTGATCTTCAGTTCTGTGAGGTTGGCATGAGGTTTAGAACTGGCAGTTTGTCTTCAACATGTTTGAAAATCGGGTCCACTTGCTCGGAGATAAAAACGGAACTCATAATAAGGGGAATAGGAGTGCTGCAGCAGCAGCCCACAGTTAGGCTTTCCTGTCTGGTCTGTTGTGAACTTTGAGAAGCGAGGACTTCAATTTTAGGTGGAGGTGCAGTAGTAATTGGTAAAGTTGTATAAAAGGTAGAGTTAGTGGTGTTGAAGAGTTTTTAAATAAAGACAACTGAGGAGAAACAGGTCTAGGATGAGATAGGATAATATTGTTTCCACTTTCTTGAATTGATTGGTGCATTGGCTATGACCGCATTTGATGAGCTCAAGTTTCCTAAGTCTGGATTATTGCTTGTAACTGCAGAAGTAATCAGGTCAAAGCTAGAGGAACTATATACTTGTCGAACGTACGTATGGTTTTTGTTGCAAATAATCCCACTGGAAGCTTGGCTGCTTTTGATATGCCCCTGGTATGTGCTCTTAATGCTAAGTCTCTAATGTGGGTTTATGATTGTTTTCGTTCGTATGTGTGAAGCAGTTCTCACTAGTTTATCTTTGGCAACTGTTAGTGGTTAGGCATAGCATTCATGGATTTTCTGTTGTATCTTTGTGCCTTTAGTTGGAAGGTCAAATGTATTATATATGTTGTTGTGAGATAAACTATGGACAAATACACAAATATGCACCTAAGTCAAGGTTTACTCTCACTTATTCATCCATGTCAGGAGCTAAATTTTTTGCTTCTCATGGCTCATGAAATCAATTATATGATACTTCTGATAATTTACCCCTAACTCATTAAAATGGAACTACAACTCTACAAGGTGTGGGTGGTGCTTTACTATAAGTCATCCAAAAGTGAATATCCTCTGAAGTTATTGGTTCTGTTTTGGACCATGTTTCCACAGTTATGTGTGAAAATGTCTTCCTATTTGTTCTAATGGACCAGAAAACTAATTCCGAAATTGAGTCCAGTGAGGGGTAGAGAAGCGAAAAAGAAGATAATGACTCTGTGGTGTGGTGGTCGGGAAAATGTGTGGGGAATGAATGAGTTGCTTGTTGAGCATAGTTAGACTTAGTTGTAAGAGCTTGTATGAGAAAGAAGATAATAACTCTGTGGTGAACCGACTAATCCTGGAACTTCGTTTTTGGTTGTTTGTTCATTTTGTTCACATTGATACTGGTTTAGGACCTAGCTGGTGGCTTCTTTGCTAAGTAGCTTACCAAATTGTATCCTGTTGATATTTAGATGCAGGGGAGTGTAAGAATTGTAGTTCATTAGGGGAAAACATTAACCAATGGATGGGATATCCTTCTTGATGTCTTTTAACTCAAACAACCTAGACAGGTTGACGAAACATTTAAATGTTGGAAATTCATGCTCAGTAATGAAGGTTATCATTTTCCATGACCTCCAGACAAAGCACAAACCTGTCATTCTCCAGTTCATTGCTGCAGAAGGATGCTTGATTTTAACCTTTAGTAATTTATTTTACTACGTTTGGTTCTTCTGAGATGATCCTATCATGTGCTTGAGAAGACCTCTTGGTTTTCTGTTATGGCATTTCTGACTTCCAAGCTAAATATTTCTGTGCAGCTTTATGTCCATGGTGAGAAATTTAACCAACCTGTATTTCACTGCAACAACATTTCTGGTCAGGTGGAACCGGTAAGTATAACTTTAAGATACATGGTACCTCTTGTTGAGATTGTTATCACATTTTTCTTTGAGCTGTGCATTTCATGTCCTAAGTTTTCAATGATGACACTTTCAGGTTGTCCCAGAGAACGAGAACAGAGCTCTCTACTCAACTCACAATTTCAAGATCTTGTTCAAAGAAGGTGGATGTGGAACCTTCATCCCACTGTTCTTCAACTTGATAGCATCAGTTAGGCAGTTCAATCAGCAGCAGCAAAATTATGCAAGAAGCCCTGTTGTGGACCCGTTGCAGGCAGCCGAGACTCCAGCAGTTGATGAAATGATTAGACATGCGTAAGTGAAATCTAGCTCGGATAATGAATCAGAACATATAGATGGTGGGTGGACGATGACGTGAAATTGTTTGGTTTTTTTGTTTCGGCAGGTATGTTGATCCCAATGATCCAACAAAGATCTTCCTGCAGCAGCCAGCTCCAGGAACTGGACCAAGACGTCGTACATATCGGGCATCCGCACCAGATGCCATATGAAGATCCTGCTCATTGCATCAAATTGGAGTGGAACGATGATTAATCGCCTTGCTCTTGTGTGGGAGTCCTATGATATCAAACAGGGAAAGTCGACTTGTATAGGCGCAGCGCATGGTAATAAAAGTAAAAATGACCCGACTGATGTAAATGATGTTTCTTGAATAGTTTGTTTACCATCCTTTGTTTTACGAGTTAACAGACATTACTAGGGTGCCCCACTCTGCACTTTCGTCTGTGACTTTCAGTGTGGCTTTGGTAGATGTTAGATTGTGGTACCCGTATTGTTGGTTGGATTGGATTACAAAAATCGTTCATTTGTTATCCGGTTCGCCTGTGCGATACACATATACAGAATGTTATGTATCAGGCAGTTGAATGCAATCAGATCAAATCACTCATTCATGATGAACCTACAGGTCCTGTGTTTTCGAGTGGTATTACTGGTTGAATCATGTTTATACTCTTTCAATCACGTAAAAAAGTAATTAACCTTCTCAGAAGAGATAAATATGGGTATCGAGATATTCATTTGTTTGCTTGCTTGCAGGGTTACGTCGAGCGTACTGATATTTGCTTCTGTTTCATCGGCTAAATCTAGAGCCTGCATTTCGACTGTTTCGAGGCTCCTCCGCTTGGAAGACGGATAACGTTACATTGGAATGCCCAAAACAGCTTCAGCAGACTTCACCTACATGTCATCTCTGAACAGTTTGTTAACCAAGCAGCCGAAAGAGAAAGCAAAAAGATGCAAGCAAAGGTGCTTTGGATCACGGGAAAAACAGAGCTCGCAGACGAACCCAAAATAGATTTGTAACTGAATCTTGTTACGTGACAGGTTCCACCATGACCCACTGAGCTGCCCTATAAAAGGACGGCACCATTTCCAGCAATTCTCATCTCATCATCACATCCAAAAAAAACATTACCCAAACAGCACAGTACGCAAAGCATCAAGAGACAAAGGAAAAATGAAGGGAGCTGCAGTCATTTCCATGTTGGTTCTGGTTCTGGCAATGACTCAGCTCATTGCCAAGCCAGCCGATGCGGCCATAAGCTGCGGGCAAGTGGACTCAAACTTGGCGCCTTGCATTCCTTACTTGACCACAGGAACAGGGGAACCTGCCCCTAAATGCTGCGACGGAATCCGGAGCTTGAAGGCCAACACCGCCACCGTCGACGACAGGAGGGCTGCCTGTGCCTGCGTGAAGGCCGCCGCCGACCATTATCCGGTCAAGGAAGACGCTGCTTCCTCTCTGCCAACCAAGTGCCAAGTCGCAATCAGCATCCCCATTTCCAAGGCTATCAATTGCGAGACGTAATATATATACACACTCTGTTTTTTCTCTGGTTTCCTCTGTTTTTGTTCTGTTCTATTTTTGTTGAGTATTGATGTTAATTGGGAATCATCACTATAATCGTTTGTGTTTGTGTTTTCTTGTTGATTGCAGCATCAACTAAGTGACGAAGATGAAGGTGGTGAAGTGTTTTGGCGGGTGATACTAAATAAAGCTTCCATGCATGGATGGAGCGAGTCATAATAATATTCACTATATATTTTGAGGCTTTCTCTGCTTTGTTTCTCTGTTTTTGCTCCTGTACTGTTATGTTGAATTTGAATAAGACTACTTTTGAGTAGAGATATTTGGACCACAAAGGGTTTGATACAATATAACGATCGGTTGATCCCAATAACCCGAATTATCAGAAGAGAGATCGAATAATAGAACTTATGCCACATATTAACGGCTACTCTGTTCGTCGACCTGGGAGGCGAATCAGCATCTAACAATATCCCGTTTCAGCCATGGCGGTCACCTCAGTATGCCCCCTTCTCCAAGAGAAAAATCCATCCACAAAGTGTTCTTCGTTTGCTTGTGCAGTTGTGCGAGAGTGTGCTTGGCGTCTTGTGCTTGCAGTGGTCAGCATTTTTTGCTAACCAATAACCACCACAGCCTCTCGTTCTATCCCTTTATTTTGGGGCCGTTTGACGGTACTGCCCCCCCGAGATATAATAACACTCTTTCTTCTGCCCATCTCCTCAGTCCTCACATCCTCCATTGCTGCAAGTTCAGCTTACCAGACTCTCTTCTTCTTCTTCTTCTTCTTCTACTTCGACAGCTTGCATTTCGAACACTCTCCACCACCACTTAACTGTACAGTAGCTTCTCTTAGCCATAAGGGTTGAGCTTCAACGATGGCTCTCATCCAATTATGCTCCACCTCCTCGTCTGCAATTCGATCGTGTCCGACTTCCTTCCCCAGCTGTTCCTCCGGCCTTCCCACCGTCAACAAGGACCCCTCCATTTCTTTCTCTGGCTTCGTGAATCCCGGCGCCGGAGTTGGGTCTTCCACAATGTCCACCAGGAGGAGGAAGGGTTCGGTTCTGACGGTGAGGTCAAGCATGGAGACGGTCGCCACCGTCGGACAGGTCACGGAGGTTACTAATGACACCTTCTGGCCTATTGTTAACTCCGCCGGAGATAAGACCGTCGTTCTCGACATGTATACCCAGTGGTTGGTATTCAATTTCACTTCTTTCGCTCCTACTATTGCAAATTTTTGGTGCTAAATAGATACTGCTGGTACAGAATTTCGAACCTCTTCTGTCAATTCTGAGTATTGGATTGAGTGCTTGATAATCGAGTGAATCCTCAAATTTAAGCATTTTTTTTTAAACAAAAATTTAAGCAGTTGGGTAAGGTAGGAACTTTTAGTATAAATCGAAATGGGGCATCTTTCTTGCCATTGCAGTGTTGCTAAGCCCTAAAGCAAAGTCACTCTCCTTTCTCATACGGAGAAACTTGTGCTTGCAATGTTGAGCATTCCAATGGCTCCTTTTGTCTTGATAAATGCTGATGCGGGAGACTAGTTATGTCTATTGCTTGAAGGGTTGTGTCGACCCTGCGAGCTCAGCTTAAGGCCCTTGGTAATGATAGGTTCTGATGTCTGAGCGTTGTAGAATCTAGTCATTCCTCCTGTGTAAAGGAATGGTACAAGATTCCTACTTGGGCTCTTATTATGACTTGGGTTATCAGGACAAATGGTTTGTTGACACGGTTTTAGCCTTTGAGCGAGATTTCTCTTCCAACAATTCGATTTATTGGGTCCAACCTCGACAACTGGTTTCTAAGCTGCAGCCTTGTGGACTTTGTTATGGTCTTATGCACATGATTAATCGTTGTTCTTTCCTAGGTGTGGCCCTTGCAAGGTGATGGCTCCCAAATACGAGGAGTTGTCGAAGAAGTACCTCGATGTGGTGTTTCTGAAGCTGGACTGCAACAAAGATAACAGGGTAAGTGGATCATATAAAAATTGCTCTTTTCATTCTGGCCTTTCGCACATTCTAAATGCTTGCATGGCCTGTACTGGTTTGTGGGCAGCCATTGGCCAAGGAGCTCGGGCTTAAGGTGGTACCAACTTTCAAGATTCTCAAGGACAAGAAGATTGTAAAAGAAGTGACGGGTGCCAAATACGACAACCTTGTTCAGGCAATCGATACTGTTCGATCCGGTTAAAGCTACTGCACAAGAAAGTTAACATGCATCGGCGGCAAGTATTCGATTGGCTGGCTTTGCAATGATTTCTAACCTTCTTGCTTGTACCTGTGTTTCTAGCTCATTTATGTTTCGGCTGCAATGGAGTTCGATCTGTAATTCTATGCAAAGAAGCTGGGTGGGTGATAGAAGGGATGATCTGCAATCTGCATTGCGTGTATTGGTACTGAGAGGGAAACAATGTAAATGCGTACATTACTGTGATCCAATTGAATGAAGAAGAATGGGATATGATAAGGCTTTCCTGGTTGTCAAGAAAAGAACTTTAAAGCAGTAAAAGGGAAGAGAATACCGTTAAAGTGGCTAGCGCGGGCGACCAACCAACCTCAGCGGGACAGTTGGTGCTTGCTTTCCTTTTGTTTCAAATAACTTTTAAATCAATTAATCAAATAAATAATGGTAAAATATTGACGATCGGATTTGTTTACAATTTACACACTCTGCTCTGCTTTGTGGATCGTCATCGCCGTGCAGAAAACTGGATAGGGAATTGGGAGAATCTCCGATCACAGATCACAATTCAATACTCACAGCGGCCGCCGTCATCACCCCGCCGGACGGTTAGTTCGACAATGCCGCGACCACCACCGCTGCCGGCGTCCTCCGCCTAAAAGTCAATGGTCAAAGAAATCCCCCCCCGCCAATCAGCCTTCTCCTTCCTAATTCCTTCTTCTTTCCCACAAAACCCCCCAAAAAAGTTTAAAAAGTAAGACCTTTGGCACTTTTTTTTGTTTGGGTTCTTCTGATTCCCTCTCTTGGTGCGTCTCTTTTCGCGATCCTCTGGAGAAAGGAGAGAGAAAGAGAGAGTGAGAGACAGAGACAGAGAGAATAAGATGTGTGGGATATTTGCGTATCTGAATTTCAATCTCCAGAAGGAAAGGAGTTACATACTCCAAGTACTATTCAATGGACTCCGGCGGCTGGAGTACAGAGGCTACGATTCTGCAGGCATCTCCATCGACAACTCAACCTCCTCTCGGCCCCTCGTCTTCCGCCAGGAGGGCAACATCGAGTCCCTCGTCAAATGCGTCTACCAAGGTACTTTTTTCTCTCTCCTTTTCTCTGATCATCAATGGCGGTTTCAGTTTATACACATTCATTTCGACTATAATTCGTTCATTATCGGCATAGCTTTCTTGTTTACAGTACTTACTGGACTGGTTTCTTAGCATCAACTTAGTTTTGTTCTTTTCAAGTTTTACTGTTTAACTACATCTTGTGACGAGGCGACTGGAACTAGCTTCCCTTCCTTCATTATTATTATGGGCCTGCTTTCCATGATTATGTTAGCATTCTGTCAATTTGTGCTCCACCAAGAAAGGGATGGGACTGGAAATGGGACAAGACACCTCTTACCACTCCCATTTGTGGCCAAAAGTTATCAACTTTGTTTGTTTACCTCTGTAGAATATGATAGAAGTGGTCCAACTGAGGATTTCCTTTTATGAATTGTTCTTAGTGGCCCCTTTCTACTGCTGTTCCTGCTGTGTATCCCTCTGCTGCCTTGCCTTTCTACTTACTGAGTGGAGCTTCTCACTGTGGAATTTTTACATCTCTGACGGTTAGCTGCTGCTGTTTGATGATCATTTCTAAAGACCCTTTAAGTGAAAGCTAGAAAGCTAATCAGCATGCCAAAAGCGTTCAACATTGTCATTGTAGGATTATGGTTCTTCTGACATTATTCTTAAAATATCTATACTAGGAGCATGAGTTTCCATGAAAATGCAAGCTCTTTTTAAAGATTAACAATTTTGGTTTCCCCCTGGATACGAGCTCTGTGTCGTCAAGTTGGCTTGGAGTGTAGACACGACTGACATGTTCCTGTAATTGCAGAGGTTGCCAGCATAGACCTTAACTTGGAAGAATCATTTGATGTCCATGCTGGAATAGCTCATACACGGTGGGCAACCCATGGAGTGCCAGCTCCAAGGAATAGTCATCCCCAGGCATCTGATTCTGGAAATGAGTTTTTGGTTGTCCACAATGGAGTGATAACAAATTATGAGGTTTGCTTATGATTTCAACTATAAATACTTTTCTCTTTGTCCAAATGAAAAACTTTTTTCATCAGTCTGTTGAGGTTTTGTTGTCTCTTTCATTTACAGGTGTTAAAAGAGACATTAGTTCGACATGGATTTACTTTCGAGTCCGAGACTGACACTGAAGTTATACCAAAGCTTGCCAAGTTTGTTTTTGACAAAGCAAATGAAGAAGAAGGTATGTGGGATAGCCTGCAAAGTGCTTTGCCTGCTCCTCGTTTGGTGAATCTGCTTTTATGAATTTTTAAGGGATGCTACTCCCTTTCTGCAGTCGCAAAAACTCTTGACCATTTGCCGCTTCACTGATTTGACTAGTCACTTGCTCAGAATTATAGGCAAATAACAAGCAGGCATCACTGAAACAAGGTTTCACCTGTATAGTATATTTAACTTCAGACAAATCCTAATATGTTTAAGTAATAAGCTGCCAACTTCTGATAAAACATTGGTATGGGCCAGGATTTGAATGATTTTGCAAGTCAGCCAGCTCACCATGGTTTAGGGATGTCTGGCTGTCTCCTAATGCACTGAGATGTAACATATGCAGCTTACATGTTAATGCATATCATCAAATGAATATTTCACTGTATGTTTCACAGTGGCTGATGCAGGTTGCAGCTTGACTGATTGGTGGTTTATTTTTCTGATTCTAGAATGTATTTCACTTGGCTTGTTTCATGTTGATTTGGAATGTTTATATACTGATAGATAGGAGTGTTCATGGCATCTTTTGTCTGGGTTTCAGGGACCCAGACAGTTACATTTAGTCAGGTCGTTCTTGAAGTTATGAGGCACCTCGAAGGAGCTTATGCCCTCATTTTTAAGAGCAGACACTATCCAAATGAGTTGATTGCATGCAAACGTGGAAGTCCATTGTTGCTGGGTGTGAAGGTAAGTCACAGGATTGTTGATAACCTATTTGATTGTGTCTTCTGATAGGGCTGCAAATTCAAGGGATTTTCTGATGAATCACAGTAGTCACTAATGATAAAAGCTTTTGTGTCGATGCAGGAATTAGCTGAAGAAAACAACAGTGGGCCAGCCTTCCAGGATGCAAAATTCCTCTCAAAGGATGGGCGCCCAAAAGAATTTTTCTTGTCCAGTGATCCCAATGCAATTGTTGAGCACACCAAAAAGGTCTTGGTAATTGAGGATGGTGAAGTAGTCCACTTAAAGGTAGTTCTTCATTTTCATCTCTTCAGTTAAGCAGAATATGTATTGGAAGTCGTTCTGTTTTTACTAGATATGTATATGCGTATGTGCTAGAATTTACATGTTCAAATATTGTGCCGTTCAATGTTGGCCAGCAGATCACAGCTTAGGAATTTCTTGCCTAGGTTCTTTTCATCTTTGGTATAACAGAAAGATGCTTGGTTTTTTTTTTTTTTGCCGATTTAACACAGACCGATGCTAGGTTAAATGTAGCACATATACATATATGTCTAGCACAGCCTTTTAAGTGCCACTTGATCCTGAATTAACTTCTCAGTATTCTTGATCCACCTAAGTGGTTCAGTGCTAAATTTATTTAGCATGTGACATGCAAGATTTTGTTCAGAAGAGAGAGCATTTAATTTGGGGAGTGAAACTGAAGGTGATTTGGTACTTGATATTGGTTCATTAAAACTCCAACCCCGATTTCCTCATATTTATTAGTTATTTGATACATCTTAATTTCCCAGGATGGAAATGTCTCGATCCTAAAGTTTCCTAATGATAAGGGGAGACATGGCGGCACCATCGCCAGACCAGCCTCGGTACAACGAGCATTGTCTGTTCTCGAAATGGAAGTTGAACAGATAAATAAAGGAGGGTATGAACATTACATGCAGAAAGAAATTCACGAGCAGCCAGAATCTCTGACGACTACCATGAGGGGAAGGCTCATACAAGGAGGTTCCTGTAAGGCAAAGACTGTTCTTTTGGGTGGACTTAAGGATCATATGAAAACAATTCGAAGAAGCCGGCGCATTGTTTTTGTTGGATGTGGTACAAGTTATAATGCTGCTCTAGCTTCTAGACCAATCCTGGAGGAACTATCTGGTGAGTGGTGCTTTTAGATGCAGTAGTATTGCCATCTCAAGAATAACCCAGTAAAGTTATATTCATAAGAATCATTTCCCAAATAATATATACCAGTCTATCAATTATCACAATCTACCTTCCCTTCAATTCGTTTTCTTTAAACCCATGTTTGATCAACTCAACCTTTACTAACCCCTTACCAAATATACTTTTTCTTCAATTTTACTAACATGCAAATACAATTTTATTTCTTTTTCGTTGGGAAAAAAACTGTAGGTGTGCCTGTTACCATGGAAATTGCGAGTGATCTGGTGGATCGGCAGGGACCAATATACAGAGAGGACACTGCAGTGTTTGTGAGTCAATCTGGTGAAACCGCAGATACATTGCTTGCATTGGAGTATGCTCTTGAAAATGGTGCATTATGTGTTGGCATAACAAACACAGTTGGCAGTGCAATTGCAAGGAAAACTCATTGTGGCGTTCACATTAATGCTGGTGCTGAAATTGGTGTAGCAAGTACCAAGGTAGGATGGTCGATTTTTATTTCATTCTGTTGTCTTTTGCCGTGCGCTGTTTTTTATTCATTTCTCGCTTAGCTTTTGGCTTTTCTGTTAACAGGCTTACACAAGCCAAATAGTTGTGATGGCTATACTGGCCCTAGCTGTTGGTGGTGACACGATTTCAAATCAAGCAAGAAGAGAGGCTATAGTTGATGGTTTATATGACTTGCCCAGTAAGTTAGTTTATTCAACATGGTTGGTTCCCCTCTGAGCTTTTGTTTTCAGATGTTCCTGTTCACTGTGATTTCTTTTGTTCGTGTAGGCAAAGTTAGAGAGGTGCTAAAGCTCGACAATGAGATGAAGGATCTCGCAAAGCAATTAATAGCAGAGCAATCGCTGTTAGTATTTGGAAGAGGTTACAATTATGCGACGGCACTGGAGGGGGCATTGAAAGTGAAAGAAGTATCACTTATGCATAGTGAAGGGATGCTGGCTGGTGAGATGAAACATGGTCCCCTGGCTTTAGTTGATGAAAATCTTCCAATTATAGTTATTGCTACTCATGATGCCTGCTTCAGGTTAGTTGTTTTGTTTCTTCCATACTTTTCTCAGCTAGTTCGTCAATGTAAAAGCTCTGTGGCACTAACATAGCAATCACTCGCTCGCTTTTACAGCAAGCAGCAGTCAGTTATTCAACAACTTCATGCCCGTAGAGGGCGCCTGATAGTGCTGTGTTCTGAAGGGGATGCTGCATCAGTATGCCCTGGGGAATCTTGTAGAGTCATTGAAGTCCCCCAAGTTGAGGATTGTCTTCAACCTGTAGTCAATATTGTTCCATTGCAGGTAATTTAAAGCATTACGTTATGTTACTCCATGATCATACTAGTAGCAGTTATCGAAGTTGCTTTATCGAACAGTGTAACCTGCATTGAGAGCTAGGTTTTTTTACATTGACCAAGTTTTTGGTTTTTTGGCAAGCAGTTGTTGGCATATCATCTCACTGTTTTGAGGGGTCACAATGTTGACCAGCCTCGTAATCTGGCAAAGAGTGTGACGACGCAGTAAAGAGAAAGATGAAGTTGGAAGTGACAGTGCAGTTATCTGTGGTTTTGCTCCATGCCAAAATGCTTCTAGAGAGGGGGAAGGCGGCGTTTTAGTTGCTTAATCTTCCACCCAAATCCCAATGGAGAGCAATATTTTTAGATTGCTCCGAATCAGCAGCACTGGATCAAGGTCTGGTGTTTCGTCTTGGTAGAACGGCTAAACAGGGTTGTGATTAGAGAGATTGAGCGGTCTTGCTGACCCAACTGAGGGAAGTAAATTAATTAGTAGACTCCTAATGGCTGATGATTCTATTCTAGGATTCCTTCCTGCAAATGTTTATTTGTTCAGGCAATCGGCTTGTAGTTGTGGTACTTGGATGAGGCGTCAGGAATCGGTATAATCTGATGGTGTTGTGGTTTTAACCTCGGGACTTAGTATCAGCCAAAACTATTTTACAGGAAACCACACAAAGATAACAGAAATCTAGTTCTATAACTATAAGCAACCAACGCTTAAACTTCCTTCCCAAGCAAGAAACAAAATTTGTTTGCAAAAGGCTTATAACACCTCACAACATATAACCATAAAATGAACATAGAGATAACCCACAGCTCCCATGGAATATGGTGGAAGGTGGTGTACTGGTGTCACAAATGTTTATGTCTGGTTGTTACATTACACAGCAGAGACGCTCAAAATTTCAGAAAATGTCTTCGCTCACTGTTCTGGTGCTACTTCCTCGGTCACTTCAATTTCCTCTTTTTGGTCCTTGCCATTTAAGACCTTCGACTCTTTACCCTGGGCAATTATCTCTTTCATGCCCTCGTCGCGAACTGAAAGCCTTTCCAGTAGTTCCTGGCAGTCAATGGCCGTCACCATAACGCTCAGACTACCTCTGCCTTTCCAGCAACCGACTGCTATTGTCGATGCATCCACCTTCACTGTATCCGATGAATCTTGGTCGTAATCTGCACACAAGAAATGGCAAAGGCATTATAAACCTTTTGCCCAGGATACTTTGATTGACAACCCTACATAATATTAGATTCGTTCGCACCTTTTTTCAGAACTATCACACAGCAGCCCATCATTAGCTTCGATGCCTTCTCCCCAAAGCCCGCACCAACAAAATCGTGAAACTTGATGGTTTTATACTTCAGAATATGAATGAAGTCCACTGCTGTTGCGTTTAGGATTTGCTTGGTTATGTGAGGGAGTATCAAAGGAAGCCCTTCTGAAGAGATTCGGAACGAACATGAAGCATCTGTGCCTTCTCTTGATGTTTGTCGTTCCTTTGGGAACGTGCAAGTGGAAAGCGCAGTGATTATTATTTTATAACACAAGAAACCAAAATTAAGATTTTGAGACTCAGATCTCATGTCAGACAGGTAAGTGGTAAATGGAAACCTAAGAAAGATATAGGGTGCATTTGCTTAGCCTACAAATTAAAGTTGAAGTACAAACTTTATCAATCCTACATAGCAGGCCTCTGTGGTATTTGCTCAGCCTTATAAATTCTAGATTCAGGGCAAGCAAGCAGAAATTACTGAGACAAAGGGTTCTTGAAGACAGCTAACCAGGAGAAAAAAAGATTGAGATGAGAAAATACTTACAAACATTTTCAAGCCAACAGAGGCAATCTTGAGCTGCTGGCCAACGAGAATATTCAGCTCAAGAGCATCCTTCACCGACTTGGAGATGTAATAAATTCTCTTCACATGGTTACTATCACTGTTTCTGGATATGAGATGGCCCTTGAACGGAAATGACTCATCAATACCATAGAATGCAATTATACTGTTGATAGTAGGTTCATCGTTGAAGAAAAGTACAGGGTCCACTCCTTTCCATCTTCCTTGCGTTTGCAATTTTCTCTTTCCAGTAGCCTTATCAGGATCGCTCTTCCCATTAACAGTCACTCGGGCATCTTCCAAAGCATTATCGGTAGACACATCATCACATGGAGTAGCTTCCATGGGAACATCCTTTTCCTCTTGTTCATTATCTACCAAATCAATATCTGAAGCAGCTTCAGAAGCAGATTCCATGACGACGCTTTTTGATTCTTGCCCTTGTTCATCATTATATTCGACAGATGGAACTGAATTTTGTTCTTGAGTTTCATCCTTTTTAGCTATCGAAATCTTCTGCTTTTTAGGGTTTTCTGGAATTGCTGAGAAACAGGGATGCATCAGTATATGAATATATATATGGATATGCTTCGATGGATATATAGTTTGCAGTTTAGACAAAGAAAACCTGATAATTAGGGATGGATCTTAAACATTTTCCTAGCATTGAGACAGGGTCTGATACAGTAAAATTTAGGCTCCTGATAATTGCATGCGACTTGGTAGTGTTTTACTCACCTGGTAAAGGAGAGAGCTTCTGAAGGACAGCGATGAAAAAGGCTCCACTATTCTGATCATGAGGCACTATCCTCATGCAGCGTTCTAAAGGCAAATCAGAAGTTTCTTCAACAAAATCCTCATTTGAAGTTTGCGATTCTTGGTTTGGCTCAGAATTGCCACCATTCTCATTTTTAATATCCTCCTCAGTTGGAGGAACATATGTCCTTCCAGAAGGAAACATGCCAGGAACAGCTCCAAAATGGCGATTTTTTATGACATCTTTGTGTGAAGCTAACCAAACACCTCTATCACGCACCTGTGGGGAAAAAGAAAGGTGAAGCAATTTGAAGTGTCAAGATAATAATATGACACGCCACAATTCAGCTGCAAGATGAAATTCCCTACACATAACATAGACTGGGATGAATCAGCTTTATAAAATAGCACCTAAAGAAACTTGAGGCTGAAAGAACTTACATAGTTTACAATCAAACGGAACTAATCTGAGGATCAATAAGACAGACTGAAGTCCCTAACTAAGTAGTGCCGGCAATTAACTCCAGGTACACTTTCCTTTTATTCATGCGAACAGAACGAAATCCCACAAGCATACATTAAAATCAGAGGGAAACGTAACTAAGAATCCCTCAAAATCTAATAATACACAAGTTGGACTATTTGATTCTTTCAAATTGTGAAGTCCTCATAAAGCGACAACTACTCGGTTGTAGAAGTGCACAGCTTATACAGTATCGATAAATGGAAAAATGCCTATCTAAACCATAAGAGCTAAAGGAAATACGAACCCCCGGAAAGATACGTTTAACCCTTAGCATAACAAACCATCCCCTTGGAATGGGAAGAGAGTCAACATCAATCATATATTATGGAGAAGGATAAGCTGGAATAACAAACCTTCCATTTTCTTAGGCCAGGCCGGCGAACAAGATTAGGAAGTTCATTTGAAACATCAAGTAATTCAACAGAGCCTCCACATTTTCTTAGAATCTAGACAAATGAAAAAAGGATTATTAGTGGCAAAAGATAATCAAAGTTAATAGAACTCGTAGATTTCACTGGTCAACAAGCTTACTTCCGCGACAACAGCTTCATTCTCGACGGGATTCATTGAGCAAGTTGAGTATACCATTTTTCCACCAACTTTTAGCAAGGCAAGACCTATATCAATCAGGCAGAACATATAAGAGCCTAAGGGGGGGGTAGAGGCCCTGTCGCATACCGCAATCAAAGTACAATTGTAAGATATAGACAAATATAAATTTGGCAAATGGCACATCACTCTCCTCGGATGCATCTCTACCTAATCAGGTATGAAGTAAGAAAAAAGAAGATGACACCTTACACTTCATATGAAAACCTAATGAAGTAAGGAATAGGAAGACGGCACCTTACACTTCATCTGAAAAGCGAAGGTATTAACAGACAGGCATAACCTAGACTAGGCACATTCAAAGTTCTGTTCCTAAGGACAACTTAGACACAATTGGTTGGTCGACTCAAATCTACTGCCATTTATGTATCAGAACATTCCCCTGCTAGTAAGAATTTTTTTTAACATCATCTTATTTGTTAAACAAGAGTTGTCATTATGGTTATAGTCCCAAGTACATTTCCCACTGTCTTAGGCCTGCCAAGAGATGCTTCCTTCTAGCTATCTGTACACAATGCTGGCAAAAGACTCTAAAATCTTAATACACTACAGATACCAAACAGTCACCATCTTTATTCTCTTATTTCTTCTCCTAGCATTCTACCCTCTACAAGAAAAATATTATAAATCAAGGCTGAAGCCTTGTAAGTTGTAACGTCTATAAGACAAAAAGCCACCTAATACTTGTGCACCATAACACCACTTTGACCCAAACAGTGTCATCACAAGGATAACTTAATCAATTTGCTGACAAGAATAGTTCTGATGAAATCATGAGTAGAATGATTTAAGGTTTCTAGAGTTACCGCGCATAGCTATCTGAATTTGTAGGTTGTGAAGCCCATTGCCCATGCCTGGACTCCTGTATCAGGAGTAGAACTCTGAGGATGAGGGCATTGCACCAGAGAATAAAAAGCTAAGACAAAACAAATAGCAGATTATTCTAACCATTTCCTCCACAAATCTGGAGCCTTGCGGAGGGTGCCATCTCCACTGCAAGGAACATCGCACAGGACACGGTCAAAGAGCAGCTGACCCATACTTTGTTCAAGTTCTGGGCCAGAGTGTTTAGATAAGGCTTTGCTACGGCAACCAGGAAACTGTTGAGCCTCATTGTTTGTGACTATCAAGTTTGCAGTGCACATCCTCTTTGTTTGGTGAATGAGAAGATTACATCTTTGAACATCAAGATCATTTGCTATTACCTAAAGAAGACAGTACGACATACTTATAAGCCAATTCGTTACAACCTGAAGAATCCTGCTGAAAACTAGGACAAGTAAAAAGTTGACGAATGGGCTTGTTATAAATTATTTCAGAATATGGAGACTAATAAAGATCAAATTATACTAGAGGTAGCCTAAATACTATGTAACACTCACCATTCCATCTGGAAGCAATCCTGGTTTTGTTGATTGGTATATGATCTCAAGCAGCTGAAATGTTTTTGAACCCGGTGCCGCGCACACTACATAAGGAGAAGGTAGTCAGAAATTCTGCGTTGGATCTGAAACTTCCAAATTCAACCCTTAAATATAGAACAGAAAGGTTGCATGAGAGAACAATTGTGCTCATTCAGAGAAATATTGAGAAACATGAGGGGGTTGAGGTTCTAGGTAACAGAAAAGGAGGGTTATGGGAAGGGGAGAACATCCCCGTTCCTTGCACAAATGGGCCTTCAAATGAAAGGGAAGAAAAGAAGAGTAAGATTGAAGGAGGGAGGTGGTAAGAGAAATTTTACAAAGCTGCATTTATCTAGAGTATAACTCCTTAAAACGGAGATAATTCCAAGTCGGATATCTAAAAGATGAAGGGTCAATGACAGCATGTAGAAAACCAGTAAAAATAAATTTCTCAATGAGCTAATAATTTTCAGCAATAAGATGCTTACTGTCAAGGATAAAGTGTTCTGGACGTACATCAAGGAAAAGTGGTGGAACCTGTTCCAAAATTAAAATAATAATTGGAAAAGCTGATTAACTAGCCAGAAGGACATGCTAAACGCTCTTGTTTGACAGATATAGAGAATCAGGAAACAATCGTGTAAAATTTCCAAATGCTAGGCTCTCACCATGCTGACAGCCTCCTGTCTAGTGATGTTCCCAATTTCATTTTCCAGCTTCAAGAATTCATGAAACCTGAAAAGAATAGCAACTTGTCATCAGTAACAGCTAATATGCTAATTTGCATACATCAATAGACAAATGAATGACAAATAAATAAATAATGGATTCAAAAATCTCCACTGCGTTTACAAAATCAGTATGAGAATGCAACTCATAACAAAACAGGTAAGTAGTATACCTAAATAGAAAACTGTTACTCTTAACACAAAGCGAACTGGATAAAGTGAATAGTGCAAAACTAAACGCCATTTAAGTATCAAATCCAAGGACAGAGCTACCATGTTCTACTATCATCAAATTCCGACCATTGTTCTAGCGGGCATCAAACTCCACCCATGACCCAGAAATGACAGTGCATAACCTGTGCTTCCCATATGTATAATAAGAGCTTTTGTATGCAGATTCTTCCGTTGGATCTTACGAATGATTGCATCATCATTTCTTCTAAATAAATAACCCAACGATGCTCAATGTTTAAATTTGACTCACAAAATACCTCCCACTTTGAATCCCAGTGAGATATATAAAGCAAGCTCCACAAGTGTTCACAGACATATGTGCAACCCACAAATAAGTAGCTTGAGAGTAGCAAAATGGCATACCGCTCAAGGGTTTGATTTTTTCTCAGCTGCATGCGAGAATAGTTTGAATGCCAAGCAAGATTATCAGGGTACCAAGCCAATGGTCTGATAGCCTCTATCTCAACCCCATCAGCGCCCTAGAAGAAGAGAGAAAATGATACATTAAAAAACAAGCTATATTATCCATGGCAAGAAGAACTAATCATTGCTTCTGCAGTCTATTATTGATGTCCAAAAACTATGAGTTACCTCAGCTTGAAGACATTTCATGAAATCATTCTCTAACTGCTGCCTAATATCGGAGGAAAACTGACTACTGCAAAATGGAAGGCCAGAGTTGCATCAATCATCACTAGATACGAACAACCCAAACAAAAAGAAATGCAACAAACTAAGTCGCGAAACAGCACTTCACCTGGAATTTATTCTAAAAGCAGCCGGCAACGGCGTGCGAAGGACCTCCATGAAAGTATCCCACTCTTCCGCCGACACAATTCCTTGCTCCTGAAGATCACCAACCAAGGAGAAACAGAAAACAGTAGAAATCAATTCCAACCCCGCTAAAAACACAGACAGACGGGACGGACTACTCGCCCTCACTTTTACTGAGGGGGCAAATGGGGGAGTACCTTGTAGTACTCATCGAAGGCGGTGTTCTGAGTGGAGAAAGGCTTCCAGCTGCGATCCACGGCGGTGGCGGCGCTGTTTCCGTCGGCGGTAGGGTCGGACTTGGGGCGTTTCCAGGCATTCTCTCTCCCATCTCGGAAGTGCTTTCTCTGAGTTCTCGACCTGCTGCCTCGCCCTCGACCGCCGCCCATTTTTCGTTCTCCGACGCGGAGTTAGCCTTTCCCTCCTGCGGCGGAGAGATGGTTATATATAGAGAGCAGTCTGACGGCGGCAGTTACCCCCGTCCCCGTGCGGCGTGCACCAGTGCTCCACTCAGCGGACGCGAAAAGAGCGGCAGTGGGCTCGGAGTGTGTTCGGTTGAGGCCGGCCCGTAGTCATGACCTGATGTTAAGCCTGTGTTTCGTGGGCCTTCAAAGTCCAACCCTTATGGGCCAACGATTGCTTGGTCTCCTCTCCCTATTTCGCCTATCCATGTTGACCCTAACAAACGGTTGGATTCAGCTTCATTAGCAATCCACGTCACAAATACTTACCCAAATACAACGAATTACATCTATACGAAATCGATTGAAAATCGTCTTATGCAAAGTAATGACTTTCAACTTTCAAAAGTTGCATCTAACTCTGTAAAAATTTTCGTTAAATCATGTAAAACTAAATTTGTAACCAAAAACTTATTTTTTGGTATAAAAATACTGAATTCCTATTTAACGCCCTAACTTTTTAAAAAAAATCGCCCTAACTTTACCCAAACAGACCACACTACCCCTAATTGTTAAAACGGTCGTACAGCCCTCAATCCCTAATTTTGCTCTGCTCCGCGCCTCCACTCGTCGTCGCCGCCACCTCCACCGCTGCGCTGCTTTCATTCAGACTATCCAGTACAGCCAAGTTGTCGTCCTCCCAAAACTAATTTGTTAGAAAAATTTATACAAGCATTTAATTCACTGTTCGCCATTCCCCATTCTCTGCAACAATTTCTTATATCAATATGTGGATCTACATAGTCCTTAACTGATCCATCTATCCGTTCTCCTCACCCAAATCATCCTCCATGTCACTCGTGACCGTCCGCCGCCGCCGCTATCGGTCGGATCCAATTCAAATGATGTCGTCCCCGCCAAGTTAGTCCCGGTGGTGCACGAGTACGACGTGTTCCTGAGCTTGATGGTAGGGGACAATTTCACGAGTTATTTTTACACGGCGTTGCGGGGGCGGCGGATCTTGACCTACATCGACGATGTGAGCCTCCAGTGAGGGGAGGCCATATCGGAGTCGCGTCTTAAGACGATTCAAGAATCGAGGACGGCGGTGGTGTTCTCGAAGAACTAAGCCAATTCGGAGTGGTGTCGGGAAGAATTGGTGGAGATTCTCCGGTGCCGGAAGGGCCAAGCAGGTGGTTTACCAGTGTTCTTCCGGGTGAATCCCGACGATGTTGGGGAACAGAAGGGGAGCTACGAGGCAGCCATGAAGAAGCATCGGAAGTCATCGTCGGCGTTGACCAGGCGGCGGCGGCAGTGGCCAGCGGGGGATTCTTTCTTTTCTTCTTCGTCCTTGTGGAGCGCAGAGCAAGGTTTAGGGCGATGGTATATTGAATTAGTTTTAGGGGTAAATATGTAAACTTAGTTTAATTTAGGGCGATGGTTTTTAAATTTTAGGGCGTTAATTAGTAACTCCCTAAAAATATGTGACGCTAAAAGGATGCCCCTGCTTAGTACGTTATACCATAACAAAGAACCGAGCATTGCTTGTCTTTTACCGTCCAAAAGTTTCCTTCTTTAATCTTTTCATAACTCACGTTCATCTGGCGTAAAATTAATGCGGGATTCCGTCAAATTAATTTAAAACGAATTGGTTAAGATCCCGTCTCATTTATGAATGTTCATTCATTGATAGTTCATGCCTCATTTAGAATTGTCATCAAGATTTCAAAACTTAGAACTTTAAACAGAAACCCTAACCTTCATTTTTCCCTACGTGGCAAAATTTAGAAATTTTTTATCCCATTTCCCAAAATTTCATTTGATCGAAACAGAAAGGACAACAAAACCAGTCTCTGTCCACCAAGCCAACACTTACCCCAAAGGTTCGTTTTTTAAAATGCTGGGCCAGAAATAGGAATTTGGGCCGAGAGACAGACAGTAGACAGTTCGTTCCTTCTGCTCCTAATTTCGTTTTCCCCACCGTCTCCGTCGTCCTCCTCAACCTAAAACGTAAACAAAGTAACCGAACCAGGGGAAAAAAAAAACAAGAAAAAAAAATTAGAGAAACCAACCACTACCCAATTCGTCACCATTTCCCCCATTTCTTCAGCCAGGAGGAAACCCTCGCAAAGCCAGGGGGAAAAAAAAAATCCTTCCCACGCCATGGCCGCCCTGCGAAATCCTCCTACCACCACCACCACCAACCACAACAATTTCCCCTTGCTGCTCTGCCTCTTCCTCTCGATTTCCACCGCCGCGGCGGCGGCGGCCAAAGCACCCACCATCTACGACTACCTCAACAACAACGGCCTTCCGATCGGGCTCTTCCCGGAGGGAATAACGAACTTCTCCCTCGACTCAGCCACGGGGCGGTTCCAGATAAACCTCACCCAGCCTTGCAACGTCAAGCTGGAGAACCAGCTCCATTACGATTTCAACATCTCCGGCCTCCTGTCCCCGGGCAAGATCCAGGAGCTCTCCGGGATGTCGCAGCAGGAGCTCTTCCTCTGGTTCCCCGTGAAAGGGATCCGCGTCGACGATCCCAAGACGGGGTTGATTCACTTCGATGTCGGGGTGGTGGATAAGCAGTTCACTTTCTCTATGTTCGAGATCCCCGGCCAATGCATCGACGGCGGCGAGCAACCTTCTCAATCCTCCGATTCCTACTGGTTTCAGGTTCGCTCTCCGATGAAATTCCTCTCCTTTTTCGTTTTCCCATCTAGGGATTTGATCGAATTGTTTTGTTTTGAGATGCTCTGGCTGACCAAATTTTGAAAAAACCTAGATTGGAAATGTGGGAGAGAACCAAATGGATCTTTGAGTAGGCATTTCTAGGGATTTGCTCACTTTGTCAATCCATGCCCTCTAAATTGGTGGTTTGAAAGTTGAATTGGGTGGGAGAGTCCCAAACCTCAGTCTAGTTGCTTACAGAGTTTCTTGTTCATACAAGCTGAGATTGTGTTGCTAATGGCTGCAATTTTCTATGTGGGTTTCTTTCAGGAACACTATGAGAATCAAGGGGTGTTGAGGGCGGATTCATAGACCACCACCATTGGAGGTGGGAGCAAGGGGATTTTGCTGCTGCTAATGCTGCTTGGCTTCTTGAGGGTGGAGAGAAAGCAGATATCTGTTTGTAATCTAAGCACAGATTTGCCCTGTCTTTGTGTTCTTTCAAGGTGGTGTTTGTTGCTTGCAGTGCGCCTTGCTTTGTTGTATAGAGAGGTTCTTCTATGTTGTGAAATATGTTGATGATGATGATGGAAGAATGAAAGCCAATGTCTTTGAAGAATGCAAGTATTGACAATCTTTATATCAATCAAGGATCATATCTGTATACATAGATTTTGTATGCAAACAATCAATTAGTGCCATTGCACCAGAAGGTCTGTTGATAGTTGAATGTTACTTTATGTTGGTGAACTCGCTCTACATAATCTTATTATTATTATTATTATGTGATTAATGTTTGATACCTATCAATAATGAAGCTGAAACTGTTAATAAACAGTGATCAAACACTCAACACTCAACAGACGAGACTGAAATGATGATTATCATTATTAGTCAAATGATGGTATGTTAACTAATATTACGATCGGTTTAAAACAACTTTTTTCATTATGATTCAGTAAGATAAATTGTGTATTTTAGTAAAATGACAGAGTAAGAAATCTAGATAAGGCGGCTAAAAATCTATATTTTTGAAGAATTTGAATTAGGGTTAATACCTTAGTTTGGCCCGAACTATACACATACTTTCTACTTTGGCTCGTGGTATTGGAAATTGCTATTCTAGCCTCAACTATGTAGCAAACTTCCTCATTTGGCCTAGAGGCGGGTTTGACCGTTAAATTAGACGGTCAAACTTGTTGACCGTTAGTCAATGTCCACCTCACCTGCCACGTCAGCTTTGAGGACATAAAAAATATATTTTTTATTTCTGAATTTCGTTTTCTTGCCATTTGCTAAAAATGAGCCCTTTTTCGTTCTTTTAAATATTTTTTTTGATTTATTATTTTTATTAATCGAAAAAAATAAAATTCAGAAATAAAAAAAAAAATAATTTTGTATGTCCTCAAAGCTGACGTGGCAGGTGAGGTGGACATTGACTAACGGTCAACAGGTTTGACCGCCTAATTGACGGTCAAACCAGCCTCCGGGCCAAATGAGGAAGTTTGTTACATAGTTCAGGCCAGAATAGCAATTTTCAATACCACGGGCCAAAGTAGAAAGTATGAGTATAGTTCAGGCCAAACTAGGGATGGCAATGGGTCGGGTTGGTCGGGTTTTGCCAATTACCCGGGTTTATCTTGAAAAATACCCGGGTAAAATCCACTGGGTTTGAAAAACTCAAACCCAACTCAACCCGTTGGGTATCCGCGGGTTCATGGGTACCCACGGGTTTGGTCGTAAAAAATTTACAATTACAACTTCTTATCAAAATTAAAGTCAAATATCAATCTCTCAATACAAATTATCCATATATAAAACACCATTCTAGAAAATTCAAGCAAATCATAAATTAACTATACAAATTGTTCAACACCAATCTAGAAAACTCAAGAAAATTGAAGCAAATCACAGATTATCCATAAATAACATGTTTAATTGAAAGCTTCTTCCTTTCAATTAAGTTTCTTTACTCTCCACTCCATAACATCAACTTCATTCTACACAATTAAAAAGAAAAAATTAGACATGTCTCCACAAACATAAATAAGATTAGTTGTTTAGAATATTAAATATACCGAAAAAATTAATTATATGAGTGGGTGGGTACCCACGGGCCGGGTTTACCTAAACCCAACCCAACCCGGTGAATAGTGAACGGGTTTAAACCCAAACCCGGCCCAAAACCCGTCAACACGGATTTTACCCGCGTTGACCGGGTTGGGTTGGGTGGGTACCCGTGGGTTCGGGTTTTGTTGCCATCCCTAGGCCAAACTAAGGTATTAACCCTTTGAATTAATAAGGAACTAAAGTCTTACCAACTACTACTTTACCAAATTAATTTCAAAATTTACTTGTAAAAATTTGAGGGGGTCATAGCTTATCCTCATATCCTGCCATCAATGTGCTCTGTCGAGAGGAGAAAGCGGAAATCAGAAGAACGACTGGTTTCGCAGACTCCAACTGCCACTCCAAGTACCTGGGAGTCCCCACAGAATGGGGGAGATCAAAAAAGGAAACATTCGATTTTCTCATTCAACGTATGGAAAGGAAGGGGGAAGCATGGAAAAGCCTCTTACTCTCCCCAGGAGGGAAGGAAACACTCATCAAAGCGGTGTTCCAGGCTATTCCAACCTTTATTATGTGTCTGTTTCTGCTGCCGAGAGGTACTACAAATAAAATGGATACCATGCTTAAACGTTTTTTCTGGGGAGGGTCTACCACCAAGAAGACTATTCACTGGATTAAGGGCAGTTCTCTTTATGCACCTAAATTGGAAGGCGGCATTGGTTTTCGACCTTTCCATGAATTCAACATGGCTCTTCTGGCTAAGCAAGCGTGGAGGATCCTTACCAACCCGGAAGCTATCTGGGTCAGACTTATCAAAGGTTTGTACTTCCCCCGAGCCACCTTCCTAGAAGCTAAAAAAGGAGGAAGGGCTTCTTGGATTTGGTCTAGCCTGTGGGAGGCAAAGAACAGAATGGCACAAGGGATTATCCGAGTGATTGGCAATGGAGTTTCTACTAGAACCTTCCAGGATCCATGGCTCTTCGGGAGAGCAGGAATTCTATTCCCTCAACCGACCTCTTTCCCTGCCACAGTGGACAGTTAGATCGATGAGGTTAATAGAACCTGGAAGAAGGATATTTTGAAAGATTTTCTCCCTCAGCAGGAGCTCGAGCAGGTCATGAGTACGCCGATCGGCCCGGGTAATATGGAAGACTACTGGGCCTGGAGATACACAGAACGAGGAGATTTCACGGTAAAGTCTGCTTTCCACTCATTCCACAATCAAAGGCGCAGAACCCAGGGGGATTTCCAGGAGCCTTCACCAAGTACCAAGTAAAGATGGAAATGGCTATGAAGTATCTCGCTTCCCCCGAAGATGAAGTTTTTTGTCTGGAAATGTAGCAGGGGAGCAATTGCTACTAAAGAGAATCTCCATAAGAGGAGTTGCGCACAAACAAATATGTGCCCCCTGTGCACGAGGGCTGTGGAATCCATCCATCACTGCCTTTTTGAATGCCACCATGCAGCAGAAGGTTGGAGGCAGGGATGGCCTGCCCTCGTGCTCCCACATCAAAACATCAACATCCTCGACTGGATTCATTCCCTCAAGCAAAGGTATACCATGACATCCATCCAACACATTGTTTATCAGATGTGGCATACTTGGAAGGCTAGAAACGAATACATTTTCAGAGAGAAGCGGATCTGGCCGCCTGATACTGCCAAACAGGCCCTTTCCAGTTTCAACCAGTGGATTTCCTGCCCACGGTTGAGGAGATTTCCCCAGCATCACACTCAGCCCATTCCACCCCCGGATCACTCTACGACCACCGCCAGGTACTCATTATTTTGAGATACATTGTGATGGATCGTTCCTACACGATCCCAGGAGGCGACATATGGCGTTGTTATTTCAAATTGCCATGGTCAAGTGTGCAATGGGAAGGCTGAGCCTTTACACTGCTTTCACCAATTGAAGCGGAAGCCAAGGCCCCTTTGGAGGGAACCCGATGTGCGATCCAGCTTGATTCGTCCTGTCTCATCCGCTCGGACTGCCTCACTCTAGTGCGTGCAGTTCAAGGAGGTCCAGGTCCTTGGCCATGGCGTGCTGCGGCCTTGATCGAGACTATTAGACAGTTGATTTCTTCTTTCCCTCGGATTCGTGTCGATTTTTTCAGTAGAAAGCTCAACTCTATGGCTGACTGGGTGGCCCGTTCCTGTGTTAGGAATTGCTTACCCCAGGGTTGGATTCAGATCTTAGATATTGTTGCACCTCTACTGTAACCTTGGTATCTTCCAAAACAAGTAATGAAAAGTAGTGTCTTACCGTCAAAAAAAAAAAAATTGTGCTCTGTCACTGTTCTAGTCTTAATGAAATCAATAACAACTAAAGAAATTTTATTTTTAATTTTCACTGTAAAACATTGTTTTATTCTGCAAGCCCAGCACCAACGCAACAGCCACTTAAAAGCAAATATATATCCTGGGAAAACTTGTACAGTGCAACTATCTTCCTCGCTTGGTACAAATTAAAACAACTAAGTTCAACCTGCGGACGAGATATAACATTTAGCAGTCAGTCACTGCCACCTCTTCAACCAAAGGCCAACACAAACAAGAACATCAAGCCTTTCCCTCAAGAGTTCACTAACGGTCCTATGTAATATAACCAAACCAGGGAACCGGTCTCTTCTGCAGCAGCGTGATAATCCTAGTACCGATCATGGCGCCTGTGACAAAAGGCCGATCGGTGAAACAGTTTAGTGATTGAAACTAGATCAAACTTGGATAGGTAATTGATGGGTAATGCATACTACCTGTTGCGGTCATAATCCCTAGAGCTTCGTTCCTTGGAACGAGATCGCGACCTTCTGCGACTTCTGTCATAATCCCTGTCACGCTCCCGATCACGGTCATATCCATGATGATCTCGATCGTGGTACCTGTCACGATCCCTGCTGCTTCTACTACGGTCGTAGTCCCTGCTGCCCCTATCACGGCTACTCGCCCTGTTGTCACGATCCCTACTCAGTTCTCTCTCAGGGTCCTTACGATCTTTGGACCTAGCAGGTAAACAAATTCGTTACAGTTATAGCAGTTGCAAAATGAAACGATGGATGAAAAATACTATTGTAACATGAAAAGGACAAAAATAGATTACCTGCGTTCCTCTGGACGCTCAACTTTCCGGATTTTGGTTTTCTCTTCCTGGCACATTAGTTATAGAAAAAAACTACTGAAAACCACAACCTTAAATGACAAGCAACCACTTCGTAATAATAGAAATGGTTTGAAGTCACTGGAACTGGAGTAATTTGATAATCCATATTACTGCCAGCACTTATATTGTTCTAAGTTCTAACCAAATGGTCGTTCCATCAAAATTAGAATGAATAAACTATACCAAGATAGAGCCATTTTATTTATCTTAAACGGTGCTCACTCAAAATTGAAAAATCCCAGTATGGATTCCGCAATGAGAGAACATAATGTCCATAAAAGAGTGAGTAAGATAGGTTCAAAAATGGTATTATACGCCTGCTACAGCCATATTGATTTCCAACTGCAACGAAAATGTGTTCATATAAATTTCAAGGAAAAGGAAGGAGTATTTCGATTCCGGAGTCAGAAAAACTCACAGATAGAATTCTAACCGAGTATCTCTAGTCTCTACAGAAGAATGTGAAACATTATACCAGCACCTGAACCAACATACCCACAATACCGACTTAAGGACATGTTCAAGGCATGAATAGAAAGAAAAACCTATTTACCCCTTCATGAAAACTATGCCGCATATTTTAGGAGCAAATAACTTGCAAAATTTCTAGGAAATGAGCAAGTTACAATGGAAGGTGACATGAATATGACGATGAGCAAAATCACTAAGAAAAGATGGGGAAACAAACTTGCATGAAGTGAACTGTACTACTGATTTCATCTTTCTCGATTCTCATACCTGAAGCTCAGCAAGTTTTTCACGGATTTGCATATAGCCTAGATGTAGCTTGCCTCCAAAATGATCAGCTAAGCGTCGGTCACTGAAATTAGCAGGAAAAAAATCAATATATCTCTCTAAACCCCAAATACTACATAATAAACAAAATTTGAAGTATCCCCATCATTATCAAGCAACAATATGATCTACAAGCATATAAAAAACAGAAATAGACGCACATTCTTTAGCTGCATAAGTATGCCTCGTAAAACTGGGCCCAAAAGCCTGCTGGTAACAAGGAGGTATAATATTTGCGTCAAAAGCAGAACCACTTGAAACCCCAAATGCTAATTGCGTGTCTCCCTCAAAAGGATTTACCAAATCAAGTCATTTAAGGTGCGATAGATACAGCATACCTATCATAAACGCTCAAAAATGCTCCGCAAATGTCACAAACACGGAGTTTCTGATCAGTCTGATTAACAGATAAAAAGTGAACAAACATGGATCAGGAGACATAGCACATAGAAAGAGGCATATTCAGGGCATGAACATGTTCAGAAGTTATGCATGATAATAGCAACTTACAATGCGCACATCTGCAGCAGTATACTTGGAGCTGTCTACCGCAGGCTCCTGTCTGGCAGGCAGCTGAAAATGGAAAGAAGGATATGGTTATATACAAGGCCAAATAACAAATGAAAAGGTAATATCATTTGTAGTAAAGACAACTGGCTAAGAAAAATAGAATGCTTAAACTACAATGAAGTAGATGCAGTCTCATGTAAGTAAAGTCAGGACTTTTAACCTTCTTCAGTGCTTCAGCCTCTTCCAATGCTTTCTGGGCCTCATCTACCATTCCCTGCTCACCTGAAAAATCCAGGTACAACATTAAAGATGCCCGTATGGAGAACATTCGACGATAACAGAACCAATATGATATCAAGTAAACAATGAACTTTGATGTCTCCAGCAAATATGGACGAGAAGAAAAAAATTATACATAAAATAACTCCTTTAGCAATAATTTCTGGATGATGCAACTCGAAGGATGAGCACATGTAATTGACTTGTGATGTTAGACCAAGAAAAGGCTGAAGTTGAGTGGCGCAAACGAATGAGAAATTCATAGCTGAACCTGATAATGATGACTAATTAAGACAATTCTGAGTAACTGGAATCTTACCAAGATCCTCGGCTTTCTTAAGCTTCTCGTTTATCATTTCTTGAGTACGTTGATCTGGAGCTGAAACAGGCATTGGAGGAGGTGGTGGCAGATTTGCTGTAGGCTGGGGTAGTAACGCCCTATCTTTATTAAATGCTTCCAGAAGAAGTGCAGACTGTCAACAAAAAGTATAATTTCTTTAATAAACACAGCTTAGGAAACAAAAAACAATACTGAGACACCTAGACGTGCCATAATTATGAGTCAAATAAGATTCTGAAAGAACCGCAAACTACCTGCTTCTCTGCTCTTTCAGTTCTGAGTTTTTCAACTTCTTCTAGAGTTTGGATTTTGAAATCTGTCTTGCCTTCAAGATCTGCAAAAATAAAACAATAGAGTACGCTCATTACAGACAACAAGAGGCATGGCCAGAATCGAGTGATTAGCCTTCCGGAAGAACCATCATTCTGACACACACAACATGATGTCAATGGCACCACATCCCAAGTGAGGGAAAGAAAAACCTTCATATCAAAATAAGAAACTGGGTTTAATTTTAGCTGAATTCCTCATATCATACCATATTTATCAACATCTTTCAGTTTTTCCTTGATCTGCTTAGACAACTCAATCAACTCTTCAGTCTGCAGTTCCAGGAAACAAAATTACTTCCACAAAAGCGCAAGAGTTCACGAAAGCAATTAGCCAACAAAACAAAAGAAAGTTCTACGACACCTGAGTAACCTCGGAAACTGATATTGCAATGGCAGCCTTTGCATCATCATCCTCCAGACGTTTGAGAGCTCTCCCGATCTTCTTGTCACACTCAACAATGAGTCTATCTATTACATCCTCCAATTCTCTGTCATAACTATCAACACCCTTTGCCCTAGCTTCTTCATATCTAGAAATGAGTTAACGAATCACACCAACAACATGGATAAAAGAAACCAGAAAGTTGGGTCAAGAAACTTTAGCGCAATGTGTAGGGAAGGATACTCTTTCCGCAACTGCAACGAGTGGACCTTTGGGCAAGGACCCATATCCATTTTCTGAAAGGGAAGAGACGGAAACATTCAGACAAACACATTATCAGTAAAAATCATCCGCATATGAACTTAAGACATGCAAATCAACCACCATTACAGGTGTGAAAACCAAGTCCTAATTCATAATGGTCGTGAACTCACAATTGCAACAAAATCAATATGTTCTACTATAGTTCTATCCAATTCCGATACCGCAGCTAAAAAGCACCCACATTGGGTCCCCTAAATTCGCCGCACTCTCGACAGATGAGAGAAACCCAAGCTAACGAATTCAAGTACAAAATGTCCAGAATTCCTAACGCTCTATTCAGCGAAACTACAGAGGAAGACTAGCAGGCTACTGATAGGGCTACGGAAAATATGCATCAGCTGAAAGAAAGCTCACTAATGAGACTGAACTAGAGAAATCCCAGGAGCAAATTTACCGTCAGCTGGAAGAGCTCGTGTGGACAGAGGCCGACCAAGTACATCCGGCAAACATCACGATCGTAGTACTTGCGATTCACCTCTGTAACGTCGCCGTTCCGGTTGGCCCCCATGAGCACATCCAGCTGTTTCCTCATCGCATCCATCGCTGCCTCCTTCCTCTTCTCTTCTTCCGCCTACTTGGCCACGGGATCGACTCAAGCGAGGTTGGGGTTCGTTGATTATTGCAGATTTTCCCTTTCAATTTCCAATTCTAGGGTTACCGAGAAACTAAAAAGCAACAGAATGCCACTGTCGCTGCCAGTCTTAGATGTCTCGACGGGGAAGAGGAAGCAATTACAAAGGTAACTTAAAAGTTAAAACAAAAGCTTATCCAAAAGCATTTAAGTAAACTTTACGGTAGTTGGGCCTAACGGTCCAATGGGTTAATGAGAACCGTTTGAGGCCCATTCCAGCCCAGGCCCGAAACAACGATCTATAACAACAGCCGTCGTCCTCCCTCGTCAAAGTCATACTGGAAATCGGAAACTTTGCCGGCGAGACGATGGGGAAAAAGGTAGTGTTGCTGTTCTTGTTTACTCTGTTGTCCGTACTCTCTCTCTTTGCTCCGTCTCTCTCCGGGTTTCAGTCCGATGAGCTTCTCGTAGACGACGACGAGGTCGGCCAACCTCAATCTCACTCTCAGCAGAGCTCTTCGGTTACCAAGTCAGATCAGACTGTCACTCCCTCTCCAACTCCTCGGAGGAAGTTCTCGGATTCCGATTCCGACTCCAAGATCCAATTCACCCTCGAGCATGCCTTCGGAGACTCTGATTTCTCACCCGCTGGCACCTTCTCCGCACGCCTCAAAACATCCGCTCACGGCGGCCAGGTTCCTTCCCTCTCTCTAACTCCCCCTTGCAATTGAGTTTTCGTTCCGATTTTCCATAACTATCGCTCCATTGGGAGGTCTTGGATGTTCTACAAATGACGAATTCGCGTTTATTCATCGATTTGAGTTCTTAAAGATGGATCAGTTGGAGATTAGCTGATTGCCCCAATCAATCAAAACTTCATTCTGATATTCGTTTCTCTTTCGGCCTGATTTTAACGTTCATGGCTACTTCTTTGGAACAGACGCTCACTAAACTGAGATTCTCCCGGAATGCTTTTACGGATGCAGAGAAAGAGAGTTTCAAGGTGAATATCTGAACTTCCTGCAGGCATTTATGTTTCCCGGGCTTGCCTTTTTTAATCTGCTCAAGTAAACACAGTTTAATGCTTTAAAGTCGTTCACAATTCCTGCAGAGCCTGGTTGAAGGTGATGATTTCTACAAGATAAGGCTGCCGTCTAATGTCTTGAGTCCTCCTGGCAAGGATTTCGTCGTCACGTCTGTGAAAGCGGTAAGTTGTTGGTAATGCGACTGTCTTTTCACGTTTGAGTACTGCTGCTGCACTTACGGTATTCTATCTATGAGGTGCCATTGCATACTGTGCTAATGCTTGTTTTGTTACCCTCAACAGAGATGTATTTCGAGAGAGACTTTGGATGAGCACTTTGTGATACACACGGTAAGTTTTGCGTATTGCTGCTAGGCCTACTCGACTCTGTTAGGAATTTATCACTCTCATGTCCCTGTCATTGCCTTCAAAAACCAGCCTCATTGGATCAGTTGGCTAGTTATCCGATGTTTCAGCAACCTATCGTGATTTGAAATTACCTGAGCCAGTTCCAGTTAGAGACTTCTTGTCCTTGTTTTCATTCTTTCGATGGTTGATAAATTAATCTTTTAATTTCCTTGTGTTTTATTTGCTTCTTGTAAAGAAACTATGTCTATGGGGATTCACACCCATTGTTGTTCCCTGGCACTATAAACCGTCATGTCATGTGAAAGAATATGCAGTGAAATAATAGGGGAAATAAATTATAGATGTTAGGTCAATTGTCCATAAAACAGGCTTGGGATGGGCAGTGGTGGTGGTAAATGTAAAAGCTTTGTGTACTTAGACTTGTTTGGCTAAGCTGCTTTCGGTCTTCATAATGTTGCTTTAACTATTATTTCCCCCTTCCTGCAGGAAGGTGTCAACATCTTGGGTGTCAACTATGGTGCCCCAGCACCATGTTCTTATCCGCGGCCAGCAAAACTTGTGAGTTGCAGTGTCCTTTTCTTCTTGCTCTTGGGTTCTTGTTTTCAACAAACTGAGTATAGGAACTTTTGAATTGATAGATATTAATTATATATCAGAAAGCACTAGCAAAAAAGTATTGTAAGATGTAACAAATCCTCAGAAAAGTTGTGAGCCCTAATTGTTGAATACATTGCTCGAGAAACCTACGGTCTTTGCTGTGTGCTGTTGAGGTAGGTGAGGACTTTATAGCATGCGTCCAACCCCAATTCCATATTTTGATTGTGAACACTTCTTCTAGTGCACTGAGTTTCTGTTGCTTAAAAATGAGTTCCTTGTTTCTTCTACTTTCAACCCTACCAGTGGAAGCACGAAAACTGTGAGACAGCCTGATGAAATTTTACATGGTCCTGCAACAGTTGAGTCATTTTTATAATGAAAGACCGTAATCAAGATGATACTTTCTTTTTTAAAGAAAATCAACATTATATTTGGTTAAACTTATTTAGTGATTTTTAAAGTTCAAGTTGTTAATTTGCAATCATACAAGCAACTCTAACATGTGGTTTCAATACTTCCAGCCTTCGAAGTGGTTATTCAACTCTTACACAATTCTGAAGAATACTGAGCAGGCACCAAGGTATGGTATTTCTGCCTTCTTATTACCATTGGGACTTTAGCATTGGGGCTCTTTTGCTATAAAATTAGATACCTGCTAAACAACTGTGCAATTCTCTACACATGTGACTACTTCAGAAATAATGAGGCCACTATTAACTGTTCCCTTCTAAATCAAGCATCCAAACAATACCATTTTTCAAATCTACTACATGTTCCATCTCATTCATTCATTCATCAGTCGCACGTCCATTTGCGCTTGAATGATTCTGCGAGACAAACTGTGGTGATTGCTGTATGTGCAAATGCAAAATTGTTTTTTGTTCATCCTTAAATTCCAATATGTAAATAGGTATTGCTAGAAGAAACCAACTAGGGTTTAATGACATTCCATATATTGACCTTCTGTTTATGGAAAGTCAATAGGCTACAAAGTAGGAACAGATTCAACTGTTCAAGGTGCCACTAGGCACTATCCACTCAATAATGAAAATTGAGCCTCTTACCTCTGGATCCATCCATGCTTGTCTGAATTTTGCACAAAAACACAGGTCAAAGAAGAAGGTTGCTTAAACAGAATAATAGTAGAAGTGATATACTCTGATAGAACTTCAGTTCCCTGTAACTGCACTCTGTGCAATCATAAAGTTAAGATCAAACATTTTTTTCAGCTGCGTCTGTTATTCATGAACCTTGTTGGCTACTCCATAGTTTTGGTTGCTGAGTACTAAACATATCGATGCATACATTCTGCCCTTTGCAACGTCCAGTCTTGGTTGTGGTGCAGTTTACATGAAGCATGATTTCTGGAGTCCGAGTCTTGGAGCCCAATTTTCGTGGTTCTTACTTCCTGAAATAGTACCTCGCTATATATAACCTTCCGTAATATATTGCTCTGTGTATTGTGAATGATTAAGCGGCAAAAAAATCATGCGCTTCAATGCATGTGCCACCATATCACAAGGCCAGTCAGAATCTTAGTCTACTCTTCATGCCACTCGTTGCAGGACTCCACTATTTATTCAGGATGTGTTGAAGACTGGGGAAGAGGGCGAAGCTGAAGTGGTTGCACCACCAGAAAGGTCCTTCTGGGCTAAATACGTAAGTTTTCTGTTCAAATCCCTTATTAGTATCTCCAGATAAGTACAGCAGCACTAGAAATTTTATTACGGCGAAACATAGTAGTACGCAAGCATTCATGCTATTAAATATCCTTTTGATTTATTTCCCCAGTGGATGTACGTGATACCTTTGGGGCTCATAGTGATGAATGCCGTAACGCAAGCCATGAACATGCCCGAGGAGCAAGCCCCCGGGCAGCCAGGCGGAGGAGCGCCTGCAGCACCAGGAGCAGTCCAGCGTGCTCCCAGCTCTGCCGCTAGGAGACGATAGAAAAGTCTGTGCACGACAGGACGGACAAGTCTTCGTTGAGCCTTGTCTAAGCGAGAGCTTTACCGGCCATATATGGCTCGCAAGTCGCATCCACATTAATTCGACTCTCGTGGATGGCCATTTCATAGGATACTCAGTGTTGTAGATGCTCTAGAACCCAACGACACTATGTTCAGAATTTGCTGTGGAGGGGCATGGCAGTTGCCTGGGGATTTTCTTTGTACTGTTTAGTTTTCAGATCATAGATTTTGGTTCGATTGCCACAGCTCTTGATTTTCATCTTGTTAAATTAAAAACCCTAATTCGTACGGAATCTACTCTCAAGATACAACTTTCAACCTTGGAAAGAAGCTGTCCTGATTTCCAAACAGAGGCCAAATGCAATAGGCAACCGTTTTAACGGTTCAATTGACGGGCAATCCAGCTGCGGTAACAGAAGTGGCCTCCCGTGCAAGAAAAGAAACTTCATCATTTCCTTGTTTTTATCTTTTCTTTTTTCATTTATTAACTTTCCCAGCTGGTCGAGTCGAGAACTCGAGATCCCCTCAGCTATCCAGGCTCTACCTCTTTCCCCCAAAAACCCTACATTCCGCCGCCAGCTTTCATTTCACCAGATCGCCGCCGGAGCGAACATCACCAGATCGCCGCCGGAGCGAGGAAAGAGGCTCGAAGAAATTTTCAGATTCGTCAAACACTGATTAACAATGGCGGAAAGCGGCGAACCGAAGAGCAGCACCACCGACGGCGCGCCGAGCTCAGAAACGAAAGTCGAGCCGTTCAGGATGCCGACGGTGGAGGAGATGCGAGCTCAGGAGGTGTGGAACAACTGCGCGATTCGGAGCGCTTTTAGCGGCGTGGTCGGAGGCGGGCTCGGGATCTTCATGGGATTCCTCCTCGGCGCGCTCGACAATCCGTTGATGCACGATCCGGACATGAGCGCCAAGAAGCAGTTCATCTTCACCGCCAAGCAGATGGGCAGCCGGAGTTGGAGCAACTGCAAGACCTTCGCCCTCATGGGCCTGGTCTTCTCCGCCGCCGAGTGCGTCATCGAGAAGGCCCGCGCCAAGCACGACGTCACCAACACCGCCGTCGCCGGCTGCGTCACGGGTGGCGCGATGTCCGCCAGAGCTGGCCCTCAGGCCGCGTGCTATGGATGCGCCGGTTTCGCTGCTTTCTCGGTGCTAATCGAAAAGTTCATCGATCGCCATTCTTAGAGTTGAATTCTGTGTCTTCCTTCTCATGTTTTGCTGTAATTTTGGGGCTCATCTTTTAGCCTTAGGGTGATAGTTCCAGTGAGTTTTTTTAGCTCAGATTACGCAGTTTTTTAACTACATTCATTTACAAATCAACAGTTTCACATTGTCTGCTAAATAGTCAAATATCGAATCAATGATTGAAGGACTCGTTGATTAGATGGTTTATATCACTGTTATTACAAGCTATTGCCATCTTCTGGAATCGAAAAACCGGGGGATCTATGAACCCTAATCCGCGGATAGGAGGAAAGAAGTGTACAACAACAATGGAAATAGCAGCAATGCCTTCAAGTAAATGAGAGGCTGCTATAAGCGAAAACGGAAATAGTACTGCTGCTATCAAAATGCTGGAGCCCAGATTTGATCGCGCTGCTCAGGCTTTTAGCTATATCTCGAAAAGGGAGCTGACGATTTCCTTAGAGCTCATCCTGCAGATTTTGAATTGAAACACAAGGTCAGAGGTCTAATTCTTATTCCAGGAGAGAAGGTTTGTGTGAACCGAAGGGTTTTGGACTTTTGGTTTTACTTACATGGTAGTCATCCCAGTGATCGCGATGATTGCGCTGCAAGAAAAGATTTTCAGTCCAGTAATTAGCTTACTATTAAGTTGGAGTTGATACCATCTGATGATGATGATGCTATATGTTCTTACTAACCTTCTTGTATTTGTCTCTGTATCTGTCCCTGTGGTTTCTGTCATACCCACGCTCTTTTCGCCTTCTTTCACCTTCCTCTCTCGCTCGTTGAGCTTCCTGTACCGTTCTTGAACACGTTAGTAAGTTACATTTTGCCGAGTAAGAAATACGAAAGCATCGAGGCTACTAAAGAATTGCAGTGCTGCTCTGAAGTAAACAAACCTCTTCTTCTCGAGCTCTCCTAATTTTTTCTGCCTCCTCAAAGGCCTCCTTCTCAATCTGCAGCATTCACCGCCACCATAAGCAAGTAGACAATTGGACATCAGTGTTGGATTTAATTAGATAACTGGAAAAATGCTAAAGGGAGAGCACTGTTGTCTCACCTCTCTATTGGACAATATATCTTGTACAACTTCTTTAGCATAGTCTGGATCATCGCATATCAATACGTTGTCAAAAACCGAACCAGCCTTCACCTGCAATACGACCACCAGGTGATACATCCATCAGCTGTCTTCCATTTAAAATTAGCTAGTCACTTGCTAAAGATGCTGCAGAATCTCAAGGACAAATATACCTGCCAAACTTCAATCCCCACGTACTTAATAGGCTTGAGCACGTAGATATCCGGATCATCTTCAAACTCTGGGGCATTGGAAGTAGACAAAAAATGAAGGTACTGTCAATTTCTGAGTTCAGATTTGTTCACCTCACTTAGGAATGAACAGCGGGAGATGCATGGTGACATTACCTGGATTATCAATGTGGGGAATCCTCCACTTTCCTTTGTAATTAGGGTTCTTGATCCTCTGAAACATTGAAAAGGGTATCGATTATTATTATCAGGAAAACAGAAGTCAGAGAAAACAACAAGACAAGCTGAATCAACATTTCTGAAACTATCATATGCTAAACGCCCATACCTTGGGTTTCCACGGTCCTTTATATTTGGGATTCGGTATCTTTGGTGGTCTCCATATGCCATTATCTTCATCATCCCAATCTTCAGGCTAATCAGTAGCAAGAGTACAACTATCAGGTTATGTAAGATCTTTCCTCATCACGGCACTAAAGTGCACTTTTTAGAGAGAAAACGCAAAAAATGTGTTTATAATCTGACACTGTAAGCATGTATATAGACAATCAATGGCTCAAACATTCAAAACTGAGATGAACTTAGCTTCCATTCCCTAGTATAAGTAAAAGTAGTTCTTGTCCAGAAATGTAAGCAACTTACCTCCTTGGCGCTTGGATCAGGAATCTCTTTAGGAATTGAATCGTATCCCTGCATTATCAAAGGACACAGAATTTCTTAGTATGTGATGCTTACGGTAGAAAATCATGAACCAGCAATAATAACAAGGCTTAGACCAGAAAACTGCACCTTAGGTTTGACAGCATTAGGATCATCGATATATTCTCTATCATCCCAATCAGCAGGCTGCAAAAGATGACAAATGATTGAATTAGAATTTCATATCCTAGTTCACAGACATCAAATGTTGGCAGGAAAACCGGTTCTATGGTCAACTGATATCAAAACAAAAGCATTAACAACCTTCTTCGCGTTTGTAGCTCTAATTTTACGTGGAGGAAGAATATCCCAATCTGTGTACAAGCTTCCAGAATCCCTCTCACGACCATCAATCAAGATGCTATAAGAGGCATCGGGCCTCAGGACAAATGTGTAGAAATGAGTCAGCTTGTCAGTTTCACACTCCAACTCCTTCTTGATTGGGTAATTCTGTCCCTGGTAAGATACTATAAGATGCAGCTGCTTCTTTTGTGTGCCGCATAGGTCTGGTCCAAACATGATGCTGCGGAAAGAAAGCAAAATTCAAGCATCAGAACACCATTGCAACTCAAGGTGATCAATACTGTAGCTAACAGCAACTGCAAAATCCATCCCTTTAGAAAGCAAACACCAAGGCTCAGCTGTTTTTGTTAGTGTCCTTCCTTTGTAGAAAATGAGAGATATTCTCACATTATCAACACTTGAAGCAGCAAAAAACTAATGTGATCCTATTTCTCCAGCTTAGGAGTTCCACTCCATCGATGTAGTTAACAAAGGTGAAAGGTTCCTGCCTCCAATAACCAAGAGAGGACACCAATTCACAACAAATGACTAAACAACGTCCTTACATTCATGTTCAGACTCACTTAGCCATCATTTGTTTAGCATACAAATACAGCTAGCGAGTTCCACTCAAGTAATTTCTCGATGTTGTAGTTCAGTTAAGCTACAAAGGGTTCCCGAAAATATCACAAGGCAGAAGTAGAAATGATCTAGTAAAGATGATAAAACCTAACCTGTAAGGAGTATCTCCACCAAACTTCTTCTGATTAACATAACCCGAGAGAAGCTTAATGTATCCCCCGCCGCACTCGATGTCCTGCTCTAATCTAATTGAGTACTGGAGAACCAGCGTCCTGTCCTTGTTGCTGAACTCAGGTATCTTTGCAGATATAGCAAAATGCTTGGCATCATTGGTCGTCTGGATACCTATCATCATCATCATCATAAAGTTAGTGATAGATAGAGCATAGCTTCTTCATTCTAGCTTTGATTAGTAATCCAACTTTGAGAGGAGAAAGGTAAATAAAGACAAAAACTCGCCTTTGTCATCTGGATCACCGGACCATTTCCCAGCGGTGTGTTTGAATGTTCCTGCTTTGCCTTCACTCCTCTTCCAATCCGACTTCACCCATCTGCCCTCCCAACCCTCTTCATTTTTTTCCAAGCAACAACAGAAAGAATCAACTCAGCAACCAGATCAATAAATTCATCCAACAGATTACAACTACAAATTGGGAAAGTCAGCAGAAAGTCAACTGGTGCCGGAATAAGAGATTGGATTCTTCGCAACTCTACTATTGGAGAGCTAAAACTAACAGGCAAGCTACAAGCGAGGCCTAAGATCATCAATCTAGGTTAAGATCGAAGGCGCCGGCCGGCCGGCCGGCCGGGGGAATGGAGAGTGGAAAAAGGGGAAAGAAACGAAGCATATTTTTGTCGCGCTTACCGTCGAATCTTTCTTCGAAGATGACCTCTGCGACACAGAGGTGGCCAGTCCCATAGAGCGAACGGAGTAGCAGCAGCTGGAGTGTGAGGAAATGAATGGCAATGGAGTTGAGATAATGCTTCTTCTCCGCCATCGCGGTGAGAAATGAGTAAGGTTCTACAGTGAATCTCGCTCACTGCTGTGCAGCTACAACAATCAGTTCGAAACTAGCTCTTATTAATACATCACAGGTTGCGGAATTGCCCCTACATTCTTGCGGAATTTGCATTTCTAACCAAAGTCAACGTCAACGGAATTGTCCCCACTAGATTCTTTCTTTCCGATTAACTATGAAATACCACATTTGCATTAATATATGTGGTTTACTCAAATGATTAATCATTCGCACCATCACTTAAAATACTTATTTGTGGATGTATTATTTAGCATCTATAGTATTTTGAACGGGTTAATTGCATGGTTGGTCACTAACATTACAAAAAGCGTTCATGTTTGGTCACTGAAAAAATTTAAATCCATTTTTGGTCACTAACTTTACAAAACCCGTTCATTTATGGTCACTCTCCGTTAGCTGCCGTCCAACGCCGTTAACGACGTCCGTTAAGTGATGACGTGGCTGACGGATTCGCCTAATCAGCACCTTTTGACCCTAAAATTGACCGCCACGTCATTTAAACCCGCCATGTCAGCTAAACCTAACCAAACCTAACCAAACCTCTACCCAAACCCGAACAGACCCAACCCGCTAACTAAAACCAAACAGAACCAGACCCCAACGATTGTTTGACTAAACCCTAATCTAATCGCGCAGCCTTCCTCCATCGCGCGACGCAGCTTCTCCTCCATGGCGTGGCGGTCGGGGCTGGGATTCGTGTAATGCTGCTGCTGGGTAGAAGAAGAAGAAGAGTCAAACCTTTTCCAGAACAGGGGAAATTAAATTCCCCTTCCTCCCTATCCTTATCTTCTTTGCCGCTCTGATTTCTGTTCGAGATCGAGTGGATTCGGGGGAAAGTCAGTTCCTTCCTAGAGATCTGAAGTTGCAGAGGAATCTGCCATAATTTCCTTTTTTGGGGTTTGTGGTGTTTGTTTTCCTTGTAACCGGCGGCAGAGGCAGCCAAAAAAAAAGAAGAGATGATGAGAATGAAGAATAAACCACCGACGGCGGCCGGGGGCTCACCAGATTCCATGGGAGCAGAGTGGGAGATGAGACCCGGCGGAATGCTGGTTCAGAAGCGAAACCCGGATTCCGATCACAGGTCCATTCCTCCACCGACAATTCGGGTCCGGGTCAAGTACGGGTCAACCTACCACGAAATCAACATCAGCTCTCAAGCTTCTTTCGGTAAGTAAAAATCTCGCCTTTTCCCCTTTCTTTTTCTCTGCCGTCTTTCCGGTTTCGATTTGGGTTTTGGCTGAATTGGGTGTGGGGGGAAAAAAAACAGGGGAGCTGAAGAAGATGTTGACCGGACCGACTGGGCTACACCATCAAGACCAGAAGCTGATTTACAAAGACAAAGAACTTCGAACCCAGTTGAGAAAGACGGAGAGAATTAGAGAAATGGGACCTTGACATCATGAACGCCCTTGAAATGGAGCCTGGAACCAACGTCGAAGGAGGTCTTAATGAGCGCATTCTGCTCTTCAACATCGTAATGAATAGAGAGATTCTTCGAGACGAGCGAAATCTGAGGCTCGGAAAATTCCCGTTTGCCGTTGTTCTGAAACGTGAGCTTGAGCTTCGCGAAGCTGTCGAGCAGCTTGCAGGAGACCTTGTGGAAGAACACGGAGCTGTCGCTGTCGAACTCTGTGGTCACCCTCAAAGCAGGCCTCCTGGATAGCACGGAGATGAACTGCGGGAGTGGCTCCGGGGGAACGTCAGTCGGCGGCGGCGGCGGTTGTTGTGGTGACGCCGAAGGATCTGCGGGTGAGAAACCGGGGAAGAAAAAATTAGGGCTTGGATTAGGTTGATGGGAGAGTATTAGGGGAGGCGGAGAGGAGGAAGAGGAAGAAGAAGGTGGAGGAGAAGCTGCGTCGCGCGATGGAGGAAGGCTGCGCGATTAGATTAGGGTTTAGTCAAACAATCGTTGGGGTCTGGTTCTGTTTGGTTTTAGTTAGCGGGTTGGGTCTGTTCGGGTTTGGGTAGAGGTTTGGTTAGGTTTGGTTAGGTTTAGCTGACATGGCGGGTTTAAATGACGTGGCGGTCAATTTTAGGGTCAAAAGGTGCTGATTAGGCGAATCCGTCAGCCACGTCATCACTTAACGGACGCCGTTAACGGCGTTGGACGGCAGCTAACGGAGAGTGACCATAAATGAACGGGTTTTGTAAAGTTAGTGACCAAAAATGGATTTAAATTTTTTCAGTGACCAAACATGAACGCTTTTTGTAATGTTAGTGACCAACCATGCAATTAACCCTATTTTGAACTGCAATGTTTCGGTGTGTGACATTTCATGCGGTTATTTCACGTTGGAATGTGGTAATTGAGTCTACTTGTCTTGCTTGAATAGAATATTCACTCTCACCACTTAAAGAAGGGAGGAATAAGTTAATTGAAATGTCTATGGGGGAGGAGGTATTTCAATTGACTCATTATGCATCATTTCAATTGTCACATGCCACAAAATACCTGGGGGGAAAACTCACTTTTTAGTTAGCAAATCGAGTTATTTCGATCAAAATAACTCATATAAATGTTGCATCCAAACGATCCGTCCAACCGGTATCATGAATCACTACTAAAATAAGAGATAATAACTCTTCAAAGTTCGGGTAAAATCGCATTTGAAAATTATTTTGTATGAAGAAAGAAAGAAGAAAGTGATTCAAATAACACGAAAATCTCTCATGATGTAGATGGTTGTCGGATGCGCGTTGTCGTCCTATTGCCTCCTTTCTTCCTTCCCTTAGCCGGGTAGAAGTGAAGTTCCTATTGAGGAAGAGATGTATATTCTAAATCCATTATAGAGTCAGATTCATATGGAGTCTACCCTGTTTCAGTCCCACGGCTAATGATTCAATTCGGCTTAATTGCAAGTTTGGTCACTCGAATTGCTACAAAATTTCACGTTTGCCACTCAAATTAATTTATTCCATTTATAGTCACTTAAATTAGGTTAACAGTCCAAGTTTGGTCACTGGCCGTTAGTCTCCGTTAACTTTTGCTGATGTGGCGGTCAACTCTTATAGTTGACCGTTAAATGAGTGACGTGGCAATTAAAAAATTAATAAAATAATTTAAATTAAATATTTTTATTTTCCACCTAATTATTATAAATATTTAAATTAAAATAATTTAAATTAAATATTTAAATTAAATATTTTTATTTTCCACTCTACCGTTCCCAACAACTGGAGCTGGCGGAAGAACCCGGCAATGTCGAGGCTTAGGACCTGGACCACCTCCTCGTCCGCGAAGAAAATCGAGTTCCCAATCGGAGCTCGATGAATTTCTTCATTTTCCTCGCCACGTCGGCGTCCTTCACCAGCGCCCAACTGGCTCGAACATCGATGGCAAACGGCGGAGGAAGAACGACGTTTGGGGAATCGATTGGGTTGTCGCAGCTGCAGGAAACGATTAGGTTGTCGGAGGTTCCTAAAAGGAAGAAGAAGAGCGATTGGTCTGGTCTCTCCCACCCAGGCACGGCGGAGGCGTCGGCTCTGTTTCAGAAACCGGCTCCTGTTAGCGTCGTTTCCATGGCGCCCTTCTACTCTGTAAGTCAAAAGGGTCAAAAGTAGAGATCACAAGTATGAATTTCCCTTCTAATTATCTGCTCTGTTTGTTGAATTGAATTTGATTGATTGATTGCAGTCGTACCCTACGACGACGGACTGCCTGAGGTCGGGTTTGTACAGGTGGGCAGGGGACGCTGCCTCTTTCGACGGTGGCGACGGGCCGTTCGTCGAATTGGTGACCTCGCCGAACTACCCTGTTTCAGTCCCACGGCTAATGATTCAATTCATATGTATACCGCTTATTCAACAACGGCTATTTGAACAACGTTTACTGTACCAGCGACCTGTTGGATTGCATTGCAGCAGAAAAGACATTTACTCTATGTGGTGTTTTTTTTAATACTGGATTATTTGCTTGATTTAATGAAAACAAAACATAATTAAACGAAAATGACTTTCTTGATAACATTCATATTAAACGGATACAAAAAGTTCCATATAAAATATTTTTCCTTATGCCAATTGCCAATGCATTTCACCAAACCCTAAAATCATTCCCAGAAAATAAAAAAAATAAAAAAAGCAAGGTCGTGACGTTTCACCAAAGTGTTAAATACTTAAAAAAACCATGAATGTCTGCGAGCAAGACCATTCATTCATATTTTGGCAAAAAAAAGACCATTCATTCATATGCCTCCTTGACTTATTCCAAATTCAAAGTCTTCTCCCAATCCAAAGGCCCACCACCACGTCCACAAAGATGAACAAGGCCCGTGGTGCAAGTGCAACACAACAACATACGCGGATCAGCCCGCCGTCAGCCAATCAGAACGCAGCTCACTTCTCCACCGGCCAATCCCCGCCCATACTGCACGCTGGCGCTTCGATTCTCCTTTCTCTTTCCCACATTTCCACAGACCTTCTTTCTTTCTTTCTTTCTAGCTAAGCTGTAACAGTCAAAGATTCAAGAATGGATTATGACGTGACGGCTCATTGGAAAACCTACTTAAAATTAAGTAATGGAGTTGATAACTAACAAGTATTGTGGTTGACTCGACTCTTTCGTATTGCGATTATCGCTTTTGTTTTGTTCTAGAACAGGAAAATGGATTTCGACATATATTTATTTATCAGGAGAGGCTCCGCGGACGGTTTTATGTGTGTCGAGTAAGAATCATTGATACCAACAAAAAAAGGTGGTGTGGTTCGGGATGATTTGAAGAAGTTCCAACGTTGCCTGACGAGGACGAAGAGAGGCGAGGGATTTGGAGGGGAATGGACGAGAGCGAAAATGAAGAAGATGTAATGTCGTTGAAGACAAACGTTGCGTTAGTGTCACTTTAGCTGACATGAGAGTCAAAAGTCATTCCCTGTCTCCTACTTGGTTGGAAAGGTAACAATTGTAACTTATATACGTGAGATCAATCACCATATTGGCCATTAACCCACTTAACAACACTCGGGTCATGGCAACAGTGCACGAGGTCTCCTATATTATTTTGTATACCTAAAATGCACATAAATTCTGAAGCCAATGCTGCTATAACGGAAACCCATCAGCCTTTCACGCCAATTTTATTGACATGGAGGATACAAAATGGCAAATGAACAGCTAGTAATTCTGCTGATTACAGTTACACCATCACATATCCTCCAACAGAAGCGCGGCACTTGTCATTCACAAGTACATGAAGTAATCCGAGTTTTAACCTGAGTTCAGAAACAGCTGACCAGACTACTAAGTAATCTTCTTCAAAATAAGGAAAAAAAAGATAGGACTGAATAAAACCCTCTACCTCCAAAGACAAATAGGTTCGAAAACCACGAGCATTATAGCGGCGTAGGTGAAGAGTATTCATGATTTCATTTGTTTCCTCTACTTAGCTTGAGGGTGCGAGGCTATGAAGTCAACAGCAAGGCTAATAGAATTGATCTTATCTGCTTCATTATCTGGTATCTCAAATCCAAACTCTTCTTCAAGAGCCATCACAATCTCCACTGTGTCTAAACTATCCAGGCCAAGGTCACTCTGGAAATGAGCATTTGTTGTCACCTGCATCATTGGAAAAGTTGTCAATCTGGAAACTGCACACACTTTCTTTGCCCTAATAGAACCACCAAGACATAAATTTCTTAAATGGTAAAGCCACAAATAGCATTGGCAACTATCGATCAAATGGATTGGCAAGAGCCCGGATAGGAAAAAAATTATGCAATTTACCAATTTAGGCTATTCTACAGGTCCATATATTAGCTATGAAATCTACCGAAAGCCAGCATAGAACTTTCGCTTCCTGAAATATATCTACCCCAAACTTAAAGCCATACACATATTATGTCAACCAATGCAAACACTTTATGGTCGAAAAGTTTATATCAGCGGTACAGGCGAAGCACTATAAGAGTAGGATTTAATCGGGACCCCCAGAGAACAGTCCACAATTCTGTCATTCCAACAAACTTCCAAGTGAACCTAACCATCCAAAGTTTGCAGCACCTGATACTAATCATAGATTGACACTCGACTGACATACTAAAAGCTCAATCCGAATCATTCGCAGTAATTATATGCTGCACAAAACGTATTCAAACCACACGAAAACTACCGAGTTTAACAATGTGGTCTGAATAGCTACCATACACAGGATATACCACCAACCCAATTAGTATTCTACAACACCATGAGATTTAAAGAGCTTCAGCAAATCTCACTATCTTGGTGGTTGCCATACAGTGAAAGACCAATTTACCGAACAAGCAAACAATGCTAAATCTAAACTTAGAATAAAGTTGTTTCCATATTGAATCGCTTAAGAATGGTGATGGCTTATGATTAATCGCAACGTTCGCGTTTATCCCTTCACAGAGTCATTCCGACAAACACCTAATAGATGTATATAATAAAATCGATTCATTTCTCCATTTCCCAACACACATTCTACCTGAATCCGAAAAATTGGACGAGAATCCGAGAAATTACTCGTAGGGGGGAAAACAAGCATTTGACAAGGCTACGAATGAGAACCGAGATATTTACCTTGGAAGCCTCGACCTTCTGAAGGTTCTTGACACAATTGACGACGCGATCTGTGACCTCCGATTTGTCAAGGAAAGAGCCCCTAACCGCCTCGGAGAATTGGCGCAGAATCGCATTGAAAGAGAGGCCGAAGAGCCCATTGTTGGGTTTAGGGTTTTGCGGGAACGCTTGCACCTTCACTCGCAGGTGCTTCAGCAAAATCCCTCTCGCTCCCGCCATTGATACCCGCCACTCAACCGAGAATTCCCGAGCTGTTCCGCACGACGATGGTGGATGAACTGACGAGCTCTTCCTTCGCTCCTCCTCCTCCTCCTCCTCACTGTGGCGATGTTCCGAGAACTAGTAGACTGATAAATAGCGACGCTTTGAAACAGTAATAAGTAGTCAGCAGTAAAAAGTCAAAAGGTGCATCGTGGGCCTCCGTCCATTACATTTTTTTTCCTTCATTTGGATCACATCTAGCATTTGGGCTTTCTCATTTGGCCCGCAATTATAACGGATTTCCACACAAGCATTGACCACTCGAAGGCAATCAAACCCATGACCGAGGGTACCCGCCCGCCCCCGACCCAGTCAACGCGGGTAATCCCCGCTTTGACCGGGTATGGGGCGGGTATGGGTAAAACCCGCAAAAAGTTTGATGGGTATGGGGCGGGTATGGTTTTAGCCTCCTCCGCCCCATACCCATACCCATATCCGCCCCACCAAGAGAATTTATTCACATATAAAAAAACATGTGGATCGAATTGTAATCTATCAATGGTGATGAGGATAACTCAAGAAAATAAATAGTACAAATGCAATTGAGTGACCACTTTAATCAAAACCTAATTCATTTCCCTCAATTTTCCTTTCACTCTTTCAATTTCCCATTGTCAACAAGATTATGTTAGTTAATTATTACTTAGTAGATGTATAAGAGTTAGAACATAATAATTTGAAAAATATTATACTCTATATTATGTATTAATGAATGTTTTAGGATCATATTCTTTGAACCATATTAAGAAAATGATTGTGTTTTGTTGAATTCGTGATATAATAGGTACGTTTAGAGTTGTAGTTAAAACTTTTCTTGTGAATTTTTGGATAATAGTGTTGGATGTACGGGTACGGGTATTACCCATGGGTACCCGAAACCCACGGGTATGGGGATGGGTTTGTCGAACATTCCCCGCATGGGTATGGGGCGGGTATGGGTTAGGATATTTGAAGATGGGGATGGGGATGGGGATGGTTTAGACAAACCCGCCCCAAACCCGCCCATTGCCATCCCTACTCGAACAAAACGGAAGTTCATTCACCAATGATTAATGATTAGGGCTGTCATTTCGGTTTCCGATTAGCGGCTACCGGCCGGTCTAACCGTTAACCGCCGGTTAGCGGCTAACTGGAAACCAAAAAAAACAGGGCACGGTCGATTGTCGGAGGCTCTCCGTGGTTAGGCGGTTAGCCGAAAAACTGACGCCGGTTAAATCGGCTAACCGACACTAACCGGCAGGCCTAAACGACGCCGTTTTTGCCTTACATAAACCACCCCATCCCCAAATCCCCAACCCTAGCAGCCTTCGTCCCATCTCCCAAATCCCCAGCCGCCTCCCTCCAATCCACCTGCTCCCAACTCCAATCGCCGTCGCCGCAACTCCGCCTTGCCGCCCGCCTCCAATCGCCGTCGCCGCCCGCCTCCAATCGCGCTACCCCTCCACACCTTCTTCAACCTGAAACAGAGCATCCTAATTCAGTTCTACAGAGAGAGAGGAAAGTAGGAATAGGAGTTTGGTTTGAATGGGTAAAAATCTAGATGGAGAAACTTCCTGCCTGGTAGCCGTGGTCACGACAATTTCAATGATGGATCTCCGAGTGACACCGGGTAGAATGGTTCCCCTGGCAGCAGGTGTTGAAATAACATTACCCTGCAAATTCAACACTTTCATTTTCATGGATTCGGAGAAGAATCAATTTATGGGTACGTTGTAATCAAACAATTAATGTACCTTGACAATGAAAACATTGCATGCAGATGCTTCTTCCAGATTCTTCTTCTCCACAGAGTCGAGATGCAGATGCCTCCTCTTGCTCGCCGGAATGGCCCATCCCGATGTCCATCTACGGCGGCGGCGAGGCAGAGCCGGATGGCGATGTGGATTTGGAGGACAGTTTCGGTCGATTGGGACGGAGAAGAAGGAGAAGATGGGAGCGGTAGCAATCGGCGGTCGCTGCTCTGGAAAGGAAGAAGAAGGGCGGTCGCTGCTCTGGAAAAGAAGAAGGAGAATCGAGATGGTGAAAGGAAGAAGAAGAATCGAGATGGTGAGAGGGCGGTCGGCGGTCTCTGGAAAGTGGACAGGAAGAAGAAGAATCGAGAAGTGAGAGGGTGAGGAGTGAGTGGTTCAGATTTTTGTTGCTTTTAATTTTTTTTTTATAAAGGGTATTTTCCGGTTGGCCGGCTAACCGAGCCTAAAATCGAAACCGACCGATCGGTTGGCCGGCTAACCGTGACCACTCTCACGGTCGGTGGTCGGCAGGTATGCAGGGTGGCTCGGTTTAACCGATAACCGGGATTTCGGTTTTCGGTTAAACCGAAACCGACCGACTGCCACCCCTATTAATGATTAATGATTTTCATTTCAAGTAGCAAGAAGAGACAAATACATAGCTAGAGCCTAGAAGAGAGTACTGAAAGACGGGGGAAAATATTAGCAGCAACAACAATGTACGTCATCCGATGGATCGGATAACCTTATACAAATTAAAACGAGAAAACATAAACCATCAAAATCACATGTACGTACTTTATACGCAGCGCGCGTATCGATCGATATAAGCATATAATTAAGGGTATACTTGGATGAGGAGTCGCAAGGCGCCCACTGGAGAGATGGTGTAGTTGGCGAATCCAGCATCGGAGAAGAGCTTGGCCCACTGCTTCTCAGTCCTTACATAACCCTCGACATTCACCATGGCTGCGAGGTCGAAGAGCCAGGACGTTCCCATGGAGCTCTCGTCGCTGCAGCTCTCGTGTCCCAGCACATGGTCCGCGATCATCAGCTTCCCCTTCCCGCCATTCCTAGTCAACGCTTTCTTGCATTGCTTCAACACTTTCAAGCAAGGTTCATCCGGCCAGTCAAATAGCACCCACTGCCAGTCACAAGAATGACGATCAATAACGTGAGAGGGAAAAGGTACTATATATAGCATGGGAGTTTTTTGTTTTTGTTTTTTTGTTGCTACCACTTCTAATTGCAAGCATTTGAAAGAGTAATTATTATAACGAAAAAATGTTGGAAAAAAATACTTCAGAATCAGATGAATGCAATGACATCACAAATAGTTTCTCGGCGTGGTAGTGGCGCGGATCTAGAAGGAGGCCTTCTCGAGCCACGATCCATCCCATCTTCTGCATCAAGAGCTAGTATATATAGCGTTTAGGAATTTTTTTTTTATTCTATGGAATTTGGCACAAAGAGCAATAGGACCAACGACCCAGCCCTCTACGCCTCTTTCTCCATCTTCCAGTGTTCTATTCAAAATAAGGTCCCAGTACTTCACTATGTTTTGTACCCATCGCTACTTAATAAGGTATCTTAGCATTCCTCGTAACTTGCACAATATATCTTATAAGAGTTGCTACATGGCTACGCCACTAATAGCATGCATGAACATATATATATATATATGGCGAGTTCTACGGTACCCCGGGTAAAATCCGGGGTACCGCATACCTTGAGTAAAAAAACGCTATCTAGAACTTGAATTGACTGATCTTTCGGACATGATACTATACTCTAATCCATAAAGATCAAATTATAGGTCTTAATTCACTTAATCTTATACCCCAAGATCAATTTAGTTAGAAATAATAATCGACGGTTATGATTCGTCCAAATATAGGCAAAAAAATCAATGCACCATCTTAGAGTTTATAGTTTATGATTTAGATAATTAGGACCTAGGGTTCACTCATTAAGGGTTAGGGTATAGTATCATGCCCAAAAACCCTGCTAATTCGAGGTCTAGATAGCGTTTTCATACTCAGGGTATGCGGTACCCCGGATTTCACCCGGGGTACCGTAGAAGGCACTATATATATATATATATATAGACTGGCGTACGTCAGGTGTATACTATACGTCAGGTACTACTAGTGAGATATCTCTATGTAGACCATGAATTAAATCGAGTTTGGGGTATGATACTATACCCTAACCTCTAATGGATAAACCCCAGGCACTGATTTTCTAAACCCAACCCGAAGTTTGATTTAATGAAAAACAAAAAACCGTTGAGATCGGCCGGAGCTCATCTAAGTACATCTAACGACTAGATCACCTGACGTATACTATACGCCTGACGTACACCAGTCATCACCATATATATATATATATATATATATATATATATATATATATATATATGGCAAAGGCTAGTGTACGGCCGGACGTACCCTAGCCTACCGTACGCCCGTTGAATTTTTCTATTTAGACAATGAATTGACCGGAGTTTGAGGCATGATACTATACCCTAACCCCGAATGGGTGAACCCCAGTCCGCAATTCACTAACCCAAAGCATAATATTCATTTAATCTTGAAATGAAAATCAACGGTTCTGATTCGTCGAAATTATTGTTGATTTTCATTTTCAGATTAAACGAATCTCATGATTCGGGTTAGAAAACTAGGGACTGGGGTTTATCCATTAGTGGTTAGGGTATAGTATCATGCCCAAAACTCCGGTTAATTCATGATCTAAATAGCAAAACTCAAACGGGCGTACGCTAGCCTGAACCATATATATATATATATATATATATATATATATATATATATATATATATATATATATGGTGGCGTATTCGGTGCACCCACTTTTTCGGGTGCACTCAGTGCACCCGCCTCATAATTGTCATTCTGACCATGCGATTCATGACAAAACGGTATCAATTGTTGCTTGTGATATTATGAACAAGAAGCACATGAATTTGAAAAAAATTCATTCAAAATTTACTTTAATTTGAAGGATTTCGGATTTAGGGATTTAGGGTTAGGGTTTTGGTTTACAATTTGGGATTTTGGGTTTGGATTCAAAATTGAAGGTTAAGGGGTTAGGGTAATGGATTGATTTGTTATGATTCTATGTCATATCATCATATTATATTGAGAGTACTAATTAAAGTTCAAAATTTGATGTATTATGGACGCTTTTGGAGTTGGGTGCACTGAGTGCACCCAAAAAAGTGAGTGCACCGAAGTATATATGGTGGCGTCTTCGGAGCACTCACTTTTTTGGGTGCATTTAGTGCACTCGTTTCATAACCGTCATTTTAAACATGTGATTCGTATCAAAATGATGTCAATCATCACTTATGATGTGATGAACAATAAAGCACATGAATTTGCACAAAAACCATTAAAGATTTACTTTAGTTTGAAGGATTTAGAGTTTAGAGATTTAGGGTTAGGGTTTACAGTTGGAGGTTTAGGGATAGAACTCAAAATTGGAGGCCTAGGGTTTAGGGTAATCCGCTAATTAGTTGTTATCATAGGTTATATCATCATATTACACTAATTCTACAAATTAAAATTCAAAATCCGAGACCTTAATTAAGACTAATTTTTGAGTTGGGTACATTGAACGCACTCATTTTTTGTGAGTGCACCCGAAGTAGTCACCATATATATATATATAGATGATCTGACCGTTAGATTTACATGGATTAGTTCCGACCAATCTCAACGGTCAATTCTTCTTTTCTCTTAAATTGAACTTTGAGTTTGGGATTAGTAAATCGAGGTCTGGGGTTTATCCATTTGAGGTTAGGGTATAGTAACATACCCCAAACTCGCTTGAATTCATGGTCTAGATAGAGATATCTCACTATGAGTACATATATGGAGCATAGTATGCTCCCGGAGCACACGAGTCTGACCCTATATATATATATACGGTGTAACTATGGAGGTGTACCTTGAAGAGCAGTGCATCAGCTTGAGGAAGATCGTCAGCAAACATGTCGCCACCAACGTAGTCCAGATTAGGATGTGCTTGTCTCGACCCATGATCAGCAACCACATGAGGGAGATCAAACACAGTGCAACGAATGGCCGGGAAAGCCTCAGCGATAACTTTAGCGGTGGTTCCAGTGCTCCCGCCGACGTCCACGAGCGAGCTCAACCCTTCAAATGCTTCCTTGCACCGGGCCACCAAAGCTCTGCTGAACACCCTGCTGTCGGCCCCCATCGCTTCCGCAAACATCTGGCCGAACGTTGGGTCCGACGAGCAAACTTGGTATATCTTCTTGCCACCGTGGGCTAAAGTGAACGGAGTAGTAGTAGTACTAGGCGGCGGAGGCGGTGGTTGCTGCTCGACGACGACGTCGCTTTCGCAGGAGGTTCGAAACCAAGCGCTCATATGGCGCCAGGGATCCACCATGTTAGGATGGTTCATGCACAGGATGAATGACCTGGCGTTGAATGGGTTGTCCTTCAGCAGGAATCGACACAGTGGCGTCACCCAGTACCGCCCCTCTCCCTCTCCCTCTTCTTGTGATACCTGTTTGGCGGATAATTTAGAATTCGGTGGAAATTGTTGTGTCTGATTATAAAAATTACTATAGTACGTACTCGTAGTAGTGTAATGTAACACGTAATACTACTCGTACTCTAATAATACCTGTTCCTTGGTTTGTTGTACGAAGTATCCCATGTGGACGAGCATGCGCATGAGGCGCGAGAGGAAGGGAGCTTTCGCCGGAGATATGTTGAGAGCGGCGGCGAGCTCGGCCAAGGAGATGGGCTTGCCGTGGCCGTGAACCGCATCTGCGATCTCAAGCTCGACTGCACATTGGACGGTCATGGCGTTGATGTAGCCCAAGCAGTGATCCCAGACCTGGAGCTGGGAATCCAGAAGCTCGATCGCTGTGGTTGCATCATCCTTTTCCATATATTGATCTCGCTCTGGCTAGCTAGCTAGCTTCCTTCCTTCTTTAGCTGATATATATATATATATATTAAGTTCCGCTAAGTTAAATTAAATAAGCATATGATAGTAGTCATCACTAAAGTTCGCACATGAAACCTATGAATCCATGCATTATTATGGCTACACATTCAACCAGTAGGCTAAGTTCTATTTGATGAAAATAAGCACAAGATTAGTAGTCGTTCTTAAATGAGTTTGAAATCACACATCTTACCATAATCTTTTTACCTTACAGTTAACCGTATACTCCATTTAAAACAATGTTGAATTTAAGAGACACATTTATACCTAGTTCTTGAATGGAGTATACGGTTAATAAACAATGTTGAAATCACACATCTTACCATAATCTTTTTACCTTACAGTTACCTTACAGTTTGCTAAACACAATACTAACCCAAATTAATAAGCTAACAGCGGTCGTAATAATCATCAGCCTTTTCTGAACAACCAATTTAACTTGATGATGGCGGATGCAACTTAACTGGATTTGTATATATATATATATATATATATGATGATGCTAGCAAGTAATTATAGATAATTGGCCCCAATCACCTCTACATGCAATTCCTTTCTTCGCAATCCTCCGCCGAAAGCGCCTTCATCAGTGGCAGTCGGCAGGAGGAGTTCGCTCTCCGATGCCCATCTCGGGTGAGCACCACCGCCACCAGCAGCAATTACTACACAACGACGACGAGAGGCAACGTGAGCTGTCCGGCCTACTTCCGGTGGATCCACACGGTCAAGCCTTTCGCTTACAGCACTACAGCTGGGCCCACGGCTGCCCCTTCCCCCTCAGCTGATGATTATTACGGCGGCTATTAGCTTATTAATTTGGGTTAGGCCATCACCGCGTGGAACATCCGCGGTGAATGGCGGATAATTATTCACCGTTTTCAATCGTGGCGGTGAAGCGTTCATCGCTTTTGACGGCCGCGGTGATGTTATTCACTGCGGTTGACAGCCGCGGTGAAGCTCAAACATGTGTAGATTGGGAATTTTTTTTATAACGTATGTATTTTGTAAATATTTTTTAATAACGTATGTAGTTTGGGATTTTTTCCAATTCTAATGGCCCAAATCGCCGCCTCTGATTCTCGTCTCTCTCTCATCCCTTGGCCCAAAAGAACGACGACCCTCACATCTGCTACACAATCTCGTTCCTCTCTCCCTTCATTGCCCAGAAAAACGAAAGCCATCGCCGATTCTCTCCTCTTTTTCTTGAGCGAACGACGAAACCACACACAAAAAAAAAAAAAAAAAAAAAAAGACATTCGCCTTCACCCTCTCAGGATGAAGGTAAAATCGACATGCATGGCTTATTTCTGCATTTTATTAGTTTAAATTGAATTTGACTTCTGGGTTTTGGCTTCGCCTGTGGAAAGAAGGAAATGCGGAGGAGCCGCTGGCGAGGGAAGGTTATTTCGTCGATGACGACTAGATCTGGGTGAGATTAAGCTTTGAGTGTGTGTTTTTATTTTGGTTTTCTGATTTGAAATTGGGGTTTTGATATTCTTCTTCTGGATTTTGATTTGTGCGAGGGGAAAACAGTTTGGGATCGGGCCGCCGACGGCCGACGTCGTCAATTACGGCTACAGGCGAGGTAAACAGACGCGATACTATGCTAAACCTACTTTCTTTTTTGTTTATTTTTAAATATTCCGACCCTTTTTTATTTTTTCATTTTTGTCTTTGGTCGGTGGCGAGACCCTGCCAGCGCCAACCTTTCGACTTTAAAAGGAAAGGTAAGATCTATAAATTTTATGTTTATCTATCTTTTTTTAAGGCAGAGACTTAGGTTAGGTGAGGTTGTTCTTAACTCGAATTTAATGTGGTTAGGGAGCTCAGATTTAAGTAAAATGTTATGGGGTTGCAAACTTTGATAATGGTTTGCAGATCTGGATTTTTTTAAAAAAAAAGGGAATGGTTGCTTATGTGTATTGATGATTCTGAAAAATCGTGTTGTGGCTTTTCCGCTGTAGATCTGGGGTTTTAGATTGGGTTGGGTATTTCTCGAAGCTCGATTTTGGTGGTCTCGATTTTGGTGATTGTTGCGTGTATTCTGGGTTTGGATTTGAAATTTATGTGTTTCTGGTGTGTGATATTAGTCGTGTTTCTTGACAAATGGAGAATGAAAATACATCATTAAGTGGTAGATCTATGTTTAAAAAAAATGATTTCTCAGCTATTAGCTCTTTGATGGAAAGCGAGTAAGACTGAAAACTAAACATGACTATGTACTCTATAAGAAATATGACTAGTTAACACTTAACAGGTTCTTAAGTTAGCAGATTCTTATCGTATTACTATGTGCCTGGAAGAAGAGGGAGCTGCAACTGAAATTATCGATAATGATAATAACACGTGCTTAAATATGAATGATCATATAAGCATCAGCAGTGTACATAGACAAGCATAGTGGCAGTAGAGAAACTTGAACGGAAAAAAAAAAAAAGAGGGTCTTATTAGAAAAGAACCTGGTTTACGGATTACAAACTTGGCCTTGAGATGAGATTTATGCGATGTTCCTTGGCTCCACTCTTACAATCCGAAAACAAGCATTCTGTTTCCTCTTAGAAACACCTAGAAAGAAAGCTCTGCTTTTTTCCCCTTCAGCACCCCTTCCCTAACAAAGAGCCCAAAGAGCTATATTATAGCAAAATGAACATCTCACTTGTCATCAAGGTTGTCAAACCGGTTTATGCCAGTGTGCCGGTTTAGCAAGTGGAATGGTTCAACCGGTGGCACATATCGGTTTGTGCCGGTTCATGCCGGTCAATATTACAAATAAAATTATAAATACTCATATTTAAACATGACATTTAACGTCAATACCTAAACATTTATACTTGAATTCAACAAATAACATCAATATTTAACTTTTATACTCATAAAATAAATAATAAAATAATTTTAATCAATTAAATTCTCTAAACTAAGGTCATTTTACTTTAAAGATTTGTATATCGATCATGCCGGTCATACCGGTGGTGTCATGCCGATTTTATGATCGGTACCGGTTGAACCCGGTACAACCGGTGGCACGGCGGCCGGCGTGACAACCATGCTTGTCATTGTGTAATTGGCTTCTCTTGAGGCTTGTTCTGCAAAATCTTGAAAGTCGAAATTGTAGATGAGATTGGCTGAGACTGTTTTGGATAAGGTAGGGCCTGTTGGGTTTGGGCCTAATTGGATTATTGGATTGGGCTCTGATTATGGGCTTCATTTTCTGACCTGTTTTCTTTTGTTTGCAGATCATTTGCTGGTGTCGGCTTTTGAACTGTATTAGACTTTTATATTTTTCAGCTTTGTATTTGTAACCTCGCTTTACCGATTAGGCGGCGTGTCCAAACTTTTGTAACGGCATCAATGATTGTACTGGCTTTTAAATTCTTCAATAGTACGACCTTGTACTTTTATCATGCCTTCAAACCTCTTGTGCGTGCAAACATCTTGTGTATTGAACTGGAATGCTTCATCTTGTGCAAAACTTGAATCGAAGGGCGTATTCTCGTATAACATGAACGTCTTTGATTGGTGAGAAATAGCTTCGTAATTTTGAAAGTGACAATAAGGATTGACCCGGACAAAATGTGGTGTCTACACTATTCATTCCAATAAAAAATAAAAGGGTGTTAAGTACAATGAATGTCTAAGTAGACAATCATGTGTAATGTAAATGTAATGTGTTATGCTCCTTGACTTTTGACTTGTTCCAAATTCGAAGTCTTCCCCCTTCCCCACTTATCCAGATATCCGAGATAAGAAAACACACAACAAATGGTTGGCCCAAAGTGTGCGGCGAGTTGATAAGGGTTTACACCCTTGTAAAAAGTGATTGCAAAGTTATTATTGAGATGCTGATGAATAAAGTGTTAGTGATATTGGGCTCGGCCCAATTAGAGTACGTGCATGTACAGATTATGGGGACGTAGTTAACCCTAGGTGAAGCTTGAGAAGAGCTAGGGTTAGCATGCTGTATATATGTAACACGAGACTTGTAAGCCGAACTAAGGAAAAACCTAATAATACGATCAGCTCGGAGAGTTCTATCTCTCCCGTGGACTAGTCCCGATCTCTGGGAAACCACGTAAATCGTGTGTCTTGATTCCTTCTTTGTTTTCGTATACGTAATTGAGAGCGTTCGATACTAGCTAACATGGTATCAGAGCTATCGTCTATGGATTCTGATCGGATTGCTGTTCGGTTGAACTCCAAGAACTATGCGCTATGGGAGTTCCAGGTTCGTATCTTTATTGAAGGCAAGGGCCTTCTTTCGTTTCTGGACGGTACATCGGCACGGCCAACTGTTCCACCGTCAACTGCCGAAGAGCTGATGAGGTGGACGCAAACTGATGCAAGGGTGAAGGCCTATCTGCTGGCCAATATCGATCCAACCATTTGTTTGGGTCTTCGTTTGCTTCGATCGGCGAGGGACATCTAGGTTCATCTCGCCCAAACGTATACCACAACAGATCCTGCGCGTCAATTTGAAATTACTTTTGAATTGGCGTGTCTTGAACAGGGAGATAGGGATGTGACCTCATATTACAATGAGGCACAATTATTATGGACGGAACAAGATTTGCTGACCGCGGCCTTGTGCTCTGCTACCGCCTCGGCCGAGGTGATCCAAGATCGCCAGCGAACTAGGATGATGCAGTTTCTCAGCCGCCTCAAGCCAGAGTTCGAGTCTGTTCGCGCAAATCTGTTGCAGCGCGAAAATCTGAAATTGGATGGCATTTTAGCCGCTCTTGTTCGAGAAGAAACGCGTCTACGGACGCAGGCGCAACTGGATCTTCGGCCGGGAGCTGGGGAAGCTGTTTTCGCGGTAGCGGACTCACCGGCTGCCGCGGGTTCTGGACAACGAAGGTCGACACCGCCAGTGGGTGCGGACGAGGTTTTTGCTGTGAATCGACCTCAATTTCAACGTCGTATCTCTGAGGTTATTTGCCACCATTGTCGTCAAGCTGGTCATCTTCAGAAGTTCTGTAGGCAAAAGAACTTTTGCGTGTACTGCAAAAAGAAAGGGCATATCATCACTGATTGCCGCCTCATTCAGCCTCGTCAGTCCGGTTCCAGCTCGCATACGCCGGCTACTGGGGGTGCGTACGCTGTCCAACCTGCTGCTGTCCAAGCTTCAACTCCACCGACAGGACAGTACTTGACTTCCGAAGCTGTCGAACAGCTCGTCAACTCTGCCCTTCAGCGCTCATTGCCCACGACAATTACTAGCGCATTTGCTACGCTTCAGAAAGCTGGTATGTCTCCTCCTTGGCTTTTGGATTCAGCCTGTTTTAATCATATGACGGGTCACTCTAAATTGTTTAAGCAATTAAGTTCAGCTGCTACAAGTTCTATTCAGGTGGCGAATGGCCAAAGGTTATCTGTTAAGGGTGTTGGTGATATTGAGAAGCCTAACATGAATTTGTCTAATACCTTATGCGTTCCAAACCTTGTTCCTAATTTGGTGTCGGTTGGACAACTTACTGAGCAAAATTGTCGTGTTGTGTTCGATGCCTCTGGTTGTGTGGTTCAGGATCTGAAGACGGGGAGGCAGATCGGAAGGGGGAGTAAGCATGGGTGTGTTTTTCAGCTTGAAGAACTGTCGGGTCAACCTTCATCGGGTCATCTTTCTTCTAGTCTCGAGTCTAGTTCGTCTCCTGTCTTTTCTAGTTTGAACAATAATGAGTTTGATTTGTGGCATTCTCGTCTTGGTCACCCTCATTCGAGTCGGCTTGTAACCATGTTTAAACAACAACTGTTTGGGAATAAGAAGGTTGATATTTCTTCAGGCGATTTTCGGTGTACTAGCTGTGTTGAAGCCAAATCAACTCGTAGTTCTTTTCCCTCTAGTACTACGATTATCTCAGAACCCTTTCATATCGTTCATACCGACCTTTGGGGTCCAGCTCCCACTGATTCGCGACATGGTTACAAGTTTTTGCGTTATTTGTTGATCATGCCACTCATTTTACTTGGGTGTACTTTCTTCGACTCAAGTCTGATCTTTATTCTGTTGCCACAGATTTTTTATAAATGATTCAAACTCAATTTGATCAATCCGTTCGTATAGTTAGATCTGATCCGGGTGGGGAGTTCAGTTCTAATCCGTTAGATCATCTGTTTCGTTCTCAGGGAATTTTAACTCAGAAATCTTGTCTCGGTGTCTCCCAACAAAACGGTCTTGTAGAGCGTAAGAATCGTCATGTCGTAGAGTTGACTAGAGCCATGTTATTAGCATCTCATGTTCCCGATAGATTTTGGCCTGAAGCTGTAGCCACTGCTGTTCGACTCATAAACTACCAAATTACTCCTATTCTGGGTCAGCTTAGTCCTCACTATGCTCTGTTCAAAAAGCATCCTGATTATTCTCGTCTTCGCGTATTCGGATGCACTTGTTTCGTTCTTCTTCCTAGAAAAGATCGACCTAAGTTGTCTTCCAAAACGTCTCGCTGTGTTTTCCTTGGCTATAGTGACATCCATAAAGGGTATCTTTGTTACGATCCCTCGGTTCAACGTCTCCGTATCTCTTGTGATGTCGTGTTCTTTGAGAGACTTATGTTCTACTCTAGTCCTTCTGATAACTCTATGTTCGTGTCTGAGGTGACCCGACTGCCCATGTTCGATGATGATGATGAGGTTGATGATATCCTCTCACTCCCCCCGACTCGCCTGCCCCGACGGTGACCAGTGACAGCTCTCCCGGGTCGTCGTCTTCGTCAACTTCCAGCAGTACCTCCTCTGCCGCAGATGATTCTGCTTCTCCGCCATCAACGCCGCCAGCTCCTCGGAGGTCTACTCGAGCTACAAAGGGGCAGCTGCCCATTCGGTATCATGATTTTGTTTCATATCATGTTGATGCTTTCACTATTCCCACTTCGTATAAGCAGGCTATGCTCGACCCCAACTGGAATAACGCCATGCAGACGGAGTTTGATGCTCTGCATGCCACTGGTACGTGGGAAGTTGTTGATCGCCCTCCGGAACCGGTCACCATTCTCGGCAATAGGTGGGTATATGCAGTGAAAGTAAAAGCAGATGGGACTCTTGAACGGTTTCGGGCTCGGCTTGTAGTACAGGGGTTTGGTCAAGAATATGGACTTGATTATGAAGAAACGTTCGCGCCGGTTGCTAAAATGCAAACTGTACGTACACTTCTTGCTGTTGCAGCTGTTCGTGGGTGGCCGTTATTTCAGTTAGACGTTAAAAATGCGTTTCTACATGGCGATTTGAAGGAAGTAGTCTACATGAAGAGGCCCCCTGGGTATAATGTCGGCCGAGAAGATCAGGTTTGTCGACTGCGGCGTTCTTTATATGGGCTCAAACAAGCACCCCGTGCTTGGTTTGAGAAATTTCAGTCTACTGTCCTTGCTCTTGGGTTTCAGCAAAGTACTAATGATCCGTCCCTGTTCTTGAGATCTTCTTCGGCGGGTATTATTGCTCTTCTTTTATATGTCGACGACATGATCATTACTGGTGATGATGCCTCCGGAATAACTCGCCTGAAGGAAGGTCTCCATGCCTCGTTTACACTGAAGGAGTTGGGTTCATTGTCTTATTTTCTCGGTTTGGAAATTACTAGATCGTCTCGTGGTATTCTCCTCAGTCAGCGGAAATACATCGCCGATTTACTCTCGTCTGCTCAGTTCGGTGATTGTATTCCGGTTACCACCCCCATGGAGGTCAATCTCCATCTTGCTCGTGAGTCAGGTGTTCCACTAGTGAATCCTTCCCAGTATCGTCATCTGGTTGGCAGCTTGATTTATCTTACTCATACTAGGCCCGACATATCGTTCGCAGTTCATGTCGTGAGTCAGTTTATGTCGGATCCGCGGGTGGATCATCTGGCAGCAGTTCATCGGATACTCAGGTATTTGCAGGGTACTCGAGAGGTTGGACTCTTTTTACCAGCTACTGGTGATTTTCGTTTACAGGCTTACTCGGATTCTGACTATGCGGGATGTGTTGATACTCGCCGGTCGACTACCGGTTGGTGTGTTCATCTTGGTGAAGCCTTTGTTAACTGGCGGTGCAAGAAGCAAGATAAAGTCTCAAAATCCTCCACCGAAGCTGAATATCGTGCCATGTCGGATGTAGCCTCGGAGCTTGTGTGGATGCAGAGGTTACTTCTGGACTTAGGCGTGTCTTGTCCATCTCCGATCACTCTTCATGTCGACAACACCAGTGCAATTCAGATTGCAGTCAACCCTGTCCTTCATGATTGAACGAAGCATATCGAGATTCACGTCCACTATGTTCGCGATCTCGTTCATGAAGGTTTCCTTGTGGTTCGACATGTCTCATCGGCCGACCAGCTAGCAGACTTATTCACGAAGCCCTTCCATCGTTCTCGTCATATGTTACTGTCGGACAAATTGATGCTTCGGGACCAGCATCAATTTGGGGGAGGCTGTTAGTGATATTGGGCTCGGCCCAATTAGAGTACGTGCATGTACAGATTATGGGGACGTAGTTAACCCTAGGTGAAGCTTGAGAAGAGCTAGGGTTAGCATGCTGTATATATGTAACACGAGACTTTTAAGCCGAACTAAGGAAAAACCTAATAATACGATCAGCTCGGAGAGTTCTATCTCTCCCGTGGACTAGTCCCGATCTCGGGGAAACCACGTAAATCGTGTGTCTTGATTCCTTCTTTGTTTTCGTATACGTAATTGAGAGCGTTCGATACTAGCTAACATAAAGAAGATGATGGATTGGAGATTGGGGTTCTCTGCGAGTTGATATGGCAGAAGAAAGATATGTTTGAAGCTGGTGGGCATTCACAAGGAAGGCAGATTGTTTGGGAATTTGCTCCGCGTGAGACGAACAAGGTTGCCCACGTGAAAATTATCGGACAAAACTTTAAACTACTTTAGTTGGTAGTCTTCTTTTCCAAACTGGTTATGTGATGTGGTCGCACGCGACTCCAATGTAGGCTTGATGGGCCAAGTTGACAAGTTCACTAGCCTCCTTTTTGTTACCAGTGAGCGGCTACTTGATTGCTTGAAATTGTTGACTAACAATGGTGGAAGTTACTTGCGATTGTTTGACAATACGTTTTAGAATGCATATCAAACAAGATAAATGGATTATTTTTTGTGATGGGAGAGAAATTAATCTATCATTCAACATAAGTAGTTGTTTTATTTCGGCTTTTAGTTGAGGCAGTTGAGTTGATATAGTTTTATCTCAACTTTTAGCTTATGTTACAGTTGACATACAATCACGCATACCGAATTATGTATATTACAATACATCAAATTCATTAAACTTCCGAACGAACCCTTAACACACCTTGTGATGTAAGGAAAATTCTTAGCTCTAACTTTGGTTGGACGCAGAAGCTCCAACCAGTCATGGATCAAGTTTAGCATTTGGGCTTTCTCATTTGGCCCGCAATTATAACGGATTTCCACCCTAGCATTGACCACTCGAACTAAACGGAAGTTCATTGGGGCTACACTTGTGGAGTTGTGGTGAACTTTATTAAAAGAACGTTGGCCGGCCCAAGGAATCCAGTGGTCGCTAGGGCATGGTAAACAAACACGGCTAATCACTCACAAGTATTTTAAACATGTATAAAACAAAAAACAAAAAACAAAAAACAAAAAACAATGATTAATGATTTTCATTTCAAGTAGCAAGAAGAGACAAATACACAGCTAGAAGAGAGTACTGAAAGACGGGAAAAATATTAGGAGCAACAACAATGTACGTCGTCTGATGGATCGGATAACCTTATACAAATTAAAACGAGAAAACATAAACCATCAAAATCACACGTACGTACTTTATACGCAGCACGTATCGATCGATACAAGCATATAATTAAGGGTAGACTTGGATGAGGAGTCGCAAGCCGCCCACTGGAGTGATGGTGTAGTTGGTGAATCCAGCATCGGAGAAGAGCTTGGCCCACTGCTTCTCGGTCCTTACATAACCCTCGAGATTCACCATGTCTCCGAGGTCGAAGAGCAAGGACGTTCCCATGGAGCTCTCGTCGTTGCAGCTCTCGTGTCCCAGCACATGGTCCGCGATCATCAGCTTCCCCTTCCCGCCATTCCTGGTCAACGCTTTCTTGCATTGCTTCAACACTTTCAAGCAAGGTTCATCCGGCCAGTCAATTAACACCCACTGCTTGCCAGTCACAAGAATGACGATCAATAACGTGAGAGAAAAAGTACTACATATAGCATGGGAGTTTTTTTTTGTTGTTGTTGTTGTTGTTGTTGCTACCACTTCTTATTTTGCAAGCGTTTGAAAGAGTAATTATTATAACGAAATAATGTGGAAAAAAAATAGTTCAGAATCAGATGAATGCGATGACATCACAAATAGTTTCTCGGCGTGGTAGTGGCGAATCTAGAAGGAGGCCTTCTCGAGCCACGATCCAGCCCATCTTCTTCATCAAGATCGAGCTAGTATATATAGCGTTTAGGAAATTTTTTGATTCTATGGAATTTGGCAAAGTGCTAACAGGACCAACGGCCCAGCCCTCTACGCCTCTTTCTCCATTTTTCGGTGCTCTATTCAAATAAGGTCCCAGTACTTCACTATGTTTTGTACCTATAGGCTATAGCTAGGTATCTTAACATCCCTCATAACTTGCACAATTTATCTTATAAGAGTCTCTGCATCCCTACGCCACTAATAGCAGGCATGAATATATATATATACTCCAGGAGCATAGTATGCTTTAAATGACCTGGTCATTAGATTTACATGGATTAGTTCCGACCTACTTCAACGGTCAACTCTTCTTTTCTCTTAAATTGAACTTTGGGTTTGGGATTAGAAAATCGGGGCATGGGGTTGATCCATTTGAGGTTAGGGTATAGTAACGACATACCCAAAAAATCCGCTTGAATTCATGGTCTAGATAGAGATATCTCACTATAAGTACATGTAGCATATGCTCCAGGAGCACACAAGTCTGGCCATATATATATATATATATATATATATATATATATATATATATATATATATATATATATATATACACGGTGTAACTGTGGAGGGTGTACCTTGAAGAGCAGTGCATCAGCTTGAGGAAGGTCGTCAGCAAGCATGTCTCCACCAACGTAGTCCAGATTAGGATGTGCTTGTCTCGAGCCATGATCAGCAACCACATGAGGGAGATCAAACACAGTGCAACGAATGCCCGGGAAAGCCTCAGCGATAACCTTAGCGGTGGTTCCGGTGCTCCCGCCGACGTCCACGAGCGAGCTCAAACCTTCGAACGCTTCCTTGCACTGGGCCACCAAAGCCCTGCTGAACACCCTGCTGTCGGCCCCCATCGCCTCCGCAAACATCTGGCCGAACGTTGGGTCGGACGAGCAAACTTGGTATATCTTCTTGCCACCGTGAGCTAAAGTGAACGGAGTGGTGGTAGTAGTAGTACCAGGCGGTGGTGGTGGTTGTTGCTCGACGACGTCGCTTTCGCAGGAGGTTCGAAACCAAGCGCTCATATGGCGCCAGGGATCCACCATGTTAGGATGGTTCATGCACAGGATGAATGACCTGGCGTTGAATGGGTTGTCCTTCAGCAGGAATCGACACAGTGGCGTCACCCAGTACGGCCGCCCCTCTTCTTGTGATTCGGCTGGTAATACCTGTTGGCGGATAATTCGGAATTCGGTGGAAATTGTTGTTGTGTCTAGTTATAAAAATTACTTAATATAAACTCGTAGTGTAATATAGTATTTACGTACTTGTAGTGTAATGTAATGTAATATTGCTTGTACAGGAGAAATTTTACAATGTTATATAGTATTGGTGCTATAGGGTTTTGCCTTTATGGTACAACTCAAAATTGTACATTTACGTCATGGTACAACTTAAAATTGTACCTATACTTTTTGTACAAATTTTTTTACGGTACAACTTGAACTTGTACCTTTATGTGATGGTACAACTTTAAGTTGTAAAGTTGTACCATAACATAATGGTACAAATTGCTTTATGGTACAACCGAAAACTTATATATTTAATGTTATGGTACAACTTTAAGTTGTATATTAAAGTACCAATACTATATAGCATAGTAGAAGTGCTCACTCGTACAGTCTTACTCTGATTAATACCTGTTCCTTGGTTTGTTGTACGAAGTATCCCATGTGGACGAGCATGCGCATGAGGCGCGAGAGGAACGGAGCTTTCGCCGGGGAGATGTTGAGAGCGGCGGCGAGCTCGCCCAAGGAGATGGGCTTGCCGTGGCCGTGGACCGCATCTGCGATCTCAAGCTCGACTGCACATTGGACGGTCATGGCGTTGATGTAGCCCAAGCAGTGATCCCAGACATGGAGCTGGGAATCCAGAAGCTCGATCGCTGTGGTTGCATCATCCTTCTCCATTGATCTCGATCGCTCTGGCTAGCTAGCTTGCTTAGCTTCCTTCTTTGCTGATATATATATATATATATATATTATTGTGTACCTATAGAGCCAGAAGATTAAAAAGAAAATGTTATTAGTTTCCAAAACCAGAAGCATCTTGTAATGCTAGTTTCCAAAAAACAAAAGCATCTTGCTCTCTGTACGTACTCTTCTACCAACTAATTGATTGTAATGTTCGATTCCAACAACAAAAGCATCTTCCATCTCATCGCATCTTATAACTTATATTATGCTTGTTTTAGAATAGTTTTTTTTAATAATTTATTAAGTTCCGCTAAGTTAAACTAAATAAGCATATGATAGTAGTCATCACTAGAGTTCGAACTTGAAACCTATGAATCCATGCATTATTATGGCTGCACATTCAACCAGTAGGCTAATTAAGTTCTATTTAATCAAAATAAGCACAAGATTAGTAGTCATTCTTGAATGAGTTTGAAATCACAAAATCTTACCATAATCTTTTTACCTTACAGTTAACCGTATACTCCATTTAAAACAATGTTGGTATTAGGGGTTAAAACGAGTATTTAAATAAACCAGATAAATAGTAGCAATCGGATGTTATTGTCTAGCCTACTGGCTTGATTCTCAACTTGCAACATTAACATAACCGCAAGGATACGGGTTCGAAACCCGCCGGTGGTATCTTCTTTATTTTGTTTTTCTTTGTTTTTAGCCAGTGCTAGAACGGGGGCATTTCCGTAACTACTCAAAAGGACGGTGGCAGGGGGTGGTAGATTTACAAAACCCTAGGGGGCAATTGCGTCATTTTTAAGAACTAGGTATAAATATGTCTCTTAAGATGAAAAATTGAACCTTAATTCTGATGACCCAAATCGCCGCCTCTGATTCTCGTCAATCTCGTTCCTCTCTCCCTTCATTGCCCAGAAAAACGAAAGCCATCGCCGATTCTCTCCTCTTCTTCTTGAGCGAACGACGAAACCACACACACAAAAAAAAAAAAAAAAGACATTCGCCTTCACCCTCTCAGGATGAAGGTAAAATCGACATGCATGGCTTATTTATGCATTTTATTAGTTTAAATTGAATTTGACTTCTGGGTTTTGGCTTCGCCTGTGGGAAGAAGGAAATGCGGAGGAGCCGCTGGCGATCGAGGGAAGGTTATGTCGTCGATGACGACTAGATCTGGGCGAGATTAAGCTTTGAGTGTGTGTTTTTATTTTGGTTTTTCTGATTTGAAATTGGGGTTTTGATATTCTGCTTCTGGATTTTGATTTGTGCGAGGGGAAAATAGTTTGGGATCGGGCCGCCGACGTCGTCGTCGTAATTACGGCTACAGGCGAGGTAAACAGACGCGATACTATGCTAAACCTACTTTCTTTTTTGTTTATTTTTAAATATTACGACCCTTTTTTTATTTTTATTTTCATTTTTGTCTTTCGTCGGTGGCGAGACTCTGCCAGCGCCAACCTTTCGACTTTAAAAGCAAAGGTAAGATCTATAAATTTTATGTTTATCTATCTTTTAATTTTAATAAAAGAAAACTTGATCTAATCAAAAAATTTATTCTTCTTTCTTGCAGATTTTGGGAAAGGCAGAGACTTAGGTTAGGTGAGGTTGTTCTTAACTCGAATTTAACAGATTCTTAAGTTAGCAGATTCTTATCGTATTACTATGTGCTTGGAAGAAGAGGGAGCTGCAACTGAAATTATCGATAACGATAATAACACGTGCTTAAATATGAATGATCATATAAGCATCAGCAGTGTACATAGACAAGCATAGTGGCAGTAGAGAAACTTGAACGAAAAAAAAGAAGAAAGGATCTTATTAGAAAAGAACCTGGTTTACAGATTACAAACTTGGCCTTGAGATGAGATTTATGCGATGTTCCTTGGCTCCACTCCTACAATCCGAAAACAAGCATTCTGTTTCCTCTTAGAAAAACCTAGAAAGAAAGCTCTCCTTTTTTTCCCCTTCAGAACCCCTTCCCTAACAAAGAGCCCAAAGAGTTATATTATAGCAAAATGAACATCCCACTTGTCATTGTGTAATTGGCTTCTCCTGTGGCTTGTTCTGCAAAATCTTCCACCCATCCTTGAAAGTCGAGATTGTAGATGAGATTTGCTGAGACTGTTTTGGATAAGGTTGGGCCTGTTGGGTTTAGGTCGAGACGGCATCAATGATTGTACTGGCTTTTAAATTCTTCAATAGTACGACCTTGTACTTTTATCATGCCTTAAAACCTCTTGTACGTGCAAACATCTTGTGTATTGAACTGGAATGCTTCATCTTGTGCAAAACTTGAACCGAAGTGCGTATTCTCGTATAACATGAACGACCCTTTTTTGATTGGTGAGAAATGGCTTCGTAATTTTAAAAGTGACAATAAGGATTGGCCCGAACAAAATGTGGTGTCTACACTATTCATTCCAATAATAATAAAAAAAAAAAGCAACGTTGTGACGTTTAATCAGGGTGTTAAGTACAATGAATGTCTAAGTAGACCATCATGTGTAATGTAAATGTAATGTGCTATGCTCCTTGACTTTTGACTTGTTCCAAATTCGAAGTCTTCCCCCTTCCCCACTTATCCAGATATCCGAGATAAGAAAACACACAGCAAATGGTTGGCCCAAAGTGTGCGGCGAGTTGATAAGGGTTTACACCCTTACTTGTAAAAAGTGATTGCAAAGTTATAATTGAGAGGCTGATGATGAATAAAGAAGATGATGGATTGGAGATTGGGGTTCACTGCGAGTTTTTTTTTTTTTATCCAAGATAAGCCCCAGGGCATGGTCGGACAACAAATATATAAGAAAGATAACAATATAGAACGGTAGTCCGTATGTAACCGGACTCCCGATAAAAGAGCCTTTTTTCCCACTAGGTGGGCAGATCTGTGAAAGCTCTGAAAAGCAAGAAGACATGAAACTGAGAAGAAGAAGGCGCCGTTCAAGTGCAAATTTTCTTTCTTTCTATCTTTCTTTTCTAACTAAGCGGTAACGTCTATTAACCAGTAAAAAGTGAAAAAGGTGCAGTTGATATTTTGATTTGAGTTTTAAAGGAGGCTGATCGTGGGCCTCCATCCATAACATGTTTCATTTGGATCGCATTTAGCATTTGGGCTTCCTCATTTATCCCGCAATGATAACAGATTTCCATCCTGGGGGTGGGGTAACCACTCGACCTTACGGAAGCTCATTGGGCTTCTCCTCTTGTGGTGAATTTTATTAGAATACGTTGACCGGCCCAACCCGTGGTCGCTGGGGGCATGGTGAGCAAACACAGCCAGTTGTTGTTTGTATCCTTCCGGCCCGTAGTGTGTGCTACGGCAGGAAAAGGCCGGACGATTTGCTGTCGTTTCGTAGCACGTGCATGTGCTTCCGGCTGTGAACTGTGGACTGTGGTTATATTATATAGTCTTCTATTGCGACGATATATTGAATTCCCGGTCCGCCTCTGCTGCTTTGCTTCTCTGTGCTCGTTGCTGAATCTCAGAGAAACTTAGCGCGCAGTTTATTTGGACTGTTCGTTGAAATAAAGCTTTCCAATTTAGAACCAAACTAAACGTAAAGTTTGGAACGAGTTCGTCGTCACAAAATGATATTACCCAAATTTGATTGGAACATAATAAATATGGGTGTGTTTTTTTTTTAGTGCCGACTGTCTCTGCGTATTCGTTTTCTCGATCGTTACCACAACAATTCAGAGCAACTTGCATACATATAATCCAATTTCGGACCGTTGCTAACCAGACAGCTTCATCCGACCGGCGCCAAAGTACACTATCCATAATTAGTTTAGTTATGTAATTATGTTGATAATCTAAAAAGATCTTCCTACTGGAAGCATTGAATTTGTGCATGCACTAATTATCGCAAACCCAACTTGTTTCTGCTATATGCTTAAAAGTAGGGCTGGCATTTCGGTTTGCGGTTAGCGGGTAACCGCCGGTTTTAACCGAAAACCGCCGGTTACCACCTAACCGAAAACCGACCGGTTACTTTGACGGTCGGTGGTCGGATGGGAAAAGGAAGTGGTCGGTTGACCGAGTAACCGACGATAATTAACCGCGGTTATCCGACTAACCGGGCCAACCGAGACCCACCTTCACCTTCCCCAAAATATGTCCAGATTCATTCCATTCCCAAATCTTAAGTAAAAGAAAACCCCAAATAGGGAAGAAGAAGAAGCAGATCTACATCCGTCGCCGCCGCCGTTCAGATCTCCTTCTCTCACCATGGCTTCTCCGCAGAGCTCCTTTACGAAACCCTCCACGTCGAGCTTCTCCGCCATAACCGGCATCAGGTCTTCGTACTGGGTTTCGATTTGCCGAACTCACATGTGCCGAAGTAGACCGCGGAGGAGGCAGCGGATCCAACGATTAAGGCGGAGGCGCCGCGGTAGAACCCTAGGATGCCCTTCTCGTGGAAGGTCTTGACGACGACGTCGAGGGTTCCGGCGTAGATCTGGGAGGCTCCCTTGGTCTGGAGCTTGGTCTTAACGCCGTCGAGAGGGAGGCGGCAGAAGTAGGTGAAGGCGCCGGCGAGTCCGCCCCCACCGACTCCGATTAGGGCTCGCTCGAACTGATTAGGGATTTGAGCTTGGCGGGGGTGGTGAGGGCGGTTCGGTGGTGGGAAGATTGTTGATGGGATGTGGATAAGGAGATGGAACTGGAGGCGAAAGGGAGGGTTCTAGGGATGGGTTTTTGTGGGTTGTGGAAATTTGATTGGGAGTGGAAATTGGGGAGTGGGGTGGGGACTTGGGATCTGGGCAGTAGAATTTGGGGAGAAGGGTTTCTCTCTGGAAAGGAAGAAGAGGAATCGAGAAGAAAGGAGAAGAAAGGAGAAGAAAGGAAGAAGAAGAATCGAGAAGTGAGTAAGTGGTCCAGATTTTTTGTTTCTATTAATTTTTTTTTTTTTTTTTTTTTGCAGTGGAAATTTCTCGGTTAGCCGGCTAACCGAGCATTAAATCGAAACCGATCGGTCGGTTGGCCGGTTAACCGTGTCACTCTCACGGTCGGTGGTCGGTAGCTCTAGGGGTGGTTCGGTTTAACCGATAACCGGGTTTTCGGTTTTCGGTTAAACCGAAACTGACCGGTTGCCAGCCCTACTTAAAAGTACTACTACAGAGTAACTCCTGTCGGCGAATTGTCCAACGTCTAAATGAGACCCAGTCCAAGTACCATCTATATTAAATTATGTATATGCATAAAATTAGAATTAGAGAGAAAATGAGGGACAATCATATATATATATGGGAGCTAATTAATACCACGACAACATGTTGAATTATCAACAAAATGTCACTTATGTTCTATTTTATTCGAATCATGTTTTGGTAGAGATAACGATTGATTAAACGGTGATAAAAGAAATGCTGACTTTTGGTGACGTGAAAAAAATACAATATCGGCACATAGATGCCACGTCATTTAACACATAAGATTATTAATTTTTCCTTCAAAATAAATATATTTAAAAAATAAAAAAATAAAATTTTATATAAAAAAAATTCTAAGCCGCCGTCACTCTCCGAGAACCCCAATCCACACCACAACTTCTTTGCCTTTTCCATTTCCTCCCGCCGACGATGAAAGTTGTCAATCGCATTCCCCATTCCGCGGATGCTTCTCTGTCCAAAATCACTCAAACCCACTCAAAATATGACGCAAAAAGCATTTTTTGGATAGTTCGGATGTTGTGGTGGTATCAGCCCTATCATATGCTTATAGTCTGTATTTGGCCAGCTTTTCCTCGTCGGGAGGTTGTTAACTACAAAAGTATAATTAAGTCGGATTGAAAATGAGAGAAATCTGAAATACCATAATGAACCAGAGCGTGATGCTTTGAATTTATTTTAATTGTATTGTTAAGAAAGGTTTAAAAAGGCGTTTGTCGTTAGACATGAGGACACGCTTGTGTTTATGAATTTACATATCTATAATTTTGGGGTTATCTAATTCCAACATCACCCTTGGTTAGGCTATAGGCCAAATTAAGTGACGATCCTGTCCATTCATAGTAAACATCACTTTCAAAGTTTCAATCTTGTTCCCTATGACTATTGCCATTTCGGGGCATGTTATGACTATATATGCGAATTATAATTAGTATACATTTCCACAAAATAAGAGGGCCCATATCGCGGATATTCTCCATGCAGCGTGTAGTCCAAGTTGACAAGTTCACTGGCCTCCTTTTTTGTTACCAGTGAGCGGCTACTTGATTGCTTGGAATTGTTGACTAACAATGGTGGTGGAAGTTGCGATTGTTTGACAATACGTTTTAGAATGCATAATTTTTTTTTTATAGCAAACAAGATAAATAGATTGTCATGTTACAATTGACATACAATCACGCATACCGAATTATGTATATTACAATGCATCGAACTTCCAAACGAACCCTTAACAAAATGGGATCAATGAGACCAAGGCCAGGGTTTTGCATCAAATTTTGGTGTTAATTAACATGGGTTCTCTTGGTCATGATGAACCAATTGTGCTCTAAAAAACTCGAGCCGTTAAGATATGGTATCAGAACATTTTGTGATCGAAAGGTCTTTGTATCTGAATTCCGCGGTGACCAATAATGCAGAATTTTCATTTCAATTTTCACGTAAAGAGGAGCTGCCAACAACTGCAGGAAAAAAAAGGCAGATAGCAAGAGAGCACTGAAACATGAAAAAGCTCGATCGACCGATCATAAAAAAACAAACAACAACATAAAGGATAGAACAACCTTATTCAAAACGAAAAAAAAAAACACAACCCATTATTATTGATCACACCCTTACATCAGTAATAAAAATATAGAAGCTCCTTCTAGGGATAAACTTCGATGAGAACTCGCAGCCCGCCGACCGGAGTGATCTTGTAGTTGTTAAAACCAGCATCTGAGAACAGCTTCGCCCACTGCTTCTCAGTCCTCAAACAACCCTCGAGAAACGACATGAATAACATGTCCACGACCAACGACGTTCCCATCGAACGGCTGTCGTTGCAGCTCTCATGCCCCAAAACATGGTCGGCGATCATCAGCTTCCCCTTGACGCCGTTCTTGGTCAACGCCTTCTTGCACTGCTTCAGCATCTTCAACACTGGCTCGTCCGGCCAGTCACATAGCACCCACTGCATGCATGCATATTTTTCAAGACTGTAAGGAGGTGTACGTAAATGGATTTTTGCACGTGCATGCATGCATGCTAGAAGAGTGAATACTATATACCTTGAAGAGGATCGCATCAGCGTGTGGGAGATCGTCGGTGAACATGTTCCCGGCTTTGTAGTCGAGATTGGTGTGGGTCTGGTTCGGCTCTGATACCACGTGAGGGAGATCGAACACGGTGCATCGGATCCCCGGGAAGGCCTCGACGATGACCTTGGAGTTGTTTCCCGTGCCTCCGCCCACGTCGACGAGCGACGTCAGACCTTCGAACGCGTCCCTGCACTTCGCCACCAGGGCCCTGCTGAACAGCCAGCTGTCCCCCGCCATGCCTTCGGAGAACAGCTGGCTGTACTGAGGGTCCTGGGAACAGACCTCGTACACCTTCTTGCCCTCGTGGGCGAAGGCGAACGCGTTGGGGGCCGCGTCGATCTTGCTGCTGGTCCGCAGCCAGGCGCTCATCTGGCGCCAGGGGTCCACCAGGTGCTGGTGGACCGTGGCGAAGGTGAGCGACCTGGCGTTGAACGGGTTCTCCTTCAGCAGCAGCTGGGAGAGGGGCGCCTGCAGCCAGTAGCGCCCCTCCCCGGATTCTCCTTCTCCTTCTTCTGGTTTCACCTGGTGCTGGAAGTAGCCCAGGTGGACCAGCAAGCGCATGAGGCGCGAGAGGAACTGGGCCTTGGCCTCCGGGATCTGGAGGGCCACGGCCAGCTCGCCCAGCGAGATGGGCTGGCCGTGGCTCTGGATCACGTCCGCGATCTCCAGCTCGACCGCGCATTGGACGGTCATTGCGTTGATGTAGCCCATGAAATGATCCCACATTCGGGGCACGGAATCCAGGAGCTCGACTACATTGGCTGCTTCCATTTTTTTTTTCTTTGGCTTGAAAACTGTGTATGTGTATGTTTCTCTTTGTTTTCTTTGTGTGCTTTGAGGTGTGCCTTTCTCAAGCTGTAAATTGCTTCGTTATTTATAGTGGCCGGAAGGAGGAGCCGGTGAGTGTGATGTCGTCATGTCATGGACGATAAGTAATATTATTATAATAACATTTAGTCGTTACGTAGCCAATAATGTTGATTACTGTTATTGCTACTAATATAATATTAGTATTAGGGCATTATTATTATGGCTTTGTATGAAATAATGAAACACCCATATGTGCCCGTCGTTGTTAGATTAAATTATCAAGTGTCAAAAGCACTGTGTAAATAATAATTTGTTCATTACTTAGACTTATGAGCAAAGCCCACCATGGCGGCCGAAGGATGGTGGATACTGGAAAAGGCTGAAGTTCTATCAGTTCAAGACTATCTAGATCCTTAGCAATATTTGATAATTCATGTATGGCAATTCAAAATATACCTTGTAAAAGTAGATTGTGGAAACTGAACTTGGAAATAGTAGATATTGTGGATATTGACCTTGGAAATATATGGTGTCGATGCTTAATTATTATATAGAAGAAATCTTTGAAAATTTGGAGGGATGGTGACTTTATTGTAAATCACAAACAAATGAGGTCATTTGGATGAATATCAACTCTGAAATAAGGAATGAAAGGAGAAATAAATATATTATTTACAATGTGAATCTGGATAGAGTGCGTATTTACTTACTGTGCATTCCTTTTACTAAACTATATATAAAAAAAGTATCTCTTGCGAGAACATTAGCTGTTCACCAAATGTGTTACATGAGGCTTCCTTGAACTTGAGAGTACTTTGCAATTCAAATTATTTCTTGTAAAAGTAGATTGTGGAAATTGAACTTGTTTTTTTCTTTTTCTTTTTCTATAAGGGTGGAAATTGAACTTGTAAATATGTCATGTCAATGGTTATTATATATTAGAAATCTTTGAAATTTTGGAAGGATGGTGACTTTAGTAAGTCAAGCAAATGAGATCATTGTATGAATATCAACTCCGAAATAAGGAAATGAAAGGTTAAAGAAATATATCGCGTACAATGTGAATCTGAAGAGGATGGATGGTGGCTACTTCGGTGCACTCACTTTTTTGGGTGCATTCAGTGCACCCACCTCTAAAAGTGGTCATAATACATCAAATTTTGAAATTTAATGGGTGGCATTAGTCTCATATGATGATATAACACAAAATCACAACTAATCAACCCATTACCAGAACATATTAACATTCAATTTTGAATCTAAAACCAAAATCCCAAATTGTAAACCCTAACCCTAACCCTAAATTCCTAAACCCTGAATCATTCAAATTAAAGTGAATCTTGAATGATTTTTGTAAAAATTCATGTGGTTCTTGTTCATCATACTACAAGGGATGATTGTCATCGTTTTCACATGAATCGCCTGCTCAGAATGACGATTATGAGGCGGGTGCATTGAATGCACCCAAAAAAGTGAGTGCACTGAAAACATAACCTAGGATGGATATTTAAAATTACGATGTATTTTCCTTTACTAAACTAAGAAAAGAAAAGCATATCTTTGAGAGTAGACTATGGTTCGCTAAATGTGTTATGTGAGACTACTTCTTCAATATAACTTTGATTTTTTAGTTGATATTATGCCAATACTGATTAAGCAAATTATGAATGCTTACTTAAGACTATTTTACTAATATTGTCTACGATACCATTATGATGTTTACATAATGACATTTATTTCTTAATGCAACAATTCATGCTAACCATTTTGTATGATAGACCTTTTTTTTTTGGGATTGTGTGATAGATCTTTATGTACCATAACAAGCACAAAACTTTAAGTCATTATTATTATAATTATCTATATGGTAATTGATCCCTCATTCTTTTCCATGGTAGGATATAGGGAGCAGGGAGGCTGTTAGAGTGTGCGCATCAAAGCAGCCACACTTGTATAATAAGACAAACCAAATTATTTTTTTATTTAATGAAGCATCCAATCAGAGCATGCCATGTGGCACATTTTTCTCTCATTTATCGGTCAATTGTGGCAAGTACTACATTGTTTTCCTTAGTCTTTGCTACATAGCTTTGAAGATTCTGAAGATTTCCACAACTAGTGAAATGGTCTGATTGGAGTATAATCGATTTATGTTAATTTTTATCATTTTTACACTAAAATTATTATTTATCTTTTCTTTTTTCTTATTTTTAATAATACAATTGCTCTTTATGGTTGTTAAACATGATTTAAAAAGATAATTAAGCTCACTCATATCACCAAGAATCAAAGATACCAGAGTTTATACATCGAATATAAAAAAATTAACAATTGGTTCACAAAAGAATTCAAACCATCTACCTTTGATTTTCAAAAGTGAACAAAATTAATAAGAAAGGTTAAATTTAATTCATAATCCATAAGCAATGAAAATAATATAAACATATAATCAAATTATCTTACGATTATATACCCAATTATATAATATATCCATCACAATTCCCAATACACATTTTTCTTCCCACTTTCCTCCATAAAACACAATTTTCCTTCCAATTTCCTTAACCTCCAAATTGTCCATTCCCTCCTAATTCCCTTTCCCTCCCCTCCATTTTCCTCCCTTCGGGAATAGAGGGTTAAGGCATGATGAACTCATGTCCCAATGCATATTTGGTTTGTTAATGGATGTTTGTATCGATGATATTATTGGAGACTCTTAGAGAAGCATGTGTTAGAGAGTGATATAAGATCCAACATAACCTTCTCCACGAGTTATTGAGACCAACTGGTTTATGACATGGTATCATAGTTGGTTTGGCCAAGTGGTCGTGTGTTCGAATCTCCACTACCCCCAATATAAACAGTTGATTAAAGCATAAGGTATGATGATATTTAGAGAGTGATATAAGATCCGGCATAACCTTCTCCCAACAACTCGAATTATTAGGACCTCATGGATTGATCTTAAAGGGTACTTCATATATAATCCTATAATAACTAGTTAAGGGTAAACTTGGATGAGAACACGTAGCCCGCCCGCTGGAGTGATTGTGTAGTTGGTGAAGCCAGCATCATAGAAGAGCGAAGACGCCTTCGAATGCTTCCTTGCACTTGGCCACCAGGGCTTTGCTGAACAGCCAGTTGTCCCCCGCCATCGCTTCGGAGAACAGCCGGGCGAACGACGGGTCTAAGGAACAAATTACCTCGTATATCTTCTTGCCACCGTGAGCGAAAGCGAACGGTGGTGGCAGTGGTTGTGCAGCTGCATCGTCATCGTTGGCTCGAAACCAAGCGCTCATGTGGCGCCAAGGGTCCACCACGTTGGGGTGGTTGGAGCAAAAGATGATCGACCTGCTGCTGAAGGGATTGTCCTTCAGCAGCAGTCGAGACAGGGGCGCCACCCAGTAACAACTGGGGTGGCGGCTCCCACCACCATCTTTGTCATCTTCTCCTTCGAGCCCTGATTCTGGTTTATCCTCTTGCATCACCTGGACGAAGTAGCCCAGATGAACGAGCATGCGCATGAGGCGCGAGAGTAACGGAGCCTTGGCTAGTAATAATAATAGTAATAATATTATTCTTATGGTATGTATGGAACCCATATGTGCCCGTCGTTGTTCAATTATCAAGTGTCAAAAGCACTGCATGTGCTAAATAATTTGTTCATTACCTTGACTTATTGAGCAAGCCCACAATGGCGGCCGAAGGATCGATGGTGGATAAGGCTGAGGTCTCCTATATCAGTTCAAGACTATCGAGCTCCTCGGCAATATTTGAAAATTCATTGAGAATGGAAAAAAATTGAGACTTTGCAATTCAAAATATTTCCTGTAAAAAGTAGATTGTGGAAATTGAACTTGTAAATATGTGGTGCCAACGGTTATTATATATTAGAAATTTTTGAAATTTTTGAAGGATGGTGACTTTAGTAAGTCAAGCAAATGAGGTCATTCGTATGAATATCAACTCTCAGTGTACAGTTGCAATGATAATTGAATCAGTACAATGATAGTAAAAGGAATGTAATTAATATGAGTTTTTAATTCACAAAAATTATTAAATATAACACGAATTTACTACAAAAAATAACTATAATTAATATGAGGTGTCATTTTTTCCAACCCCTTAGAAGGGTTGTCAAGCTAACCGACCCCCTAAACTAAGAAAATAAAAGTATATGTTCGCGAGTTCGATGATTTGCTAAATGTGTTATGTGAGACTTCTTTAATATAACTTCGATTTTCAGTTGATATTATGCCAATACTAATTATGTAAATGGTAAATGTTTACTTAAGACTATTTTACTAATATTGTCTACGATACTATTACGATGTTTACAAAATGACGATTATTTTTTAATGTAACCATTCATACAAACTATTTTGTATGATAGAACTTTTTTTTGTTTGGGATTGTGTGATAGATCTATATGTACCATAACAAGCACAAAACTTCTAAGTCATTATTATTATAATTATCTATAGGCATGGTAATTGATCCCTCATTCTTTTCCATTGTTGGATATAGGGAGGCTGTTAGAGTGTGCACATCAAGGGAGCCACAGTTATGTAATAAGACAAACCAAATTAATTTTTTATTTAATGAAGCATCCAATCAGAGCATGCCGTGTGGCAGATTTTCTCTTGGTCAATTGTAGCAAATACTACATTATTTTCCATAAGTCTTTGCTACATACTATCATCAAGATGATTCTGAAGATTTCCACAACGCCATGATGTATCGAGACTTAAGGAAATTGATGATCTCACGTCCCACTGCATATTTGGTTTGGGGTAAATTGCAAGGTTGGTCTGCTAAAAAAATTCACATTTGATCACTAAAAGTATTTTATTTCATTAATGGTCACTGAAAATGGTTAAAATTTCACGTTTGGTCATTCTTTGTTAGTATCCTTCAGCCTCCGTTAACACCGTAAGTTGTTGCTGGCGTGGCTAACAAAAACGCCGATTCACCAAATTTTAACCGACCACATCATAAAATCCGACCCGCCATGTCATATAACCCGCCACATATATAAGACCCAGTACATAAACCAACCTAATTCAATCCCCACCCGTCCCAAGCCTCTCATCTTTTTCCTTGTTTCTCCTTCCTCTATGAACTGCCGCCTCTATTCCCACTTTGATTATTTGGGATTTCTGATCGAAGGAAGGACAAGACAATGGAGAGCGCCAACGACGAGTTGCGAGAGGACGACGACTTCCGATCTCCCTCCTTCCGGCTTTATCTCTCTCACCGACGGTGCTCCTCTGCTCTTACTGCGTGCCTCTGTCTCTCTAGGGGTCTGGTCGGTTCGAGTAGGGTTGTGTTAGGGGTTGAATAGGGTTAAGTTATGCGGAAGGTCTGATGTGGCGGGTTAAAATTTGATGAATCACCGTTTCTGTTAGTAATTAAATACTTCATAGACGTTACTAACGGAAACGCATGACTGATCTTATGATTTATTTTATGCATAAAGGGTTCTCGAAAAGTAATGAAGTCACTCACCCGTTGTATGTTTGATCATACAATCGATCTTTTGTGATGTCTCATAAGATCACGTGATGAATCACAACCCAATATTTGATCTCACACACACATACTGAATTTGACACCTTGATTAATTAGGTACTTCATATATCAGTCTTTAACTAGTTATTAGTTAAGGGTAGACTTGGATGAGAACACGCAGCCCGCCCACCGGAGTGATCGTGTATCTGGTGAAGCCAGCATCGTAGAAGAGCTTCCCCCATTGTTTCTCAGTTCTCAAACAACCCTCGAGAAACGACATGAATAACATGTCCAACACCAACGACGTTCCCATGGAGCTCTTGTCGTTGCAGCTCTCGTGCCCTAGTACATGGTCTGCGATCATCACCTTCCCCTTCCCTCCATTTCTGGTCAACGCATCCTTGCAGTGCTTCAACACTTTCGAGACTGCTTCATCCCCCCAGTCAACTAGCACCCACTGGTGAACAGAAACACGACGATAATGATGAGAAAAATATGTAGTTTAATGTTATGGTACAACTTGAAGCTGTAAAATTGTGTTGTACCATAACATAAAAATACAACTTTAGTTTGTACCATAAAGAGGTTTTACAAAAAAGTATAGGTACAGCCCAATGTTGTACCGTAACGTTAAAGCTACAACTTCAAGTTGTACCATAAAGGCAAAAAAGTTGTACCATAAAGGCAAAAACTAAAACACCAATGCTTTAAAGTATAGTAAAATTCCCCATGTATCAATACCTTAAAGAGCACGGCATCGGCCTGAGGAATATCGTCGGCAAACATGTCGCCGCTAACGTAGTTCAGGTTGGGATGGGTTTGTTTCGACCCATCCGCAACCACATGAGGGAGATCAAACACGGTGCAACGAATGTCGGGGAAGGCCTCGGCGATGACCTTAGCCGTGTTGCCTGTACCGCCCCCGACATCGACAAGCGAGCTCACGCCATCGAATGCTTCCTTGCACTTGGCCACCAGGGCTCTGCTGAACAGCCAGCTGTCCCCCGCCATCGCCTCGGAGAACAGCCGGGCGAACGGCGGGTCCTCGGAACACACCTCGTAGATCTTCTTGCCACCGTGAGCGAAAGCTAACGGTGGTTGTGTCGGTTGTTTATCAACCGCATCGTCGTCGTCGGCTCGAAACCAAGCGCTCATGTGGCGCCAAGGATCCACCACGTTGGGGTGGTTGGAGCAGAAGATGATCGACCTGGTGCTGAAGGGGTTGTCCTTCAGCAGCAGTCGAGACAGGGGCGCCACCCAGTAACTGTTAGAAACGGAACAACAACAAGATGAGGATACCGAATCTGGAGCTGAGTCGCGGACTAGGTCGCTTTCTTTAAGACGTTCGCGGCACTGCCCTCGATGCGCACGGCAGACTATCAACCGGTCGTCTCCAGGATAAAACAGCTCCTCTGGGTACTCGCGGTTTTGTGCGAAAACCGGAGCTCTCTGAACACTCTCTCTATTGTGTTTATGCTCGTTGTGGTGTGTTTAGAGGGGCTGGGGAGGCGGCTATTTATAGGAGCCGAACCCCTAGTAATATACCCTCTTGCTTGGGGAATAAGTCGGATTAATTAAGGAAGATAATTACTTCCTTAATTAAAACCGTCGGTTAGGATAAATCCTGCAGAGATTATCCTTCGAATATTCCTTTTCAATCGATTATCCCTTGGAATATTCCTCAGAGTAACCGATTAATAATTAATTATTAAATAATTAATTTCGTTCGGAATTTCTCCAAAACATATGTATATAGTCTCTAGTGATCCATCCATCCATCCATCCAACCAACCAACCGGCCGGTCGGACGGACGGACGGCGCGCGCGTGTGTGGTGGTCCGTTAGGTCCTCCCTCTCCCACAAAAGTGGGTCACCCCAAGGGGCATGCCCTTAGGAGAGAGGCTCCTATCTTTATAATCACTTCACCAAGTAAAACTACCAATGTGGTAGTTTTTCCACTTGAGACTCTATAGCTTTCAAAGCTATTCATACACATTTCCAACAATCCCCCACTTGAATAGTTTTGAAACTATCTCTGAGCATCAACAGTTCCATAAGATCGGGCATAAGCTAAGGTATCGCGAAGATTTGAACCTTAGCGTAGTGGTTACACTTCCGATTTCATAAGGGTGACTCGTAGTCTTGAACCCTATCTCAGACAGTGTAGCACACCGGATCTTTTCATTGAGTTGTGTTCTCTTCTTAGCCCGTGCGTTTATGGCCTTGCGCGTTACCCTGGTTTAGTGAACGCTCTAGCAACTTTGTGCCTCTCAAAGTTCCATAGGGAGCGGCCCCACTCCCACATTCACATAGGTGAGTCTATCAGGAGTACCCCCAAAGTAAAGTACTCCACCCCACATAGGGTATAGATCTCATTAAGAGTTATTAACTCAACCTCCATTGCTTTGGGATTCATGCTTCATTATGCATGAACTTTTCGCATACTACTCATGACTTGTTATTACCCATTGAACCCATTTCTTGGGATCTCCAGTCTATTGGGTCGGGTTACCATCACTTGTAGTCCGTGGTTCGGTAGGCATAAGTCCCATACCCTTGGCGGTATTCTGGACTTTCTCTCTAGGTAATCCTTTCGTCAAAGGATCAGCTAGATTCTGTTCGGATCTTATATGATCCACCCTCACTGCTCCTATCGTTAGGAGTTCTCTAACAGTACTGTGCTTACGACGAATCTGTCGTTTCTTTCCGTTATAGAACCGGTTCTCGACTTTAGCGATAGCTGCGGTACTATCACAATGTATCAATACCGGAGGGACCGGGCTTTCCCATAAGGGAATCTCTGACAACAATCCTCTCAACCAACTTGCTTCTTCACTAGCCGTTGCTAGTGCTATCATCTCTGATTCCATAGTTGATTGAGCTAGGATTGTTTGTTTCTTTGACTTCCAAGACACAGCTCCACCAGCGATGTTAAAAACATATCCGCTGGTTGCCTTGGAGTCATCTGATAGGGTATTCCAATCCGCATCACTATACCCTTCTAGTACAGCCGGAAACCTTTGATAGTGTATACCAAGGTTTGCTGTTCTCTTGAGGTATCTCATGACCCTCTCTATAGCATTCCAATGCTCTCTACTAGGACAGCTGTTAAACCTGCCAAGCAATCCCACGACATATGCAATGTCTGGTCGAGTGTAATCCGCAGCATAACGGAGACTGCCAATGATGCTAGCATATTCTGTTTGTCTTACACTGTCTCCAGTGTTCTTGAATAGCTTTACACTAGCATCATACGGAGTACACGCAGGTTTACAGTCGAAATAGTTATACTTCTTCAAGATCTTCTCTATGTAACTAGATTGATCTAGAGAATAACCATTTGCTGTTCTAGTTATCTGGATTCCAAGCATAAACTTTGCTTCTCCCAGATCTTTCACCTCAAAGCTCTCTTTTAACATGGCTTTCGCTTCATTGACCACGTGAATATTTGTGCCAAATATCAACATGTCATCTACATACAAACATATGATAGTGCAAGTGTTATTCTCTGACTTGCAGTAAATACACTTGTCACTTTCATTTACCTTAAAGCCATGTGAGAGAACGAGAGTGTCAAACTTCTCATGCCACTGTTTTGGAGCCTGTTTCAAACCATATAATGATTTGTCCAACTTACAGACTTTCGAGGCATGTTCAGGGATAACAAACCCTTCTGGTTGTTCCATATAGATTTCTTCATCTAGATCACCGTTCAAAAAAGCAGTCTTAACATCCATTTGGTGTACCACGAGATTGTTCAAGGCAGCAAGAGCAATCATGACACGAATGGATGTTATTCTAGATACTGGTGAATAGGTGTCGAAGAAATCTATATTCTCTCTCTGCCTGTAGCCCTTGACTACTAGGCGAGCTCGGAACCTTTCGATTGCACCATCAGGTTTCCGTTTCGTTTTTAGAACCCATTTATTACCTAAGACTTTGCAGCCAGGAGGTAAGTCTGTTAGATGCCAAGTCTTATTAGCCTCTAACGATTCCATTTCATCTATAACGGCCTCATTCCAAAAGTCTGCATCTATGGAAGTTAGTGCTTCCTGCAAACTTTTTGGATCCTCTAGGGTGTATACTGTAGTAAAGTCATCACCAAAATCTTTAGAGATTCTAGCTCTTTTACTTCTTCTGAGTTCATCCTCAGATCCAACACCCCCACTAGTTCCGTTATCTATAATAGCGGGTAGTACATTACCCCCACTATTTCTCGTTTTAAATGGAAATCGTGTCTCAAAGAAATCAGCATCAATGGATTCTATTACAGTACGAGCATTCAAATCATAGAATCTATATGCCTTACTATTGGCCGCATAGCCAACGAAGACACATTCATATGCTCGACTGGCCAACTTAACCCTCTTAGGATCAGGAATTCTTACGTAGGCCAAACAGCCCCACGTTCTTAAATAGGACAGATTAGGTGGCTTATTCTTCAAAATCTCATAGGGTGATTCTTTTCTATTTGTTTTTGGAAGACGATTTAGCACATAGCAAACCGTCAACAAAATATCACCCCACCAAGAAGAAGCAGCTCCAGAATTGAGCATAATAGCCACAACTAATTCTGTAAATGTCCTATTTTTCCGCTCAGCTTTACCATTCATTTCTGGTGAATATGGTGCCGTGGTTTCATGAATGATACCATGTGAGCTATAGAATTCCTTGAAGAGATTAGAGTCATACTCTGATCCTCTATCGCTCCTAAGTCTTTTTATCTTTCGATTGCACTGATTTTCGAATTCAACCACAAATACCTTGAACATGTCAAGGGCTTCACTTTTGTTTTTCATCAAATAAACAAAGCAATAATCAGAGCAATCATCTATGAAAGTGATAAAGTATCTCTTGCCAGACCTAGTTAACGTCCCATCTAGTTCACAAATATCAGAATGAATCAGATCTAAGGGTTCTGATTCTCTACTCACAGATTTATGGGGCGTTTTCGTTATTTTAGCTTGGCTACAGAAATCACATTTATCAAATTCATTCATTGAGAGTTTAGGGATATGCCCTAGCTTGCTTAAATTCTTCACAATTCGTGTGTTCACATGACAAAGACGAGCATGCCAAACATTCAAATCACACACCATGTAAACTGAAGAATTCATCTTATTAATTTCGACATTCAACTTGAACATCCCATTACATGCATATCCCTTTCCCACAAAACTCCCATTCTTAGTAAGGGTATACAAGTCTGCCCCAATAGATTGATTAAACCCAGCCTTATTAAGAAGATATCCCGAAACAAGATTCTTCCTTATCTCTGGAGTGTGCAACACATCTTTGAGCACCATCTTCTTCCCAGAGGTGAAGTTCAGCTCCACTTCACCAGAACCAGCAACCATGGTGGTGTGAGTAGTTCCCAACAACACTTTCTTGTCAGCAGGTGCTTCTTCGTATGTTTTAAACATAGCACGATTGTTGCATACATGCTTCGATGCACCTGTATCCAGCCACCATCCTTCTGAGTCACCGGTGAGGTTAACTTCAGCGATCATATCTGTGATCATGGCTACCAAATCCTCTTCTGTCAAGTTAACCCTGGCCGCAGCGGCGGGGTTATGCTTGTTCCTGCACTTTTTTGCCATATGACCCGGTTTTCCGCAGTTAAAGCAGATAAACGGTGGGTCATTCTTAGAGGTGTGGGCCATGACCCTTTGGTTACCTCGAGAGGCACCATTCTGTTGGGGGCGGACCTGCTGGTTCTTACCCTTAAACCCTTTCTGGTTAGGTTTAAGAGCTCTAGGGGTGGGTCGTTTAGCAGTGACGACCATCACCTCTTCTTTCATATCCTGCTTGCGGGACTCTTCCTCAATCCTTAAGCGAGTAATCAAACTTTCCAGTGAAAATTCTTTGGTTTTATGTCTAAGCATATTCTTAAAATCTTTCCACGAAGGGGGCAGCTTATCAATAATGCAAGCAACTTGAAATTGATCGTCCAGAGGCATACCTTCAGAGACGATCTCGTGAGCTATTTTCTGAAGTTCGTGGGACTGAACTTCGACAGACTTGTCATCCACCATCTGATAGCGCAGGTAGCGGCTGACAGCATACTTCTTAGCTCCAGCCTCCTCCGTGTCGTACTTCTTTTGGAGCGCATCCCAGACCATCATTGCGGTGTTCTTGCTGTCCGCATAATAGTCGTAGAGGTCGTCTGCCAGGCCGTTGAGGATGTAGCCCTTGCATAGGAAGTCATGCTCCCTTTCCTTAGCAGCAGCAGTCCTCTCCTCATCGGTCGCTTCTTCCGGCAGCTCGACGGGCATGCTAGTGAGGCAGTGTGCCAACTTCTTGGTCGTCAGGTAAAACTCCATCTTTTGTTTCCAGCGACGAAAGTTGACTCCAACGAAGCGAAACGGTCGATTGATATCGACAGCACCAGATCCGGCCATGTTGTTCTGTTCAGTCGACATAGCAGCAGCCGAGCGTCTTAAAATTGTTAGAAACGGAACAACAACAAGATGAGGATACCGAATCTGGAGCTGAGTCGCGGACTAGGTCGCTTTCTTTAAGACGTTCGCGGCACTGCCCTCGATGCGCACGGCAGACTATCAACCGGTCGTCTCCAGGATAAAACAGCTCCTCTGGGTACTCGCGGTTTTGTGCGAAAACCGGAGCTCTCTGAACACTCTCTCTATTGTGTTTATGCTCGTTGTGGTGTGTTTAGAGGGGCTGGGGAGGCGGCTATTTATAGGAGCCGAACCCCTAGTAATATACCCTCTTGCTTGGGGAATAAGTCGGATTAATTAAGGAAGATAATTACTTCCTTAATTAAAACCGTCGGTTAGGATAAATCCTGCAGAGATTATCCTTCGAATATTCCTTTTCAATCGATTATCCCTTGGAATATTCCTCAGAGTAACCGATTAATAAATAATTATTAAATAATTAATTTCGTTCGGAATTTCTCCAAAACATATGTATATAGTCTCTAGTGATCCATCCATCCAACCAACCGGCCGGTCGGACGGACGGCGCGCGCGTGTGTGGTGGTCCGTTAGGTCCTCCCTCTCCCACAAAAGTGGGTCACCCCAAGGGGCATGCCCTTAGGAGAGAGGCTCCTATCTTTATAATCACTTCACCAAGTAAAACTACCAATGTGGTAGTTTTTCCACTTGAGACTCTATAGCTTTCAAAGCTATTCATACACATTTCCAACAGTAACAGCAGGAGTGGCGGCCCCCACCACCACCATCTTTGTCATCTTCTCCTTCGAGCCCCGATTGTGGTTTATCCTCTTGCTCCACCTGGACGAAGTAGCCCAGGTGGACGAGCATGCGCATGAGGCGCGAGAGGAACGGAGCCTTGGCTCGAGAGATGTTGAGGGCCGCGGCCAGCTCCCCCAAGGGGATGGGCTGGCCGTGGCTGTGGATCGCGTCTGCGATCCCCAGCTCGATTGCGCAGTGGACGGTCATCGAGTTGATGTAGCCTAGGCAGTGATCCCAAACTCTGGACTGGGAGTCAAGAAGCTCAATTGCAGTTGTTGCATCCATTTCCATGTTCTCTGATCGGCTATATGGCTCAGTGCAGAATGATGTGTGTATATATATATTGGTGTATGTGCCCCTGAGCCTTTTGGGCTATATATATAGCTTCCTTTGAGTTTTCTGATCGGTTATATGGCTAGCGAGTAGTGAATCTGTTTTCGTCGTCGTCGCTATATATTCGTTGCTAAAAAGTCTGTGACTATACATGGATTAGCTACGTACACACTAATTTGACTATGTATAGCCGCCTGCCTGACAGAGGAGTATATTCGCTGGTGGACGTAATATCGTTGACATTTCGTAACGGCGAACTCTTCAATCTCGTCCTACGCCACACTTGATAGGCTACTGTTAGCGTTAGGGTTGCGTTAATTTACTTAATTGGGAATTATTGTTGGGCAGCGTCGTAGCATTAGGTACGTATTTGGTGGGGAAAGGGATTTGTTTGGCAGACTCGCATTAGAAATTGGTAAAGATATTAATGACTAGAAATTGCTAAGTTAAAGTTTGTTAAACTTAATGGTATAATTATATGGACCACCTGTAGAAATGGCTAAATAATGGAGATTGTCTTATTATTATTATCGAAAGAAGAATATCGATTCTACAAATTACTAAGATATAATTAACCACTATGAATAAATATTACCAAAAAAAAAACCACTATGAATAAATACAAAATGGCCGGCCACTATGCTGTCGCCAAAAGATACCCGACAACAAACAACTACCAACTAATTCGTTCAATTGTTAGAAATCAAATTAGTATGATGTAACGCGCGAAGTATTAGGGCTGGGCATGTGGGCGGATCATCCGCGGGTTTGAGCCGACCCACCCGCATTTGACCCGAATTTCGTTAAGTGGGTGGGTCTGTGGGTGGGTGACGGGTTGCGCTGGGAGCAATCCGCCGGGTGGTGGGTGGGTTGTGAGTGAGTGTGCGGGTGACCCGCTCAACCCAACAATAAAAAGATCAAAGTCGTTGGCGCTAGAGAGAGAGGAGAGTGGAGACGTTAGATATAAACTCGGACTGCTCCTGGAGTTTGAACCTCAAAGCCAACCTTCCAAATAGAGATCCCCTCTTCTTCCCTTTACTTTTTCCTCTAATTCTTGTGCCTAGATCATCGCTCTTTCCGTTGTGGAATTATTTTCCTTAGTTCCTTGCACCTAATAATCGTCTCAATCTATAGAAAACTCTTTCATAATAGAATTTCTATATAATTTAAGAACTAATTCGACATTTTCCGCCTATTTCCACTTCTTGTTTCCCTCGATGATTCTCTTCACCTATTATCATGTCAAGTTAACTCTTTTATATTATATACATTGTGATGTGGGTGAACCCACAAACCCACCCGCATCATCCACCATCCGTCCGACCCAACCCGAGACTAAATGTGGGTGGGTGGTGGGTTAAAAATTATCAATCCGTTTAAGCGCGGGTGGGTGCATTTTATGGTCAAAATCCACCCGACCCACCCAATGCCCACCCCTACGAAGTATGATACTATACTCTAATTTTAGTGAATGAATTTCATTTTCTAATTTTTAAACACAGCCAACAAGATTCATTTAATTAAAAAATTATAAAAAATGGTTCTGATTTGTCGAAATATATCAAAATACAACTAATAAATCATGTGAACGCAAACATATACTATATGCCACACAAACGCTAGCATTTACCAGAACCACAATTGAGGGGAACCATAAGAATAATAATATACATTTTTAATGGAATCTTCACCCATATTATTATTATAATCAAGACAGCCGAGATTAATTTTATTTCAAATAAAAAAAAATAGTAGGACATCACAATTTCAGAAGAGGGGACTCCACGATCTCGATGAATTACTTGGTGTTTGATTGAGGTACTTCGTTTACAATAGAGCTTTGCTAAATCAAGGGTAGACTTGGATGAGGAGTCGGAGCCCGGCCACCGGCGTTATTGTGTAGTCGGAGAAGCCGGCATCGGAAAAGAGCTTTGCCCACTGTTCCTCGGTCCTTACGTAACCTTCGAGACACGCCATGACTCCGAGGTCGAAGAGCAACGATGTTCCCATGGAGCTCTTGTCGCTGCAACTCTCATGTCCCATCACGTGGTCGACGATCATCACCTTCCCCTTCCCGCCATTGTTGTTACTCAAAGCTTTCTTGCACTGCTTCAGCACTTTCAGGCAAGGTTCGTCCGGCCAGTCAATTAACACCCACTGGTCACAAGAACGATGATCCATAATGTGAGCAAAAGTACTTTATAGCATGAAATCGATCGCTTGAACTTGATATAACAAGTGCCGGTCATGAAATCGGCTGGAATATCATCACATTGACTGGTATGAATGATTTTTTATTTCTAAACAAAATCACGTTGTTTTATTCAATTTAATTAAAATAATTCTTTGGTGATTTATTTTAAGAATTTGAAAGTTAAATGTTGGACGTTAATTTTCAATTTTTTTTACAAAACCTATTATGGGAGTGCTACTAGAGGGGTGGGGAAGGGGGAAATGAGTGTCGTCTATGGGATTTAAATATGGAAACTCTAGGCTGAAGATCAGCGACACGACCACTCGGTCACAACCTGATTCGTATTATTTGTTGGATTCAAGTATAAATGTTTAAATGTTGACTATAAATTTTGTATTTAAATATGAGTAATAGTTATTTTGTTTGGAATGTTGTATTTTATTTAGATATGAAAGTAGATTGTTTTCAAATATGTTTTATATATGCTTAAATTGTTTTGATATTAATGGATTTTTCATTTTTCTATATATTTTATTAAATCAACATGAACCAGCAAAATTGATTGTAACAACCTGTAAAATCATATCACTTTTTAAACCAGCGCAACAATATAAACCGTTTTGACAACCTTCGATATAAGTGTGGAGTAGGGATGACAACAAAACCCGAACCCACGGGTACCCACCCGACCCAACCCGGTCAACGCGGGTAAAATCCGTGTTGACGGGTTTTGGGTCGGGTTTGGGTTTAAACCCGTTCACTATTCATCGGGTTGGGTTGGGTTTGGGTTTAGGTAAACCCGGCCCGTGGGTACCCAAACCTATATAATTAATTTTTTCGGTATATTTAATATTCTAAACAACTAATCTTATTTATGTTTGTGGAGACATGTCTAATTTTTTCTTTTTAATTGTGTAGAATGAAGATGTTATGGAGTGGAGAGTAAAGAAACTTAATTGAAACATGTTATTTTGTGATTTGCTTCAATTTTCTTGAGTTTTCTAGATTGGTGTTGAACAATTTGTATAGTTAATTTGTGATTTGCTTGAATTTTCTAGAATGGTGTTTTATATATGGATAATTTGTATTGAGAGATTGATATTTAACTTTAATTTTGATAAGAACTTGTAATTGTAAATTTTTTACGACAAAACCCGTGGGTACCCATGAACCCGCGGATACCCAACGGGTTGGGTTGGGTTTGAATTTTTCAAACCCAGTGGGTTTTACCCCGGGTTTTTTTTCAAAGATAAACCCATGGATTTGGGTTTGGGTTTGACAAAACCCGACCCAACCCGACCCATTGTCATCCCTAGTGTGGAGGTATATATATACCTTGAAGAACAGTGCATCAGCTCGAGGAATATCATCGGTAAGCATGTCGCCGGCTACGTAGCTCAGATTACTAGGACGAGTTTCTTCCGCGGACGCAGCGTCGGCGACCACATGAGGGAGATCAAACACGGTGCAATGAATCCCCGGGAAGGTCTCGGCGATAACTTTCGCGGTGTCTCCGGTGCTTCCGCCGACGTCCACAAGCGAGCTCAACCCTTCGAATGCGTCCTTGCACTTGGCCACCAAGGCTCTGCTGAACATCCAGCTGTCACCACCCATCGCTTCATCGAACATTTTCCCAAACGGCGGATCCGACGAGCACACTTCATACACCTTCTTCCCACCGTGAGCTAACGTGAACGGCGGCGGAGGACCACCGCCACCACCAGGTGTTGGTACGACGTCGTTTTCGCAGGTTCGAAACCAAGCGCTCATATGGCGCCAAGGGTCCACCATGTTAGGATGGTTCATGCAAACGATGTACGCCCTGGCGTTGAACGGGTTGTCCTTCAACAGGAATTGACACAGCGGCGCCACGGTGTACCTGTTGGGCCGCAGCGGAAATATGGTGAGATCTTTCGAATTAAAAAAATAGAGGAAATTGTTTCACTCTAATAATTGACGGATTATCATTTTACAGTACCGCTCCTCTCCCTCTTCTTCTACAAAGTAGCCCAAGTGGACGAGCATACGCATGAGGCGCGAGAGGAACGGAGCTTTCACCGGAGAGATTCCGATGGCCGCGGCCAGCTCATCCAACGAGATGGGCTGGCCGTGGCCGTGAACCACGTCCGCAATCTCCAGCTCGACTGCACACTGGACGGTCATGGCGTTGATGTAGCCTAAGCAGTGGTCCCAGACCCGGGGCTGGGCGTCGAGGAGCTCGATCGCAGTGGCTGCATCCATTTCCATATCGATCTACCTGTTCGACTCAGAAATGTTGCCTAGCTTGATTAGCTTGTTACTTTGCTTTGTTTTGCTTCCTTCCTGAGCTTTCCACTGTGTACTTAAAGAGCCAGACAGAGGAACGATGTACAGTATTAGAGCATTGCTTAGAATCATTACTGTTCACATGTGAATGTTAATGCTACAGATGACAAAGACAATTAACTGAAAAGAATATTAACATATACAGATAAATTACGCCTCACCACCACCGGCCGGCGCCAACCACTCCATCTCCTAATGAAAGCAACCACTTTGTACACTTCCAGCAACTTGTAATGCGAGTTTCCTAAAACAAAAGTAACTTGCAAATTTTTTAGTGTCTGAGTCGAGGAGCAACTTACACAAATTTGCTTCCAATATCCAGCTGTTCAGTCTAAATCTACAGAGCCGTCGATGACCTCATTTACAGACCAAAAAGAATCTCCATAACCTCCCCCGCCTTCTATTGAAACACCCCCCAAACGTGTAGGCAGCTATAAATCTTACAGATTTTGGTTCTTCAGTCCAGGTAGAACAGAGTCACGATTTTCCTGAGGCTTTTGGCCTCTTCACACGTCTCCATCAGCAATCGGCTGTCGTGAAATGCAAAGCAAATCACTTGCTGTACATGCGAAATTATGTCCATATTACACAGCCTGCAATTTTACAACATCAGCAAACCTATTGAGTACAGACACTTTCGCAACTGTGTAGGGGATGATGATGTGCATGTTAAATCTTATCTAGATAGTGAGATTCCACCCCTGAAGTTTGAAGGCATAATATGGGCAAAAGGAAGGGGGGAAACCACGAGGACTTTGTGAATACCTGCTGGCTTCGATCAAAGACAGATGATCGTTGTAAGGCTTTTCTACCACGTTTTTCACCTGTAAGACAAAGATGAAACAAGTTATTAGCACAAAGAAGAACTCTACCAACTAGAATTTCCAGATTCGAATCAACCAATTAACAAAGTAACTACCATGTTAGTATATCCCTGACTCCCCTTATCCTTAATTCACAGCCACATAAAAGGGAAGGCAATCTCCAGTCATTGCGGAGAAGGAAAGCAAAGCCAATTCTGAACATACTGACTGCAAGGCCTTTGAAGGGAGCAATCCTTTTGCACTTTTTCCTATATTCTAGCACGAATCTACGCATTACTATAGGGAGCTTATCACTGATTAAATAAAACTGTAACATAGATCACTGTGGATCTTGATACTTTGACTGGTGAAGGCATGAAGCTAACTAGTTTGTCTATTTAAATAAAAACCATACTTCATTAGTACATTTACATAAGCCCAAAAATAGCAAATGGTAATGTCTTTTTTTTTTTTTTTTTTACTTCCATCAGGGTAAAAATGAAAATAATTCTGAAACTGCACGCCTGCAGGATTAAGAAAAATCTAATATGCAGCTATCAAATTGATATAAGGATGATACATTAAGTTAACTGGTAATAAGCTATTTACCTTTTCAAGCAGTTCCTGGCTTTCTGGCGGTTGCTTTTTCAAACTCTGCGGCAAAATCACTGTGAGCAATTCTGGCTTCTCTGCTCTTAATGCTCCTCGAATAACGGCAGCATTAGTGCCAGAAGCACCTGAGGTGTAAATATGGTTCTTCTGCAAGTTAAATGAGCATCATTATATCCAGACTACATGAATACCTATGCACCTTGTATATATTGCTCTAGCATGTCAATCAGTGCCCAAGGACACTGAAATATGGACAAACATATCGGAAAGCACAGAATATTACCGTTATAACTAAAGCATAACTCAGGATCTCAATGAGTTCCTGATGCAAGAAGCCCATATTCCGTGTCCCAAAGAAACCGATAGATCTAGGCCCTTGTTGCTGAATGGCTAGCAGCTCCTGCATACACAGATGCCAGCCTTAATTCAAAAAGAAAATACTAAGGAATAATAAAATGTATTTGAGGCTGACAATTCTTATAACTTATTCATAGCCACGCAGAAAAAGCGAGACAAAGCAACGCTTTTAGAAGACAGAAAATCAAGAAATGCATGCCACAGAGAATAGTAATAATCCAAACAACAATTTACACCTCCACAACCTACATACAATAAAGAAAAAAATTGGAAAATTTATTAGTTAATTAATTCCATTGCAATCAATCTGATTCCTCAACACAAACACCTGAGCATCCTTTGATCAAGGTACTTCAATACATCCTTATATTTCTAAAACCTCCTCATGCACAAGATAGAAACAATGATTTGGAAATTGGATATGGCTCCATAGAAAATGGATATGGCACTAAAGGAACTAGATGAAGCCAGCAACTCAATATCTACACCTAAGTATGATTGCCATATCACAATATCAGAAAGAATTATGCACCTGTAGATAGTCAACATCGGGAACAGGTTTAGGCTCTGACATCATCACTGTAGCAGAACCTTCAACGAGGGATTGTGCTTGGGTAGGAATCCGAATGCCACTTTCTTCATCAGAACCAAACCTGCAAACAATGTTGTCCTCCTCAGCTCCGGAAGTATCATTATCTTCTTGGCCTCTTCTCTTACTTCCACAAAGCCACTATTTCCAGTACATAAAACAGACCTGATAGTAAATCATTAGTGAAAATCAACAGCACGCAAGGAGTTATGAACAGAAAATCTTAAGAAATACATGACATGGCAATTCTTAGCAAAATAATTCTCATATCACCCTCGTCTTTTCCAGCCAGATCTACTTTCCGATCTTTGATTATCAGGTAACAAGCAAATATAGAGACTGGTCACCTTCATCATGGGAGATCACAGTGGAAATGGCAAATAACTAGCAGATGTATCAAGTCCTCGCTCAATCAAGGACGATCTTTACAACGAAGATATCCGCTTTTTACTCACAGTAGAACAGTAGCAAAATCAAACCGGATGGGTGTTGAGAGTAGAAAAGAGATAAGAAGTGGGAAACAGGCCAATACAAGGCGAGAGGAAGAAATGCATATATCTAGCTAGCGAGCTGATCGCGAGAAGACACATTGATTGATAAACATTAGGGCAGGAAATGAAAGCTCCCTCATTTCAGAAAACCCAAGAGCCAAAACCGGTACGATATGGGGCTTAGAGCATCGGCGATGAAACTCGTACTAATTTTCCGTTATGCAAAATCCTGCCTGACCAGAATTCAGGCTCAAACCACGCATCTAGATCGATACAAAATTTGTCCTTTCAATTACAACAGAAACCAATACAGCCCCGGCAACCCAGACCCAGTTCTCCAAAACTTGCGGCACAATCACATACACATCAATAGCCTAAGAAACACCAATCATGAGTTCGGAGCTGACAAGAAAGAGGGAAATACCGCTGGTTTGGGGATGAAGGGGGCCCTTCTCCGCCGATGCGAGTAGCTGAAATTAGGGTGCTCCGCTCGAAGCGATTGGGAGTGAAATTCTTTAGAAGCCGAATCAGAGAAGCGAGGAGACGCAGAGCTCGTGACGGCGGTGTTGTTGTTATTGGTGGCGGCCGTAATTAGCAGCAAGAGCCTTCCGGTGACTAACCCCGCGGCAGCAGACATCTCTCTCTTCTCACTCTCAAATGTGAGTCAAGACAGGGAGGGGAAAGATCTTCCGCCTGGGCTGCGTTTTTCTCCACCGCCCTATTGACCGAATACGACGTCGTATGCGAGGTAGGCTATTTGGGCCTGAGAGCCGGGCCCAACTCGGACAAACACTAAACGGAATTCTCATCGTCTAAACTTAATAGGGCCTATCGCCGGCGATTGGAAGCCGGTGGCCCATTCAGATATTCCGGAGAAGGCACAGGTCGACACGTTGAAGGAGATTCCATTCCACGTCGTTTTCCTTTGTTAATTCGCACTTATTTCATTTTGTAAGATGTCCCTATCAGAAACAGCAGAAGAAACCACATAAACAAGGGGGATTGTTGCAGCCCCAAATTAGCTTTGGCGTTCACAGCGACTTGAACAATGCTGCTGCTACTGCTCTTCCTCTGTAGTTCCCTCCTCTTTTCTGCTCTGCTCTACAAATTCATCACCGCCGAAGGTATGGGGATCATTTGCTTTTATTACCCATTTCAGCCCTTTGGCTTCTTTTGCTAACCTCGGCGCGATTGCCCACCTTTTGACAATGGCCTCGTCTTTGGTTCTCTTATTGTGTCCTAGGGGATTTCACCTTGACGTCAAAGGGAGGCGTCAAGCGCGAAGAAATTGAAGATAAGGTATGCTGCTGCTGCTTCTTCTGCTTCGATTTTCCTTGGCAATTGGGCTTACACTCTTTCATTCGTGGCAATAGGTTGTCTGGATTACTGGGGCTAGCCGTGGTATAGGTAAATTCCATTTTCCCGAATCTTCTTTACCTTCCTCACTGCCTCACTGAATTGCCAAACGGGATTTTTCTCAATTAACCCTTATGCCAGTCGCTTTCTTTGTTGGTATTCATTTCAGGTGAGGTTCTGGCCAAACAATTTGCGAGTTTGGGTGCCAAGCTTATTCTGTCAGCTCGAAATGAGGCTGAACTGGAGCGAGTTAAGAAGCAACTTACGGGTGTGTGTCACTTCCTCTGTAGCTATGATAGCCCTGCTCTATCTTGCTTTTTCATCCCACTAATGCTCATCCTTTTGATATGTTTGCCTCGGGTTACAGGCAAGTATGCTCCCAACGAGGTAAAGATTCTGCCTTTGGATTTGGCGTCCGGTGAAGCCTCACTGAAGGAGGCTGTGGAAAAGGCAGAAGCCTTTTTTCCTGGTACTGGTGTTCACTATATGATCCACAATGCAGCTTATGAACGACCTGTAAGTTTAAAGTCTTCCCCTGTATGGAATGGCTAGACCTTATCAGTAGTGTACAATCACTAGCAAATGTCAGGCTAGGAAATAGATGTACTAAACTGAAATGTTTTCGAGTGATCCAAGCAAAACGAACTTCCCCTCTTTTATTTGAACCATTCTGTATTGCTTTCTGTAAGTGGATTTGCCACCTTCATGTACCTTTGTCTTAAGGCGATATTTTGTCTGGATGGAGAAGGTAAATAAGAAATCTTTTCGAGCTGCAGATTGAATTTGATGCATCAAAGTTCTTATTATGCTTTTAAATGGTTTGCACAAGTATAATCAGGGTGGCCTTTATTTTCGCTCATTTTGTTTTATGTTTTCTCACCTTTGGCAGAAAACGACAGTTTTGGATGTAGATGAAGAAAGCCTCAAGGTATCAAATGAAAGGCACTTCTTAGGTGTTATGTAGTTATTATATGGCATTGGTTCCTTTGAGGGCTAAAAAACAGACCAAGGTTTATCCAGCTTTGTACTGTGCAATTGATGATTTGCGCATGACATATATACATTTACGAGGTACACAGTTTTGAGCTTCCATTTTATGCTTACTGAAGGAAGTTTTCTTCTTCTTCTGGAAGTAGATGACATTCAACGTCAATGTTCTGGGGACAATATCTCTCACACGTCTGCTAGCGCCATTCATGCTGAGACGAGGTGGCGGCCATTTCGTTGTGGTGGGTAGAGGTTAATGTTCCTAGTTTCATTACTCTACTTAAATCTCAATTTAGCAAATACTTTCAAAGTTTAGCTGATGCTTTTTTTTTATAATGGTTAGCTGATGTTCTTCTTATTTGATTGACTACATTTATGTAGATGAGCAGTGCTGCAGGCAAGACGCCTGCGCCTGGACAGGCTGTATACTCCGGTTCCAAGTTTGCTCTGAACGGATACTTCCATTCCTTGCGTTCTGAGGTATAGGGTAACCATGTCTCTATCCTACAATCTTGTACTAACTACGGCCATTTCTTAGTTGGTTCTTAATTCATATGTAGGAATGTACCTCCGTAAATACTGATGCAGCTATAGAAACTGTCTTTACTCTGGTTGCACACTAATTTTTAGAGAAGGGACGTTCATCAGGACTTCTAGACAGCCTAGTTTTGTTTTCTTAGCATGTTTTATCCGAGAAACGCTTGGCCACAAGCAATGATGTGAACTATTTATTTATAAACTCATGACTCCTGCAATAATGTGAACTGTACTCTTCTACGCCTGCATCTAATAGTGGGGTTTCAATTTTGTCTCCATTGTAGCTGTATCCAAAAGGGATAAAGGTGACCATTGTTTGTCCTGGGCCAATAGAGACGGGGTCTGGAACATCAAACTCAGCAAAGGTCGACTCTTGTTCTTTCCAGATGAACTCCGTTTTTCACTAGTTATTAGCTTTCTGAACTCTAGCCCCTTCCCCAACTATGCAGCAAGTCCTTTTTCACGGTCCATGTTTCATTTCTACTATCTCACTAGCACTGTTACTTCTTACAGAGGCGTTTGTCATCTGAAAGATGCGCAGAGCTGACAATAATTGCTGCAAGCCACAATCTAAAGGAAGTTTGGATATCGAACCAGGTGCTGCCATTCGTGACCCTCACTCAATCACAGTAATCTCTTTGTTTCTCATTATCGATGTTTCTTAACTCCTAACAACTTATTAACTCCTCTCATATCTCGCAGCCTGTGTTAGCCGTGATGTATCTGGTGCAGTACATGCCAGCCATTGGCTTCTGGCTTATGGATAAGGTATCTTCTATACCCTCAATACATTTTCCCTTACAATGGGGGCTTCTGGAATGCATTCTCAGTCAATTTCAATGCATGACCAACCTTCAACCGTTCCACTTCAAAAATCGTGTTTCAGGTCGGTGCAAATCGGGTGGAAGCTGCTAAGCAAAAGGGCGATACCTACTCCGTGGGGCTACTGTTCGGGAAGAAGAAGGTAACCTGAGGTCATCAAGGCGCAACCCAACATCAGAATAATCCTCTCGATCGATTCGAGAGAAACACGCAGTACCGCGCGCGACTGTACATACTTTCGGAAAAAGGAAAATCATCTACAATGCAGATGTGCATGCATTATTGCTATTCTAGCTGGTATCTCTCTATCTGCTGAATAAAACTCTGTTTGGTAACTGTCATAAATGGCAAAACTGTTTGAGTTCCTGGATTTGGCTGTATTTTGCTTCCATGATTCTCTAATTTCTGCTGCTCCAACTTGCTACACATTATTTTGATCTCAGCAACTGCAACCAGGATAGGTTTCACAGAGTTACCCCCATAAGGATGCTGATGGCTTTGCACATCCTGTCAACAGGAAGGATAAACTAACGTAACTCACAAGTAAGCAAAATCAGACATACAAAATACAAACTTAATTAACAACTAAGCTCCAAGCTTCAAAAATGCATGTAGTTAGAGCAGAGTTTTGAATTTGTAACAATATTTTAGACCGCACCCAGGTAAACTTTAGGGCTGCCTACGTACCTCCGTTTTACATAATTCAACACGGAGGATCAGGTCTACGTAGTTCTATTACATTACATCAAATTAATTAATTACAGTTCATCAATAATGACAAAAAAGAATCCCTCTCGTCTATCTATCTATCTAGCTATCTCCTCGAGTCCTTTCTTCTTCTTCTTCTTCTTCTTCTTGGGGACGTCGAACGATGAAACGGTGTCCGAGCAGCTGCTGAACGGTCCACCTCTTGCAAGGATCCTTCTCCAAGCAGCACCCAATAAACTCCCTAAACTCCTCGGAAGCTTCCTCGGGGATCTTCGGCGGCATCTCGCCGAAGCAAATGGCGCACATCAGCGCCGGCCAGTCCGGCTTCTGCCCTGGTTCAAGCAGCGGGTACCTCCCCAAGTAAAGCTCCAAGAACACGAGCCCCAGGCTCCACACGTCGGCGGCGAACCCGTCGTAGGTCGAGCCGTGGGCCGCCATGTCGAACCGCTCGGGGCTGAGGTAGGCGGCGGTGCCGACGTAGGAGTCGCAGCGGGCGAGGCGGGTGGGGAGCCGCTTGCTGACGCCGAAGTCAGCGATCTTGACCTCGTTGTTGTTGTTGGCGTTGACCAGGAAGTTGGCGGGTTTGACGTCCCTGTGGACGATGTTGTTGGCGTGGAGGTGGCTGAACCCTTGGAGGATCTGTCGCGCTACGTCGGCGATTGCGTGCTCCGGGAGGCGGGCGTCGCGGTAGGTGGCTTTCGCGTGGTCGGAGAGGGAGCCGGATTCCATGTAGTCCATGAGGATCGAAACGTCGCCGTTTGGGGTTTGGAAGGAGCCCTGGAATTTGACCACGTGAGGTGAGGAGGACGCGATCCGGTGGATGGAGACTTCTTCTTCTTGGGTTTGGGTTTCGGCGGCGGCGGAGATCTTCTTGAGAGCGTAGATTGCGCGGGTGGGTTTGTGGCGGACCTTGAAGACTGCGCCGCCGCTTCCTTGGCCGAGTGGGTGGAGCTTCTCTAACTCTGTCAGGCTCTTGACTTCTTGATGATGAGTGGTGAGAGAAGAGGTTGCCGCCGGGTAAGGTGAGAAGCGGTGGTGAATGGCCGGAGTAGTCGGGTTGAGATGGAGAGCGAGATGGCGATTCAACTTCCGGCTCGCGATCGCCATTCTTGATTTCCCTTCTACTTCGCAGCCCTAGCTTTTCGTACTGTGTTTAGGATCACTGATCAGTGATGGAAGGAAGCCTCCATTTTTAAAGCAGGGGGGAAAAATTGGAAAGAGCGGCGGTGGTGAATAACAGAGTCCGAGTCGGAAAAGGAATGGCCTTTCCTTCCCGCCCCAGGAAAGGAATCCTGGTGAAGAACGGAGAAGGATTTAGAAAGCAAGCTTTGTCATCCCATCACTCTGTCTCTGGTTTTACTCTCTCGCAAAGCAAGCAAGCTTTTTCCGCCACCACGGTTTATACTTGAACAGATATAGCAGTGATGTCGGCGGCGGCGGCGGCGAATGCATCAACAGGAGCAGCGGCAGGTTATGATTCATCGCGTATCGGCGCGGCCACCAGAATCGGCATTGTAAAGCAAGAAGACGACTACGAGATATTGGTTTCTCTCCTGCCAAGTGGCGGTCCCCGCCTGAACAATCACTCCGGCAGCAGTTCTGATCGGATTCTGTTCGACACCACGGTGGAGCGGATCTACCAATCCCGCCGCACCACGTCGGCGAAACCTGCCTCCGTCGCTGTTGGTTGTAACCCGGATCAGGACCCTGCCCGAACAGCCTCTGCCCCGCGTTACACATCATCAACGTCGTCGTTGCCGGGGCAGATAGTGGTGGAATCTCACCGCTCCAAATTCAGAATCCCCATAGCCGATGATGATGAAGACTCGTCTACTGGAGGAGACTATCACGATCACCCGTTCGTAGAGAAACGACGAGGATCGAATCGAATGGTGGGAAGAGAGTAGAGGCGAGGATGGTGCTGAATATTGCGAAGAAAAGCAGAGTGGGAGAGGCAGAGTATCAGGGGATCTGCAGGGCTGTGGAAGAGGGACGGAACATTGATGAGCTGGAGAAGTTTCTAATCGATGAACAAGATCGTCGAGCTGCTTCTACTACGAGATCGGGAGGCGGGTTGGAGAGACTGTCAGTGGATGAAATGAAGCTCATGGTTGAGGAGCGTGTGATGAGGATTAACAGCGGTGTCCTGACGACTATACTGGACTCTAGCACCATCGATTCAGTGGCTCGGAGAGCGTCTGAGGAGTGGGAACGATCACTGGTTTCCAAGCTGAGCAAAGCTCTTGTGATGGCGAATCTAGGCGAAGAACAAGAGGAACGAGAAGAAGCTAATCCCAGGAAGAAGAAGAAACCAAGGATAGAGAAAGGGACACATGGGGAGTGCAGCATCTGCTTAGCTCCCAAACTTCCATTGACGACGACGATTCCAGTGGTTCGATTGCCGAACTGCATCCACACTTTCCACAGGGACTGCCTTCTCCAATGGCTCCTCCACACTCCCAACTGTCCTCTGTGTCGATCCTCTCCTTTACCTTCCCTGTACAACAGTTGATTCGCATTTATAGCAGTTATGACAATGTACCAGAAAACAGTATACCATCTTGCTGTCTTGTTTTCTTTACCCATTTCTACTGTAACCAGACTCCTCATGGTGTCAAGATATAAAAGGATATGACTTAGTAATTTTAACTAATCATAACGCTGACTATACTAGATTTCTCAAAATCAACTTAGTTGAGTGCATTAATTTTCCTCATAGCAAAGTAAACTACTTATACTACTGCTGCTACTTGTACATTTTCAGAAACCATCAAAAGAATAGATGACATAAACAACCCCTTTTTCTTCATTGAGTTAGTCTCTGCATCTCATTCTGATCATTCAACGTTTCCATGAGAAGAGGAGGGGCATACTGCGCCGTCCCCTGGTGCTCCTCCGAGTCCTGGCAGAAGGATAGGATTATAGTATCGATCGACATCTCGACCACTGCAAAGAATAGTGTCGCCACCACGTAGCCTAGACCCCAGCACACCTGCCATATTTGGGGACAAGAACATTATCAGCCCCGCCAAAGTTGTCGTCGAGCAAGTGATTTAGTATCTCACAAATACAATCAAACAACCACTGATGTTCTAAGTTCGTACCACCACAGGGAAGAGCGGGGAAGAGATCTTGTTATGCGAAGATCTATACTTGTGCGTGTCCAGCATCAAGAACGCAAACACAGCACTCGAAAGGCTCACACACAACTTCCCCAGAAACAGAATTATGTCCCCAATCACATTCACCTTCCCTATCCTCAAAATGTTGTTCATGATCAACTCAGTTGCAATCCCAGAAGCCCTGCAGAAGCTCTTCCCAGTAATAGCTATCTGCATACCATCAAAATTGAGACTTGTGTCAAAGTTCCAAACAAACAGCAGTTGATTGAACACAGTTAGAAGAAAATGTTATTATTCTCCTGCTTTCTTTAAAGCACCTACCATTATATAAGCATTGCGGTTAATCGACTTTATGGTCCATTCAACGCACCGGAGACAAAATCCAGAGCTATGGTGCAGCACCTTCCCAATCCAGCCGTCCGGAGTTATATCAGTGACTTTCAGTTTGCGGCGAATCGATTCTAGGAGGAAGCGTATGGATTCCACAAATGAGACCACCAGAGAGCCCAAGGCAACTGACCCAAGACTGTATCGTGCGAGCCTTTTCATAGAGCCGAAAACTGGGAGGAACGGAATCTCTGGCTGCATAGCATTTGGCAATAGTGTGGTCAGAGCTAATCCACTAATCTAGAAGACAATGTGCTCTGTATATTAGTAATGCCAGAAACAAAAGAGGAGCGAGCAGCTTACTGAGGCATCGCCACGAGCCCAATAATAGGATGCAACAGAACCAGCAATGACAGTTGCAGAAGAAGCTATGAAGAATTGGGTGGCCCAGTAACATCCAAATAGGTGGAAGAAGATGGCAATAGCAATATGAGGAGTGTAACGAACGCCATAGCCACAGCACCGATCACAGTTCACCCGTTTCGATACAAGATCAAAGGCGCAGCAGTTTGAATTGTCGCAGTTGTTCTGGACAATCTGGCCAGAACTGAAAAGATGCAAAGCAGCTGACAACCAGAACATGTAGAATATTGCAAGCATGGCATATGGTATGACTGGGAAAATTATGAGTGCTTGAACTTCTCCAATCACCTTAGCAGCCACCTGCATTAATGATCGAAACCAATTATTTCATTCAACCAGGTTTTGATCACTTAAGTAATAAAATGTCAACCCCTGAAACAACCTAGCAGGAACATGATGTCCAGAAATGGCCCACTTGCCTTGAGTACAGATGTGGCCATTAGGATGCGTCGCGCTATGGCAATTGATGTAAGGACAGAGACCACCATGATCAAGGTCATGAGAATAGCTACAGCGCGGATGTGATTAAGTTCCTGAAAGAAAAATAAATAGGAGTAAGAAACAGATAACAGAGATATCATGCACACGAAAGGACAATGAGACTATCTAGCACTGCAGCTGATATAATAACCTACTCGGCCAAACACATGATAGTATGGATCAGGGGGACCAATGACTGGGGATATAGCATCATTTCCAATCCATCCAGCTGCAAAGTGATCAAAGTCAGAAAAAGATCAGCAAAAGAAATGGTGTCACTAGAGGGGGAAATCATGAACACTCTCAATCGGGAACTAAAAAGCATTTGCAGTTAAACTGGTAACACAGTTGCAGATGAATGAATAAAATAGGCGGGAGCTGGGACTGCTATCAATCATATTCAGGAAGAAGCCCTTAATTATGAAAATCCAATGCCTCGTTTCTTATTAATGCTAAGAAATACTGTCAAAGTCAGACAAAACATCCAATGAAGATGCGTTGAGACACAATGAGATCCAAGTATCCAACGACTAGGACAACTCACAGTAATGAAGTCACTTCCAAGTTTGGCCTTTAATCTAAAACCCTGTCAGCTCAGCAGTGAAAAGTAAAAGGAAACCTTCTGAGTTACTGACCTTTCAGGTAGTAGAACATCGTCACTGAAACTATGAGTACATTAAAGAGGGCAACTGTAACCCATGGCATGGCAGCAACTAAGTGTCGAATCATCAGCAGCCAAATCACCGACAAAAATAGAGGTAATAGTCCTCCGCAGACGATCAATACTGGCCATGACTTCCCGATATCTGCCACATATCTCTGCCAGACAAAATTAAGCTAATTAACTTCCAAGTACAGAGAAAATATGATGTACAATTGGCTTCACGATAAGACAACAAACGCATTTCACATACAGAAACACCATGAAAATACATACTCCAGCCACTAAAATCAACTATACAACAGCTCTGGCATGCAAATGCAATAAGTGATGCCTCTATAAACCCATTTAGAACATAATGGAAGTTCTATACACAATCCACGCCGAGGAAGTTAAATAAAAATGGAAGACCAAGTGAATTGGAAAAAGATTACTGTCATAACCAATATCCATCAATCCAGGAACACAACATGAATAATAGGACTTGGGGGGAAACCTCGAACCTTCAGCACAGACGAACGAGCATTGACTGACTTGTGAATAGTCTTGTCAATGATAATATCTTCGTCGATGTTCAATCCACCCATTACTTGCCAATGTCTCAAAGACGCATTTGATGCACGAGCAACAAATTCACACCTCCAGTGAACTGGGTATAAAGAGACACGAAACAGTGACTTTAGATTACAAATTCGCATTTCACATAACACATCAACAGAAAAAGATGGAACTGATTGGAATGCTTCAACAAATTCAGCAGACAGAGTAAAGAAGTCTCCTATGGGCTTGACATTGGTAAGAGCCAGACACATATAATGAGTTAAAACCATCAAACAAATGCAGCTCACGTACCATTTACACTAGGGAAAATGACAGGGTAACAAGGACCCTGGAGTTGAAGCGAGGAGTTTCTCATCTCAGGAGTAAGGAACTCGTAATAGTCATAATTCCTGTCGATCCAATCGTCCATTGATATGCGGATATCACCCTCTGGGTAATCACAGACCCAATTCAGACCATCATCTGTTGGTCTAGGACAATCCAACAAGCATATACTCCTAGCATTGGCCAACTTGAATTGGCTGTTCTTGGAACCACTAAGATAGACCTGATTGGGATTGACCCAGTATGTGAGCTCCAATTCTCGCAGATTTGGATGCGCATGCTTGTCACCACAAACATTTCCTTTGTAGTCCAGCCCATATGTAAGCCTAGCAAACACCCACACCGTAACTAAATCAACAAATAGAAAGTACACCAAAAAAATGGCGAGCAATAGACACACTTTGACAGGAATCAGTGCAGCAAAGGAAACTCATTTCTCACACAAAATCTATCTAACCGGAGAAAGTTGCATGAAGCACCAAATTTTCCATACTGAAACACTAGTTAGACATGCCAAAAACAGCAATAAGGGTTTTGGAGCGAGCCGCAAAAAGAAAAGCCCGTCACTTTTGTGATTTACTTACCTTAATGGATTTCCCTGGTTGAATCCAAAGCTGGAGTTGACAATCATAGCAACCCAGAAGGCTACGAACACTACCAGAAACGCCAAATCTCTGCATTTCCTGTTGCGCTTAATGATTCCATCAATCTGGGTGCTGCCATCACTTGATGGGTACCTCCCAATCACTGCCCCCAGGGGCCGACTCATGTTCTCTCTCTGCCTCAACTGTCTCTCTCCCTTCGATCTTCCTCCGCAGCTCAACTATGGAAAGGCACAGTGAGAGTGTGAGAGGGAGAGGGTACTGGGTAGAACTGGGGAATGTTTCTGGAGAAAGGGAAAGTTGTGTTCTTTTCATTTCATTTTTATTATTTGTTTTTTGAATGAAGGACAGTGGCTGCAAGTTGTAGACTGTAGAGTGAGAACAGAGTGTAGAGGGAAAAAACAAGAAATACGGATGGGAAAGCAGAAAAGTTGAACGGGTTTAAGATTTGGAATTGAATGACAAGAGAAAAAGTGTCGATTTGGGACTTGTTTAAGTTCTTCATTAACGGTTAAATGCTTGATTAGCTGTTAAGTATGGTCTATGGAATATGGCCCCTCACTCACTCTGGATTTTAGGACAAAGATCTTATACGGACGTCGGACGGTGTGTTGTTTCAACAAAGTAATTAACAACAAAACTAAAGGTACATAATCCCGTGTCTTTCTCTATCCCGTGGGTAGTCTGCTTGGTCTGATTTTATATAGTAAAATGGTCTGTCTTTTTTTTTTTTTCTCCAAAAGAGAAGCCATGAAATATAAATCAGAATTCGATTTGATCAGATTGGGACCAAGTAATTGTTGTCTAATAATTTTGCAAGTGTATAAACTATCTAGTAGTTTAAGTATGGTCCCCAATAGGATTTTATCATATCATATTAGTTTATTCTTGTGTTGTTTTTAGATTTACCATTTTAAGTAATTTTCCACACTTCAATATATGTTATTAAATTGACAATGTAAAAGAAAACAGAGTATTATTGTTCATTTAAGAAAAGATTATGAGAGAAGGGATTAAATAGAGGGCATGCTAGGATTGTATTTGTAGGGGGAGAAGAAGAAGGGAGAAGACTGGAATGAACTGTAATTAGAAGTTGTAAGCTACAAAAGCACATAACCATTAGCTAGAGTGATTCAATTCTTCATCTTTATTTGACACTCCACCATCATAAAAACAAACACAAAGGATGAGGAAACTAAACTAGCACGAGGAATAGTCTTGAATCTCGATCATCACTCATTTGTCACTGGTGTCCTCGGTTTCATCATCAACCACCATCCATTGTCATCGTAGTCATCCTTGGTATAATTATCGTCACTAGTGTCGATTGACACGCTAAAACACAACACCTAACAATGGCCAAGTGTAACCAGGCCCGGCCATGGGCCTGTGCTAACAGGCCCACCAGCACAGGGCCTCACAATTTGAGGGGCCTCCTTCAAATACAACAAGCCTAAATACTAGTTACAAACAATTGGGCTAAAATCTAAATTATAGGCCCTTATAATATTACACTTTTTACTTAATTTATTTTTATGGGCCACGTGAATTCTATATGGGCCAAAAGTAAAAGAAAAAAACGAGTTAAATTTACTAATCCCCACGTGGACATTGCAACATTTTCTTAAGCTTTCATTAAAATAAAATCACCCACCAACGGTAAAAAAAGGAAATTCAGCATCAACGCAAAATATGAACTAATTAACTAGGCCCCCATAGCCCATTAATCAATATGGATATCTCATTTCCCCATTAACCCACTGCCGTTGTAACCCTTCCGTATGACCCAAAAACAATAATAATAATAACAAACTTGTTAGCATAATATAAAAAAACTTGTTAGTATAAATAGAAGTTAGTTTCATTTGAAAATAATTAAACATTTGAAGTCCAAACAATTCTTTCTACTCATCTTAAATTGTTCCTCTTTATTCTTTGTTGCTCCCTTTTTTTCTAAAATTCGAGCTTTTACTCAAATGAGGTTCCATAACCTATTGAGATTAGTCTAGTAGATAGATTAATTTTCAATTGAGTTAGTGTTTCGATTCTTTGATTTATTTCACTCTCTCAATAATCAATTTTGTATTGTACATCTTCTTGTTTTAGTTATTATCAACCATCGTGACATGCATACTGAAACTGTACTTAAGAATAATGTGCATTCTAATATTGATGGCAATGATTTATATGGTGAACTTAAATTGTTACAAGAGTTTCTACACAAGGAAACTTTACAACCAATTGATTTTGAATTTTTTTAAATGTGTTGATTATTTTCCTAAAGCCACAATATTATGTAGAATCTTGTTAACTATCTTTGTGATTGTTGTTACTCCAGAGAAAAGTTTTTCTAAGTTAAAGTTGTTGAAGTCCTATTTGTATTCTATAATGACGCAAGAAAGGGTTAATGGAATAGATATGGTGGAGATTAAAAATGTTCTTCAAGAAAATATGAAAATTAAAGAGGTTATAGATAATTTTAATTCAAACAATGCAAGAAGGATATTATTTTTAAGTAACTTTGTCATGAAATTTATTTCTTAATCAATATTTGGCATTTCTATGATCATATAAAAATTATTATTTTATAAAATATTAAAAAAAATCGGGCCACATATTATCTTTGGAACAGGGCCTCCAATATTCATTGGCCGGCCCTGAGTGTAACCAATGAAAGGGACTGCAGTATAGTGGCACAAGTAATAAATATCGAATCCACGGGTCTCTAGAGTTACTATTGCTCAGCTTCAGTTCATTATCTAGCAAACTAGATTAAGGATTGATTTATAAACTACTCTACTGACTATTCTACTAATTACAAGTTGGGAACTCACTTAGGTATGATTCCCCCTAGCTCCTCAATTAGGTCCAAGTTGCAATTACCTTTGGTTGATCTACTGTTGATTAAACTGCGGAAGATCCTAAATTAGCTTGGAATCTCTTAAGATGGTCAAGCCCTCTCAGTCCAACTACCCGGTAGACGACTAGTCTTCACCAGGATAGAAAGCTGAGGCTATGAACACAGAATTCCACTACTGGAATGAATTCCAGTACAAAGCAGTGAATTGATTGACTCTCGCACAACCAATTCACCACTATCAATCAAGGAAGCTCTCTTAACCTAATCAGATTCTATCTATCATAGGTTAAAGCAGAAATCAAGAGAATTTGATCGAGATTCAATTGACTCAATAAATCATATCTCAATCGATTATAATCAAACAATATAGCATCCAAAACTTCATACAAGAAAGATCCTAACACATGGAACTAGGGTTCCCCAAAACCTAAGTGAAGGGAAGTTACTCCATAGAGAAGAGAGAGACTACATAAATCTGATCTAGATCTTCAATCTCCATCTCCAAGCTTGATTCCCGAGCTCCAATGGCGAAGAAATCCTCCAAAATAGCTCCAAGAATGTTCCCAAGTCGCTCTCTCTCTCTCTAGGGTTCATCCCTTGGGTGTTTGGGAACCAAAAACCCAGCTCTCCCCTTTCCTTTTGCTGAAAATCGGGTTTTAACCAGAAATTCTCGATCACACGGCCAGGCCACACGGCCGTGTGGCTTTCCCAGCTGCCCGTGTGAAGGCTCGGTGATTTCCACACGGCCACATGGCCAGGTCACACGGCCGTGTGGGTTTTTAGGCTTGCCCGTGTGGCTTGCTCAGCCTCTGTTTAATGCTTCGTTTCTCCCTCGTCCGGACTCCGAATCAGTCGCCGTTTGATCCCAGACGCTCGTAGTCTCGTCCTCTTTCTTTTCATGACAAAATTCCATGATTATTTGTCCATAATATGAGGTAGAAGTCCATTATTCTTCAGGTCATGCTCGTGTTTCTTCTCCCAAATTGCCAAATGATCTCTGATTGACTTGAAACTTGCGCCTATGCTTCAATTTACATGCTAGGACCTGAAATGTGACAAAGGAACACAACCTAGCGTAAAATAGTCCAAAAAATCAGAAACTCAAGCCAAAATGATCAAGAAACGAGGGTGCAAACATGTGCAAATCCGATGTTATCATCGATCTTGTCCCCTAACTCGTTGGCCTCATCGATGATATCGAAGGCATCTTCCTCATCGATGATATCGAAGGCATCGTCCTCATCCACCCATCTCGACGGACTCACTAGTGGTATCACAGTCGTGATGATCATCGGGGTAAAACTTAAAATCCTTGCTGACAAATACAATCATCATGATATAAGTGGGACTAATAAGTCCTCATTAATTTTCAAAAGTAAAAGATGATCAGCTTGACAAGAGGTTACACCTCTTGACACTTTTAATAGGGACACAAGTTCTTTGTGCTCTTGTATGTCGAGATTATCGTCACCTAAATGTATATTCTCTTTATTTTGCACAACTCCGAACATGAGTAAATATGTTGTCATTTTCATCTCACCTTCTTAGTAGACTTATGAATGATAGTTTGAATAAAAGTTGTCGATATTGTAACTATTTTTCAACTTCATAATTTGCATATGAGTTACGAAGAAGACAATATTTGTTTCACTTTTTGAACCAATTTGTCAAGAAATAGAAGTTAAATGTTAACTTGACAGAATATTTTGAGTATATTGACATAAATCTGAATTCAGTATCTAGGGATGTTATATGGATTAGTACAGTGACCATATTGATCATTTAGCCAGCGAGAATCAAAGGAAGAAAGGGGCAACTGCGAAGTGAGAAAGCGAGGGTTCAGAGGAACAGGGGACGACGGTGTGTCTCCCGCCGCCGGTCAGTCTTATAGAGTGTAATCGCAATCGGCGCTCACCGCCACTTGACGTGGAGAGAGAGAGATCGTGTTACTCCTGCAAAAGCCTGTCCAGATCGCGAAGCAAAGAGAAGCAACAGCCAAGGTCCCATTTGTCTGCTTGCCCATCAGCACGCGGCTCTTTGTTCACTGTTCTGCAGTGAGATCATTATTCATCGGGTTATTAGAGGTTTGTTTTGTTGCACTTCTTAGTGGGACTGGGGCGGGGAATCCTCTACAATTTGGATAATCTCAATAGGGTTAAGTCCTGCAAGAACACATCGTGTTATCTTTGGTTTAAAGGAAATGAATTTCCAGTTTCAGCCCAATGCATCATTCTGTTCTTTACAAATTAGTAGACTGCTAGTGTTTTTTTATGTGTGCATACTGCATAGTGCATACTACTGTTAAAGAGAGAAAGTTTCAGCCTTTAAATTTTAGGTCCTGGAAGCTATTGGCATCATTCTGAGTCTTCTCTGATTGTGTGTGAAAGCCTTGGCATCATTCTTGAATTGGGCAAGCGAGATTTATGACTTAAATGCTTGTTTCCACATCATTATAACTTACGCGAAAGTCAGAATTCAGCGAATTTAAGCCGGCTTACCAGAGTTCAAGCTTCGATCAAGCTCATCATCTAGTCTGATTCGGCCTTTCTGAAACCTAGATATTTGAGTTTGAATCGAGTAAAGGTTCATGCTACAATTGAGCTAAAGATTGCCTTTGTTAATGAGCTTTTCCTGAGCCTAGCTAAAGCCTAGTGGTCTCCAACTCAATTGCAGTTTTCTTTTATTCATCCTGTTGTGTTTTCCTGCCATGAGTTGGGGTGTAGGTTCTTCATGTAAATGAATACAGATTTCTGTTGTTGTGAACGATGAATCTATGCTGCACTAAGCGAATCGTGAATCTATTGACAATGTGCCCTTTAGCTGATAGAGGACTGGCAATTTTGCAGCAAAGCATGGGAGGTAGAGGTGTTATTGGGGATAAATGGTCCATGAGGATTCTCTGGATGTGTGCTCTCGGAAGTGCAGTTGGTAAGTATTGCAGAATGAACATTACATACTATTCTGCAACTGGTTTTCAAAATCGATGATTGGCAGCCATAAAATGAGCATTGAGTGGCTCTCTCTTTTCCCCATGTATTTCTTCTCTCTATCTGATAAGTTCTCTGTCTGTTTTCCTACTTTGCCAGGTTTGTACATGGTTGCAGTAGAAAGACAAGCACAAAACAGGAAAAAGATGATGGCCGAAGGTTTCACGGGTCTGGATGACGGTGGGGGCGAAGGGGACGATGTCTAAGCTCTAGTTCTTCTGGTTTGCTATAGCAACTTTTATCCGTTTCCCCGAAGAGAACGAATAAGTCCCTGTATTTTAGCTGTCTTTCATCTTTTCTCAGTAGAAGCAAGCAGTTCCAAATGATAGCAGGGATTGACACATCTGGAAACTAGTACCATGTTGCAGTCTGACACAATGATGTTGGACTTTACATTGCCCTCGAAACCTTGTCGAAATAGCTACTCCAGAAGATAAAATTTTGACATAGATTTTGCTTCCGACTGTGGTTACACGGCCATGGCAGGCTTTCATCGATTTGGGTTTATCTATGGTGACTTTCACGGCTAGCAGTGGACATCAGATGCAGTCGCGGATTCCATAGGTCATCAAGAAATAGTCTTGTAGCACTTGAGATGACAAACTAAGATACTGATCTAAATTGTGTAATCTTTTCTTAAAACCCTTCTACTCTGCATTTGATTAGCTTCAGTTTCACTCCACTAAAGCTACAGATCTCGCCCCCAGTAAATTTCCTTCGTTCATCGATCCGTAATTACATAAACGTGTTTAAAATAAATTGATTAATAAATAACTCATCGTCTAATAGAGCTCGCCCCATCAACGAGGCCAGTGTTACAAGCATGAGCCGCGGCAAAAAAGCGGAAAAACAGGGGAGGGAGGTTTGAAGTTCCGGCGGGAAATTGGCATTTCTTGGATGCAACTGAACAGCAAAGCACGTAAATTGAATTCTGAAACAGTCCCATAATTCATGGAGAATCACGCACACTTCACTTCCACCATTGCCCGGCCGATTGCTCTGATCTCTTCCCTTCCCTTCCCTTCCCTTCCCTTCGTCTCTACTATATATAAAATCGCAGGTAGCAGCACCACCACCATGATCATCACCATTTCCTCCTACTAGCTAATTTGCAATATATATAAAGCTCTACCAGCAATGAAGAGCTCACTACTCCCGCTGCTGATTCCTTGTCTGATTCTGCTATTGATATGCTCGAGCTGCTCTGCTTCGTCTCACCGCCTCCTGGCTTCCACCGCCGCTGGCTTCGACGGCGGAAGCAGCAGAGTTTATGCGCTCAGTGTTCCGTTGAGCAACGATCAAGAATTGGCGTCCGGGGTTGGGTATGGCTCTGGCAGCGGTGACGGATCCGGGGTGGGGTACGGCTCTGGTTCTGGCACCGGCAGCGGTGGCGGAACTGGAATTGGAGTCGGGAGCGGCGGCGGCGGAGGTGGCGGGACGGGAGTCGGCGTTGGGTATGGCGGCGGATCATCGTACGGGTCTGGATGGGGGAGCGGGTCTGGAGGTGGATTGGGGTATGGGATGGGCGGTTGGCCCGGTGGTTTTGGGTATGGAGTCGGAATCGGGACCGGGCCTGGCGGTGGCATTCCATTTATTCCCTTTCCTGCCAACGGAGGCGGCGCTGGTGGTGGGAGTGGCAGCGGTGGCGGTGGCGGTGGAGGGGAGGGATACGGCGGGGGAAGTGGGAGTGGAAGCGGTGGGGGTGGCTCTGGCGGCGGTGGCGGTGAAGGGTTTGGCAGCGGCAGCGGTGGGAGTGGATTTGGCGGTGGAGCTGGGAGTGGTAACGGTAACAGCCAAGGGTCTGGCTCGGGAGCTGGGAGTGGTAACGGTAACGGCAACGGTAACGACCAAGGGTCTGGCTCGGGAGCTGGTAGCGGCGGCAGCGGTGGTGGAGGATTTGGTGCTGGAAGTGGGAGCGGAAGTGGTAACGGTGAAGGGTCTGGTTGGGGAGTTGGGAGCGGCAGCGGTAGCGGATCTGGCTGGGGAGGTGGCAGCGGAAGTGGTAGCGGCGGCGGATCTGCTGGCGGAGGAGGGAGCGGCGGTGGTAACAGTGAAGGGTCTGGTTCGGGAATTGGGGGCGGCAGCGGTATCGGTGGTGGTGGAGGAAGCGGAAGCGGCAGCGGCAGCGGTGGTGGCAATAGTGGCGAGTCTGGTAGTACTGGTGGTGAGGAAGGAAATGGGAGCGGCAACGGCAGTGGTGGCGGCTCTGGCGGCGGCAGTGGTGGCGGATCTAGCGGTGGTGGTGGAGAAGGGAATGGTAACGGTAATGGCAGCTCTGGCGGCGGCGGCAGCAGCAGTGGCGGCGTTTCTGGCGGCAGTGGTGGAGGATCTAGCGGTGGTGGTGGAGAAGGGAATGGCAACGGCAACAGTGGCGGGTCTGGCAGTGGAGGTGGGGGCGGCAACGGTAGCGGCGGTGGTAGTGGAGATTATAATGGCGGTGGAGTTGGAAATGGAGGAGGTCGGTCCGGCGGTGGAGCTGGAAGCGGTGGTAATTTCGGTGGTGGGTCTGGCGGTGAAGGTGGGAGCGGCGGCAACAATGGAGGCGATTATAACGGTGGTGGGGCAGGTAATGGAGGGGGTGGGTCCGGCGGCGGCAATTCTGGTGGCGGCGGCGGCACCGGCGCCGGGAGCGGAGGCGGCAGTGGTAGTGGAACTGGAAGCGGAGGTGGATCCGGTGGTGGAACTGGAAGCGGTAGCGGCGGTAATATCGGTGGTGGGGGCGACAACGGTGGTGGGTCTGGTGGCGAAGGCGGGAGTGGCGGCAACAATGGTGGCGATAATAATGGTGGCGGAGCTGGTAATGAAGGAGGTGGGTCCGGCGGTGGCAATACTGGTGGCGGGGGCGGCAACGGTGCCGGTTCTGGCAGCGGCAGCGGCAGTGGTGGCGGCTCGTACGGTCCTCCTGGCGGCCCAGCATATCCTCCAACAGCTCCTGGGCCTGGTAATAATTGTGGCAGCCCATCAGGGCCTCCTGGTAACGGCCCATGGGCCGGAGGTTGTGTTTGCAGCCAACAGTGTTCTCAGCAATGCGGATGGACCACCAACTTCAACCCGGCAGCCATTAATCCCTGAAACAAATTTGCTTCTGCAACCACAAATACACAAAGACCAATAAAGGAAAATATCATATCACTAGCTAATAATAAAACAATAATGTCTGTTGCTTCAGTTTCTGCACATTCTCAACTGTTGTAAGGTTTCCACATTTCCCAGAATGATTCTATTTACTCTTGTTACTTAAATGAATATGAATGGGGATAAATGTTTCAGAACGAGAGCTTTGCATTCGCACCATTTTCGTTACATACACATACAGAGAAACAGGTACAATCAAGCTCCAAAAACCATGAGTGTGTATGTACCCATGATAGCAATACAAATTCGACAAATTTACATCTCGACTCCTCTACATGATAACGGAGGGAAGAGCAGTTCGAACGAACTCTCCCTTACTGATCTACAACTGGCTGTCCTACTACAATCCTTCTTGCTTCATTCATCTTCTACTAGCAGGCATAGATGCTGCCCTAGGGAAACTGTCCTCGACCACGACTCTAGAAGCGACTGGGGAAGCAATGTAGGAGGCAGAAGGTCTTAGGAGTGGGGTGCCAGCTCGGGATGAAGTTTCGTTGGGAACATGACCAAGAGGACTGGCTTGGAGGGAATCAGGAGCAGAAGCTGGCTGCAGCTCTATGTGATGGTCATTCCCTCCTGGAATAGGGTTCGTGTCAGCAGGAGGATCGAGAAGCTGATGATTGTCTTCATCCTCGAGCGATATCACTGTGCTTGTGTCGGTGCGTATGGTGGAGTCGTCGGTGAATCCATGTCTTCTCTTCCTTCTCCTAGCAGCTTTGCCCCACCCATGGATTGTGTCCCTTATCCTTTGTGGGATCAATGCTGCTTTGTAATTTGTACCCATCTGCGAATTACACAAGCGGATTATTAGATACTGCAAAGAGCGTCGCCACGAATGTCTAATGTTTCTTAACTGGTTACCAACTAAATGGACATAACTCTCAGTTAGGCTGAGAGAGATCTTGCATTCTTTTCTCAGAGTCATATTTCCTCGATCGTACCTGAGTAACTAGAGCATACAGAGGCAAGGTACTGTAGCTGCAAAGAAACTGACAAGCAAACCTGCAAAGCGCCATAGGACAATGTCAGGGGTCCGATTAGCAAATAATAACGATAACAGACTAAAATTTTCATCATTTTGTTACCCCAAAATGAGTCGTATATAAACGAGAGTATGGTTCACTATAAAACAGGAATTGTATCCGAATTGCCACTGCATCATGCAAACCAAAAGCAACAACATATCAGGTGGAGCATATACAACTGAAAACTGCACGGAAGCAAGAGAAACCGAGATCAATAAGGAAAAGACAGAGAAAGGTCTTTGTCATGGAAGAGGAAGTACCCAGAACCAAAAGAACGAAGCCAGCTCAAATGCATTCTGCAATCCCGGGGAAATATAACAAACGAGAAATGTGTCAGTTGAGAAAATTTGAGATAGCATAAAAAGCTGTCCCCTTCAAAACTCAAGAGAAAAAGGCAGCAACAGCACCACCAACTCAATGTGAGGTGAATTGATACCTGGAATAGAATAAAGTGGATCAACGATAGCAGTAATTCTGGCTTTTTGAACCAGAAAAGATCATCTCGAGGTTTCAGCTCTCGTCCAGCAAAGTAGCCAGAAATGCCAGCATTCTCCAATGTCAGGGTCGCGATCACATGCTGTAGCTTTGCTCCAACTAGAAGCACGAGCTAAATATGATATGGAAGACATAATTAGTCTCTCTAATAAACAGAAACCCGGGAGCTTCTCAGAATCCAACTGCGACTCCCTAAGGAGGCCAAGAATCTAGAAGCAAACAAATTTGAAATGCAAGAGAGTAATTACTTACAGTTACAGGAATGATAGCTATCCAGAAATAAAGATTAGAACCTGCAGTGAGGAACAATGCACGTTTAATTAGTCATGCAACCAAGTATACTTTTATTAGTGCAAGTAATAAGGCAAGCAGAGAAGACTTCCTCACGGAATTATAAGTCACACTAATGATAGTCACATGTAAGGTATACAGAAATGGAACCAAGTGCAGTTTAATCAATTTCTCACACCTTTCACAATTGAAGAGCGACTAGAACAGACAATTTCAGCAATCAATTTTTGTATCGGGTATCATACCTTTTATATTGAAAAGCATAAAAGCAACGACAAATCCCCACAAAGGACCACTGGAAGGAATTGCAAAGAAAGCATGTTAGTCTCATTCTCAGTCTAGACCCCCCAAAATTAGATTCTGCCTTTCTACAATGCGCTCAATGCATCGAAGTAAAACATTACCTAACACCAACTATCCTTTGGAACTCCTCTTCCATGGAGCGAATCATGTAGCCATGAAAATCATATCTGTGAGTAAGGTGGTGATTCTGCCCGCCAGCACCAAAAAGAAAGGAGAGGAAGGAGAGGAAGGAGAGAGGGAGGGAGGGAGAGAAACAAAGATAAAGTATGCGTTAGTAAACGTTGGGAACATAATGTGGCCTATAATATACACATATTAGTAAGAAATGATGCTTATATTATAGATGAGAAAGTCCTGGAAGACACTAGTTTGTTGAATGAATCTAAGAACAAGTAATGACAGGTTGATACCAGCCTCTTGTGAACTTGTCCTTAAGTGACAATTCGAAAATTCTTTTAGCTAAAGATCCCTGTTTTTACATGAAAGTGTTGAAGTGCAAGCACAATCATGTTTCTCGTATCATCTTTTATAAAATTGGACCACAAAATAAATGCATTACGGTTTGTTGCTTCACATTTCTCAACCTATCGTTTGCAAACTAGCTCTGTCCGACACTACACTGTGCAATAATGGGATGGATGTGTGAACAGGGAACCAGTGCATGTACATATGTAAATTGCTTCCAAGAAACAAAAACATAAATACGTTGTTCAGTTTACAAATATTTGTACCGTGATAAAGCCTCTGCGGAGAATAAGGTAATCTGACCGAACAACTGAATGCCCAAATTGTCGAAAGAAACATGTCTGCAACATAAATAAGTTATCAGCTTATGGGATAAATATTGTGATCGTTAGATGTTCAAACCAAACAAATAGCCAGGAGGAAAGGGACGACTCAAAGTATTGCATAAACATATCATCAGCTAGTGAGAAAAAGGAAAATATATATTCATTAATAATCAATTTACTTCACTTGTTAAAAGCGATCTTAGCATGAGGTTAATTGACAAGAATACCATTTAATATTATACAGTCTAGATTAGAAGGTGATATTAAAACCCAGGAGAGGTTTCAACAGCATGCTGTAATCTTACCATACAATTTATTTACGGCATTTTAAAATAATTCAGTACAATTGGTGTTAGTTCAGATTTCACATATATATGCAACTTACCACCCACATGAGAACCCTGCTCTTCGCGAAAGGGCTTGATGGAGTATATCCGATGAAACTGGTTTGCCTTTGAAATGTCTTCTCCCTTGTGATTTCTGCAACAAGATAAATAACCAATTCTTTCATTCATCTCTTCTGAACCAGAGCATGTTGGTACTTAATGTACCTATAAGATCTGCTTGGGATTTACCTGTTAAGACATCGTGTCGGTCCATATAAGCCTCAAGTTCCCACAGCCTCCACCGATGGATCTGATGAAAATTAGAACTCGTGAGAAATAGAATGACCATAGAAGTACAATGCAAAATTTACTTTTCCTGTTCAAGAGCAACTTGCAAGATCAATCAAAATGCAGCACTCCTGAAATACAGGCTATTAAAGGAACTCCAATTTCTTCACTCATGATTCACTACACAAAAATGAGACCAGAGAAACAGCCTATTTTCATTTCAACATAACTATCAAGCACTTGGAGAAAATTATACGCTAAGATGATTAGAATAGTGCAGGAATGTTAACCTTGACAATAGCCAGCAACATTGTCAGGCAGCTGTAAGATATATGTGTGATAGCCATGACAAAGATGAAGCGATGCAACTGTTCAAGGCCTTGATACGACACAAATGGTTCATGTCCCTGCACGCATGAGTGTTCCAAATTACCACATGCAATTCCTATGTTGTCAAAAACACCTGACTCAACATTATGTACCAAAAGTAGGCTTCTGGGGCAAACATCTTGTTTCAAGCAGAAAAATGTGTCATGATGTGTACTAGTGCTCAAAATTAGTGCGGCATCCTTTACAAAATTTTGAGCAGATAGATGAATAACTTACCTCATGGCAAGTATTCCGCTCCAAGCTATTCAGAATCCTACGGAGATGGGTGCCAGAAACCGTATTTAGTTTGCGACCCTGTGAAATGGAGTTCTCTTCCATCTCTTCATCAATCTGAGCCGTGGTGCAAGGAGCAAAACGACTATTGTAGAACTTTGATGGGATGCAAATATTAGCAATTAGGCTGGATGATGCAGTGAGAAAAAGTGATATGAATGCAAGCAACATCAACTCTGGAGACATGTGAGCAATAATTAAACAAGGAGATAAGTATGATGGACAATATGCACAAGATTACCAAAAACAAAATACAACTAACAGAAATACTTGATAGAGTTTTAGGCCTTTTGCAAGTAAGAGTTACCTTCTTTCATTTTCTCCACAGCAGCAAGCAGAGGTTTCGGTTAGTTTTCCGCAACCACTGCAAGGTATAAACTAATTATCAATCTGATGTACATAGAAATGCTCAAGTAAAAGGGTATATCTCGACCAATCTTTTAACAAATGACTGCATACATATAATGGGTGTCATGAGGGTACATGAGTTATGGAGCAAACTGTATCATGTTATAAGAATTTTAGAATGGTTCACCAAACGAAAAAAGTTAAGCAACTCCAGTGCAAGCCGTCATGAAATTCGTGAACGAATTTGTTGATTTCAACTCCTATGGCTACTGTATCCTCTATCATCTACAGTCCACTACACATAACACACAGAGGAACAACTTCAAACGGTATATTATGCCAGCCAATCGGCCCCAAACCTCCAGTTTATCATATGAAAATCACGTTGCTTCAAAAGCTAAATTACTTAGTGTCACTGCAATGAACAGAAACTCAACTCTGACTGCACAGCTTAAATGTTTGGTATGTGAGAAACGAGATACAAGGATGAACTTACATTACTCAGGCGATTGATTAACCGTTCCACGATCAAGGAGACAACCACAAAGATTGTTAGCACAGTTGCAACTGACCATGTGGGAGTCAAAGCTAATGAGCGCATTTCTCTTGTATTCTCCAAGGTCCCCTGCTGGTTTTCTTCTGCCATGACCACCACCACCACCACCGCAGAGCAACAATCTGATCCTTGCAAATAACCTTTCCTTCAAAATCTCAACTTCTTCTTCCGAGTTCCTCCAGCTTGGCTGAAAACCAGAACCCGCAAATCTCGATGACGAAAAAGAAACCAGCATTACAGTACTACTACTAATCTGTCTATCTGAGATTTCTTGTACATCCCCACTCGGCGATGATATACACAAGACCGGAGAATCCTCTGAAAGCAAGCTAACTTTCTTTCTATTTTTGTTCACTGTGGAAGGGCGATACCCCCTATGAATGAATACTTTAAATGAAACCCAACTGGGGGAAAGGAGAATGTGGAATAGGGTGTATCCACAGACCAGATATCTTCCCTATCAACCAAAAGCTTCCACCTTTGCTGTCTGACCGCTTTTCTTCCCTCTACCCAGAAAAAATCTTTCTCTTCACATCTTCACAGACGAACGGGACACTGGGCTAAACTACAGAACTAGTTGCATTGAAGAGAAAGATCCAGTTCAGACTCACAGCATCAACCATGGGCACCTTCGCATACTCTTCTGGTCCCAGATGAACTGATGAAGTAAACTTCTAAGGAAAGGTTTACCAGTCTTCCTTCCTTCCTTCTTCTTCTCTGGGTATTTGTAAAGCAGCCGCCTTTCTAGTTTCTACTGACGCCACGAAACACGGCGGGTGACATGATTTTGACGAGGCACGTGAAAGAAGGATCTCCGGTCTCTGCTGGGCTTCGTTTTGTTGTTCAAATTCTGACGGTAGTTTTCTTTGTTTTTTCTCCATTTTCCTTCTCATGGGGTCCATTTTGCCGAGAAATGTCATGGTGATTGATGACTAGGTAAGACACCCGTAGTGGCAGGCAGGTCGATAATTGAAAGCGCTTTTGCGAGGGAAAGAAACTACCAGCACCGATCGTTTTCCATGATTAGGGGGATGGTATGGCCTATTAACAGAGACTGAATGAAAATGACACTTTTCTCTCAAAATAGATCCAGAATCCAAATTCTTGAAATATGTCAAATACAGAACTTTCTAAGAAATGTGCGTATTGAGCCGGGGGCATCTCTCCATCTATGAGGAAATTTGATGAGCTCTTCTCCGTATCCATTGTTGCTGCATTCATGTCGACTTCTTTTCCTCACAAGGTGACAAGACAGGAGCAGTGAATAGTAATTATTCGTTTGATATATCCCTCACTGCTTTTGTACATGTTTTTTTACATTACAACTCTCAACTCAAGATGCTGCCATGAGTCCATTTGTGGACATCAGATAAAATTGAAACGATACAGAGAAGATGCTGCCATGAAGGGAACAGAACTTTAAAGCACGAGGGTGTTTGTACTTTCCAGAGAATAAAAATAGAGAACAAGGCAGAAGGAGCATGGGTGTTTTGAATAAAAAAGGTAACTCAATCATCCGACTCTTCTTCAGTGTCTTGTTGATCGTCATCATCTTCTGCTTCAGAGTCTTGTTGATCGTCATCTTCTTCTGCTTCTGTGTCAGGTTGATCATCACCTATATCGTTGGACTCCCCTGACTGCTGCTCAGGCTTGTCACCCTTCAACTCATTCTCGCTAAACAGATCCCTTTGTACTGGCACACTTCGCTGTTGCTGGGTCGAAATGACGTTTGCAATTGCTTTGAAAGCTGCAGATGCCCTGTTCTTGTCTCCAATAGCCTCCTCGTCGATACCATTGACTGTAGGTTCCCCTGATGATGCCTTGCTAGCTTCTTCTTGTTTTGGTGGAGGGACAAAGAAGGGAATTTTACCCCTTTGCCAGTCATGAAGTATCATCTTTGCTGCAGTCGTCAAGTCTGGCTCACCTCCCTACACACCCATCCAACCATCCCAATTCGGTCAGATTTAGATCATATAAAAGGAGGAAAGCATGAGAAGGAATGCAGTAACTGCGACAAATAGACCCACACCATCAACAGCTTGATTGAACATGCATCACGGTTATAATCAAGGGAGATAATAGAACATAAATCGAACCTTCAAAAGTTTGCCAGTAGATTTGCACAGCTGAACCAGAAAGTCATTGTCATCGACCCTAAAAACAGGTTGCCAGAATTAAAGTCAGATGCCACGATCTAGTAGATAAACTCCCATTTCAGCAAATAAAGAATTCGAGGTCTATAAAATTAGTAGTATGGCTGCTGGAATACAAAGGTGAAAGGGGGAGATGCCAATAGCAAATAATTAAACAACGAAATGCCAGGAGCAAATAATGAAACAACGTTTGGCCAAAGGCCACGGACAATTAACATGATCCATATAAGGTTGTACATATAAAATCAGTTACATTACTTACCAGTCTTCTATCTTATAAGCACGTTTCAAATGTTCTTTTTTCACACGTTTCAGAACTTCTCCTATGTGTTCTGTAGCATCTTCCAAATTTGTGACACGGACCTATATGGCACCAATAACATGATCAATCCTTTGTACTAAAGGAAGACTTAAAATGGCGCCTCAAGTCTTCTGATAAGGTCAGATAATTTGGGAAAAGCAAGAGAACAAAAACATACCACACCCTTCAGTACAATATCTGTTTCAGAATCTTTGCTCTCATAGACAACTCCAGGACAATCAATCAAGAAAATTCTCTTGGTAAGTGTTATGTACTGCCACACTTTAGTCTCCCCTGGTATGGGAGCAACTTTGCAGACCTAGCCAAGGCAAAAATATTATACATCAATGAGCATATGATGGGAAAAAGAAACGTGATTATTAGAAGCAACAGAAGACAGAACAAACATTACATTCTTTGTCCGAAGTGTGTTGATGACAGAAGACTTGCCAACGTTGGGATAGCCAACAAATCCGACTGATATTGCTTGCTTGTCACTTTTTAACCGAGCAAACTGTCTCAGTACTGACAGAAGAGAACCCTATTGCCAAAAAATTTAAAATGAGAAGATGGAGCAAATATAAATATAAATATTAACCGAAACAAAGCAGGGTGCATCTCTCAAAAGCAAAATAGCCACAAAGGATACAAAACTAGCAGAATCCTGGATGATTGTTCACATTTAGTTCCTAGAAGCTAGATGTGGTGGAAATCAGCTCAATCGGTGAAAATTATTTACAATATTCCTCAACGAGTACCTTGCCAAATGACTTATTGATGCTTGCATGGAATGCTAGAGTTGGATACTCTTTGGATAACACCCTGAGCCATCCTTTTGTTGCCCAAGCGGGGACTAAATCACACTGGAATTAGAGAGACCAAAGTTAAAAAACACTTCTCACTGTTTAAAGAAAAAGAATATCATTCACAAAATGAAGAGTGATTAGTTCAGCTGACCTTATTTAGTAGAAACACCATGTGTTTGTGTGTACAGTGCTCTTTCAGGTGTCTTTCTAAATGATAACATCTTGTACCTTGGGGGTCCCTTGCATCCAAAACCTGCAAGGAACAAGGAGGCACAAAGTTATAACTAAACAGCATAAGATGCACAGCAACCAAAAGATTTGGAATCTCTGGTTGATTACTTCTTTGGATTAAAAAGGGATAACATCAACGAATAACTTACTTGTACAACAACATCAGATGAGTCTATAACCTTGTATAGCTCACCCCATATACGCTTACTTTGGCCCTTCTCAAACATATTGTGGCGAACAAGGTCTCTAAACCCATCCTCGTCTCCCCCTTCTGCAGTAGCACTACTCCCATACTTCTCCTCGAAAGCATCTGCGATGTCACAAAAGTACCAAGTATGAAATTGGTTACCGGCATCAACCCAAAACTGCAGTGATGGCTGATGATGTAAAAAATTGCTCAGCTTGCATACACAAGGAACACGCAGAAACAATACAAGGAAATGACAAGCAAGGGCGGATTATAAAGTTCTAAAATACAGAGTAAACAATCAATAGTATACCCTGAGATTCATCAGCTTTCTTGGCCAAAGACTCGTAATCTCCAGCCAAAAGTCTTGGGCGCTTCCTTTTCTTCTTAGGTCCGAATGCATCGCCAAAAGGCTCGGTATCAAGAAGATGAACTCTAGCTTGCTTCACAAAGAAATAAACATTTCAGGAATCGTGAGAACGTCTGTGATAGATTTTTTTTTAAAAGGCCAGCAAAGCTACAACTAAAAGTTATAGGCATCAACCAATGACGGGAAGCTGACACAAAAACTAAAATCTCCACTATTTGGATTGCAAACCACAGACCAATTAGAGGAAAGATAAATCCTTTCAATGTGGGAAAAGCTAAGCAAGGTCAAATGGGTTTAGCACAAACCTTCTGGTGGTCATTCAGAAGAGAAAAGGGCAACTTCTTCCCTCTCAAAATAACATTGTAGTTACTTGACATACGACTCTGCAGCTCTTCCCTGAAAAATTCTAGCTCTTTCTGATCCACAACACGCGTGTTCCCTATTGAAAAAAACAAACGAAAGGAGAAACAAGCCTTCCCATACCCATCCCATTACCCGATCAATCCAGTGTGTCCCAGACGAAACCCCAAAGAGGCAATCAAAATCCGCGAAGCAACCCAAATGAAAATCTGTAGCGCGCGTTACCAAACCATCGTCGGTCCGGCTGAATACGAGTGTTGGGGAGTTCTTGCGATTGGAGATCGTGCTTCAGAACTTTTCCCTTGCTGTCACGCTTCGGCCTTGTTTTGTACATCTTGAGTCGGCGGACGGTGGCCGCACTTCGCGAGTTGGTGCTGCTGCTGGCTCCATTGCTCCGATTGGTGTCCAGGGAGTGCTTCGGCTTCCCCGACGTGTTCACCTTCCTCTCTTTCTTCGTCATCGTTCACTACGTTTTCTTTTCCCCTCGGATGACACACAGTCCTGAAGGAAAACTGAAAATGGCTGAGGAAGCTAAAGCTTTGCTCTCGCCGAATACTGAATTCTGAATTCTTACCGGCCGTAGGGTTTTATGTAGAAGGAGGGAGTTTGACATTGGGCCGACATTATTGGGCCGGCTCTCAAAGCCCAAATAAATGTTAAATGATTCAGGGACACAAGTTTGCCATTGGGCTGACGTTATTGGGCAGTACGTGGACTTGTTTGTTAAGATCACATAGTACGAGGACCGAACAAGCTATTATTCCTCTGTCTTAAGCAAGTTCCACTGCCCCCAACATCTGAAGGATCCAAATGTTGAAGAAGCTATCTCCTGCATTTGATTGAGTTCATTTAGAGTTCCACAGATCCATGAGACTGTAACAATGGATCGGGCTCTGAAAGCTGCGAGAGCCTCTGGTTCTCTCAACCTCTCCAATCGCTCTCTCAGGCAAGTTCCCTTCCTTCCTAAGCTTTTACACCCCTTCGTACTGCTTCATTTCCCATGGCTATAATTCGCATTTGCGATTCCAGGGATGTTCCCGACGAGGTGTACAAAATTTCCGATGCTCTCGGCGAGGGCGAGAAATGGTGGGAGGTAATAGTGATTTCCTTCTTCCCGTTACCCGCTTTAGTTTTCATGGAAGCTGCATCGAGCTGTAACGCACAAGGTTTGGCCGATTCATTGTGTTTGCAGGCGGTTGAGCTCCAAAAGCTGATATTGGCTCACAATGAGATCGAGTCGTTGAAGGAGGACTTGAGAAATTTGACCCAATTGACTGTGCTTAATCTTAGCAACAACAAGCTTCAAGAGCTGCCCTCTGCCGTAGGAGAGTGAGCTCTCTTTAGTCTTTACCTTGCTTCCCATCTCACCTTTCTCCCCATTTATTGTGCTTTCTGGGTTTGGTTCTTTAATACATATTCCCATCGTTTGGCAGGCTTCCTATGCTTAAATCTTTGGATGTGTCGTTCAACTTGATTACGAGAATACCTGAAGAAATCGGATCGGCGTCTTCGCTCGTCAAGTAAGTGTTTTGCATCAATTCCCTCTTCCCATGGTTGTGTGTGTATAACTGGGTGTGGATCATGAGCAGCATTCTTTCTGCTTGTGGATCATAGGCACCATTTGGCTCGTATGCTAAACCTATTTTTAGTGCAGTTGACGTTGAATTCTTAATCCACATCATCTCACTGTCTCTTGGTTTGCTTTAGGCTGGATGCTTCTGGAAATAAGCTTTCAGAACTTCCAAGTTCACTTGGAAGATGTTCAGAGTTATCTGATCTCAAGGTAATGGTGTTTATAATTTGCAGGTTATGGTGGACACTCTGTTGCTATACCTCATCCACCCAAAGCTTGTTGCTTTCTTTTACTTTGTGATTTTTAAGTTTTTGTTGACACTGCAGATATCTAAACCAGATGGGATAGCATTTAATAATGGCATCTGTATCTTAAATTAGTTCTTTTTTTCGCCGTCTTGTAAAACAATATCATTTTTGTCCACTAAGTTTGTATTGTTTTGATCTATGTCTATGTGGTGTCCGTATTTATTCATATGTGTGGAGAAACCACATATTCATGTTATATACTTCAGTTTTACGTTTTGTCCAGACAAACGCTTGCTAGATATTTGTGGACTAGAAAAATGAAAAAGACTTGATCACTCCATTGTGGTTGTATCTTCTTGGCTAAGGATTATACTTTTTACATTTCTTGTGTCCAAGAGCCTGTATAGTATACATGATGTACTCTTGTTCATGCTGCATCTGGCAGGTATCAAACAACTGTCTCAATAGCTTGCCTGAGGAACTAGCCAGATGTTCAAAACTGTCAAAACTGGATGTGGAGGTATGCATCTAAATGTGCAAGTCTAACATGAATTGCCTGCTGGTTAGCTCTTTGGGGCAATATCTTTGGAGTTTCCGGATGTGGCCCGTAAGATAAACATACGATATTCATGTTTATACAAGATTGTTGTGATTCTAGAAGTTCCGAGTAAACAATATTGTCAAAAATCAGGGGAACAAGTTACACATTTTGTCTGGCAATCTGGTGGCGTCTTGGACCAAGCTTACAGAACTCAATGCATGTAATTGCCTATACCAGTTGTTGGTTTGGTTTTTTGACGATAATAATTTTCTAAATTGTGTGTTGATATTCTTAATTTGGTTTCTTCATTCTAATGTTTCCAGCAAAGAACTTGCTGAGTGGCCTACCAGACAATTTTGGAAGTCTGTCAAAACTCATCCGTCTGGATCTTCATCAAAACAGTCAGTGAATATATTAATGAATGTGCTTCTCAATGTAGTGATGAAGCCTCTGCTGAAGGCTATTCTAGCTTTCCTGACTACTTGTCATATTCATATATGATATTTTGCAGAAATTGCTTCAATCCCACCGTCAATAGAGGGATGCTCTTCTCTTGCGGAATTCTATATTGGGTCAAAATTTTATCTACTTTGTGAATTTATTTTCAGTAATCAGATTGGATTTACCACATTCTATCTTCTTTCATTTTATGTTGCAGATTTAGCACTTGAGTCTTGAATAACCTTTAGCTCCTTGAATGTTCAGGAACAACTCCTTGTCTACTTTACCTGATGAAATCAGGGCACTTGGTCGCTTAGCCACATTAGATCTCCACTCCAACCAGGTATTTTGTCTCATGACTTCCTTATAGATCACGACGGTCTTTGGTTGCTGCAAGCTAGATTGAACTAGAAATAACCTGTAATTGCTTTTTATTAGTTGGACAATACACAATAGACATCCACTGAATAGTGTATTACTCCTAGAAGTTACGACTGCTATCAACCAGTTCATAAGGAGTGTGCTACTGAAAATATCCCTGTCATATTTCATGATGCATTTATATGCTGCTTGCATCAGTCAGGTGGAAGAACTTAAAGTGAAAAACTAACACTTATATAATAAAATGTACTTTCAAATAGAAATAGTGATCTCACAGAGCAGATACACGCTATCTAAGTATTATGCTGCACTGCTGTCTTCATTTTTGTTTTCTATAGTATTGGACCGAAGAACTTTTGAATTCATGCTAATCATTTGGTACATGTGCAGCTGAAGGAGTTTCCTGTTGAGGCTTGCAAGTTACATCTTTCAGTTCTTGACCTTTCAAATAATTCATTGAGTGGATTGCCTCCAGAGATTGGTAAGGTTAGCGATTGCAGTTTGCAAGAAAATCTATTCGAGTATTGGTCGAGTCTAAATTCATGCATGATTCAGTTATGATAGAACCTCATGCTACTTAGAAGACTTGTTTTAATTTTGGCCGCATAAATAATTTGTTCCAACCAAGTGGCTAAGCTAGGATGTTGCCTGGGCCAATAGTAAAGTTTTTATTGTCAGATCTTTTCCCCCAACAGTAGGTCTGGCCACATGGTTTGTCCACATCAGAAAGGATATGTTAGGTTGTAAGGACTCGTTGAATACAATATTCAGGTGAGAAAGTGTTAGAAACAAAGTTTCTAACGGGTTTGATATTTGGGGATTAGGGTTTATACGAATAGAATTAGGGATTGAGATTGGGGATTTGGGGAAGAACAGAATTGGGGATTAGGGATTTAGAAGAGGAAATTGGGGATCGAGGAGAAGAATGGCCGACGGCCTAGGGATAGGTGACGAATTTGAGAGAGATTAGGGTTGAGATACGTTTCTGAATAATTGTTCTTGCTTAATTGTAACGGAATACCCAAGTACATATTTATAGGAAAAGATAGGAAAACCTAATACTAAACCTAATTCTACTAAAAGACTACTAACCATATTTAATAAAACCTAATAATAATGCTAATGATAATGATGACATAGAAACCCGTTTTCGTTAGAAAACGTGTTTCTAACATCCCCTCCCCCTTGAGACCAACCTTGCCCTCAAGGTTGACCGATTCGACCCACGTCTTCGCCTCTCTTGTGCTATCAGTACGCCAACTGCTCCGTGTCTTGCGCTTCCTTTTCTTCCAATCAGGCTCCACTACTTGAACGAATCTCATGCCAGCAACTTCGACTCCCATGGCTTCTCCCTTACCCACATGGATCGTGTCACAACCTCGACCAAATGACTCTCCAAATGACTCTCCTAACTCCTTTTCAAACTCTATAAAATAAGAGTCAGAGAGTTGTTCTTCCTTGAGCATATCCTCATTAACCACCTTAAAGTATTCGATGGATTGCTCCATTGACTTCGCTAAGTACTTGGTGGTGTTGACGATCCATGACTGCTCCCAGCTCCCTTTGCCATCTTCCTTAGTTCGGCCCATGATAACTTCTAAAAAAGAATTATGGCCCAAACCAATTTGAAGTTTTTGTGCACTCCTCCTTCTAATTTTGTTTGGGCTTGTCTCCTTTAAAGACCCACTAGTTAAGCCCACCAAACTCTCTTCTTCGTTTAAGTTATGTCCCTGCAAACTAAAATCAATAAGACAACCCATTGAAACTCGGCCCAAGGAGAGCCCAATAGACTTCTCACTTCTCAGCCCGTATCCAAACCAATCCACTGCTCTTAGCCCATTCTGATCTGATCCGCCCAACATAAGCTCGGCGAATTTTTTCTACGGACCAGTCGTGATGAGAACCTTCTAGCGGCATCAAACCCGTAGATCCGAACAGAGCGGCCCACGAACTGGAGCACGGCCCGCCCGACTTGTTGCTTCTGAGTGAGGCGAACTAGGGTTGCAGGGGAGAGGTAACAGCCACCCTCCCTCGTCGTTTCCCTCCCCAGCGGCACACAAGCCACTCGCCGACGGCGAGACCTACCCAGCCGACACGGAGATTCGCGCGCTGCAGGTCGCTTCTCCGACTCCGCCTCCGCCTCCGCCTCCGCGTCGGTGGTCCTCGGCTCTTTCCTCGACGCTTCCCTTCCCGAAGGTGCCCGCTTCGCCTCCTTCTCCCGCGACAAGGTCGTCAGGCGGCTAGGGGGCCAATCCGACCCACCACCTCTTATCTCCGCCACCTCGTCGCTCGATGTCCGGAAGGAGGAAGGGAAATCGTCGCCGCCCTCCTGTTTCTTCTCATCGGCCGTCATTGCCACGACTCGAGCCGCTAGTGAGTGCGTCAGTGCTGCGGCGGTTTGCGATGCCGACGAACTAGCCCGACAGTTTGCAGTCGTCTCCTCTCCGCATTGTCGGTGGCTGGCGCTGAGATCTGTCCGTCCCTCGTCCAACTTCACCCACAGTAGCGGCGAATTCTCTTCTCCAAAGACCTTCGAGATCAATGGTCTCTCGCGGTTCCTCCTTTCTTCGCGTTGGAGACCCTCTTCCACCATTTTCTTCTTTCTGAACTTCCAATTTGATTCTTGTAGAAAGTCCCAAACTAAACCAAGATCATAATCAGCAGCGTAATCTTCCAAACCTGGTCTCGTTCGCGTCGAGGAAGTATGGCTATCAAGTGATTCATCCCCTATTCCGTCGATTGAGGGAACAACAGGGACGGTCCGAATTTGAACAGCAGCAGGGGTTACAAAGTCCCCTTCTTCGACTGCAGCAACGTCAGTAGCTCTGATTGCCCTCTCCAGCACCTGGGTCTCTCGCCGCTGCTGCTCCTCTGTCGCGTCTCCGGCCACAGCCTCCTCCTCCATCACCGGTTCCGTGTCGCTCCCTTCAACGGTGACTTCCACCGCTTCGTCGGTCTCGGCGGACATTGGTGGTCGCTCGCCGTCGGCGATTCGGGTCACCTTCTCTGCTTGCACGGTCGGCGACTCTTCGGAGCTCCAACGGCGTCCGATGCGTCGAGCCCGATCACGCAACTCTGTCCACGATAGGTTCGAGAGCTTTGAAGAGCTCATCGTCGAACCAGTTGTAGAACTCGTCCCCGGTTGAGAGTTGTGGCGAACTCAATTCTCGAACCGGGCTCTGATACCAGATGTTAGAAACAAAGTTTCTAACGGGTTTGATATTTGGGGATTAGGGTTTATACGAATAGAATTAGGGATTGAGATTGGGGATTTGGGGAAGAACAGAATTGGGGATTAGGGATTTAGAAGAGGAAATTGGGGATCGAGGAGAAGAATGGCCGACGGCCTAGGGATAGGTGACGAATTTGAGAGAGATTAGGGTTGAGATACGTTTCTGAATAATTGTTCTTGCTTAATTGTAACGGAATACCCAAGTACATATTTATAGGAAAAGATAGGAAAACCTAATACTAAACCTAATTCTACTAAAAGACTACTAACCATATTTAATAAAACCTAATAATAATGCTAATGATAATGATGACATAGAAACCCGTTTTCGTTAGAAAACGTGTTTCTAACAGAAAGCAGTTGGAAAATGAGATATTATGTAACTATAAAATGATACTGGGGCTGGAAATTGCCTTGGTAACTCAGCCAACTCTTATTTCTCACATGCTGATTAGTTATTTATCTGTTTGATTTTAGCTGCAATTTTGGTGAACAGTAGGATTGACTGCTTATCGTTCTCTCTGCAATCAGATTGTTTATTATGTGTTATTCTTGTCACTTTTATGGTGCTGTATTTTTCTCACTTTATGCATAACCTTTTGGTTAGTTGATTCTAAAGTGGCTAATGAGTATATATGTTGTCCAGGCAAGATGAACAGTCTGCGGAAAATTTTGCTTAATGGGAATCCAATACGGACAATTAGAAGGTGTGATTTATCATATTTATTTTCTATTTATTTCCCATTTTGCTCATCAAGTTAATTCGTCATTCTTTTCACTCTACCAGCTCTTTGATTTCTGGACCTACTCCTGCTTTATTGAAGTTTCTACGCAGTAGACTTCCACAAAACGGAGGTATGTGGGCCTCACCTTATTTGTGAAACTATGTTTATCTATTCTCTTTTCCTTCATTTCCTCTGCTGTTAGTGGTCTAACTATTTGATACTCTGCCAAAAATTTGATGATTCCTCTCATTCAGATTCTGAGTCTAGTACTTCATCAAAGGAGGATGTAGTTGCTTCTGCTGCGAGAATGTCCCTTGGTTCAAAGGTCTTTGGTTCTCTTTTGTTTTAAGACTTCCTTTTCTGCAGTTCTAGTTCTTGTACTCTAACTTCTACATTCATTGAGGTCCATGAGTCATGACCATGTCAATTGTTCAATGCAGTCACCTTCTTGCTTTTTTTCAACTGCTGTAGTATTTTTGCTCACAAGTGTGTTAGCCTATTTGTCATTTGACCTCGTATTGGAATATGCATGTCCAGCGAAAGGTTTCATTTGTTGTTGTAGAATGTAGAGTACATATGCCATAGACTATATTTCTTGTTACATTCCAGTATTTGGAATCAATAAATTGTAAAAAATCCCATTCTTGCACGACCGTCGACCGGCAAACATTGGCTGTAAAGATAGTTCCTCCGCTCTGTCGGAGCAGCTGCTTCCTTTTCATAAAGATCATAGCAGTAGTTCTTGATACCAGAGTTAATCTTTCCTCGGTCTGCTATACTGATCTTTCTGGATCTTAGAAAAAGTGGATAACTGTGTTGTCTCCTATGATTTGTTCCATACCCATCAAGGAAAATTCACCATTTCTGTTTCCATTCAATTTATTTGTCTACTAGACATTTCTTTTAACATTGAGCTTGTTTTGACAGGATCTCTCTCTGGAAGGGCTGGGTTTAAGTGCTGTTCCGTCAAAAGTATGGGAATCAGGTGAAATTGTAAAACTTGATCTTTCCAGGAATTCCATTCAGGAACTGCCAGTAGAACTTTCCTCGTGTGTCTCTGTACAGGTAATCCATTTGGTTAATTTCAGAAAAATTGCTACATGTGCATCTCTCATTATGGCCTTTCAAGAACCTCTGATTCGGAATGCTTTCCTGAAAGTGAAAAATGCATTTTTCCCCATCCATTTTGCTACTTCTGGACAGTGACGTGAAATAAATACATATTAGATATATAACTAGCATGATTTTCCACAGTTCTTATTCCTGATCCGAAGTAATTTTGCTTGATCAATTTGTGTATGATTTGTATGCATGCACCTTATCTTTACTACATCTTTGTATTTTTCTGTTTCAGAAGAAAAGATATTTGTTGCTTTTTAGGATAAGTTGGAGTATTGGATCTATTTTGTCTGCTTGGCTTTCTGGGTGCAGTGAGGCTGGCAATAAATTATAACGTACTACTAAACTGTTATATTGAATGATCTTACGCTGTCACTAAATTGGATATTTTGCTCAATTTGCAGACTTTGATTCTATCGAAAAACAAGATTAAGGAGTGGCCGAGTTCAATTTTGAAAGCACTCTCAAGCCTGACATGCTTGAAGTTGGATAACAATATACTTGGACCGGTAAGCGAGACCTAAATAACATATGCCAGAAAACAATTTTCATTCGGAATATCATGCTCTCAGCCTGTGTTGACGTGGAATTGATGTTTAGGAGTTAGCGAATCATAAGTGGATGATCCTCTTAATGAAGCATTTTGGTTCATTTTCCGCTTTCACGCGTGGTTATTTTGCTTGCTTCACAATATTCAATGATCCTCTAAATGAAGAGGGTTACTTTTGATGGACGCCATCTGTTACCTTCTTGTTTTTTTTTGGGCGCTCGGGAAATTGGTCTACTCTGGAGAACATCAACTTATTTCATTTTACTTACCCGTAGATCCCAGCAGATGGATTTCAAGCAGTGCCAATGCTTCAAATACTAGATTTAAGTTGTAATCCATCATCCTTATCCAGGAACCCAGCATTTTCCAGCTTACGGCATTTGCATGAGCTTTATCTGAGGTCAGTCAACAGCAAATGGCCATGCTACTTGCTTGCATTGGGGGTTCCATTTCTTGTTTATCAGTTCCTTGTCTTACCTCTTGAGTAATGTTGCAGACGTGTACAACTGGGGGAAATTCCATCTGATATATTAAGCTTAAAGCAACTAAAGGTCCTACACTTGAGCCAGAATTCGATCGAATCAATTCCAGAGGTACTGCTGGGTCACCATTTATAATCAAAGACTGTTCCAAGTGTTCCACATGATTATGGCCTCGGTTTCGAATGTTGATCATGTGATACTTTTTGAATGTCAGTATATTTAGCTGGTTCGCTTCCATTTACTCTCGTCTCCCATGGAAAAGTGGAAGCAAAGATTTGGTGGCCTTGAGTGCTATATTGGGTCCTTGACTTCTTTTGTGCTTTTTTCATGCAGGAATTTAAACATTTTGTTCAGCTCACTGAGTTTGACTTATCTGACAACAATATTTCTGTGCTTCCTCCAGAGCTGGTTAGTACACTCTGTCTTCGTGTAATCGTGTTTCTCGCCATGCCCACTTTTTCTGAGTTCTGTAACCTTTGTCCCACTCTTCTGCTGGAAGGAGAATTGTAAAATGTGGGAAAAAACCAACGTTTAACTTGTTTACTCCCAACTAGAAAATGAACTGAGCCACAGTTGCCAGCTTCTACTCGTATGATAAAAGACTCAACACTTCACTTGAATATCACCATGCACATTTTGCACGATCTAGCTGTCTTAAATTAACATCATTCGTTGTCATCAGGGCTTGCTCGAACCAACTCTACAGGTGTTGAGGCTAGATGGCAATCCACTGAGAAGGTATGCATTGCTTCTATTTGTCTCAGAATTACACTAGCGATTTGACAGCAGAAGCATCATTTTGCCATGCGTAAATTTTTTACGCCACTGTCTCATCGTTGCTACTATTTGCAGCATCCGGAGGCCGATTCTGGAGAGAGGAACTAAAGCTGTTCTCAGTTATCTGAAGGACAAACTTCCGGCCCAGTAGCTGGTTGAGCCTTCCTCTGTTTTCTGGCAGGCCAGTTCCCCCTGGCACTCCCTTTCACCATTTTACATCTGTTGCTTGCTGAAACTGTTGTAACAGCTTGTATCTTAACTGTCCTGTGAAGTGTGTGTGGTTGTTGTATTCTGAGCCCAAATTGAGAATCGCTGGCGAGCGATAATGTTCCTGATTGTGCAATTACACAGTTTATGTACTTAACTATGTTGAATTTTAAGAATCTAGAGTAGTCTATGATAAACAATTTGAGTTATTGGAATCAATTCATTCTTGACATGTTATCAGAGCTGTGACCAAGAGGTGTTCTGTTTGAATTCCGATGACATCATTTGTTTCTGTTAAGCACATGGTGTCTGGACCTATGCAAACTTCAAGCTCATATAAGGTGTTCTGTTTGAATTTCGATGACATCATTTGTTTCTGTTAAGCACATAGTGTCTGGACCTATGCAAACTTCAAGCTCATATAAGGTGTTCTTCGTTCGAGGGGGGTGTGTGTTAGTAATAATATAATAAAAAAATATGTAAAATGTAAAAGTAATATAATTACTAAATATGATTTTCATTCGTGAAATTTATTAAACATTACTTTGGGGCTTCAACTTACCAGAAAAATGTGTGCTCGCGTGGACAATTGAAATTTTGAAAGATAACGAAATTTCGTGGTAATTCGATCTCATCGATCTCACGAGGTAAAATGTAAAAGGGAAGATTGGAAAAATGATGAGGAGAAATGCAAAGGAATTCGATCAATTTCCTCAGAGCTATCCAGATTCTAGACAATGAGGCATGTGAGCAGAAACATCATAGCTGATATTAATTACTTTATTGTGGTGGTAAAAATACATGTGTTTCATGCATGGCAGAGAAATGCGCGCTTGTTCCCCAAACTGACATAATATCTTCATCATCCATGAAAGTTTACACAACAAATTATAGAAACAGAGAAAATTTTAAGTTAGGTATCGATCGAAAAATAGTACCTTTATCTCAAATAATAGAAACAAAGAGTGGTCACTTCCTAACTGTTATTGCTTATGTAATATGTGTCGGAAGAGACCGCGCGTGTCATCCTCTACTCCATTATCAGTTCGCGTAGCACATTTTAAATCACATTTTCATCCAGATGAGGGTTATTAGGTCTTATGCAATATACAGTTTCTCTCATGCTAGAAGGGTGGTCGATCCTTCCTTTCATGTAACTCCACAATATACAGTTGATTTTGTTGACACATATTATGTGCCTCTCCACACTAAAATCACACATCATTCATTACAAAATATATTCATCAACAATCTGCCCCGGCAGCAACGACGTACGACGTCGTTGATGATGTGTAACGTGGAGCAGAGTCCATTCGGGCCGGGTCCTGATCCGGGCTACCACCAACCAATTGCGACGGAAGGCAGGTTTCGCCGACGTGGCGCGGCGGGATTGGTAGATTACATTTCCTGGGGCGGGAAGGAAAAAGCCAATCCTTTTCCGACTCGGACTAGATCTATTTACGGCTTTACGCACCACCGCCGCTCTTTCCCATTTTCTGCTTTAAAATGAGGATTCCCTTCCCTTCTATCACTGATCAGTGTATGTTCCTAAACACAGTACGTAGATAGAAGGGGGAAATCAAAGAATGGCGATCGCGAGCCGGAAGCTGAATCGCCATCTCGCTCTCCATCTCAACCCGACTACTCCGGCCACTCACCACCGCTTCTCACCTTACCCGGCGGCAACCTCTTCTTCTTCCTCTTCTCTCACCACTCATCATCAAGAAGTCAAGAGCCTGACGGAGTTAGAGAAGCTCCACCCACTCGGCCAAGGAAGCGGCGGCGCAGTCTTCAAGGTCCGCCACAAACCCACCCGCGCAATCTACGCTCTCAAGAAGATCTCATCCGCCGCCGAAACCCAAGAAGAAGAAGAAGTCTCCATCCACCGAATCGCGTCCTCCTCCCCACACGTGGTCAAATTCCAGGGCTCCTTCCAAACCCCAAACGGCGACGTTTCGATCCTCATGGACTACATGGAATCCGGCTCCCTCTCCGACCACGCGAAAGCCAGCTACCACGACGCCCGCCTCCCGGAGCACGCAATCGCCGACGTGGCGCGACAGATCCTCCAAGGGTTCACCCACCTCCACGCCAACAACATCGTCCACAGGGACGTCAAACCCGCCAACTTCCTGGTCAACGCCAACGAGGTCAAGATCGCTGACTTCGGCGTCAGCAAGCGGCTCCCCACCCGCCTCGCCCGCTGCGACTCCTACGTGGGGACCGCCGCCTACCTCAGCCCCGAGCGGTTCGACATGGCGGCCCACGGCTCGACCTACGACGGGTTCGCCGCCGACGTGTGGAGCCTGGGGCTCGTTTTCTTGGAGCTTTACCTGGGGAGGTACCCGCTGCTTGAACCAGGGCAGAAGCCGGACTGGCCGGCGCTGATGTGCGCCATTTGCTTCGGGGAGATGCCGCCGAAGATCCCCGAGGAAGCTTCCGAGGAGTTTAGGGAGTTTATTGGGTGTTGCTTGGAGAAGGATCCTTGCAAGAGGTGGACCGTTCAGCAGCTGCTCGGCCACCGTTTCATCGTTCCACGTCCCCAAGAAGAAGAAGTCAAGGAGATAGCTAGATAGATAGACGAGAGGGATTCTTTTTTGTCATTATTGATGAACTGTAATTAATTAATTTGATGTAATGTAATAGAACTACGTAGACCTGATCCTCCGTGTTGGACAATGTAAAACGGAGGTACGTAGGCAGCCCTAAAGTTACCTGGGTGCGGTCTAAAATATTGTTACAAATCCAAAACTCTGCTCTAGCTACATGCATTTTCTGGAGCAGCAGAAATTAGACAATCATGGAAGCAAAATACAGTGAAATCTCCAGGAACTCAACAGTTGGCCCATTTATGACAGTTACCAGACACGTTCATTCTGCAGATAAGAGAGATGCCAGCTACCAAGACGAGATCAAAGCACTAGGCACGATTAAAATAGACCTTCTTCTCTCTTACATTTAGAAATTAGAACAGCAACAATGCATGCACATCTGCGTTGTATATGATTTTTCTTTTCGATCCGAAAGTAAGTAAAGTCGCGCTTGGTATTGGGTGTTTCTCTCGAATCGATCGAGAGGATTATTCTGATGTTGGGTTGCGCCTTGATGAACTCAGGTTACCTTCTTCTTCCCGAACAGTAGCCCCACGGAGTAGGTATCGCCCTTTTGCTTAGCAGCTTCCCGAACAGTACCATATCTTTTTTTTGGCAGAGTACTTTAGCGAGTTTCGTACACATATTTTTTCAATACTATTTCTTTGTATAAGCGTTGAATGTTGTTTTTCTTTTCTAATGAAGATTGCTCAAATTCTGTTGTGACAATGTGGGTATGAATTGATATGATTTCTGAAATAAAGAGTTTCACCTGTTATCAATATATTGCTTTTAAATATAAGGCTATGTTCCCTCCTGCGGCGTAGCCGCGGGTATTGATACTAGTGAGAGTGAAGACTACCTACACAGACACCAAGACTGGCAATGTATCCCTCAAGCTAGGAGTGACGACTATAAATATTGGCATTACATTCCTTGCTGAAGGACAAATCGAGATATCCGGGGGAGCTCTCTGGAGGTTCCACTTGGGGGTGAAACCAACGAAACCTCAAACACGTTGGAGACAGAGTACAAGGTCATGATGGCTCCCATGAGTTCGACTCGAATCAATCTGTTGGCCATCAGAGGTTCTTGTGACGTCCCCTTCTCCTATACCCAAAAGGACACTCTCACGCGTCTCACCAACACGGCAACCAAGTTACTTACTACATGGATGATGGCCTATCTCTCAAGTAACGATTATAACGGTTACTTGAGAGGAAAGTGACGGTGAAGGCGAGACCTTTAGAACATAAAAAACCATCAACCCAGTTCTATTCACATAAAAGCTCAAAGTTAACAGGTTATTCTTCACATGATTACCCGTAAGTAGGTTTTGCTGCTGTAATCATATCAACTTCTCGCCTTCAGTTTTGAGCAGCTGTTGATTGGTTCGAAGCATTTCCTTCAGTTGATGGGTGATCTTGTTGAGCATCATCTACACCATCTAGCAACAACCTAAACTTGAGGACCTTTTGAAGACGAGCAACCGGTTTCACTTCCTTGGACGGTACTTGATTTGGATCCACTATGCATCTCCCTGAGAAGAGATTCGCATCCGATGGTCCAGTCTCTTTATGCAGGACAGGGGCCTCTGCAAGAATTTGGCCAAACTTATCAAGTTCAGTTTTCGCCAGGCATCAATCAGAACATATGAAAGCATCAAAAAGTAAACATATACGGAATAAGCCCGAGGAAAACTAGAATAACTTCACATCTCAGCATAGAATCATTAGGTAAATAAAGGGTCCATGTCGCTTCCAACATGCACATCTTCGATTTCTTGATGTCTATTGAGCATCCAATGTTCGAACTGTTTTCACATAACTGCCTTGTTCTTCTGTTAACGTTGGTTTCTCACACTGTGAATGGAGAAAAGTTTGTCCCCATAGCTATAAACTTTTACACAACCCTATTGGCTGGATCTAAAAAGAAGTCACTTTTCAGTCAGCTTCATATTTCTCTTTACCAACTACTGTGTGCAGATCAGTAGTTTATGGCTATTTTTCCCTAGAAAAGCGAAGTGATAGCTACTATGCAACGGCGGAACAAATCTAGGCCGAGTTCGCAAAACGGCCAGAGAAACAAGGTGGTAAGCACGCTCACCATTTTCTGAGAAAACCAAGCAAGTTCCTATTGTCTCTTCATATTCTCCAATCTGTAACAAGCATGACAAAAAAAAAATGGATTTTTCAACAACAGTAATCCAAACTTTCACAAAGCACAGTGAACCCCTTACAAGTAGCAACTCACCAGCTTCACTTTGCCATCTATAATCAGCATTGGGTTCAACGTGTCCAGACCCTATCATTGATTCAAACAAAACAGAATGACTTACTGAAGATTTTGGTAGACAACATCCTAAAAGTGTCTAACTTATGACATGAATGTAGCAAATCAGGGAAGAAGCATATAAATCAAGTACAAAGCTTTGGAGGAATCTAAAAGACCAAGTATTCTTAACACGCAGGCGAAACGAGGGAGAGAAATTATGGGATACACTAAAATCAAACAGCAAAAAACACATAAGATGCAGGTGATCACAAACAACCAACCTACTGGTCTTAGAAAGCTGCAACATAATCCTAATATGCAACTGGCCCATGCATCCAATTCATTGTCTATTGATGATCCCATATTTCCAACAATTACTTGTGAACATATACTATGAATGCCAAACCAAACTTTACATCCACGCCAAAGATTGATTACTAACAAATCAACATTCAAATGAAATGCAAACATAAGTAAAAGGTTATGCAAATTGCAAAGGACATGAGTGAAGCATTACAGTAAGAACATATGGCGTATCTGGCCGAATGCTAACGTGCTCCATGACCGCATCAAGGTCAAGTAGTACATACTCTTCTTCACCCTTCTCGTCACTATGCTCTGTCAATCCTGCCTCCATTTAACTCTGCCCACAGGAAAATCAGCAAAGAAACAAGGTTAGAATCCAAATAACAAACGGTAACATGCAGATCAAGGAGTGCATTGAACATGGTTGCAGCCAGAAGGGACAAAAAAACTACCAACCAATGCTGTCAAAACCGAGTCGAAGTATGACCCGGTAACGTGAACGGCTCGATCATTAGTGATCCAGCCGGCATTAAACCGTTTAAAAACCGTTTGAGAACCGGTACCTAACAAACAATCATGTAAATTTATTAAACATCAATATATGTCGTGCTCATTCAGTATCGACAACACATTGCTAGCTTTCATCATTGCAAACCATTACAACAATCAAGTAAATTTATTAAACAAACCATTACAACAATCAAGTAAATTTATTAAACAACTACAAACCATTACAAACAATCACATCGTCTATCAGTATCGACAACACATTGCTAGCTTTCATTTGTATCTACTATAATCTGTTGCTCGCTATTTTTCAAACTTCCATCTTGCATCATGGACACCAATCCTAGAATCGAATGCATAGGTCTCTTCATTCCATCGCTCATAACCTTTTGAAAAGCATTCCTGGCTTGGCTAGCCATTAAACTTTAATAAATTGGTGTTTAATAAATTTACTTGATTGGCTTGGCTAGCCATTCGATTCACTGATAATGAGGTGCTTCATTAGTAATTTACCTGAAGAGGCCGACGTTCCGCTGAAGAAGATTGAGCCTGGATTCTCCCGGGTTCTGGCAGGCGCCGGCGGTGACGATGCAGAGGTTAGATCCGGCGGTGACGGAGTAATCGGTCGAGGAGAGAATCTGGGTGCGCGTGAGGAAAGCAGCAGCGTGCTGATGGCGAACGGAGACGGCGACGGGGACTCGCGAACGGAGACGGCGACGGGGGACCCGCGAACGGCGACGGGGGACCCGCGAACGGCGACTGGCTCTTCTTCCTCGTGTCTGGCTGCTGCGCGAAGGGGAGAAGAAATGAATGTATCTCAATGTCAATTAGGGTTACGTTTTCAGCAGCCTCCCCTTTCATTTACAATTTTTTTTTAAGGGTTAATAGCATTTTATACCCCTCTACTATTGCGAATTAACAAACATACCCCTCTACTAATTTTTTGCACAAACATACCCTTCTACTTTTAAAATGTAACGAATATTATACTTCCGTCTAATTTTCTGTTAAATGTCGGTTTAATAGACTGTAAAATGTCCCAATTGTCCTCATTAACTCACGAAAACTACTAATTTTGATTTAATATATTTTATGTCTCTAAAAATTAAAAGCTATCCCACAAATTTAAATAAGAAAATCTAAGCATTCCCAGCCGTTCTAACCCGACGACAAACCCTTTCTTCTTCCTCTCTACTCCCCTCTCCCCCTGTACCATAGAAATCTGGCTACGCTCTCATCCAAAGGATGCTCCTAATATATATAGTGAAGCTAGCTATGCTCTCGGCAGCCAAAGGATGTTCAGCTGGCAGTTCATATAGACATATACAATTTGGGCGCAAGATTTCTCTGGCGCCGGCGGCCGGACGCACAAACGGAGGGAGAAGTGGATTGCGTCAACAACTGATGTTCGCGGGAGAAGAGAGTTGCGTCACCAACTGTGTGTTTACGTGGAGAAGAGAACGTGTACAAGCGCTCCCTCCTGGCCGCCGAACCTACGCAAGCTGCCGTCGATACAGTGTCGGATTTATTGGGCGCCATTTTTCTCTAGTGTAGAGAGTTCGGCGATGTGAGGAAGACGAAACGTCTGGCCGTCGAAGAGAAGTGAGGACTGAGGAGTCGGTAGGTTTCAATTTTAAATTAATTTGGTTAGAGATTAAAAATAATTAAATCAAGAGTTAATGAGGGACAATTGAGTCATTTCACAACTCATTAAACGTTATTTAACAGAAAAGTAGACGGAAGTGTATATTTGTTACGTTTTAATACTAAAAGGGTATGTTTGTGCAAAAAATTAGTAGAGGTATGTTTGTTAATTCGCAATAGTAGAGGGGTATGAAATGCTATTAACCCTTTTTTTAATTAAAGCAACCGGCCCAAATGGTAAAAGCCGGCCGAGCGGCTCGAGCGGTTAACCGCTTCGGCCGCTCGCCGACCGCCCCAAAGAACCACTCCGGCTAAATAGCTGAGTCGAGCCGGTTTTATGGCCGGGTGGCGGTTTTGGCGGCTCGGCCGGCCGGCTCGGCTCGGCTTTGACAGCATTGCTACCAACTGTTGTTCCCACGGCAACAACGACTAATTAACATAAACCGCTTATCCAACCAGCAGCCGCGGCAGAATGCATCTAATCCAGGCGAAACAGCTTGAGTTATATATCAGGCAATTGCAATTCATGGTCCGAAACGTTGACCCATTGAATTTCACAGCACAACAAGATCAAAAGCAAAATACTTTCCATTGCCTACTTCAGTTCCAGCTTACCTTCCTGAACCGTCGAGAATGCTGGAAGGAGAGGGAGAGGCATCGACGTCAACTCAGATGCGAAATCTGGGGCCGAAGAGGCCACTACCAGTTAGTTCCCCCAGCCACGGCCGACGATGAGGCAGCGAGAGAGCAATGGGACGGCGGCAACCAGCCGGTGCTTGCACCAGGGCTGGAGAATGGAGGAGAAGCGACGGGCCGGGAAAGAGAGGTCCGCCGTACCGGTAAAATAAAAACCTAATTTTTCCCCCCCTTCTTCGTTGTCGATTTACTCTTCTGCCCTCCAAACGACACCGTTTTCTTGGTAGTTAAGAAGTTCAGTTGATACGGCAGCGTGCAAATGGTTACACGGCTACTCACCTGCTTCTTCTTCTGTTTCGCAAGATCTGGAAGAGCATCAGCATTCCATCGTTCCATTTGAAACCCCCCAATGCCCGAATCGAGCCTTGTGAAAAGCAGAAATCGGAGGGATTGAAAGATGGCGGCGGTGACGGGAGGAGCAGTGGCGCTTTGGAAGATGAAAGGAAGCCCTTACGAAGAGAAAATCTGGCGACGAATTGGGAGGAGAAGGCGCCTCGTCATTCCACCGTCGCCGTCTTGATTGCGCCGGTTGCAGCTCTGGACTGGTCTGGAGGCTCGAGTGGTCGATGAGCACTGGAGAAGGGAATTCGGAGCACCGGCGATTCGTCGTCAATTGTCCGCCGGAGAAGGGAGGCCGCGAGAGGCAGGGGAGGCTGGGAAGACTCGAGTTTTCGTCTGCTATCCGCCCCTGTCTGCCGGAGAAGGGAGGTCGCAAATGCACTGTTTTGGTCGGTTATGCGACGGGAAGAACTCGGGTGGGAATCGAACCTTTCTATCTCCTTATTTTACCATTCAACTATATCAGCAATTTTTTGGTTTTTGATAAGCAAAATGTAGATTAATTGACTCAGCTAACATGTACCAACCCAACCTACTAATTTGAACTTGTTAGCCTAATGACTCTGTGTATACTGACTGATATATTATTTTATTTTATGGAAACCTTCTATTCTATTCATCCATGATGTTGATTTTTTTACTTTCTTACTGGCCAGCTGATAATGAAGTTGGCCAATCCTGGAAATGCCCTGAACAACCTGGAATGCACGACTTGACTCTTTGGTCTCCTTAGTTTCCGTAGTCGTCATGATCTCGAAAGGTTACTTGTTTCTCAGATCCATTTCTAACAAGTCCTGCAACTCCCAGAAAACTACTACTCAGTCATTCTTACAGCAACACTGCTCAAACGAATGGGTTTTCTGTTTCAGTTCCCCTTCGCAGTAGTTCATGTCTTCCTGCTGCTGCCGTGCTCTAGTACTGCGGTGCTTGATGCTGTTACTCCAACCCAGCCTCTGATCGACAGCGATGGACAGACTTTGGTGTCCAAAGATGGAACCTTTGAGCTGGGTTTCTTCACTCCTGGTCCTTCCTCCAACAGGAACCGTTACTTGGGGATTTGGTACAGGAACATACCGGTCAGAAGAGTTGTCTGGGTTGCAAACCGCGACACTCCGGCTACCGATTCAGGCAGCTCTTTGTCGGTAGACACAGGTAATAGAAGCTTGGTAATTGTCAGCAGCAACAAGAGTGTCACTTTGTGGTCATCAAATGCGACGGCCAGCAGTAATCACCTGGTGACTAGTCTAGTAGCCGAACTTCTCAACACTGGCAATTTGGTACTAAGAGACCAAAATGACACGAGCAATTCAGAGGAATTTTTGTGGCAGAGCTTTGATTATCCATGTGACACACTTTTACCAGGGATGAAGCTGGGATGGGACTCCAAGTCGGGGCTTAACCGCGGCTTAACATCTTGGAAGAGCCCCGACGATCCATCCACTGGGGACTTCAGATGGGGAATCCAAGTGCAGAACAACCCTGAAGAGTTCATGTGGAAGGGCTCAGAGAGGTTCCACAGAAGTGGGCCATGGAACGGGTTGGGGCGCAGCGGGGCACCTGAATTGAGGGACAATCCAGTCTTCTCCTACAAATTTGTGTGGAATGAAGACGAGGTTTACTACCAATACGAGCTGAAGAACAAGTCATTGATCTCCATTGTAGTCATGAACCAGACATCGTACCTACGCCAGCGTCTGGCTTGGAACGAGGGGAGCCAGAGTTGGGGGTTGTATGCATCGGTGCCGAGAGATCGGTGTGACAACTATGCCACCTGTGGGGCATATGCGACCTGCATGGTTTCTGAATCCCCAATTTGTGAGTGCATGAAAGGGTTCAAGTCTAAGTCGCCCGAGATGTGGGAAATGGCGGAGTGGTCTCAAGGGTGTGTGAGGGAGAAGCCATTACCGGAGTGCCCCCCGCGGCAGAACAATGCGGAAGGTTTTGTCAGGTACAGTGAGTTGAAGCTCCCTGATGCCACCCATTCTTGGGTGAACAAGACCATGAGCCTTGGGGAATGCAGAAACAAGTGTCTGCAGAATTGTTCGTGCACGGCATATGCTAATACAGATATCAGAGGGGCAGGAAGCGGCTGCTCCATTTGGTTTGCTGATTTGATTGACATGAAAATGTTTTCAACTGGGGGGCAGGAGATTTACATTAGAATGCCGGCTTCAGAACTAGGTATGTTTCTGCTTGTTCTTTGTTACACTTACATTCAGTTAGCCTAAACGTTTTGAATTTCCTAAGTTGGTTTATTGTTGTTTCAAATGAAGAGAGGAAGAAGAAGGTGACAACAACCAGGATAGCTGCAATAGTTGGAGCTATTGTTGGGGGTCTTGGGTTGCTTGCACTTGGCTATTTCATTTGTAAGTGATCTATTGCATCTAACAGATTTCATTTTCAGCAAGAATGCATGTATGTGTGATTGTCATTTGATAGCCATCAATTATCAGATTCCAGAGTCAAGGAACAGGGTGATTCAAACATTTGCAGAAAGGAAGATCTAGAGCTACCCTTAATTGACCTACACAAGATAGTTGACGCCACTGCCAACTTTTCAGATTCCAACAAGCTGGGAGAAGGAGGATTCGGACCTGTCTACAAGGTCGAATTTATGTTATTGTCAGTTGATGAGAACAAAAAACGTTTGTTGTTGCATCATTAAAACCCATAAGACTGATTATAGTAAATTCTTTGTAATTATTCAGGGTGTTATGGCAGATGGACAAGAAGTAGCTGTGAAGAGGCTGTCAAGCGATTCCGGGCAAGGATTGAAGGAGTTCAAGACCGAGGTCATACTGATATCGAAGCTTCAGCACAGGAATCTTGTCAAGCTTCTTGGCTGTTGCATTCAAGGAGATGAAAAGATGCTGATTTATGAATACATGCCACACAGAAGCCTAGACTCTTTCATTTTTGGTCTGTCTATATGTGGATGCCACTATATTTCATTCAACGTTGTACTTGTTCGAAATCGAGCTGATATATATGGTTACACTAAGTTAACTTGTTTTCTTTTGATGCAACCATTCATGGCAGATAAAGGAAGAAGCAGATTGTTGGACTGGGGCAAGCGTTTCGACATAATTTGTGGGATTGCAAGAGGTCTTCTCTATCTTCACCAAGACTCAAGACTGAGGATTATACACAGGGACCTCAAAGCAAGCAATGTAC